ATTTCTCCGTAAAGACCTCGAGCTTGGTTATTAAGGGCTTCTTATTGTTGCTATTGTAATACGAAGACGACGATATTATCGTAGTGCTTCTTTATGTTTTCTAGATCTATTCGTTCAGAACACCCGGGTTAGGACTTTTAAAGACTCTAGTAATGATGGTTGGCGAGTTTGATTACGATCCTGGATTCAGTTTCCACGAAAGTAATGACGTAGACTTGCCTGCCTTTTCTTACGTTCTCTTTGTTCTCTTCGTTGTGGTTATGACGATACTTCTCATGAATTTGTTGGTATGTTATACATTGTTATTCACCCTCCTGAAAATATAACGATCTGAATAAAATTTTGGAGGGTATCTCATGGGTATTTTTATACTATAATTTGTTTTGCAATTCTGTGTGATAACATAGGTATGTTATGTAACATTACCATCTCTCTCATTCTGATAGATTGGTCTTGCTGTTGATGACATCAAAGAGGTTCAAAACCAAGCAAAATTTAAACGGCTAGCTATGCGGGTAGGATAGTTTTTCAAATACGATGTGGTTTACTTATGGATTGCTTAGATTAGAGCTGGGCAACTGTGTGTCAGTGCGGCGTCAGTTGATTTGGAGAAAGTCCAATTTCTACATCATGTGAAATTTATTGTTACGTTTCGACGATACTCTCACTTTATCAACATGTAAAACATACGGCCAATTAAGCGTCTTTTCAATGCTTCATATTCATTCTTCGCCCAATTGAATCCAAGCTAATTGTTGGCTCATGTTTTAATGGACTCAAACAGCTCGTTTATTGCAGGTAGACCTTGCTTTAAATGTGGAGACATCGGTTTATCGAATGTTCCGAGAAAAATTCGCAGAGTTGCGTTCATCGAAAAAAGAAACTTCTGATTCTGCGCTTAAAGAGATCACTGTGGATTTGTCGTTTTCTGGCTGGAAAAAATGTTCGTCAAAATCTGCTTGGGATAAATATTTTTTGAGAAAGGTTGGTTTGTGCGTTTGTATATGTTGAGCGAGGTTTTTGCTTTTACATGTGATTGGACAGAATGGGAGTGGTGTATAGCCTTTTCGTGCTATGCATAGATATTTCGGTGTTCGCTCAGTGTAGAAACAATTGATTTATCAATGGTGCTAATTATCTGGTATTCATATTACACGACCAAACACGAGGGCTGGCCACACCAATGCAAAATATGAGAATATTATTGAAGTAATCATTCACGTTCAATTTTGCAATAGAATGGACTTTTTGTAGAAATAGCGATATGAAAAGCTCAACTTTGAATTAATAGTAATTTTTGTGTATGAAATAATTTATGTTTATGAAATAATAAGTTTTCTGAAAAAATATAATACGAGAACGATAACGATTTGCAAAGTCTTCATTAAATCACGATACGCATCTTTTCCCACAACAGCTTTACAGATATTCTAAAGAAAGTTGCTATTCTCATTGGATGATTTAATAATTAATTGATAATAATGAACATTAAAAGGTACTAGTTACCAAGAACATTACAACTAACACCACGTTTGTTAGAATAATAATCATGGATCATTAGTCCATTGTGGAAAATTTTTCAATGTACTAAGGGGCTGTTCACATGAGCGCGGTAGCCGGGATTCAGCGAGGCGTGAAATCCAAATTTAGAATTGATCAAGTGACCTTTTTATTTTGTTTAGAAGCAACGTACCAAAAGCTCGATGCAGCAAAGAACAAATGCGTCAACAAATACGAGTTGAAATGAAGCTTATCTAGCGATTCTCTTAGCATTGGAATACAGTCTCCAATTTGTATGCACATCAGGGTATTTGTTTAGTACATTATTCTAGGGATGGATGTAGGGGAGGGTGCGGGGAGTGCGCATCCTCGAGCCTTGGCTAGAGGGGATGCAAATTTCCCTACAAAATAATAATATACCAACCAATTAAGCTACAACAACTGTCAAACTGCACATTTCCCGGGGTCTCAAGTCAAACCCACAAAAAGTTTGACATAACGACATCCACAAAGGATGAACCAAAATCTAATCAAAACAAGACTGACCGAACGACATCTTATGAAAACTAGAGCACACCCCCAGCAAAATCATCCTGGATCCATCCTTGTATTATTCTTCAATATGTATATATAGTATATAATCATAGTTATTATTAATATTATTTAAAGGTTTATGTATCAAACAATAATATAGGTTTATGCACGCAATTCCGTATAACTCACATTTGAAATGTTTTACACCACAATGCACTTTTTCTATTCTCGCAAGAATTATGAATATATTATTTTATATACTAAAGGCAAACTTATTTTGATTTAGCAAAATGTATTGGTGTATATGAATGTGTTTTTATGGAAACTAATAATTTCGTAGGTTGAATTTTTGAACCTATGTATCATCTATGCAAGCTTTTGGATAGTTCCTAAATGAGAATTTCGGTTTAGCTTAAAGATAGAGGGTAGATATGTAACAGATAACGAGGGATGTAAAATAGATAGCTAACTATTAATAGTTCATTGACAACGAATGCTTACAAGGGGTTTTATAAATCTTGACTGATGATAGATAATCACCAATGGACGATAGATAATATATGATTATTGGGTGGCAGATAGTAGTTCTGATTAGTTAACCTTGAATAGTTTATAAATGATAGCTATAGATGATTAATAATTATTCGTAGATGGTAAAGATTAATGAATTGTCGATAGGGATAAAGACAATTAGATAAGAATTGGTAGATTATAGATAAAGATGCATACAGATTATGAACACCCATCGATAGTTGAAAGATAACTATTTTAAGACGATCAATAACTATTGACAGGTGCTAGATAATGATTCATTATGGAAAATGGATAACAACTGTGATAATAGCTACGTAGCAATTAAAGTAACACAACAGATAACGATTTCGAAGTGTTTTACCCGTTATTTTTATAGAGGACAATGAAACAATTGATGCATGATCGATTGTTAGTGCTGTGTATGGAGTTTTTGAAATAGTTGTTACTGTTATTTCACCAATGTTTTCACAGATTTTGAATTATGATCGATCGTTAGTGCTGTGTATGGAGTTTTTGAAATAGTTGTTACTGTTATTTCACCAATGTTTTCACAGATTTCGAATTTTTCCGTTGCAATAATTTTATTTCTGCATGCATTCGACATTTATAAAACATGTTGAAGTATTTGTGCAACACGAAGCTCTGGAATATCTTTCACCGACACACCAACATCACTGAAGTCGTTATTGGTAAAAAGTCAAAACTCCATGCTACCTATTTTACTTTGCTTAAGACTTGGAATGTTTTCCATCTTCTGTTTGACTCGAGAATTTACAGCGTCAATGTTCAAAAATCAGGCCATTACAAATTTAAACATTTGCAATGACCTTTGGGAGATTTTGCTATAATTAAGTTGAGCAATTGTTTCTTAATATTCTCGAAATTGTACGTTCTTCAGGACGTTTTGGACATGCTATGTACGATGTGTATTTAAGAAGTCAGCTAACAGGTAACATGTTTTTAATTGGCGAAGTTTTCTGGCTCTGAAGATATTTTTGTATACTCTCTTGCTGTGACTTAGCTAAACGTGTACAAGCGTATTTGAGCGCTTTTTCATGTTGATCGTTCTTGTCATATGTTTGTAATTTGACAGGTGAGATGTTCGAAGAAAGATCGTAAAATAGACATTGTCAAGTACCGTATGCCAAAGCGCGCGGTGCCGGAAATGCAGGCTTCGCCTTGATGTAGGGCTAGACTCTAGCATGTAAAACCGAGTTAATAATCAGCCCTACAGAGAGGGCTAGCCCTTCTTGTAGGTCTCACGTAAACAGCCCCTTAGTCAACTTTTTTTTTCAGGCCACTTTATCTTTCTCTGTCACTCTCATCCATATTGATAATGTGGTTGGTCTGTTAACTTTTTAGTTTCTATTTTATGCATATAGTGTAAAGACTTCTTAATTCTCTGTTTTTCATTCATCACTACCTACACTTGAGACATGTTATCTTAGTTTATATTTTAGATAGTGAAAAAACTGTTCTCGTTCTCTGTTGTTCATTCATTAATACCTTCATTGACAAACGTTATCTTTTAAGTAGTTTATATTTTAAATAGTGCAGAGACTGCTCTTTTTCTCTGTTCTTCATTCATCAAGTCAATACCTTCACAGACACACGGTTTATAATTTAGATAGTGTAAAATTGTTCTCGTTCTGTGTTGTTAATCCATCACTCCTTATGCCGGACACAAATTATCATAGTCTATTTTTTTGTAGAGTTAAAACTGTTCTTGCACTCTCTTCATTCATGTTTATCTATCGTTAACTTTAGCTACAAGGATGTGGTCAAAAATTTAGCTGCTATTCTAATCGAATGTCCCTCAGGTTAGTTTCTGAGAGATTTTACATGCTGATAGATTTTAACAAGAACAGCAATTACATGGTTAGTCTATTTGGAATTTCAGATGTCATCTTTTTCGTATATGTTTTATCAGTATCAAAGTCACCAGTCTACAATGAATAGTCAAAACGCCAACGAAAACTTTTTTGCTCAATACAGCATTATTTATAACCTGGGTTGTTTTATTCGATAATTTTGCCTTTAATTTGTCAAGAATTTTACATCATTGAAACATTTTTTGTGTAGTTCTTATGAGAAACTAAAAGCGTCTTGTAAAATCTCGTGAAAGAGCTTTTGTATCAAAAGTTGAGGGGCTCTGAAGTGACCTGTTGATTTCTAATTCAGACGTAAAGGAAGACTTGAGTATGCTTGAGTTTTCTTGGGACAAGTGAGCCGAAGCTGAATACAAGCTCCTACATCATGGTAAGTCAATAGTTCTTCATACTCTTCTCGAAATCAATTCGAAAATTGAAATATATTATGTCAATTGTTATGAAATAATTACATCCAATTCCAAAATGTAAATCATGACTTGTTTTAATTTCATCATATTAACATAAGATATTATTGAATTCAGATGAGTTTCCTTGATTACATTTGGAAACCATGTACAAATCTTTTAGTTTTTTGGTTTTACTCGATTTAAACTGCCACACTAGCCACTAGGTTTCGAACATTGAAAGTATATCTGCGTCCTGCAAGTGAGGGGGGATGACTGAACACCGAATTATTCATGTCGCCCACGAAATACTTTAACATGTGATAAATATATGTATTAGTAAAAATGTTTCTAAGGTTTCCCGTCGATGACAGTGTATTTCTCCGTGTTGTACAAATCTCTTTGTTGCGTATTGCAAATATATTTTTTTTCGAGACATGATACAACTGGTTACAAACATGGAAAACGGCGAAACGACACCAAAGAATTTGTCCAAAGTTGATGGCTTCTCGTTGGAAATGAACTCTGTTTCTCCTGCTCATCCTCAGCCTCAAACGTCTGTTGGTCCGACATGCGTTGCTTACGCGGTAGGAAAATTTGAAAATGCTCATATAAGCATATTTCAGGTTAGTGTTTTCTTACACGAAAGGATAATATACTACATGGTTACTAAGTGGTATTGTTGTAAACAACTTGTAATTGTTTTGCTGTTCGTATTTTAATTTATGTAACATTTGACGAATCATATTTGTATCAAATCTTGACTACTTATGATATAGCAAATAAATAGAAATTTAGTTTGTTGTTTGGGTTAGACCATCAGTCTCAAGTGTTTCTTCTGTTATAATAATTTCACTCTAATAACATATGTATTTATTAGTAGATGGCCAGCTAACTATATTTTCTCTTACCTTCTTTAAATGAAGTATTTAGCTTGTTAACAACATTTATTACTTATACTTTTCATAAATTTGGGCAGTAGAAGGTTAATAATCGAGAGGGCACATATTCATATGTATATTACATTAATTTCTATTGAAATCAACTTTTATTAATTCAGATTATATACTGTGAACTCATGAATGTGTCCCCCAATTATTAAGCCTTTGCCACTCTTAGTTTGCACTGCTAGATCACAAGTCTAATTTTTGAATAGGCAGCCAGAGATGGCCGACTTGAGATTTTAAAGAACAAACTTGCAAAACAGGGACGGGACGTAAACAAGAAAGATGGGTCAAATGCAACAGCCTTGCATTATGCTGTACGCTTCAATCACATTGAAATTGTCAAATACTTGATCAAGAAAGGAGCAAGTAAGTGTTTTATTCTTTTTATATCATCTGAAGCTATGTAAAAAGTTTGTCATTTGATTTAAGCAGCTATCCATCAAAGTAAAATTATATTGATGGTAAAACCATCCAACTCAAAATATTTGCTCATACAATTTACTGCTGATTTAAATTATGCTATCATTATTTTGTCTATATGGCTTAGAGTCAAGTATCATTATTTTGTCTATATGGCTTAGAGTCAAGTTTGTGGCAGCAGTTGATTGTCTTAGTTAATTTTACAATTTCTTTTTGCAGAGTAAACAAAGGATTAGTGATTGGGTTTTTTATCATGATAATCAATTTGAACTTACATAATTTATATTAGAGGTCTTTGTGGGCTCTTTAATAAGTTTTCATATTGTACATTAGTGTCCTCAAATACACTTATGCAGGTACCACAATTACCTTGTTTTTCAGATCCCATTATTTCTGGTGAGGATGGTGCCACACCCTTGCATTATGCAGCACGATATAAACCTGCGAATGTTTTGAAGCAATCAAAGTCAACTTTATCCCCTACTAATGTGACTATGGGAGATCACGACGAGTAAGTTAACATGTTTCTATGACATCATGTTTAAAAGATTCAGGAGCATTGGCTTGTGAGGCTAATATCATTTTAACTGTAGTCTTAAATAATTTCTTACTTTGTATGAATAAGCAATATTTGTAAAACTAACTCATCATTTTCCAAGGATTGTTTACTTATTTAATACATTTTCTTCATTAGAGATGAGAGCCCTAATGACAACCTACTTGATGAGGTGACACCCGATTTAGCAGATGGTTCGGTAGACAGTTCAGAATCCGTTTTACAATATCTGCTCAGAAAGTCACACTCAAATGTCAATTGTTCTGATAACTATGGTTCAACACCGCTACATTATGCAGCAAGCAGAGGTAACCCAAGATCTGTTGAGGAGCTCATCAAGAATGGCAAAGCTGATGTTAATGTAAGTTTGTCTCGGAGTTATTGACGGTTACAAATAATTTAGTCTTAGCTTTTAATTGCTTTCCATGCGTATGTTTTTTGCTAGGCACGAGACAAGCAACGCACAACCCCCCTGCACGAGGCTTGCAGTCAAGGTAATCCATTAGTGGTACGACAGCTAATTCAGGCGGGGGCGGGTATTTTATTGAAGGATAACGAGAGATTGACACCGTTGCACTACGCTGCCATGAATGAAAGACTTGATTGCGTTAAGACAATAGTTGATGCTGCTGAAGTTGATGGAGGATTAAACTTGGTGAAACAGATTATCTCTGAGGTTTGCACTAAGCATAATTACGTATATGCACATAAGATAATTATATCCTCGAATCATAATTGTACGCACCAAGAAAGCTCATGCACGAAGAATAATTGTATGCACGAAGAAAACTCATGTACGACTAATAATTATTCACGAAACATGATTATATGCACGAAGCATGATTATTGGCACGAAGCATGATTATAGGCACGAAGCATGATTATTGGCACGAAGCATGATTATTGGCACGAAACATGATTATATGCACGAAGCAGGATTATTGGCACGAAGCATGATTATAGGCACGAAGCATGATTATTGGCACGAAGCATGATTATTGGCACGAAGCATGATTATAGGCACGAAGCATGATTATTGGCACGAAGCATGATAACATGCATTTACAACTTCTTGACTTGCAACCATTCTCTTGAGATTATCAAACAATGTTGCTAGCCCACGTCGGTTGGTGCCAACAATAGCACTGATAAAATATTCTTTTGTATTATACCACCAACATGGCTGAATTGCAAGTCAAGAATTGTAAAGTTTTCAGCTCCAGTTAGTATAGTTTACAAACTAAGAGTTTTAGTTTCCTTAAAACACCCACCTCCTTTCCACATATATACGTATGTTTATATATGTTTCTAAGATTTTTGAAATAGTAGCGAGAGACTTGCCGAGCGGAAATCGAATTCGTGTGATAAAAATTAATGCCCAACATAAAGTTTTAATCAGAGCCATAGAAATAGACCAAAAATTGTAAAATGGAATTTATTGTGACAATAAATTCACAAAACGAAACGTCACAATAAATTCAATTTTACAATTTTTGGTCTCTTTCTATGGCTCTAATTAAAACTTTATGTTGTGCATTAATTTTTGTTACACGAATTTTTAAGATGTGTTTAATAAATCTCAAAGGTGGACCGAGAAGGCCAAACTGCTCTTCACATTGCGGTCGATGCTGGTGCCAAAACGACGACAAAATATTTACTGTCGAAAGGTGCGGAGGTGAACGCAGTGCGTGTTAACATGGCGACTCCGCTACATCTCGCTTCAACGGCTGGCGACTATGAAACCGTTGAACTGTTAATCAAGTTCAAAGCCAATGTTGAGGCAAAGAATATAAATCATGAGACTCCTCTTCATAAAGCTGCATTATTCAATCATGTGGGCGTTATTAATCTGCTTCTTGATTCGTAAGTATGATGCTGTATATATGTTGTTTCACAAGTGTATTTAATGGGTGGAGGCTGTGCACACCCCTCTTGTTCTTTGTTATCGGAGAGTGTACACGGGCTGATAATGTTCTTATAAAATTTTAATATACCAAGTAACTAAGCAATTGTTGATAGTGTTTAATGAAGCATACTTCCAAAAAACTTCCCAATCTTTGTTTGAGAGTGACAGAATTTTATCAATGTTCTGCCATGGCATGGCATCATCCACCGAGTAGTCACCGAAATCTAACCTAAACTAGAGCATCTTTTCCACCCATCACCTGGTTTATATCCTTGGCCCATCTCAGTGTTTGCGCCTATCTTGTCAAACGTATTAATTATTGGGTGCATATCTGTTATTCTGAGGGTTTGAGATTTTGTTAATTTTATAGTAAAGCTAACATAGAGAGCAGAGATAAGGACCATTACACACCATTGCTAGTTGCTGTTGCTCAGGGAAACAAAGATGCAACGGATGCCTTGCTGAAACGCGGGGCAAATATTCGTGTCGTCGACAGTTCAGATAAAACAGTCATATTTATCGCAGCCGAGGAGAATTGCTTGGACATTATGGAGGTATTCATACTTAGATCTAATGTTGTGTTCAAATTTCGTTTTATGTCATGTTAGATTCTTCAGAGTAATCTGAAATGAGAACTTAAATTCTTCTTGCCTTTGCCTTCATTCCAGTTAATCTTTAAATCTCCCACGAAAAAAGTTTAGTAACTACGTATTGAGAATAAGTGTTTGCAATTAGTGTTTGTATTGCAAATTCCTCTATGGTATTGTTTACTTTATCTCTGTGATCTGTAACACCCGTATTCTAAATACTCATAATTTATATTTTCAAAAACTTCTTGCGAGGCACTAAAATGTTTTTGGCGGGTAATTTCGTGAAAAACTGCCTGCAGCGCTTCCTGATAGTTGGGTTATACTCCAGCCCCGGTTAATAGGCAGTTGAATTTTTCGATACTCATTCACTCTTTTAGATATTGGTGCATCACCCAAAAGCAAAATCCTTACTAGAAGAAAGCAACAAATATGGAAACACCCCCCTTCATATTGCTGCAAAGAAAGGATTTATTAACGTTGTGAGAGTAAGTAAATTATGATGTTTGACCATCGATATGCTTTTAACACTTTATAAACGTATTTATTTGGTTCTATACCCTAGCTTTTACTGTCTAATGGTGCTGTTATCAATGCTTTCAACTTGGAGGAACGGACAGCTTTACATTTGGCAGCTGCCAGCGGAAAAGAAAAGTGTGTATTTTCTTCTTCTTGTGTGTGTACATAACATCGTTGTGTCGTAAAAAATTTATCTAACGTGATTGGTGAAACAAGTCATCGAGATCTAGATAAAATTTTGAAACTTGGCCTTGTATAAACATCATAGTTCTGTTATTTTTACTGGAAATAATCTTGATTTAGAAACCGGAGTAATCTGATTTTGAAACCTCAGTCCTTATACACTCTAGTCTATTGTCTTCATCAGGAGTTATCAGTCCTTAAGGTTCTTATATACTCCAGTCTAATGTCTTTATCAGGAATGATCCATTGCTGTTATATGATCCAAGTTTGTTTCTACATACTGTATTCTGTGTCTAGGAATTACTTTAAATAATTATATACTGCAGTCCGGTGTCTTCATATGGAAGAATTGAGACATTAATCATGCTTGAAATATCTCAGTGTGTGTGTTGTCTTTTTCTGTAGCATTGTCAAAGAGTTAATGCTCAAAGATGGAACTATTATCAACGATGAAGACGCTGACTCCAATACAGCTCTTCACTTGGCATCGACCTATGGCCATTATCGGGTTGTGGAAGCCTTACTAGATAAAGGAGCTATCATTGATGCAAGGTCTGTTATGTGACATTAGCTTGTGTTATTTTGAGAAGGGAAATTTGGTTTAAAATCTTTCGGAAACAGGGAATGTTTCTTCGAAGCTTCCTAATTTACTCACACTCTCCGATTGATATTTTTGCTTTATTTTTTATAACAAAGGAAATACGCTTATAACCAACGTACGAACATCGTTATAATTTTCATCCCAAAAAACAAAACTCACGTGATTATTCTTTTCACAAAAATAACATTAAATTTCCCAACAAAACTGTGAAACGAAATATTCTGTAGACAGTGATAATTTTAAACGCTTTCATATTTTCTCTATCATCACGTGAATCTCCAACTGCTAATATACGTACAGGCACCTCACCATGGGTAGTCACCTTAGTTTTGAAAAGGCGAATATTGAATAAATATCCCACGAGATATATGTTTACGTTACCAGGTGATCGTACTTTGTTCTCCTGGGTCACTAGTGCTCTTAATTTATTATAGAAATCAATATGCTTGGACACCGTTAGATTGCGCGGCCTCTCGAGGTTGGACCAAAACTGCAATGGTCTTGATCGAGTTTGATGCTCCCATTGATCCAATAGACAAAGCCAGAGTAAGTAAAATTGTACAGACAGCATTTTGTTTCTTACCACAAAGAAGTTGAAAGTGCCGTGTCACTGCGGACACATTCAGATAATTAGATAAGCCATTTGTATCAGTCATGTAGCTACATGTTCTTTTCCATATTAAGCTGTGTTAAGAGTTGTGGCAAGTCAGCCCGATTATTTATTTCCTACATAATATGCTATTTTTTGTGTTTCCTCACTGTGAAAGCAATAGATTTATAAAGAATTGAATAGTGATATTCACAATCATCTGAAATTCACATAGCCTGAGTGGCTGGCTTTGCTACTGGCTTAAAGCAAATTTGTTTGACTAGGTTTACGTGTGTAATGAATTTAAATAATGTTAAGGTGACTCCTCTTCATCTTGCTTCAAAATCTGGTCATGTGGATATGGTGAAATTATTATTAAATTATGGTGCTGAGGTTAGTCTACAAGATTCTACTGGAAGAAATGCATTGGATATGGCCATTGACGAGGGACACAAGTAAGTATTTATGGATTTGAAGTGTAAATACAGTTCGTCCCCTACTAGATTTTTTAGCCATTAATGAATCTGGAAACATATGCTGCATACTATCGTTTATTTTAGAGCGTGTGCGTTAGAAATCCTGAGCCGAGAAGACTGGCGCAGAGCCATGCGCAGTCGTTCTGTTGAAAGAGGGGTTATAACGACACCACTGCGAAAAATGATTGTTAAAGAACCAGGTTTGTTTCTATAATGTCGCATTTCTTTTTATTTCGCAATAAATTCTGCAACCAACACTTCAAACTATTCTATCTTCGTAGATGTAGCTGAAATCGTATTTAACAAATGTACCACGCTCGGTAATGATTTAGCGGAAAATCATGACTTCGAAGTCAAACTGGACTACGAGTTCTTGGAAGATATTTACGCAAATTGGCCGGAAGTCGTAGACGATGATGTCAGTATTGCTAGTGATATGAAGCCTCTATTTGATCATTCTGAATCAATTTCTGGCGATGATGAACAGAACGAGGAGTTTAGAGCCATTGGGATGATGCCGGATGATGATATATATCGAGATTTGGAACGAAAACGAAATCATCCTCTTATGTTGATGGTATAACACACCATGTGCACTTTATAGAACACTCTAGCGCTCTTTAGTAGCACTGTTATGTCTTTTAATGACACTCTAACACCCTCAAAATATCGTTTTGTGTTGAATTTATTGTCTTACCATCCAACTGTAGGTAGAACATGGTCGAGAAACTCTCATTTCACATCCGCTGGTCGTATTTCTTCTTGATCGAAAGTGGAGCATGTATGGGCGAATTTTGTTTTACTTAAAGCTTCACTTGTTTCTTTTCTTTCTTGCCTTTCTCACTGGTTATGTTATCATGACAACTCCTTCTAAATTTGGTGTGAAGTTGAATGGAAAGTTAATGAATTGCACAATCACTGAAGACAACGATAGTTTAGCTTTTGACGTTTTCGTCGAGAAAGGACGTTTCATACTTCTTATCCTGGCTTGTGTGCACCTTTTATTTGAGGTAAGAGTGCTCTAAGTCACATTGTTGTTTGAAATGTTAGGCAAGTTTAACCTAGTTACTCTCTCACGGGTAAGAAGTTGCTAATGCTACTGTAATGTTGATGTACAGTGTGTTAGTGTAGGTTAGGGATGAATCCACGGCGGTTTTGTAGGCCTCTCCAGCACCCTCTATAACCAAGCTAAGAGGGGTGCGCACACCGCTACTAAATCTTTCCCTGATGTAGGTATTGTGATAAATAAACAGCAGAGAACGAGGATAGTGTTTACTCTACCTAAAATATAAACTAAGATAACTTGTGTCAGTGTAGGTAGTGATTAATGAACAACAGAATACGAGAGCAGTCTTTACACGATCTAAAATATAAACTAAGATAACGTGTGTCAATGTAAGTAGTGATGAATGAACAACAGAGAACGCGAACAGTCTTTACATTACATAAAATAAAAGCTAAGATAACGTGTGTCAGTGTAGGTAGTGATGAATGAACAACAGAGAACGACAACAGTCTTTACACGATCTAAAATATAAACTAAGATAACGTGCGTCAGTGTAAGTAGTGATGAATGAACAACAGAGAACGAGAACAGTCTTTACACTACCTAAAATATAAACTAAGATTACATGTGTCAGTGTAGGTAGTGACGAATGAACAACAGAGAACGACAACAGTCTTTACACTACCTAAAATATAAACTAAGATTACATGTGTCAGTGTAGGTAGTGATGAATGAACTACGACAAGAGTTTATAATATTTATACTTTGTTTTCAATTCATTTTCTGCTTAATACAGTTGATTCAAATGATATACCAGCGTTGGAGTTATATCACCGATTATACCAATTACTTTGAATTGGGAGTGTATATTTCAACTATTGTATATGTTGGTGCTGATTTTGACCTTTCCTTTGTTGATAAATCACTGACTGGACAAAGGTACTGTTTTAAACAATCTTTAGTTTCTCTATACCAATGGATATAAGGCTATCCGAGCTACAAGCAACAGGCCTTTAATGATTTTGCTCCTTTTTAATCTCAGTGTTATGACGTCATGTTTTTCACCAACAGTTGCAGCTTATGGCGTGTCAATGTTGGTGCTATCGCAATATTTCTCGCGTGGATCGTGTTGGTATTGTTTGTGAGAAAATTTCCAATGTTTGGCATTTACATTGTGATGTTTCAAGATATTTGTCTCACTTTTCTACGATTTTCAATTATTCTTGGTCTTTTCACCGTTGCTTTTGGCTTAGCGTTTTATACCATGCTTCATCGACACTGGGTATGTTAAAATGTCAGAAAATTGTGAGTTTACTCCTTTTGTTTTACCCTTTGATCATGTCTTTAGGTGAGTTAAGTTCTTAGAGATTTTATAAACACTTGCTTTCCTATATAATCTTTCTAGTTACCCATATAACTTTTGATGTTATGTCTTCAAAATAATGAGCTTGAAAAGAAAGTTTGAATTTACATGAAACTTTTAATCAAAAGTTGAGACACAATTATATTACTGCTCATGCTTGTACATATATTAACTGAAAATACATTCTTCGAGAGAAATAAACCTATCGAAATAGCTTATGATGTTGTCATATTAAGTACTAAAAGCAATATTGGTTATTTTGTACTAGTACTAGTTTACAATGCTGTGGTGTTTATCTCCTATTTATTCCAGAAATTATTTAACTTTGGGTATCATATAGTCAATGGGACTTTAAAAAAGCAATCGCGTATTTTTTGTATTATTTTGATGCCTTTTCTTTAGACCAAGCCCTTCAGGACGCCTGCTCTAAGTTTACTGAAGACTTTTGTGATGGTGTCTGGCGAGTTTGAATACGATTCTGGTTTCAGTGACAACGAAGATTTCCCTTTCTTTTCTTACGTACTCTTCACTCTCTTCATCGTAGTTATGACGATACTTCTCATGAATTTGTTGGTATGTATTAGTATACAATTTCTATGCATTTTTAAATAAAACCAGAACTTGGAATAAAATTTAATGTTGGAAGGAATAACTTAGTTTTTTTTGCCTCCCAAGATCATTGCATTTTGAAATGTCTTCTAGGAAATCATCGTCTTTGGAGACATCTATTTTAGTTCAAATCATTGTTCAGCGTTCATTAAAACTTACTCTCCCTTCTTATCCATCTTTATCAATTTTTTTCTTTATTTAGGTTGGTCTTGCTGTTGACGACATTAAAGAAGTACAAGCCCAAGCTAACTTGAAACGACAAGCTATGCTGGTAAAATAATTTCGTACTTCTATAGTACGCTTTACAGACCAAATGTTTCCTATAATAGATCTTTTGGTTATCTTATCTCCTTTTGATTGGACTTCATCATTTCGTTAATTCATATTGTGCTTTCATTTCAACTTCAAGCAATTTCGAATTGTAGCTTTCAATTTTTTTTATCGAACTGTTCACAGGTCAATTTTAAAATTTTCGTGTGTAAAAATTTGATAATTCTCATCTTTCTTCGTATTTATCCTCGCGATATTTGTAAATTATGGTCTTGCGAGATCCATTAAGAAATTGTTGTGTAATGTTTAGGTGGACCTCGCTTTAAATATAGAGAAGGCCTTTCCTCGTTTCATTCGTCGCAATATGATTCCAGACGTTGAAACACGACATCCAAACTGGTTGAGGGAAAGATTATTGAATTCCTTGGATGGGCAAAGTATTCGGGAAAGATTGCGTTTGGAAAAGGTTTGTTTTTTCAGAGAAGCGCATGACACATGGCCTGTTTTTACAGACAAGGTTTTCAAGCACTTGAGCAGGAGACTCGCCAAGTATATTCCTTAATCTTGCTCTTTTTTTTCATTGGTTTAAATTTTAAAACAATAATCTACTAAGTAGATTCTACTTCAACAAGAAAAGTCTGTCATTTATGGAAATCCGATCGATGATCTCTATACAATATATGAATCCAGAAGGAAGAATTGCATTTAACAGCTACGGATCAAAAACAAACACAAAAAACAAGGTTCATTTTAAATAACAGTAAGAATAGAAAGTGGTGTGAAACGTTTCGCATTATCTAATGCAATGATCGTTTCTGTGCAGATACGTGATGCAGATACGTTACATGTTATGCAGCCTTTTCGATCAACTGTGTTTTTGCAATCAACCTTAATATTTTTTAACTTTCATTTAGACGAGATGACTAATCACGTTTGATAGTTTTTATATTATCCCAAATTTAAAGACGCCATGAGCACTCTTCTTGAGGAATATCACCTCCTGCCTCGTATCTACAATTGCACTTGTTTCTTTTTTATTTCATGTTTAGACGCCATTCGAAAAGATAGAATCTAAGCAAGAAGAAACAAAAGAGACGGTTCGAAAACTAAAGGCTGACGTTAATCTACTGAACAGCCGTGCTGAAAAAATTGAAATGATGTTGACGGCAATAGTTCGTCATATGGAACTGACTATAAATGAAGACGAGTTGGACGAAGAAAATCTGTGACATTTAGGTTTGCCCAATAATGCTGCTCTCATACTCTTGACGAGTGAAGTGTTCATTATAGTGAAATTATATGTTTTTTACCATGTTTTAGAGACAACTTTCACTTTACTTCTTCACAAAATCGCAATTCCGGACAAGGGTAATCATGGTTATAAAAACTTACGATCTTTGTATTTGGTTTGAAGAGAGGTGATGACCTACAGGGTTAAGTCGGCAACAAACATGATTAATATTGCTGTCGTTTTCAAGGCATTGATGATGAAAGTGTTTAAGCTGGTACTATGACGTAAAAACTTCATTATCAAACTTGCAAAACGACAATTTGACATGAAAAGTTACAAAACAAGAAAAAATTATAAGGTTAATTTACATAGATTTTGTTATGGTTGTAAAATTATATGATGTGCACAAATACTTGACTTTACTGAATGGTCTCATCCCCTCAAGCTGTTAAAAATAGCTTAAATGTTGTAAATATTTATGAAGTAGTCTGAAAGTTGAAAATTCACAATCGATTGGTGTTTTGAATTTTGAATTCTAAACATAATATGCAATCGCTTGTTCAGATAATCGAAATAGTTATCTGCAAGTCGATGGTTGAGTAATTGCATCGACGACAAAGCCTATGAAAACGTATTACCTTTATTACTATACAATAAAATCATGCAAATGTTGATGTAGCATTGTTGCTTTCTGTATGAATTTTAGATCCAGTGGTGATAGTGCATCATTGAGAATATTGGAACGTTTAATTTTTTGCTAGCTTTGACTTTGATGCTTCATGCATAGTAACTTTGTGCTGGTTTTTATATGGTTTTTAATTAAGAGGTACCCGTATACTCCAGATACCAATAGAGTTCACTGGGACACCGTGATAATTTATGCAAAATTTAATCACAGTCAGTCTTTAAAAATTTTAACTCTAACCAATTTCAATGAAAGAGCATGCTTCATAATGTTAGCGACAGTTTTTATTATCACTTCTTTATGACAAGATATAATAGGGTGAAATGCCAGCCTTTTGCACAAAATGTCGTGGTAGAGCCTTGCTGAAGAGACCTAAGACGGTAAGGTTGCCTTTAGCTTGAAAAATGTGGGTTATGTAATGTTGACTTAATAGTTTCTATTGAAGCTGAAAGTTATTTCATTTTAAAAACAAAGGGAGAAGCGTTTTGCAAGGAATGTTTCTATGATGTATTTGAAAGTGAAATTCACAAGACGATAGTAACAAACAAGCTATTCAAAAAGGGTGAACTTGTTGCAATTGGTGCTTCTGGTGGGAAAGGCAAGTGTCTTCTCTGAAAATGGGACACGTGATGCAAATATCTTTATGCCATGTTGACCTCAGGCAGTTGGTTACTACTCACAATTACATCCATCATTTTCAGACTCAACAGTGCTGGCTTATGTCTTAAAAACCCTGAATCAGAAATACAATTATGGATTGAATTTGATACTACTTTCTGTTGACGAGGGTATAACTGGCTACCGAGATGATTCCTTAGAGGTAAATTCATATAATGCTGATAAAGAAAGTTGTTAAGAGTTTGATGAAAGTTGACCTATTTGCTTGATTCCTATATGTGATTAAAGTAGCGAATTTTTTTCAAAGGAAATCAGTTGGGCCAAATCCAGACTGAAAAAATTTCAAAACTGTGCACCTGAGATTCGAAATTTGCATGCATAGTAGCCCAGTTTTCTCAAAACAATGTACTCAAGATCTTGGGTGTATCGTGCAAATTACAAACCTACAAGGCAAAACTGAATATAATATTTACTAAACACTCCTCCCCCAGTCAGTAATCTTGGGATAACCATTGCCATCCAATTTTAACAAATCTTTTAAGATCTCTCAAATTAATTACAAAAGCCCTGTCAAATATGTTGTAGGCTTTCAAGATTTCTATTTTATTTAGACTGTAAAAAGAAACAAAGATCAGTACGAACTTCCTTTGAAAGTCATCTCGTACAAGGTAATTTTCCCTTTCTTTTCTGCCTAGTTTTTGCTCATTGTTATGATTGAATAACCAATTTAAAAGAGTAGACAGATTTATTGTGCATGTTGCAATAAAGATAGCAATGAAGCATTGAGAAACAAGCTATTTGTGTTGAAGATATTTTAATGGTAAAATTTTGGTGCTTTATGTGGTATTTGGTTTACCACAATGTAGTCAAATGCAGTCGTAGATAATTTATTGAATCACATGTTTCAAAGCTGTTTTATGTATTGCACAGTTTAGTGGAGCAATTATATGTAAAATTACCTTCAACATTTCTTTTCATAACTTATGAATTCTTGCTAATCCACATACCTGCATGCTACAGTAAGTTGAAGATCATCTTAACATGAAAAGAATCAAAGTTTATGTAAAAAATTAAAAAAGTAATAATTCAAACGTTCTCTTTGTGTGGAATTCTTAACAAGAATTTATTCCATTGTTGGATTGCATAAGCTTGGCTCTTTGGGAAAGCATCAATCAAGTTAGATAAATTGAAAATGATGCATTTTATAAAATCAGCAATTTTCACATGAATTCACCCGGGAATGTAACCCCAAAAAGTAATATTTACTATAATATCTTTTTTTAAGTCTATAATATCTTATACTTTTAGGAGCTTTATGGTTGGTCGATGGATGATATTGTGAAACAGATTGGCTTGAAGAATAATTGTAATGTTTTTACTATGGAGTTGAAATTAAGCAAGGTTATAGAGCATGGGCTGGTCTTTAGACCATGGAGTCAGAAATTATAACAAATGCATATAGAAAGAGTGTAGGGCCAAGAGAAAATTTTACAGTCTAAAGCAAGATAAAGTGCATAAACAATGCAAGAAAACTATAGAACAAATGCATAGAGAATAGGTGTAGACACTACAGCAAGAGTAAACAAAGCTAATGTGCAGCAAAGAATGTTGGGAAAATGAAGTAATGAGACATTGAGACTCAAACAACAAGCTTTTTCTTTTTTTTTGCAGTCCTTAAGTAAACATGTTTCACTTAAAATCAAGCCATGTTCAAATGAACTAATCATTTACAAATTTGAATATAAAATAATAAAATATGATTAATGTGAGGGATGTAATTGATGACTTGCATTATCAACATGGAAAAGAGTAAAATAACTGGAAAACAGTGTTGAAATGTTGATTTTATAACAAAAGTTTCTAAGAATCAAGTTTTATAGTGGGGTCATAGAAAAAAAAAGATGAATGCATGTAGTTTGGAAGGTTAGAGTGTGAGGAATAGAAAAAAAAGCATGAATATAATCAAGAACTTAAATTTTTTCTTTTAATTTTACTTACTATTAGGTACATTCTGTGGTGTGTTTCGTCGTCAGGCCCTGGATCGTGGAGCAATGATGTTGAAAGTGGACAAAATAGTTACTGGTAATCATTATTAATCAACCGGTCAGTGTTTGCTAAGTCACAATACTGCCCAATCCCATTTAGCTGTAGCCCATAATTGTTATAGATTTGCATTGCCGATAGAATTACAACCAGTACCTCCATATGGGAGGAGCTAGGCTTAATAAATTAAGAGAAAATATTTATTTCAAGTGGAGGGGATTGTTGTAATTGTAGTAGAGGTTGAGCCAGAGTTAAGTTGTGCTATAGCTACTTTGTCTGCTATTAAATTACAACACTTACATGGCACATTCTTGTTTAGCTGTAATTGCTGTTTGACCTTGATTGCCAATAAAATTACAACAATATGAGAACTAGGCTTAAGAGTATTCAACATCTTTTAGCAATAAATTTTAGTTGGGTTTTTTTGCAACCTTACCCTTCTGTCAAATAAAGGTTGTTGTGCTAATTAGCATTTGTCTTTTTACTTTACGGAATAATGAGTTTAATTAGTAAGTCAATTTGCTTAATGTTTTGGTGTAGGTCATAATGCTGATGATATTGCTGAAACAGTTATCATGAACAGTTAGTAGACACTTTCTTGAACTTGTGCTTATCGTTAAAGATTTTTATCAACTCAACTTTCCACTTGCTATTTGTTAGTTTTACGAGGTGATATTGCCAGGTTACAACGATGCACAGCCATTACAACAGTGAGTACATCATATTTGAATATTTGTTCTGCATTAGTCGTATAGGAGTGTAATGTAAGACTTTCTCTAATCATCTATTGCGTGAGAGTCTCTCATCATCATACATAGCCATGCATCCATAGAATGGGCATCCGAGAATGGTTGTCCATAAAATTTACATTCACAAATTGGTCATCCAAGGAATGGACATATCGGGATTGAACATTGGGCATTTCAGGATTGCACATCAATTTAATGATTATCCAAAAATAGACATTCAAGAAATGGACATTCACGAAGCATTCTGACCATGATTGTTATTGGTACATGTTTGTAAATGTAGATCGTCCAGGTTGGTATAGTCCTGAGAAGGACTGTTTTTGTTGTTGTTGACTGACGTTTGACAACCTTAACGGTAGCTATCTTCATATTTTTTTTTTGACTCTGAAGATGACTACCGCTAAAGTTGTCGAAGCGTCAGTCAACAACAACAAAAACAGTCCTTCTCAGGACTATACCAACCTGGACGATCTACATTTACAAACATGTAACGATACTCCCGGGTTCAGACCATTTACTTTATTGTTTTTGGTATGACCAATCATGATATGGCTATTCGTGGAGTGACCATTTATGGTATGACTATTCATGGTATGATCATTTACTGAATGGTCATTTATTAGACAACCATGCACGACATGAACAGCTAATCCCGAAAGCGATTTTTCCGTGCGTAAAACATTGAAAGCGGTTTTACGGATGGAAGTACTTTGCAAAAAAATTGTGTTCGGGTGAAAGGAATTTTGTCTTCTCACCTAGGGAACTGAAGGAGCTATTCCTAGATGCAAGCCACTGAAATACGCTTATGAGAAGGAAATAGTAATGTAAGTATTTTTATATGTACGTCAGCTGTTTAGTTTTGTAGTAAGGAGTTGCTTTTATTGCCTCGATTGCTCGGCGGTTTACTCGCGATCTTTCCTCGAAATGTCGTATTGTTTGCAACTTGTTGTCCAGTTTACCTAAAATATATTCAACACAATTTTTTCTCAATTTCCAATTTGTCAACTGTTGTTTGACGAGTACGCGGTTTTGCTAATATTCTTGATTATACTTTCTGTGTGTTATTTACAGGTATGCATATTTTAAGAAGCTGGATTACTTTTCCACAGAATGCATATACTCTCCAAATGCCTACAGGTATATAGGTGGTTTTTTTTAGATATTTTTCAAAGATAGTTTTCATTGGTCGTTTTTTTAGTCAGTTTTCTTAGATATTTTTCATACATGTTTTCATTGGTGGTTTTCTTAGTTAGTTTTCTTATGTAGTTTTCATAGATAGTTTTCATTGGTAGTTTTCTTAATTAGTTTTTTTAGATATCTTTCACAGATAGTTTTCATTGGTGGTTTTCTTAGTTAGATTTCTTAGATATTTTTCATAGATATTTTTCATAGATATTTTTCATAGATGTTTTCATTGGTGGTTTTCTTAGTTAGTTTTCTTAGATATTTTTCGCAGATCGTTTTTATTGGTGGTTTTCTTAGTTAGATTTCTTAGATATTTTTCATAGATATTTTTCATAGATATTTTTCATAGATGTTTTCATTGGTGGTTTTCTTAGATATTTTTCATAGATAGTTTTCATTGGCGGTTTTCTTACGTAGTTAATTTTCTTAGGTAGATTTCATAAATAGTTTTCAAACAAGGATTATCTGTAGAATGTCTGCTTCACTTTATAACCTCGTTCGCAGAGTCGTTTATTAGTTTTTGAGGAACGAGAAAAGGACGTTCCTCAGTAAGAAGAAAAGGACCCTGGGAACGAGTTTGCCTATCTACTCTTTTACCAAAGTATCAACATGTCGCACACCCTAAACGATTTTTAAAGCGCTTTCATCCTTGCTTGATTATCATGGATTAATTCTAGTTTTATCGCAGTGACATTTAACAAAATTAATTTAGGGGATATGCTCGCACGTATTTAAAAGATTTGGAAAAGATTCGACCTAGTTCTATTATAGGTAAGATGGGTCTTTTGATATTGGTATATTGTCTCTTTCGCATAAATTTGTTGAATTTTTGGAGAATTCTTACTCGAAGAGTTGGCGACGACTCATGCGCAGTAAAATGAAAGAGACGTACAAATTTGCTGAAAACAACTTTTGAAATAAAGAAAGCATGCTTATCTATTAATGATTTTTTTATACCTTCGGCCCATGTTTCCTTGCTAATTTTCCCGACATGCACCAGTCTTAATAGTAACCTTCCTTACCCACGACTCAAGCAGTCACAAACATGAGCATGTGAACATGTTTGTTTAAAAAGACTGGGATTTTGTGTAAATTTATGATTAAATGTGTTAATACACGGGAGAGATGGCGCCATTTACAAACGATTTCTTAACAATAGAGTTCATGTAAATCACTCCTCCTAGTTTGAATATCTATTTTCACTGTCAAAATGTGACTCCTTCATGGAAGAATGCTGTATGCAAAGTTCTGCTTTCATATTTAATGGAAGTGAAAAGCTTATCAGTTACATAGGCTGTGCCAAAATATAACGCAACAATTTGGTGGACATGGTCATCCATCTCTTTCACCTCCAAGTGTGCATGAAAAACTTCAACACGATGGGGGCTCATGATGGGTGATGGACATGGTTATCCATCTCTTGCACCTCCAAGTGTGCATGAAAAGCTTCTAAACGATGGGGGATCATGATGGGTGATGGACATGGTCTTCCATCTCTCTCACCTCCAAGTGTGCATGAAAAACTTCAACACGATGGGGGTCATGAACGGTGATGGACACGGTCATCCATCTCTCTCACCTCCAAGTGTCCATGAAAAGCTTCAGCACGATGGCGGGTCATGATGGGTGATGGACATGGTCACCCATCTCTTGCACCTCCAAGTGTGCATGAAAAACTTCAACACGATGGCGGGTCATGATGGGTGACGTCTAAGCTGTTGGCTCTGTAATTTCACCAATGTTGACATTTGGGAAAATATGTCATCTTTGGGATGATTACAACATCCCCGTATATGTATTCTAAGAATGTTTAGAAAATATTCCCAGTATACTCACTCAATTTAACGCCCAATGCTTGTAACTTCACAAATTCAAACCCATTTACGTATGATCATTGTTATTTTTTGCGTTTGAAAAATGTTTCTAGATATCATCCATTCAGGTGAAAGTCTATCAGTGAAGGATGACGTGAAAATGCCTGTGCAAGGCACTTGTGCAAAATGTGGATATATCTCTAGTCAACCTTTATGTAAAGCGTGCGTCTTACTGGAAGGACTAAACCGTGGTCTTCCAAGGCTTGGCATTGGCAAAAGCAACAAAACTAAGGTACTCTTTGACGTTTGATGGTAAGGGTTGTCGGGAAACATTATGTTCTTTAACTTCCACGTAAACACGCAACATTATTGTGAACTTTCCTGTTCATTAACATTTTTTATCTACAAAATTTTTCGACTACATTTGTTCTTGTACCTATATTCTTATTGAAACTCGTTAAACACCACGTACGTCATTTCAGTACTAATTTAGGGTATGTCAAAATACATTACTGCTGCTCGTTTTTGGACAAATTTACCTTTTCAGACACCTTACAGTGAACTCACTTGATAAACTGTTGTTCTTTAGAATTTTTTAAATAGCTAAAGTGAATTTCTTAAGGTATTTTGAGTTGAAAATTGAGCAGCTATAATTTGTTTTGACAAACGTTAGCTCTGCAACTGTGTTATTCGTGTATTTACTGCTATTTATAACATCTACATACGTGATCAGCGACTACATACGTGATCAGCGACTACATACGTGATCGGCGAGTACGTACGTGATCGGCGACTACATACGTGTATTGACGACATTCATTCCTTTTATACTTTTATATGTTTTGAAAACATGTCTACTGAATGAACATTTGTTACAATCGTTATTTGAAAACGTTTCTAATGATAATATTCCTATTCCCTAAAGATAACATCGTATAGATATCGGTTACTGAAAAAATCCTTATACTGATTAAATTTCTAGATTCGGGATCTCGTGAATTCAATCAACGAACTCAAGACATAGGCCCAGGCAAGACAAAATTGGAACTGTTGCTTGGTATTGAAGATTTTTTCTTGGTTATTTTAATAATATTTGGTTGGTACATGCGTTGCTCCGTACCTTTTATCACGCGAAGGCATGTTTTAATCACAATTACGAATTTCACAACACAATTTACAATGCATAGTTTATGCACAAGGACGCGACGATAGTCACGATACCTAGTGTACGTAGGTCCCAATAAATGTAGGGTCAGTCATCGAAATCTGGTTCACGCGAAAATCATTTGAATGAAGCCGATTTATGTTGCTTCAGGTGCCGAATGCCTTTCAACACGTTACACGTTAGGGATACATGTTGTTTTTTATGGAGTTTTATTATTGCCTTATGTTTCGGAAAGTTTTTTGTTTTGTTCACCTGCATAACCAAAAACTATTTTTAAGCAGTTGGCCAATTTCACTTGAGAACAAAGCAAACAAAAAGCGATATTTCTGTTTGCTAATTTTCGTTTAAATTAACTTCATCGCCGTATTTCCTAATTGCATCTACTGCCCTAATTTTTTCTAGGTTGGTGTGCCTTTTAGCCCATCATTGACGTTATAAATTTTCTCTAAAGAACTTGTATCTACATTATAATTATGAAATACTTCCTGATGTACGTGTTGTGCATACTTTATATCAGCAATACGATGTTTTTAAATTACTCATGTCACATCGCGTGCCATACTTTGCTAAGAATATCTTAATGTTTTTATCTTTGACAAACTCCAATGGTTTAAGGCCGTCGTTCGTTGTGGCTTTCATGTCTGCTCCGACTGTCATGAGGTATTTTGCAATGTCGTACTGCTTCGTTGCCGTTGCGAAATGCAGCGCTGTCCAGCCATCGTTATCTTTAAGATTCACGTCAGCTCCTATTTCCACAAGAGTTTTCACAAATTTCATGCTTCCAGCATGAACAGCTGTGCACAAAGGCGAATGCCCGTACTCGTTGAGCGAATTCACGTCATATAAATGTCTTTCGGAAAGAAAATGTTGAATTTCTTCGTCTGTATTATTCCCTGGTATGGTCTCGTTTATTATCAAATTCTGTGGAAACTGTCGTTTTTTATTTTCTGTGCTCATTACATACGAAATGTCTTGTCGCATAATTACGTTTTTCTGATGAACGTATGCCGGTAATACTATTAAGTTTCAATCATTTTCAACGATGATACGAGTCGCGACCTGTTCCTTTTTCTTAGAACAATATTGTTGTTGCATTATAGAACGCTCATAAAGACGCAAATTACAAATTTAAATTAAATGCCATGTTTGCATTCTTTTTGTTCCATTTGAGTTGCAATTAAAATAACAATACCATTAGATTCTTTTTGTACGTAAGCCAGACACCTGCAAGTCCTTCGATAAAATTAATGAACTCAGAAAGTTTGTCCTCACGATTTCTGCGGCGCACACGCGTCCTTACCCTTAGGGATGGATATAATTAATTTTGGATATATTAATTGATTTATCATAGATGGGATGCTACCGATGACAAATAAATGATGATAAATCAATGGAGAAATTTCTTTAGTGGTTTATTTACCAGTACGATAGCGCTACATGTTTGCAACTTAGCAACATGTAGCGCAATTGTTTGTTTTGTTGATGAATGAACCACGATTGCTTAAAAGGCTGAATCTCGTATATAAGCCATTTTTGGTTACTGCGAGATGGACGCATGATGGATGAAATGATTTGGTGTGCATAAAAAAGTAGAGACACTTGTGGATTTGCTGTATCTCAAGGGACTCTTTTCTAGAAAGCTTTCCTGCACGTCGTTAATCCCATTTTATCCCACAATGCACCTGTGGCGTAGCAACATAATTCACAAGCACAAAAGCTAATGATTTGAACAATCACGTTCTCGTTTCATCTTAGCGGTTCATATTTTAAAAATGGACGAATTTCAAAATTCAGAAGAGGTAAAACTGTGTTAATAGAATGCTTTTTTATTGTACGTAATCTAAGAGTTCTCCTTTCATCTAGACAACGTTCGTCGTCGATGAAGTCAGCAATATTATCAAGGAGGTATTATTTTAGAAAAACGTCTTTGACATGTTTGTTTTGCGTTTATTTCATCCTCCCACGGTCAATTTTGTTTGTAAGCAAAAAGTTTACTAAAAATAGGCTCAGTGGTTTCATTCTGTTTTAAAGATTTAGTCGAACTGTTCTTGACTAACGTTTGTTGTTATGTTATATAACAGTCAGTGGAGGGGGCCATTGGTGGAAATGCATATCAGCATAACAAAGTCAACCAATGGACTTCAAATGTTGTGGAGCAATGTCTTAATCAGTTGACAAAACTGGGAAAGCCTTTCAAATATATTGGTGAGTTTTTTCCTAAAATTCCCTAACCTGACCTCAAAGTCCACCAGGTATATTTGTAAGAAATGTTATGAAAGTGTTATCAACAATTAAACATGACCATTGTGAAATGTTTTAAGTGGTGACAGGCTCTTTGGGAATCAGACTAAAGTTATTTGTATTTTTTATCTTATGTAAATGTTTACGCTTATTTAGTTACATGTGTCATCATGCAAAAAAATGGGGCTGGTCTACATACTGCAAGTTCATGTTACTGGGATAATGCAACAGATGGTAATGTATCCATGTTATATTCATGAAAAATACTTTAAGCCTGTTATTCAGGGGCAAATCAATGCTCATTTGACAGGAGGGGTGCAAATTTTTCAAGGGCCTTAGGTTGTAGTGGATTTTTTTGTAAAACTTTTCATTTCAAAGGCAATTACATATTTTATATCTCCACAACTTGCAATTGAGTATTACTATGCTCGCTTTCATTGAAACATTAAATTTGAAACAAATTACTAAACATGCATTTATCATGCATTTAACATGCATTTACAAACAAACAAACAACATTTGTATACCGGCCAGTATTAATCCCCGCCAGGGGGGTCCATGAACTTTTCTATGCCAAATGTCTCTATCTCTCGCCATATCTCTCGTTATACCCATCACCTTCATATCACTGTTCACAGCATCCATCCATCTCTTTCTCGGTCTACCTCGTTTGCGGACTCCATCAACATTCATATGCAACGTTCTACGAATTTCAGCACTTTCTTCCCTCCTTTCCACATGCCCAAACCACCTCAAACGCTGGTGCCTTACCCAATTCTCGATACACTCAACACCAACTCTTTCTCTAATCTCTTCACTTCGAATCCTATCCATCAACGTTACACCACACATCATCCTAAGCATTCTCCTTTCCGTTGACGCCTTTAACATGCATTTAACATGCATTTATCATAAACATGCTTTTACTTCTTATTACTGTACAATTTCATAGCCTCTATTACTGTTAAATTAATCATCTACAGTATGCTATACCATTTTAGAATTTTTTTGCACTGGGGTGCTAGAGAAGTTTTGGGTGGAGAATTTCCTGCACCTTTCCAGAAAGTCTGCCCCTGATATTATTTACTGTTAATTTGATTCCTGGTTTTAATCTACTTACCATCCTCAATTGATTTTGTTCATTATTGACAGGTAGTTGCACTGTACGATGGGAAAACAAGACAATGTATTGCATTGTGAGTGTGTTTGGACTGTCAATCTAATAGAAAATTCCCTTTCATGTAGTTCTCCTTATTTATCCTTTGTGTGTTGTACTTTTATTTCAAGTTCATAGGTCATGTTCTCTATCACTGATGTATATAAACTACTTTATTAAATTTATTAATTAAATTCAATTTTGTTTCAAAAATTTGTTAAAATTTCTAGGCCTTGAAGAAGTATGGGAGAACTTTGATTTTTAGTGCTCAATTAACAGCAATCTGTTGTGAAGTTCTTCCTTCTCAATGGTTTAATTTCTAGCATTTTTCAACCTCCTTCCCACTTCCTTAGCGACGGTAGCGTTATCTTTCCCCAGAAATTGTTTCCACAAATAAATTTTCAGTGTTGTTAAATGGCAGATAAAAGTTAATCTATTTAGTAATTTATATTGTTAAAGTTAAACAAAACTGTAGGAAAGTGAGGACGTTTTGAATTTAAACGATTTTAAAAATGTCTTTTTTTATGAGTTTTGCGTTGACAATTTTTGCATGATTTCCGGCCATTTTTGTATTATCTCCCAGACTTCCAAATTTGCTCGTAATGACAGCATTTTGAAAATGTCGTAGTCCTCGATGTCACCAAGGTAAAAATGGTTGTGAATTTCTTGTAGTTCACTGGCATTCCTGCTTCCTATTTCGATGAGTTTTAGGGGGATAAATAGCTGGTGTTAAAAGGTGTCATCAAGTGTCTGAAATAGACACTCAATGATGGAAAACAACGAAAATTTATTCGCTTGTTCCAATTGTCATGGACGATTTTCATTCAATGAATTAAGCCGCAGTGAGCACCTTTGCAAGGTTTGTTTTAATGTACCAGAGTGGTCTTCATCGCCTGGCCTTGTATCAAAACTAATGTAAATAGCCGTTCGCTTGGTATATGTTAGATCGAGCGAATATTTTTCTAGCTTTCACCAACCGGTAATGGAACGATCGAAGATTTACTTTGGATTCGAAAATTAATTGGTTTTCTATTTGTCACTTGTTTAGGCAAAGCATGAACAATAAAACGAGCAGTTTCGATGTACAACTAAAATTGACTATAAACAATTTGACGCTGTTAATTCCTTTAGACTTAAGTGTAGTGTAGCGACTTCTTTTCAATTTCTCGAGGTCATTTTAATTTCAATATATCTCGTCTGGCAAGACTAATTAGCAAGACTTGAACAGACTAGGCATTAGTATATATTGGAAATTGCTGCCACTGGGATTTGTGGGTTCTTGGGTCTAATTTTTGAAAAAAGGTCTTTGATTTTTTAGGATTGTCGTCATGCCAACCCTACGGCGATTTGCACCTATTGTCGACTAGAATTTCACTTGACAAAGTAAGTGCTCCTCCATTCTTCACTTTTGTTTGGTTTAAGGTTGAAAGATTACACTCGGCTGCAAGAAATTCCATTTATGCATATTGTGTACAAAGATCTTGCTCCAATGTAAGTTTTTCCTTGCCCCAAATATCTCAGTTGCTTATAAGGGTAATTTTCAATAATAATGTTAATGAGACACTTTTATGTTGTTATGGAGTAAAGTTATGCCTTAATGCTCCAACTAACTAGAGAATGTTGCAGTAATACAATGTTCGGCAAATATTGCTGGTAAATTTTGCAGTAACATTGCACCCAAATGCTCCAGTTTAATTCTGCATTGTGTGCATAGTTTGCATTGTGTGCATAGTTTGCTTCTTTTTTTGTATTATGAAAATTATTTTATGTTGTAGGAAGGGAAAGGCTCCAGTATGTCCTAGCTGTCATAGCTTATTGGCAATTCATGGAAAGGTTTGCTAGTTAATCTAGTTACATATGTTCAACTAAAGATTCTAGCTACAAAAATACCATGGTGATTTTTTTCATTTGATCAGTTATGTGTTGTTTAGACAATCCTTGTCCACTGTTTGCCATTGCAAGTTTGCAACATGCATATATACACACTTATGAACATACACTGTATTTAATGAATATATGTGTGTAATTACGTAGTTGACATAAATGCTTTTGGCTACTGTATGGAAAATTGTGTGAACTATGGATGCTCTATCTGAGCAATCTATAATTTTGATTCAAAATGACTTTTAAAGTACAAAATTAATGATTATCTTGTCAAATTTTTCACTTAAGAAGTGCTTAATTGTTTATAATATCACTTTTCTTATTTAGCCGAAAGCTTGTCAATATTGTAATATAAGGGCAGCTTTCAGGGGAAACCTCTGCAACAGGTGGGAAATTTTACCATTGTATTAAAGTTCATTGCATTCAATTTTAGTTCAATAAATACATCTAAATGTTTGGCATTCAGTACTTCCCTATCATGTTGTTTGTACACCTGGATTTCTTTCTTGAAGAAAAAGCCTGTTCTTACATGTTGCTGGGAGCTGCTACTGGCTAGCGCGGCAAGCTTGACTTTATTTTTATCCATAACCAACCATCAAATACAAACTATCTACAAACTTATACGGCCATACACCCAATTAGCTAAATAACTTGACAAGCATGGACAATGCATCCATATATACGTATAACATAACTATTTAAGGGAAATTGCACGGCAAAGCAACAACAAAAACCTGCATGCCAACCTGCACCCCTGACTACTAGGAAGCCCAGGGTGTGAGAAAACATTTTCTGCTTATTTCATTTATTCCTCAGCCAGCGGAAAATAACACTCTTAAGTACCCAATCAGAAAGTAGCATGACTTTCATCTCTTTCTTACATTAAAGATGTAAAAGTTCTGAGAAGAAATATGGGCCACCTGTGCAATGTGATCAGTGTAAACTAAAGTGTGCTTTTAAAAGACCAGATGAAGCTTTGAAGAAGGTAAATCTCATAGCATTCTTAAAGTGTCTCATTTAAAGCTTTGCTTCACCCTCAGGCTTTTACTGTTTGACGTAAACATTTGAAAGCATCACGTTTTCGTTGTTTTGATCTTAAACTGAGCTTCTGCTAATATTTTTTTTATCAACTTCCCCTTAACCACCCCATCTAATCAATTCAGATTTGTTTTGAAATATGTAGCAATCGCTTAAAAATGGAATCATTGCACTAGGTTGATGGAAAGCTTTTGTGCCTTCAATGTACAATTGCTTACAGACGTGCACAACATCGTTCAAAGAAGCTAAATAAACGTATGAGTACCACTGCCAATGATAAGAATGGAGTAAAGGATACGAAAATTCGAAAGAAAAATACAAATGAACACGGTACACCAATTGGCGACAATCCTCTGAAGCAATTTTATACCTCACAGCCGAGGTTTGTGGGTCATATCACTAAGATTTGTAGATCCGCCATGATTGTCTGGCTAAAAATCTGTTTTGATGTTATATACGTATGTGTTATTTTGTTGTTACTTATGACGAAAGTGACAACAAAACATGAAAGCATGAACAAAGTGGTTGAACATATCTAAACACATAAGTCGTGTTGTTATTACTTTGACTGATGAAAGATTATTGCACATTCGTTGCAGAACACAAACAAAACAGCTTCGTCTTTTCTGTACGACAAACTCTCCTCTGGCATGATAAATGTCAAAACTTCATTTATTTTTAATTAAAATGTACCAAAAAGGGACTTCGTTGCATGTGCCTTCAAGATAAGCATTGCCTTGCTCTATATAGGGCATCAGATCGAGCTTCTGAGAAAGTTATTTGTTTTACCTATTATAGTGAAACTCAAGCAGTCACAGAGAAAGGTGGAAGCGACCATGTTACTGAATTGACCAAACTTCGTGAAGAGGTATGTTTCACGCAGCAGTGATTGAGTATTTTGTTTCGTAAACCTTCGTTGTTATTTTACAACCAAACATGATCGGTTGTGATGATGTCGTTTCAGTGTTTTCATTCTAACAAAGCCATTCAATTGTCATTAAATCGTGTTTTAGAACATTGGACGATAAGTAACGTTCATGGATAACATTGCGAATATACGATTTAAAACGTTTTGCCTTAACTTAATTAGTAGATTAGTCCGAATCATTTTATACGTTGCAAAAAGAAATTTCTTTACGATTTGTTCTTGATTTGAAAATATTTCCTCTTTTGATATCCTGGCATGCCTTGTTGCCTTTGGCCTATGTATAGCGTGTGTAAGGGTTTAAAAGATGGTTTAAAGCATGTGGAAATACATAAGCAAGTGATTACGTTGCTGTGACCGATGCGCGTGGTTCTCCCTCTTTCTCCATGTAGTGTATTCCCCTTGCGACTTGTGTTTGACTCTATCGGAAATTACGCGTATAGCTTTAGGACATTCAACTGCTGATACTTCAAATAGTTTGAAAAATTATTTGCTTTACTTACGTACCTACCATTGGTTGTGGGAAGTTCCTTCTCGTAAAAGTTTCTTCGTTAGACATCAACACATAGGTTTAAAAAGTTGTGTATGTCAGGCATTAAAATAAGAAGTTTTTATTGGGACACGTTTTATGCCCCTGATTTTTTAGATGATTTTATTTTTCATCCTAGGAATCGCTTCTTTTTCATTGCAAATCGGAGGAAATTTTGCCAAAAACAAATTGCAAAAGCTTTACTGTCGTTATTAAGAATGTATTGTTAATCGTATAATTCTTTCTAAAGGACATATTTTTCATTTGCCAGGACCATTTCTGATTAACAAGGAAACTAAGTGTGTAAAAAAACACACTTACGTATTTTAATGCCTGGCGTATGTGCTGTTAAATTTTCTGAATGTTACTAATGAACTCCTCGAAATGTTATTCTTACTCCTGTTGTGTAAAATTTTCCGTTTTTTTTTGTGTTAGTTGGCTGCAATGAAACAGAAACTGCAACAAAAAGAAAAGATGTTAATTGAAAAGGAGAAGCAACTAACCGAACTGAAAGCCGAAAAATGGTCCATCGATAAGGAACATCGCCAAAAATTGAATAACGTTCAAAAAGAAAATATGGAAAGGTTAAAACTCCTTCAGGTAATAAAATGTTGTCTTCATGACTCATGTTTTATTGTATTTTTAATTGTGTTTAGCTACATGTAGACAGTAGCACACATTCAAAAAAAGAGAGGGGGGGGAGTGCTAGTGTCTGTATTTGATGGAAAAGTCTGCAATTTAAGACATTCCTGGTACTAGTGTACCAGGATGTGTGTAAAAATAAATCAGCAAATATTTTATTGAACGGTTCGATTTTTTGATCTGGAGCCTTTTTTGTAAGTCTAAATATTATACTTAAAGCAGGTTTCATTAGCCAGTGATCTTAATATCCACTTCGTTTATCCATTTTGTTAAACTTTTGAAGCACTCAACTTTGACATCTGGCATTTAAAACATTGATTGATGTTGATTTAATTACACAACCTTTTAATTACTTAATCTGTCCAAAGCTCTGTTTATTTAGTAAAAATCTATGACTGTGAACGTTTTTTTAACTTAAATAATATTGGTTACTGCCTTCTTGCGTGTGAAAATAATTAAAGGATTTGTAAATATTTAAAAATGCAATATAGTTGATCATAATGATTATTCACTATTCTTTATTAAATGTCAAGCGTCACTTCCGGTGAAACAACGCGCTTTATTGACGTAAAAATATTTTTGGCGGGCTTCTAAGAAGTTACGAACTCAACAAAGTAAAACAATCAGCTAAACAGCAAAAGTTTATTAACTCCAAAAGTCAAATAAAAACTATGTTCGAATACGAGTAGGTGCAAAAACAATAGAGTTTATTATCCACACGAGACAATTTCAAGACAATTTCAAAAGTTATTTTTTTACTGACGAAAAGTAAACGTGCAAAAGTCTGCCTTTTTGCAGAACAGCCAGAAAAAGAGAAAAAGTTTTTTGTCAGGTTAAATATTACCATATAATATTTCTTTGTTGTAACATTCTTACATTTTGACTCTGAAGATGACTACCGCTAAGGTTGTCGAAACGTCAGTCAACAACAACAAAAACAGTCCTTCTCAGGACTATACCAACCTGGACGATCTATATTTACAAACATGTAACGATACTCCCGGGTTCAAACCATTTACTTTATTCTTACATTGCTTGTTCAGGCTAAGTAATAACGCTTGTTTTGTTGGTGTCGACGTTGTTTGCATTTTTTTTTATCTGAATTTGTTCATGTACTTTTCATTTTCCTTTTTGACATGGGTCGGTTTTCATGTTCTATAACTTTATAGCATATACTGACCTCTGGAAATATTACAGGAAAGATATGTAAATGTAAAAATTGCATATAAAAATATGTTTTCAGTTTGTTTTTTCCCCCTATATTTAAGGAAGAAAATCTTATGTTGAAGAAACAAAACTCCAAGCTGAAGATGACAACATGAGGTTCTTTTTATGATATGCATGATATTTTTAAGCATACATTATAACATACCCTAGAAATAATTATTATTACATCGAGGAAAATAAATAATACTCAGGAATATTTCATCAATTGATTGGGAAATCATATGCCTAGATGCTATAAGAGGAGTGTATCATCTTATTTTAAATGCATGAAAAAGATGAGCTCTACAATTCTTGCATAGAATTATGCATTGTGCTATACATGAAATAATTTCTTCTAAGTTGAGTAGAAATTTGAAGTAATTCCCTCTCTGTCAGATCACCTAGCTAGTCATATTTAATTTATTGTACATTGCACTGGTTTCAATTGAATGTAAAAATATATGAATTTTTTTTGATGAAATTAATGCCCAACAACCAAAAACATTTTTATGGGTGGCATATTATTAAAACAATGTAATATTACATGTGACTCCCATATCCTACTGAAATTAACTGTTTGTTGCATGTCTTGTACAACTTTTGAGCTGGTCTTTTTCACTTTTAATCTTAGTTTTAATGGAGGATATGTTTAATTTTTGATCTACAGGAAGCGCAGTGAAGATATCTTCAGAAACTTAACATGTTATGGGAAGCTAGATGTAAGCAAGGGGAAAATATTAGGAATATTTTGTGATTGGGAAATCACTTACAACCCTAGTGGAAGTTTAAGCAATCGCCCTCTCCCATAGTTTGAAAACAGTGAGCCAAATGACAAAAAATCCAACCACATGTTCGACCATTTTATACACCCACTTACAAAATCATATGACCTTGACCCCCAAACACACCCTCTTGCAACTTATATTTTGTAAAGAGTCCACCACTGGGAAATCACCTGATATCCCTTTTACAGCTGTATTTTAATGTAATAATGTTCTAATGTAAGCCTTCTAAATCATAGCATATCACTATTATGTGTGGAATTCATTCTGTTAAGTCTAGTACGATTTCTGACTTCAACATCCTGCAGTCTTTTGATTTCAGCATCTTTTCGAGCAATTTCATTTTGGGCCGTTAGAAAAAGTGATGATATGTTATTTTTTAGTACTTCATTCATCAGCTTCAGTTGTTGGTTCTGGAAAAAGACTGCAAAAATGCATCATTCACTCAAATATAGGTATGTATTTTTCATAGTATGGCCTAAAAGCTAAAACCCCAGAACAACCATTCTTGTTTCAAGTGCCTTCCCAGTTTCCACAAAACTTAAGGAATGGAGAAAGGCCAGGAAATAAGGTTGAAATAAACCATACTTGAAAAATAACAAGGGTGCAAATCTGTTTTGAGAAGTGGGGGATATTTTAGGGTGGTAATAGTATTGAAATCATTGATTTTCTGAAAAGTGGGGAGGGAAGGTGTCAGCCCTGGGATTTTTGCCCCTGAAAATTAAAAACCTTGCATGCTATTAACAACCTCTTTTTGTAGTTTGCCAATCATTGTTTCTTGTTTCTGACTCTTTTCTTTTAACTAAACATACACAATGTGAAAATAAAACTGCTGTATGAAAAAGTTGTGGGTTCAGATTTGAGTATTTTTGCTTGACATTTAAAAATAACTATCAACATGTTAGTTAATGTTGGTCATCCTTAGCTATAGTGATCTTGAACCTGGATCATGAACACTTACGAAAATGAAATAGCATTCCCAGGTTTAAACTAATCATTTGTAATTATGACCAATTAAAACATATAAATTTAAGCCTACATATATGATGACAGGGTGACCTCCACAATTAAATAAACAAAAACTGCCATGCTTGTTCAAGACAAAAAAAACAAGCGAATAAAGAAAATTGTATGCAATAAAAAATAATTTTCGTCCATATAGGGCGACTCTATTTGTAAATGATTGTAAGGTTCCTTTATTGCGATTGTTGCTTCTGACATATAGTCATTAAAGTATTATATTCAAAATGAAATATATCTTCTTTGCAGAATTTTCAGTATTTATATTTTCATACCTCTTCATAGCTGACCTGTTTGTTGATATCTACTTCCAGGTCACCATAAAGGAAATCGATTTCTCTCGTCCCATCATCCTCAACAAATTCATGAGAACTCATTGCATCAAACTGGAAATAAAAAAGAATCCTAAATTCGCGAATTATCTTTGCTGTATCGGCTTGTCAACATGTATTTGCTACTTTTACTTGAATTTTAGTTTCACCAGATAAGCAATTTGTATATGTAATTGACGAGGGTATCCTTAGAGAAAGGAAATATAATATTTGTAATGCAATTCCCTATCCAAAAAATGGAAAAGTAAGGAATAACTTAGTATGTTGCAAGAATACTCGTTACTCCGCACCATTTTTTCACGTTTCACAATGACAATACGCTGCCTCATGGAGTTTATTTGAATTATTTGTACATGTCGAAGATTTATGGTCGTTTTCAGGACTTACTGCTTTCGATATCGATTACCAAATGCAATTTGGTTTAATAGAGAAAGTGCAGTCTACTATGTTTTTATCTCCATATGTGTCTTCCACTGCAAGCAGCGAAGAAGCAACATCAACGACCACTAGTCCTCCACCTTTAGAACTTAACTCAAAAGTTCCAGAACACTTGAAAGTCAACAGGGAATGCGGCAAAAATCCATGGCAGAACTTCTTCATGCTGGACTTCATTATAATGGTTGAATTCTCCGAACACGAAGGTCCTCGGCCACTTGTAAGTGTGTTTGGCAAAGCTATCTGACTTGCATGTGGATGATCTTCTTTTTTTAATACGGACAAGAACAGACGTGTGTGCAGTAACAAATACTAACTTGCGGTCGGGTTATTGATTCTTACTATATGAATTTCATGCCTTCAATTCCATGGACATGAAGTTGAGCTGTTTTAGTGTTTATTCAATCTCAGACTTGGGGATTGATAATACTTTGATTTAATTTAAGGGAGTAGAAATTCAAAATTTGCTGTTATTTTGTTATTCGATCATATAAATTATTTAATTACTAAATGTTTGCAAATAAGTAAACATCTTAAACTTCAACAATAATATTAGTGGGAAGAATTTTTTTGGGGACAGTCAATGCCATTAGAAATGCGCCCCCAAAATATAGCACCTTAGCAATGATGGTCAAAGGCCCCGAGACTATAGGTCAGGGGTGGGTAACATATGGGCTGGGTCCGGCCCTTGAAGGGGTTTTGACTGGCCCCCTGACTGTATCCGTCTATATCTGTGATTAAGATATTGAATATTATTTATGTAATAATCCGCCCCACCAATAACTTCATTTACCTAAATCTAGCCCGCCGACTGGAGAAGTTGCCCACCCCTGCTATAGGTTATGGTCGTGCTAGGAGATTTTGGGGGCATGCTCCCCTGGAAAATTTTGAACTAAGAATCTCAAAAATGCCACTTTCTTTACTTTGTGGCATGATTCCCAGAAGAAACAATAGTACTAGTAAATGTAACATTTTTTAACTCATATTCAAAATTTAATGCCCCCTATTAATTTCTGTATCCCCAAAAATCAATAGCTGTGCAGGGGGGCATGGCACCATGGCATTAAATACAATATAAATAAAAAACCTCATATTAGCCTTTTTTTATCTGCTTCACATCGATTTGCAGACTATTGAGAATGTCATTAGCAATTATATTACTTTTTCATTTTATCAAATTCTTCCTTATTATTTGACATACTTCAATTCCAGAATTCAATTCCAGCAGAAATCAGAAATAGCAAAAGCGTGTCACTTTTTCAAAAGAAAATTGCTGCTTGCATTTTATGATTTAGTTTAACATGTAACTGATGGAATAAACTAAACTCTGTAAATATTTAAACTTCTTTTCTGTAGATAATTTATTTCTTAGTAAATTTTGTAATTGTTTTGGAACAAAAGCACACCTTGTGGAAATCAACCCCAGTTGACAAGGCCAGCGTGTCAAAATAAACATTTTCATTCATTCATTCACTTATGCTTTCTGATGACAAAATGAAGCTTGCTTGCTTTCCCACATTTTTCACGTTGCTTGCTTTGCCTATTCTTGCAAATTAATTGTAATCCATTGTCATAGACTCATTGTTCAATGTTGAATTCAAAACTTTCTGTTTTTTAGTTTACTATTCCAGAAGATTCTGGCAAAATGTTTGATCAGAATTCATTTTCTGTGTATGTCATGTCAGTGGATTATCATACTCAAGCTGAGTACGTATGTGGTCATTGTGTTTTCCAGTAGCGGATCTGGGGTACGTCAAAATTAGTGCAGCATGTTGTAAGCCCTCAAAAGAGTCCATTGGGGAAATCATATTCTCTAGAAACTCAAAACCAATATGGTTTTTCTGAAAGTACTTTGCATTTAGAATTGAGCAGCTATAAATTATTTTGACAAATGCTGGATCCGCTACTGGTATTTTCTTATGTTTTGTCCTATGTTTATGTAGCTATTAAAAAGAAAATTGAACCATTCTCTAGTTTTAAAAAAGCAAGGGCTTGCTTAAAAAAAAGCAAAAAGAAATCAAAAAATAAAAATTATATTTTTGCCCAAAATGAGTAGAAGTATTTTTGTCAACTACACTACTTTCAACTACATTTAACTACATTTATTGCATTCTACTAAACATTGTTTGAGGCTATCTAACTTGACAAATGCTGTCCATTTGAACTGAGCTTGTGAAAATTGTATAAGTTCTTGTTGAGAATTCTATATAGATGGAGCACATCAATTACTACATTGACTTTTTTATTTGTACTTAACCTTTTAAAATAACATGGTGATAACCTACTTACTTTAACTTGGCTATGGTGTGTGAATATGTGTGCATAGTGTTGTTTTACTACTTATACTTAGAAGTGGTAAATGAGCTTTGCAATTTACAATAATGCTTTGCCAAATTGTACAACTGTTAAAACTGCATTGCAATTTGCAATGGATTGGCAACATACTATGACCTTTGATATCATTTGTGATTTATTTTGCAGTGCTTCATTCTCAATTGTTGATGATACTCAGTTGATATTTTGTGAAGATCGGAAAATATATTTGCTTATGTGAGTAGTTGGGTGTTAATGATCAATTTGGCCGGGTCTTTTCTCAAAATGATCCTGAAGCAGGACTTTATAGAGTCCAAATAAAATCAACAAACATGTGAAGATGTTTCTGTTTTTTGGACTTAAATGATTGCAAACGGCCTGCTTCTTAGATGCTCTGAACATAAAGTATTTATGTCTTATTCTTAAATATTTTCTGCTGTAGAACTGTAAGATTGATGAAATTTCTTGTAAGAAAAGTATTTTTACTGATCTGTTGGCAGCTAATGTTTTCATGAACAAGGAATTTTCTGAGTACATCATAAACCATCATGGTCCCCTTTATACCTCTATGATCAGGAATGGTATCATTAAGTACTTAATTTTAAAATTGCCACTGATGTAAATCATGATGCTGAAATGGTTACCATGATCAATTATTACCATGTTGAATCTTACGTATGTTTATATTGCTACCTTACTGAACCATGATGGGGATAATATTGCTATTATTTCAACCAAGATGGTAAAACTACCACCTTGGTAAAACATGATTGTAAAATAACATTTTTGAACCATGATAGTAAAAATACTACCATGGTGAAACATGGTAATATTGCTGCTGTGTTATACCATGCTTGTACCATAGCTACCATCAATTCACCAATGGTCATATTCTTTTACAGGTTCACCACTTTGTATTACATGACATTGAGGCTAGAGGATTTGTTCGGCCTTTTTGTATGTGCTATATCAGCAACAGCAAGAAGTAAGTGTACTTTTTAATTTGGTACTTGAGAAAAGAAACGTTTAAAACATGAAAGGATTGGGTGGGCTTTGAACAATTAAAAAATTGATTTACACATATTCTTTTAAAGTAAATGGTTTGAACCTGGGAGTATTGTTAAATGTTTGTAAATGTAGATCGTCCAGGTAGGTATAGTCCTGAGAAGGACTGTTTTTGTTGTTGTTGACTGACGTTTCGACAACCTTAGCGGTAGTCATCTTCAGAGTCAAAACAGTCCTTCTCAGGACTATACCAACCTGGACGATCTACATTTACAAACATGTAACATATTCTTTTCTTCATCATTCAATATTTGCAAAAATGAAGTATTATGTGGGCTCATTTGTCCATGACTCTCGAAAAGTGGATGAAATGTTTGTGCTCTAGCTACGTAGGCTGTTGAAATGCTGTGTCCCTGAAAAACGTCACACAGAAAGTGAATGAATGGTTTGAGCATTAGCTAAGCATTTAGGATGAATTTCCCCGAAGAATATCATCAAAAGTCAAAGTAATATCTCTGCACAAGAAAACTCACTGAATTACTACGCATTTGTGCCAAAAAGACGTCAATATTGAGCCGATGTTTTTCCTCAACGTTATTACTATATAGATAAATATTAGTTTTTTTTTGTTTTTTAGAAAGATAGTGGAAAATATGGACGTGTTCATTCACGAGTTTTCCAAGGTATTTTAACGTTAAGCTTTTGAAATGACGACTGTTTTAATTTTTTTTATGGTGCTAACTATAAAAAATACAAGATAAGAAAGAATTAAATAATCTTGCTTCTTTGGAAAATTATTTACTCTTTTTATTATAAAGTTTGTCAATATCGTTGTTGTGTTAACTTCAGGTTTCAAGGCATTTCAAAGCTTCCAACCAATCTATATTTTTTAATGAGCTCAAACGAAGACTGGCAGATATAAAATATGTTAAAGGTAACTCAATGTTAATTGATTATTATGCAACATTTAAACAAGGTTTTTTTAATCATTCGACTGGTGTTGTGATACCCGTTGTCTTGAAGTTGTTGAGTTCGAAATGCTTGGTGTCCAGGTATCGTGAGGTAGTACAGTTTTTAATGCCGGGTAGCCCAAAGTGGTTGTTGACCTCTAGTGGTAAAATTTGTAATCCTTGGTGTGCTGAAGTAGTGGAGGTTATAATGCCCATTGTCTTGAAGTATTAGGATTTGTAATGCCATGGTACGGTCTAGAAACAATGGTATTTTTCGTCTGAAGTTTCAGAGTGAGGAGGTGGGACTTACTTCACAGAGAAGCATTGAACATTAGCCAGTATCCTTTAACTTAAGTGGGAGGCAGTTTAAATGACAGTATATTTTATTTTGGCGGTAGATTGCAATGCCTTCCACGAGAGGAATTCAGACAATGTTGACGTTTCACAGGTTGGAAAATTTGCTTGATTTTATACGTAACTTGTGATTAATTCATTGCATTGGGGAGAGTGAATCGATCCAACAAATTTTTTCCCATAGAATTGTGACCATACTAAGAGTAAAAGATAATGGCATTCTGAGAGTTTTCTTAAAGGGATCATTAGATTAACCCATTGTTGTTTATAAACAGTGTCAACAAAATCATCATCATAGATATTGATTTTTCTCCATTTACTTTAAAGAGCCAAGATGAAGCAGAAGTGTAAGGGGTGGTGCAAAGTTTCTTCTACAATTTCCACCCTGCTACAACCAATTACCTTGATTATACAAAAATAACTTTGTTTCATTTTAGAATGCTGGTAAAAACTTCCATAGTCTGAGTGCTGAAACAATCGAAGCCATGTTGGAAGAAGCTAACGTAGCTATTAGTGTGTTGACAACTACCAATCTGACTAACAACAAAAAATCTAAAGGTATGAAAGTAAATGAACGTTTCGAATATTCTGGATGAAATCAATATATAATGTGTTTAATATTTTTTGAATCGATCTATTAAAACTTAATGAAACGAATTTACGTATGTTGCAATTAGTAATTAAGTAATTTAACATGTATAGTATGGTCCGCCTTTGCAAATGTTGCCAATTATTTGGTTAGATTTGTCATCAATGAGTGGGCATTTAAACGAAATGCCCACGTTCGTGTCAAATGGAAGGGATACTTCTGGCTATCAGCTTTCTAATGGTGGACAAATACATGACGTACGTTGTATAAAGTTTGGTGTGATTGTTATTATGTACTTTGAACGTCATTGATCTAAATATGTAGCTCCGTACATAGAAGTTTATCCCAGGATAAACATGTCTATAACATGCAGGAAGCCAAATTTTACTTCCGGACAATTTCGTTTAAGGGTTATGTCACGCATTTAACTCACAGTCATAAAGAATCTTTCTTTGGCTGTGCGAGAAAAGATTGAATTGCTGGCTTCGATTTTGCCTTTTGAGGGCTTTCCACTTGTATTTAGCTCAATGATTTACGCGAATTGTTATACAATTTTGAAAGCTGCCAAAGATTGCTCGTAATTGGTTTATTGCTAAATTATTTATTTGTGAGACCTTGCCGTAAAGTAGATCAATGCTGCATAATCATTGAATAGACTGTGGCGAAACTTTCTAAAAGTTAACCACATGTGCGCTTTCAGTAACTACGTATTTTAATGGTTTCCTAGGAAATTGTTGATCGTCTACTGCGTGATACAAACAGACATCAGCTGATCTTGAGGTAAAGTATTCGTAATCACGAAATTACATGTTTTGAAGTGTCTACACCAAAACCAACTCTCCTTCCCAGGACTGCACTAACACGAACGATCTGCATCTACAAGCATGTAACGATAATCGCAGGTTCAAGCCATCCGCTTTAATGACCAAATTTCCAAAAGACAAGCGAACAGAATAATATGATTAATGAGGTTAATAGAAAGATTTGTTCAACATCATTCCTTGAACTTGCCTTGGATGATGTTACGTAACATTTTAAATCCCGTTTTATTTCACACGAGTAGACTGGGACTGAATGTTTATTAGTCATTCGCTAATATAGCCAGGTTCTCTCATTTCATGTAGGGATCTACATGGTTTGTGTGGATATCGTGCGACTGAGGGATTGGCGTCGTTACAAAGAATACATCAGGTGAGGTCGATTGCCCTAGACACAGAGTCATTTAAACTTTGCCTACATTGTAAAACGCAACCTTTAAAATGGTTGACAATTGTAATAAACATTGAGTCATAATATTGCGTTGAAAGAATGTTATATGCAGTTCGGTGTTTGAAATTAAATGAAGATATGATCTTCGCACTTTGCTGGATCATATCTTCATTTAATATTGTGTTGGTTAAAGTGTACGTAAGAAGCAACTCAAGCAAATTGTGGAAACTTAATGATGGCTTATGATATTTGAAACTTTCTACTGTATTACTATTTATGTACACTCACATGCGAATTATGGTGGGAGTTGAGAGTTCTTTTTCATTCGTGTTTGTTTCAGCATTTTTATCAACCTTACGAAGTGTTTTCTCTCATCAATGAAGAAACTCCTTTGTTAGGTAACCTGCGTTTATTTATGCATATACATATACGTATATATATTATTTATGTACTGTTTGGGTTTTTTGAAATGAATTTTTTATAGAAACTATGATAGGGAAATTACATTTTACAACTACAATTACATATAGGATGCTACTTAAATCTGTCTAGCGTTTATTTAAAATGTTTTGTCTCCCACTGCAGCATTGCGATAAGGAATATTCCTAACTTTCATAAAGTGTAATGGTCTTAAATGAATTTTCATTTTCGTAAAGGAAAATTTAAAATATTTCTTTCGTTTTTATCTTTAGATCCTTTTTCTTCAACATTGGCGATTGGTGGTAGTTTCACAATGAATTTTCGCTCAGATATTGAAATGTGAGTTGCATAGAGCACAGCGACTTATTTTTCTCAGTGTTTACAATAAGTTGAACTTAGAAGGACGTTGGGGGGTGGGGGAGGTATTTAACACCCACCTCATAACGAGGTAGAAATTTTCTTATTTCACGTCATGACGTCATGCCAATCAATCTCGTGTCAATCTTGTTGAAGTTCTTCTTATTTTTTTATTTATGAAAAGGTACAACTCTGATGCAAGGATCGGCTTGTCGATGGATTCCAAGGTAGGACTGGGAGCTAAACACGTTTAAATTGAATTGAAATGAGCAAAGAGAGGTGTACATTTCCAATTATGTACCTTAGACAATTAGATACTCGTTTTTCTATCTCAGCAAGAAGTGGTATAACTGGTATTTTTAAGGGATTTACAGCATCATAGATACTGTAGCCCTTTTTATCTTGTTCAACCTCTGTTATAAACTTACGTTCATAAAAACGGAAGCTTTATTGTCATAACTTTGACTGTATTTTAATGAAAGAATGTTATTAAATAAAACACTACTCAACAAGGAATGATCATGAAGCTTAAAGGAAGTTGAAAACCGAAAAATCCACTTGCTTCGCACACTAAATAATGCCCTTGAGATATGAACATCTCCTGCTCATTTATTGCACATTTTTCAATATAAATTTTACAAACGTAGGAAACGCTTTTTCCCGTAGCATTTTCCGTATCTGTTTTACTCATTTTTTTGATAAATTTTCAACGCAAACTAGACATTATACCATGTTAACATGTTCAATATGCAAAAAAAGATCGACTTTTGCTTATATAGTTTAAAGGCAGTGATTTGAGCGACATCAGCAGTGAATCGTTTCCATCTTACTTGGATGAAAACTCGTCTGATGGCGAAATACAATCTCAACATAAGAAGCATTGCTTCATTCAAACACCATTCTCTCTCATGTAAGATTTATGATTCGTTAAATCTTGATAGCTTTTTTTGTACTTGGGGTAAGCTTCGTTGATTTGATAGAACAGTACAGTGCACAGAGGCCGGAAAAAAAGGTGGGCAGAGGAGAGACATAATTCTTTTCAGTATTACATCTCTCTCTTCGGTTCATGTTACTTGGACCTGTCACTTGCGAGGATAAGAACGCCATAAGATTATAAATCAACTGCATGAAATTTTCGCAGAGGCTCTTGCTGCAGTTAGACTTTATATCTTTTGGCATTGAATGTAAGATTAAATGAGTACCGGATGAGTTAAAATGGGATGTAGAATGTTAATTTTTACGTTCAAGCTTGCCTTGCTTGTCCTGATTGAACCCTACCTTAAGCCTCTTGAATCGACCACATCATTCTTTTCTATTCCCACCATTGTTAATGCTTACGAGTTGTAGCCTGCATTCAGGCGTATATTATATGTTATGACATATGTTATTTCTATCACAGCACCAATAAAGATTTAATGGGAGAGATGAATCTCGCTGATTTAGATTCGAACGAGTCAAGCTCTTTCAGTAATATTACGCTTAGCTGGGGTGAGGGCACTGATGATTCAACGACAAGCCAATGTTTGAAAAAACCGACTTCGCCGTTAGCAGTTTCCCCGCCGGAACCTGTGCTTCACCGTGGTAGCGTTGGGGATTTAGCTTCGGTTGCCGAGGACATCCCGAGTCGCTTTCATCGTCGTGAATCAACGATTGAATCTCAGAGCAGTAACGCAAGCAATTTTGGTGACGACGGACTTTCTGCAACAATGTCTGCTTCGTCGCGTGTCAAAGATAGTGAAGAACTTTCAAAAATTTTTGCTCCTTTTACTTCCCCAAAATATCAAGTTGTTTACAAGGATGTTTGTCACGTAGCTTCTTCAAGTGATTCTTTTGGTTACGGAACTGGTGACAAAAGGTATGTGTCCTAACATAAAGGTTTCACTGCGTAGATTGTCATTTGTGTATACAGTTTTGAACTTTAGGGTGTCTATTTTACTCATTAAGTGGATGGAATGTCTTTGAGATCTTTAATTATTCGTTTGTCTTGAGGTTATTTAATAGTTCTTATGGACATGCAATGAGTATGTCTAAGTTTGCGAGTTGCGGGTTGAAGGTCACAGGTAGTCGCCTGCTTAAAAATTTAACTTGAAGTTAATTTTTTCAGCTGAGAAAAGGTTGAATGAAATTAATGCTGAGTTTACAGGAACCAACTCTATGATTTTCTCCCTCATGGGACTGGCACATGTGGATAAGTGGCTTGCGCCTCTTGTCACTTTTTTCACCAGACAGACTTGCATGCACTATGTGTAATCGTAGGTTCTTTAATGCTGTTTAATCGTTTCTATTTGAACTCTCAAAAGTCTAAGTCTTGTATTGCTGATTTTAATAATCCCAGTTTTCTGGATGATTTTGTTTGCGAATTAATAGATAGTCGCCGCCCTTAAGTTTTTGATTTATTTAACCAGGATGAAAAAATCGAGTCTTCAATGCTATGCACAGCAGTTGGGTTGTCATACATCTGATGGACCAGGTGCGCCATGTCGTTTTCATTTACCTATCTCTACCCAATTCAATTTTTTTTGTCAAATTTCTAAATGCACTTTTTAGGGAGTTGATTTTGGTTTTTTACTCATTTCAGGTGGAGGCGTGCTTCGTCTTTTGAAACACGACAAATATCTCGTACATCTTCTTTTTGCTCTTTTTACTGGCCGCTGTCTCGTTGTACAAGCAGAACCGGCCCATCAAAGGTACGTTAAATCAATCTAGAAATCAGGAAGTTTTCATTGCAGCCTGGAACGAGAGCGATGTCTATCTGTTTTAATTTTTTTCCGAAATTTTCAAGCGTTTGCTTTGTACAAAATGCTTGCATTATTGCCATGGGTCTATAGACCTCCCCTGTATATAGTGCATGTATTGATGTCATGAATCTGCAGACTTCCTCGTTGATAACATGCATTATTGTCATGGGGGTAAATAGACCTCCCCTGTAGATAATGCATGTATTAATGTCATGAGTCTACAGACTTCTCTGTAGATAATGCATGTGTTAATGTCATGAGTCTACAGACTTCCCTGTAGATAATGCATGTATTAATGTCATGAGTCTACAGACTTCTCTGTAGATAATGCATGTATTAATGTCATGAGTCTACAGACGTCTCTGTAGATAATGCATGTGTTAATGTCATGAGTTTACAGACTTCTCTGTAGATAATGCATGTATTAATGTCATGAGTCTACAGACTTCTCTGTAGATAATGCATGTATTAATGTCATGAGTCTACAGACTTCTCTGTAGATAATGTATGTATTAATGTCATGAGTCTACAGACTTCTCTGTAGATAATGCATGTGTTAATGTCATGAGTCTACAGACTTCTCTGTAGATAATGCATGTATTAATGTCATGAGTCTACAGACTTCCCTGTAATTACTATATAACCCTTTGGGTTGTGTAAATGAGACTATTTATGGTCAGATATGCACTTATGTTTTGCGAATCTTAGAATCGTGTTTCTTTTCATTTTTTACGATACCAAAACTGCATGTATTTCATCTTATTGTTTATGGACGCTCATCAAATGCTGTTACTAAGCAAAGCTGTCTTGCATGTAATCGATATTGTGGAAATAAATGCAAGTAAAGTAAGAGTTTAGAAACTCCATTACAGGTGTAATGCATTTAAAACAATTAAGAGTTTCGTATTGTAGGTTACTTAATTGAATACTATTGTTTGATTTGACTTGTAAACAATCTTATCTATTCCTTTGCTTTTACCACATAGGAAAGTCGTCTCCATGATCACATCACTTTGGCTGTTTGTCCCGGGTAACTGTCGGTAAGGAATAACTATATTGCAAGGTTTCAACTTTGGTACTTTTGTTGTGAAACATGAGGCTGAAGTATGTGCTTGTTTTCTATATCGAAGGGAATAATTACAGAAACTGCTACCAAACCTGTCATGTTAGCTATATCGAGTCTTTGAACAATAAAGCATACTTCATGATATTGCTGATCAAACTTTCAGTGTGCTATACTTACATGTCCATGTTATTTCTCACGTGGTCCAGGTCGGCATTTTTAATGTGTTTCCTCAACACATAAGGTTGTCGAAACTTCAGTCAACACCGATCCTCACCCCGACTGTCCTTCTTAGTTCTGCACTAGACCTTAACGATCTACCTGTTCAAATATGTAACGATACTCCCTGATTCCAATCACTTACTTGTGCACATTGTCATTGATTAACTTAAAGTGTATTTATGATTGTAAAACAGTCTTCTCATCGACAATAACTTTTGCCTTTTTTCAACATTTATTTCACCATCTCTCGACTTCATCATCGCCATCTCTTGATATTTGTATCTGTATATAATTTTTAATGTCCCTTGACATCAAACTTTCAAAATTGGTAAATAATTCACGTTGTTTTTATATTTTTCTGCAGTGGTTCTCAACAAGTTATACCTTGGAGGACAAAGCCCTTAAAATTGTCAGACTTAGGAAGGTAATGCAATTATGCTTTGATGCGTTTCACAACTTACACTCGTCATGTTGTCTATTGAAAATCAGTATTTAACTTTCCAATACAGGATTAAGTTGGTTGGTCTTGCCAAGTCGAAACAGTTCAACCCTTTGCCAAAGTCCGTTGAGGTATTTACAATGTTTGTCTGGTGTTATGTTCGATGCAACTTGCCTTGTCCAGTCTCACGTTGAGAATACTGCGTTGGCTTTTTCAGGCATATGTGTCAACCTTCGACTTTGAATCGAAAACGCTCGTCACACCCCCATATAAGGTTAGCCGTTTAATTTTTGCTGATTAATGAGTATTATTATAAATTGTCCAGAGAGCTCATTTAATAAAATTCCAAATGCAGTCGTACAGAAGGTCGTTAAATCTTTACTCTAAAATTAATGAGAAAAATCCTTGTCAAATGACAAAAGTCCGTCCTACTTTATGTTATGATAACATGCAAGATTTTTCGTTTCTGCTATAGCAGTCATCCTGAAGAATGGTTATCCACTGATCTCTTTCCATGCTTGCCTTTCATATTTTGTCATATATTTTTTGTTTTGAAACAAATATGTATGTATGCTATGTAGTTTTATTATTTATGGATTTTTTCCACCATAGGGTAAATTCCTCTGTGACATTTTGGCAACAAGAAGGAACTGGAAGGTTAGTTTTGGTCTCCAACGACACATCGTTGAGTTCACTTACTCTGCTTGCTAGCAAAGATTCAAGATTGCTTCATTGCAGTTTAGCCATATCAGGATTTTCACCTTTTTTGTCCAATATCTTATCAGAATTTGCTGTTGACCTGCCAAAGTTTATGTGATTGCCATTTTTTTGACCGTGGAAAAATATTTTATTTACAGAGCGACTCGCTGTTCTTATCTTACATTCACAGGTTTGTTAATTCATCAATTTTGCATTCTGTGTATTGGAAGGATTGTGATGGTTTAATTGATTTCTTGAATGTTCTTTGTATAGCACGTGAATTTCAAATGTACATACATTATGGTTCACTTATAAGAAATTTAGAAACTATTCAAAAAGTTAATTGTGCTTTACAAATCTATAGTCTTAGCAAACTCTTCATGTCTTTATATTTCGTATTTTTTTGTAGCGTATTTCTTGAAATCACTTTGAAGACATTCGTTTGTTACTACGCTATTTCGCTACGCAGTTCAACAACTGATTCTAATTTGCCGTGGTGAGTGAGTGAGTTACTGAAAATCATCCTGTTGTGATGAAAAATATGATAGCCATTTGTTACTCCTGGCTTACAAGAACGTCATATACGTATAAGTGAAAGTATATACCGCTGGCAACCATTGATCAGGTCGTTAATGTTTAATGCGTCATCAGACTGTGATTTTTATTGTAAAAGTAAGCAAATAAAACTAAACTTAAATTATTTGGATTGGAGATTTAGGTACGACACAGCTTCAATTTTCATGCACACACTTACATATACATAAATTTGTGTTTAAAAAATTGAATCAAAGAACAATACGAGTTCTCATTAGTGGAATTGTGGAAATATGCAATTTCGACTGGACGATTTTTATTCGAGTCGTGTTTGCTTGTTTTGCACTTACTGCAACAAAACATGGCATGTGAAAGTTTTTATGCCGACGTCTACATACAAGCCTGGATAAAGGATTTCTCTTCCTGACAGCAAGTTTCAAAAATGATTATTTCCTGCCAAATTTTTTCATCGATAACTATTGAAAAAAGCGCGTTCGCACGTCACTGTTGGTGTTTGCTTGTAAAGTCTCCATATGGTTGTGTACTTTACAGAATACAGATCGCCCTGTAATCTGCTTCATGTTTTTATACACCAGCATTCTAAATCCACTCTTTATTTTCGAAAAATTTTTTTGCGATATACAATTAAAGGCCCGTGGAAACTGGTTTTTAATACAAAAGTATTTCGTGCAAGTAATTTTTTAAATTTTCCTGTGTCGGCATTGCAGGACGTTTTCCATCCGGGTATTGTTACAAAAGTGGGAGAATTTTTCAAATTCGTTATACATTCTAATTAGAGTGCGTAAAAGTTGCTTTAGCTTTTTTTTATACACACTGTAGTCAATAACGAATATATTATCACCTTTGTCGCCAGTCTTTCTTGTCACTCTTGGCATATGAGGAATATACTAACACTGCTCCCTCTTCCCCTCATCAGACCCTATATATAAATGTACTGCTGTTTGCTTAGAGTTTCATTTAACTTTATTTCAACATCTAATGGTAGCGATGCGTGAATCTTAAAACAAGCATCTTGAATGTTTGAGCATGCGTAGGAAATTTGCTAATATGCTAAGAGTTGATTTGTGTTTGTTTGCAAACAGGAAACAAAGAACATTGGTTCCACGAGAATTCTCTAGGCAGGTACACTTACTTTATTTATTAGCGATTGAATTTGCCACAGTTTATGTATGTATGAAGTAAAGTTTCGTTACAGTATCTGGATGATGTTTTTGATTTGTCGGGTGTTCTTGGATCTGATACTCAAATCATTTTGGTAAGCTAAAGCAAAACAGATGCCTACTAATGGAGCACATTTTGTGTTTAGGGTTAAGGATGACCATGCATGCTTTATGTTTAGAGTTTTTGACTGTACCATGAGCTTAGGATTAGGAATGAACATGCTATGGTGCTATGTTTTTAGGATTAGGGATCAGTGCGTTGACTTCGTTTATTCTTAATTCTTGCACTAGTATTTCCTCGACTTGATAACTCAACAACAGCTTTCAGATTTTCCTTTGCTCGGAAGTCTTACTGGTGAGTACACGTTTCTAGACGTTATGATTTTCCACGCTATCGAATATGGAATATTTGCTTTTTCCCCTCCTAGACAGTACATCACAAGATAGTTTCATCTCTTTGGAAAGTTTTCGTTCAACGGATATGATAGGTAACAAATTTATGGTATTTGGCTTAACTCATTTGTTGAATTATCGCCATTATTTGGTATATTTAGATTCTTCTACTCACGTGACTAAGATTGGGCCAATCCTGTTGGACTATACAAAGCGTGCTGTTTACCCTAAGATGTAAAGGTATAAATATTACCACCTCTTTCTCAGGCTATCATTTACTGCCCCCAAAACAGAGAGAGTATGGGAACAGGTTTACAATATTAATAATTTATTGATTTTGCTTGCTATTTTACAACGACAAATTTTTACAACTTACGTAACTTTTCTTACGAGGCAAAAAACTTTGAAAACTTTCACATAATAAGATAGATATAGTACAGTAATATGTCAATGATATTAGTCATATAATAACATTCCCGAGTCTATTTTACGTCATATGTCTAATTATCGTATTACATATTTCTGACTTTCATTTATTTTTCTCGATGTCAAAAGAGTTTCATTGCACTGCCGATCCTTGCATTACAAACCAATGAAGTTGTTTATAATGCTTAATGGCTCATAACAGTTGTATTGAGATCATAACTTTTTAAATAGCCACATAAAGAACTCGACCTTAACCCAAAACCTTGGCTAAATTTAAATAATTCTAACATTTTATTAAAAACAAAATAAATATTGGTTCCAATTTTGGATCGGGCGGACTTCGAGTAAAAAATATGTTGATTCTCTCTGTCATATTCATTTCCCTGCAATATATATATATATATTTTCAATTAAATATATTTATTTCCTTTTTAGAGTCCAGTGGTTAAGACCATTGTCCTTGATGACTCTCGAGTACGAAGTTGTTTGAGGCGTGTAGCTGGCTAAGCCCATGGAACGATGGTAGGCTTCTTGCATTTTCTGAGCCCGTTTCGCCCTTGTCGTCGCTTCTCTTTGGAGTCGCTGCGTTAGAACTGTGGGGGAAAAAAGTTGTAAATTATTTTGAACGACTCTTAATGGACTGCGATTTAAAAGTTGCAACAAAATTTGGGATTATGGTTTGATTGTGGGTACTAGGTGTCGATGAGTTTACCAATGAAACTGAAAGAACTGATCTTTCATCGAGTTATTGTGAAAGAATGTATTATAATGCTGGTTTTTGATAATCACTGCTTTGTGATTCCGATGATAATTTATACTTATCCGGCATATTTAAATCGATGAATTAATTTCTGAAGCGAAAGTTTTGAGATATAGAGCAAGCTTTGACTTGGCAAATTTTATTGACCTTATGTATCCGCAACTAAGGTCATTTGCAATGTGATTGGTACAATTTTTAAAAATAAAGCACTTTGAAAATATTTTATGCCTTCACCAACTATTGGCAGTGAAAATATGACAAGTAAACAAGTCACAAAAATTGCTGCTCTGTAACCGATCGTAGCTTGTTAATGTTTTTTACCTTCGCTATACTTCAACAATTCAAATTATTACTGTGCGTTGAAAAGTTAAAATTGCCCTGATCGAGCAACATTTAAACTTGACAAAAAAGCTCAATATCCTATTGTAAACATAGCCGTCAAGATAAAAATTCAAATATATGTTTATGTCATATACCTGGTGTTCCTGTAACGTCAGCATCATCGTCGTCTTCCAGGTTTTGAGAACGACGTGCTCGGATTTTATTCATTCGTATTTCCAAAATTTCGTCCAAATCATCTGAATTAAATTCTTGTTCATTGCCTTTCATCGTTTCGTTTTGCATTTTACGACACAGCGATTTGTAACAATAGGTTTTTTATCACTCTGATTGGCTGTTGTAGTCCTTCTTTCTTCGCGTTAACTGATTGATTTCGCGGCTTGTACTGCGTGTTTAAATGTTTCTGCATTACGTCATTTTTCCAATTTGAACCTCATTAATGCGGTGTTCAAGGCAACTATGTCATGAGTCGTGACGAAGCAGTAGACACGCTGCGTGCTTGTTTCCTTAACGGCGCCCACGTTGTTAAACAAAGTCCAATATTCGGTTTATATTTAGTAGAAGCAAACAAAGAAATCCTGTACATCAGCATGTATTTTCAACCCTGCTCGGCTCGCGCTTCGTGAGCAACTTTTTTGTAGCTCTGTTGGTTAATAACTTCATATCATGAACAAGGGAATAATTTCAAATTCAAAATAAAATTGCATACTAAATCTTTTCTTTCAAGGAAACACCGGGCGGCTGTTTAAAAATAAGAAGATCGACATGTTTTTCATTTTAGCGGAACCATTATTTGCGTCACTTAGAAAGAGTTTTAGCAACTATTATGTCTCTTTATTGTTAATAATTGGCACTGAACAAAAATTATCTTTGTGTAACAATGACAATCATTGCATGCAAATTGTATTAACAATCCCCTGTCATATGATCGGCGTCTCACCGGCAACAACCTCGCTTGTGTTCAGGTTTGAAGGTATTGTTTTTGAAACTTCAAAATGTCCTCATTCCGTGGAGATGCTAGACTAATGATGCTATACGCTTTCATCAGCCAGGGCCACACACCACTCACAAAACCGAGGGTTTGTGTCCTGGGATCGATATTTTGTAGCGTCTTTATTTGATAGAAAAGCTCAAAACTTGTGCCAGACCGACATTATCCTCTATCATGAGTTCCGCACCAACTTTTTAATACATATTTTACAAAAGCTGGGGGTGTGACACACCTCCACAATCCCCATAATGTGCGCACTCTACTTGTGTTATTCTTAATGACATTTCATTCGGCCAGTTGGCTCTCAATGCGTGCCGGGTAAAATGCGTTGAATAACAACGATAGGGAAGTTAAATGATAAAAAGGTCGAAATTTTCTGTCCGTACCCCTTTCGGAATGTTTGATGAGTACACAACAAATTTGTTTGAAGTACCATTATTTAATCGCGAAATAAATTCTATACTGTGTTTCGCTAATAACAACAGCGATACATCGTTGTGTATAGATTGTATGGAAGAGGGGGGCTATTTCCTCGAACTTCTCTCCTACAATACTTCCCAGGTTGTGCTGAGGATTCCCTCGATATTCTGCGTCTACCAGAATTAAAGTGTTCGTTCGCTTAACCTCACCCTGCGGTCAACCATTTCATCTTGGTTGACCCTGACCACTGAAAACGGTTTCGACAATTTTCCTTGTAGTAAGTAAGCAGTTGTTACGAAAAGATGTTCAAAAAATGAGTGACCCATTTCAAATACTTACATTATTTAACATTATTTATAGTTTTTTATTCAAAAAGCTAGAGAAAAGAAAACGTCAGATTAAGTGGTGTACAAAGTTCGCCGTGCTCATAGTTAGAATTGCTGACTAGTTCTTTTGAGGCGACGATACTTTGCTCACACTTTTATCAGTTGGCGCATTTGCGTTATGATACAATTTGTGATGCTGATGTTTGTTTATGATGTAGTCCACCAATGCGCATTTTAGTCGGCGTCAGCTTTTCCATGGTTTATTATGACGTTTATCAGATGTTTTCATCACGTGCGGTGTATAGATACCCATTCCTGTTGATCTCAGGTAAGCATTGCTGAACTTCTGTGCTTTTTGTTCTTGCGGACATTTCCCTTTGCTTGGGAGCATTGCCTGTGATAACAAAATCAATTATTGTTTGATTATCTTTGATGTGATTGCTTGATGATTTGCTGAATGAACCTTTCATAAATAATGATGATGATTACCTGTTGTGTTATCCTTGAATATGTTGGCGATATTATTTTGTTGTACATCATTGTAGGTGTTTTGTGTGTCATTCTCATCACTCAATATATCACCTGTGTCCACAGCCTTAGCATGTAAATAATCTGGTCTTTCAACTTGCCATTTTTTCATTGCACTTCTATTGTTCCAGCTATTTTTTCCATTCTTAGATTCTTCTTCCCCTATTGTGGAAAGGTTTGATATCAATGAACCATAGCATCAACTTTATAGAAGCAAGTAAGTTATTTTTTGAGTGTATAATATATATTTGATATTTTCATATTGTATTGTATGTGCTAACCTGTGATAAGTAAGGAAGCCACTATATTCTATGAAATGTGAACATAGGTGCACATTAAGGGAGGAGGGTTCTCTCATGAAATATTAAAAACTGATAAGGAAAAAAAAGTCAGTCTGACTTCAAATATAAGCGATAAAAAGTGGGTGCTAAATGTTGATCACCCTTAATTTTTTGCATGGCATGTGCACCCCTGTAAAACATATTGCAGTGAATAAGATCAAAGTCTTGTTCAAATTCCGTCTATAAACTCCTGTGCATATATATGAGTCTAAATCCCTTCTTTATGAGCTTAAACATGAGGGGGGGGGGCTTGTTTACGGTAGGGGGGACTAATACACAAATTACTTTACTGCAGTGACCTGTGAACATTACTACACTATTAAAAATATATGGATATATGAGCTTGTATGCATGTTGAATTATACCCATATCAAAAAAGATTATTTATTAACCCTTCCTTCTATTGCCTTATAAGATATCTAGCGCAAACTCTTCATTCTGCACCTGAGTATTTGAGACTTGAGTTAGTTGTGAACACTACCTTTTGACATGTTATATCTGGAGTAATAAGATTTTTGACTAACGTCCGATGCTTTCACTGGGTTATTGACACGTACATCTTTTCGTACACTCCAAACACCCTTAAGCATGTCTTTCAATGGAAAACAAACAAACATACTTAGATTTGCGAGGCAAGCAATTTTGAAAGAAGCGAAAAAATGCAATCACTCATTACCGTCCATTTGCTTTGTTTTTTCTTTTAAAACTTTTGCGTTACGATTGTTTTGAAAAACGTTGTTCGAAAATGTGTTCAAGTCTTTACTGAAGTGTCCATATCGCTCATTCACAGGTGGTCTACCCTCTGAAACGCAAATTAGCGGAAATTGTGTCAAAGGAGTCAAGACAACAGCGAAATATTGTTTACCATGAATTATGATTCGTGCACCTTTGCCTTTCTTTGTTTTTTTGTCACTTTTGCCACAGTCTGAATTTTCGTCCTCGTCATTTGACCAGAAAGAAAACATTTTCATTACATATTGTACAATTTTGTCGCTTCGAAGAGGAAAATATGAACTTTTGTTGTTATCATTGAAGTGAATACATAGATATATTTACTTCTATGGTTGTTATAGTTTCACCAAAGTTCTCTGTTTATCCACTGACCTTTACATTTAATACCTGGACCAAGTTAAGTACATGTGGATTTCGGATTTATCCAAAAATTAGTGTTGTTTCATTTTTGATGACATTTTTTTACACCAATATAATATCAATAATATATAAAAGATAAAAGTTTCTCCGGATTTCTCTCGTCGAGCAACGAGTCGAAAGCTCAATAAAAATCACTTAAAATCCGGAGAAACTTTTATCTTTTACATATTAAATGCCTGGATTACAATTTTCAAACTTAATATCAATAATATACAAATCTGTGATTTTTTTCACGGGAATATTAATTAGAGAAAGAAATTGCTGCTTTGAGTGATTCGTTCCCTATCCATTGAGATTATCCTAGTGAAGTGTAAAACTTATCTTTAGAGTTCACTGGTTTATCCCATGGTTTATCCAAATAAAAATTATGTGTCTAGAGGTCAGTGTTGGCATTGGTTACCATGACAAATGGCGTCCTTATCGTGTAATTGATTTTCTTCTTGTCATTTCGAACGAAAACGATGGGATTGTTCGATAAATTAGCCACATGGCTTGGCATAAAGAAGAAGGAAGCAAGTGTACTGTGTGTTGGCTTAGATAACAGTGGCAAGACAACGATAATCAATCATTTGAAGCCAGACAAAGTATTAAGATTCATCTATCTTACGCATTATAATCCAACTTATTAATATGAATTTTTAAAATCAGCTAACTGATTTTTTTAGGCGCAAACAACAGATATTGTTCCCACCATCGGATTTAGTGTGGAAAAGTTTGCAAGTCAAAGGTAATTGTAATTGTGTAAATTTTCCAAATGTCGGGCTGTTGTCGTGGTAACAACTGAAGTTTAATATTCCCATAGCTTGTCCTTTACGGTCTTTGATATGTCTGGGCAGGGAAAATATAGAAATTTATGGGAGCATTATTACAGGTAACTTTTGATTTTGACTTCTTTATTTAATGCAATAGCTGGTTGGTGAACCACTATGTATATGTGTGCTTGCATTGTAACATAGTTACAATTTACAATTATATTAACATAAATTACTAATAAACATTAAATATTGATTTATTATATGATTTTCCAAAAAAAATGAACAATACTAGGAAGACAAAAGTTTCACCAATCTTGCTGTAAGCAATGATTTGTTTGTTTCTCAGTTACAGCTATGTGTCATTAGTATAGGCTTCATTCACTGAAATGCCCAGGCTGTAATATTTAACATCGATAGGTGCCTTTGTTTACATAAAATTCATTCATCTGCTTCATACACAGGGATGCCCAGGCTGTAATATTTGTCATTGATAGCAGTGACAAATTGAGAGTTGTTGTTTCAAAAGAGGAATTGGATCTACTACTTAAACATCCAGGTCTTCATCTTGAATATTCTTAATGTAATTCTTGTAGACTACTTTATATTTTTTAGCACAATTGCCATGTTTGAAATGGCATTTTTGTTTTTGAGTGATATAACTTTACATTTTTCAGATATATCTTCAAGACGTGTGCCAATTCTTTTCTTTGCAAACAAAATGGACATGAGAGACTCATTATCATCTGTTAAGGTATTTACCACCAATATAGTCATTTTAGTGGATATGTTGATAGTGATTCAAGTTGCACCTCTCAAGTTAATTTTTTGAATTAATTTATTCCTTGGTTTCGAATATTTTGCATAACTAGGTCAGTAATGTTATGAAGCTCGATGAGATTAAAGATAAACCATGGCACATATGGTATGTAATAATGTTAAACATTATTGCTTTGAATGATGTTAAACTATCTTTGAAATAATATGGTCTTGGTGGTTTTTATTTCATAGTGCAAGTAATGCTCTGACTGGTGAAGGATTAAATGAGGGAGTCGAATGGTTGACAGGTTTTTGAATAAGCTTTTTTTACCAGATTTTTTATTTACATTGCTCAAATGTGGCAAGTTGTTGGTTGTTATAATTAAAGTTATATTATTTTTGGTAGATCAATTGAAGCAATGATGAGTCTATCCAGAATTTGAATTACTGTAGAAATATATTTGATGGGAAATTGTGGACTATCAATCCATTTGTTGCAAACTGCAGTCAGTCATCGTTTTCATATGTTCATGTGGGAAAATCGTGATTGGACAGAATTAATTTATTAGCATTGAAAATGATAAGGCAACGTTACAAATGAATGCGTTAAGTAGAATACTGACATATGTTAGTATGCTTGAGGGTATTAGACTACTAGTACTTGAATTATAAAATGTACAAAATTTTATCAAAATTTCAATAAAGTTATAATAGTGCTTACTGCTTTCTTCAAGTTCAAATAGACAGCTCGAGGATACTTTCAAAAGCCTAAAATTTAGTAAATATTATTGACATAGAAAGTTTATCCTTTATGAACAATATCTTACGAAATTTACGTTCTGGACGTTTGTCATTTACAATTTTTGTTGAAAATTTGTTAAACTTGAGTGAACGATCAGTTAGTACAGAGGTGTACATATTGGTAGTATTCATGTAAATTCATGTGTAAGCGTCAATTCATGTAAATTCATGTGTAAGCTATCACAACTTGGAATAATGTCTTCAGCTTCAATTTCACTTCCAAGCTCTAAAACAACTCCATCAAAAGAAGCAGAAAAGAAACTAAAACCTTGCTGTGCCTGTCCTGAAACGAAAAAAGAAAGAGATGCCTGGTTAGACATAATTATGCTTTAAACTTTTCAAATCAGGCTTATTTAGCACGGCTACTAGTAAATGAGTAGTAGTCATACTCATAGACATGACATTTGTCACGTTGAGTGGAATTGTTTCTTTACGAGGAACGACCACTAATTTCATCTGCAAACTAGTAAAATAATAAATTGTAAGCGATTTTACTACGAATTGTCCATGTTTCTGAAATTTCATGGTTAGTCGCTTTACTACTCCTGAACGAAGTATTACGTAATGTTTAATATTCGTAATGACGCTACAAGTCTCCTCGACTTCGGTTTTATTTGTTTGAAAAAATGTTGTTTGAAAATGTGGTTATATCGACTGGGTTCTGCTCTTCCTTTTTGTATTCCTTTGTAAATGCTTATTGCATCAAGGATATTTGGTCATGTGTAAACTGATGTGAAAGAACTCATTGGTTATGTCAATTGTCAACTATCAACTTTTGACTTGCAATCATGTTGCATGCCCACATCGGCTGATGTCAATAATAGCACTTGTATCATGAATTGCAAGTCAAGGATTGTTCAAGGCAAAGTTTCTTGCTCATAACATGGCCATTGAGTTCTTGTACCCAAACCAATGATAACAATGTCATTATTAGCATCTAGTCATGATCAAATCATTGCGAATAACGTTCAAATTCAAATAAGTTTTTAAACCATTATATTTAGCATAATGGAAAAGGGAGAAATCAATTGTCAAAGCTTGATTGAGGCTCATAAACAGTGCATGAGGCAACATGGATTCAACATATGACAGTGTCAAGGTACACCATTATCCACATTTCAAGTCAAGAGACTGTATATGACAAGTGTAAAATGCTCTGGCAATTTGTGAATTCTGTGTGATTTTTTGTTCATATGATAAATATGATAAACTTTGAAAGAAGCTCAATGTGTTCAATATAACATTGAAAGTGACATTGAGTCATATCTTCTAGGTCAATTGGACTTGTTGTCGTGTGTATAGTCAAGGATGTTGTAAAAGCAATTAGTAATATTTATCAACTTGTCATGTCATAGTTAATTCTAGGGTGAACATATGCTTGCAATATGTTTTGTAGATTTTTGTTATACTTTGACATTTAAAAATTAAAATATAATTAATAAATGTGAACTTGACAATTTCTTCAATAATCACAATGTTTAAAGCATAATCTCATGGTAATATCTGAAACTTGTATTTTGCCTTCTTGAATTTGGAAATAAAATTTTTCAAAAAATTTTCCGCCTTTTTTATGGCAAACGGCCTTAGCAACGTATAGCAACAGCCCAAACCAATAAAACTTTAAAGTTAAATTCAAGATGGCTTGCCATGAACAACATTTTGGAAACGTTTCGATGGATAAAAAACGTGTATGTCCAAGGAATGCATTAGATAGGGTTCAGTATTTAAAAAAAGTACAATATATAAGAAAATGGATGAAAGACATTGGTGGTTTGCGACGAAATTGCAAGAAACTTTCCATATCGGAGCTCACGACAGCCCGACCATGCTTGAAGATTTCATGGCCGAACAAACCACTTTGGACAGCATAAACGACTTTTTGGCGATTGGAGGACATACTAAACTGTTTTTCTACTGTCAAAAACCCTCGCAAAGTGCCAATGTTGTGAGAAAAATGTCTGTGACAAATACAACAGCGAAACTTCGCGACGTGTTAAACGAAGACTCGATTTGTCTGTACTTTCTTCGCTCGTGTGCGGACCATGTTATCGAGTCGTGTCGTGTAGAGAAAGAAGTATTTTGTGGCGAGATAAAGGAGAGTCCACTTCTTACGCTTAACTTACTTGTTGGCGATATTTTTGTTCCCATGTTGCGCGCTCGAGGAAATTGGGAGTGCACTGAAGAAAGTACATCAAATTTCTTCACACAATTTGACAAACTTGTTTCGAATTTGAACGAATATGCTTCAGCGTCAGTTGCCCCGCAGCCGATACTAAAGCGTACAGGAGTACAAATTAGCAATGACTTCAAGCAAAATCGGGCTGCTGCAGTCAATCCATTGGTCTTGGCTGAGTACGAGGCTTTGGTAAATGATTGGATTCACACAGTTGAAATAATTATGTGTGGTGGAATTGATGAAAAGTAAGGAAAGCTGTGAGCAGTAATTGTAGAATCTGCTTATGAATGGTTTTAATTAATGTATGGTTTTCAAAACTGGGTTTTAAAAATTTAATTAATTTATGCTTTTCAGACTGGGGTATTCATATCCACTGGGGTTGATGACCCTAGGGGAGAGGGTACTGTCCGCCAATATTTTGTCAAGTGTCCACTCCTGCATAGCCATGCTATTTAATTTAAATATAATTAATAGGGTTCACGAATGTTTTTTTTGCATGTAAATAATTCAACACCTTACTTAAATCACATTTACAAACGATCAAATAGAAGTTTGAGAAGTGTCATATTGTGAAGTCTTTCTTTTATGTTTTTGATCTTTTCTCAATTTTTAAGTTTTAGGGGTGGAAAGCTTTATCATATAAAGCTTATTATTGTTTTGCATGTATGACATTCTTTTGCGATTTAGTTATTCGTCTTTTTCATCATGCCTAGGCCTATAGATGGGGCACAAGGTCCTCTAAGTGAGTCTCAATTATGGCATCGCCATCAGAAACAATTAATTGGTATCACAGAGCAGCTCAAGAGCAAGGAATGCAAAGGTGTAATATCTATATTGATAGCTGGCAAATCAAGAATATTAAAAAAATGGAAATCTATTGATGCAAGGTAAAAAAATTTGTCAATTAATTTTTGTTTACAATGGTTTCCTTAGATGCTCTACTGTTGTGTCTTGATTAGAAGTGATCTGATTTTGAAGTTGGTTTTTATGTAGATATTTTATATGACTACCAGTATTTACACAACCTCTCTGTTAACACCATCTTTATTGACAAGATTCCTTTTGACAACATTTTTATCAACAACATCTTCATAGACAACATACTTATCTGTTGGCAGGATCTCTATTGGCTACTTTTTAGTGGCAGCATTTCCATTGACAACATTTTACCTGCATCTCCAATGTCTCTAGTGACAACATCTCTATTTGCAACATTTCTAGTGGCAACGTCTTTAGTGACAACATTTTTATTGAAAACATGTACATGGACACTATACCCATCTTCATAACATCTCATTGATTCCACAAACTTAGCATTACAGATGCATTTAATGAAACAAAGGACAAAGTCAAATACTTGGATGCGCTCAAGAGATTTTTCGATCAGCTATATCTCCCTAATCCAAATGTTTCAATCCTATCTAACTCAGTCCTACCTGGTTTGATGTCATGCATTCGACAAATGGATGCTATATCGCGGCATTATTGTCGTAATGGATATCTTGGAACGTTGTTTTCAAAGGTATGGGGTGATACTTTGAGCCTTGAAATTTATCAACTGGCTCTCTGTGACATTTCAAATTGTTATGAGCCTAATTTTTTTACTTGGCTTCATTGACAATCTGATGGACTGTATTTCAAAAGAGCAATAGTGAAAACACAGTTGGAAATATTTTTCCCCAATTCCTACCAGAAAAAAAACCATACAATTTCACCACAGTTCATGCAAGAGTAAAATAAGGTTAATTTAACCATGATCAACCCATGTATGTAATTTTTTTTTAACTGTTTCGAGTTTTTTCTTTTTTTTTCAGATAACCAACCAAATTGTGTGGGTGTTAACAATTTATCTTAGGGCATCTATCACAAGAGATGATGAGGATACATTATGGAAAGTGATAGATAATGAAGTTGAGGATATAAATGCTAGCCAAGTAGCGATAGCTGCAGCCAAGATTAGAAGCAAGAAAAAAATGGTAATGTACAGTTTTTCAGTGTATGCAATTGGTTCCAAACTTCTCATATTTTCTATCACAGCCTTTTTATTTGAGAAAGTTGGACATGTGATGTGATGTGGTATGATGTGATGTCGTGTCGTGTGTCGTGTGGTGCAGTTTTATGTGATCTAGTGTGAGTGACGTCCCGTGGCGTGACATGAGACTGATAATCAAGGAAGTCCATTCTCAATTCACCCATTGGTGAAGCTTCCAAAAACTGTCTGTTGATCTCATCTGTATCGACGTATCAATACGACCTTGATTGAATCGGTTTTTCGTTTGGCCATTTTTTAGTCAAAAATGTTGTTGTTTCTTTGCAGGCTGATGTAACGAATCCAATCCAAGAACAGAATACCAGTTTCTCCTCGCGCCTGAACTCGTGCCTTCTGCTGCAGAAACAATACCGTGACATGTTTAGAACACTGCGCGATACGCTGGGCGCTGTAAGTAGTGGTCACTCCTCTTTTGTACTTGCACCAGGCTCCAGTGCTGTTCAACACGTTGCGAAGAAGCGTTCAATTCTCTACCCCGGTTACAAGGCGAATTCGCAGACGAATGCTCAACGACTTCCGTCCAATACGTCAACTCTAGGTAATTTTGTTTTCTAACTCTTCTTGCATGCGACTTTCGAGACCTTTAGTTCATTTTATGTGTATCTATTTTTAACACTTTATGTTCATTATTAAAGTTTATATGACGTGAAATTTTTTATTGTGTTAAGTACGTAAAAGATCTTCTAAAATTTTAATGGACTTTCTTTTTAAAATGAATGTCTGCGCGTTTACTTCTACGTTATGTAAAGTAGAGATTCTTGTGGTCAGTCGTTTTCTAAGTAATATATTTATTTGCATTTATTTATGCTCGCCAATGTTACACAATTTTTATAACAACAAAAATTTTAGATATAAGTTCTCCAGGTTTATCGCATAGTAAGTTAGTAAACAAAATAGACACGATTTTAAGATGTGTAAATTGGGAGATGACTGACTTTAAATTCACCATTTTTTATATTACAAAAGTTTTCAATAGTACAAGAAGAAAACTTACAAACATTAAGGTTGGGTTTATATAAAATTATTTATTTAAAATAAAGTGATTCGTGTTGTTGTCACTTTCATTCGTATTGGTTATATTATAACCTCTTACTATTATTAGGCAACAGACTTAGAGATTCGGACTGTCCTAGTATGCAAAGTTCATTTGGAGTTTCTCTGTTTGATGAAGAAACCATATTTGCGACAATGGAAATGTTGTGTTCACGTGTTCGAAATATGCTGGACATCATTAATTCCCTTGCTCAGTTCTCCAAGCTGTGCAACGCTGTGAGTGATCTACCACGTCTCTCCCACAAGGACACAAAGCAAGAAGAGGGAGTTGTTGAGGATAATGAAGATGACGACGACTATGAACATTCCGATTCACTGCGTACGACCTCCGACCTCAGTATTGATGAAGGTATGTCTAGAGTTGTCATCATTAATGGTGGTGAGGTTATGTTTATGTTTACACGGACGGGAGGGGTTGGAGGAGAAGCTTGAGTAAATTGTTTCAATAGCATTTGTTATTCATGATGTTTTGTCAGATTTTTTCTTACTTTCAAATTTGTGGAGACACTGTCACGGAGATAAAGTTAACTTTATAGGAAATAGAAATGTTGTTTGGATATAAATGCATTTCAATCTTCGAATTTTTTTCTTAAGCGACGTCTCTTTGCGTCAAGATGTACTTGAAAATGTTTGTCAGATTCGATGCAACAATTTGCACCTGGAACACATTAAGAATTCTTCAATACGTGACAGTAAATTTATGATGTTGGTGTCACGTACATAAAAGTATTGTCATTGTGCTTAAACTAAGTTTCACGGGTTTTTCAATCTTTCCGAATGTTATCGTCAGCGAAATTTAAAAAAAAAATAAAGAATTTAAAGCAGCGCGATTCTTTTAAGTAGATTTTCGCTATGCCTAGTGGATTTTCAAAGGAGTGTGGGTATTAGCATTCCAGTTTACTATTTATTGGTTCCTATCAGCATAGAGTTCTTGGCTGAGTAGTTGAGGGATTCTCTCTTGGTAAAGAGTACATAGATTAAATTTTGTGTATTTCAGAAGAGGAAGTGATGAGTGAAGATTCACCAAGTTTATCACGTGAACTGTCCGTCATGCTACAGGATATAAGGGAGTCATTGGTTGAATCCATATCCACACATAGTTTTCTGAACATCCTTGGTAAAGATCGTGAGAAATTTGAACTTGCTTTCTCTGAATACGTCAACAAAGTTAATAAGATAGAAAGCATCGTATGCCAGTATCTCGATGTAAGTTTCTTTGTTTGAATTCACCATGGATGGATCGTGATATGTATTGTGTGCGAGGGGGATTATCTTTGGAATAGGTTTCGGTCGAACTATTATAGCTCTTTTATGTTAATGCTGTTCTCACAACAAAGTCTTAGGGTATCATACATTCATAGGCAGTGATGATCATTGAATGTATGCAGGATGTCAGACTGGCAGTCATGATCATTGAATGTATGCAGGATGTTAGACTGGCAGTCATGATCATTGAATGTATGCAGGATGTCAGACTGGCAGTCGTGATCATTGAATGTATGCAGGATATCAGACTGTCAGTCATGACCATTGAATGTATATAGGATGTTAGACTGGCAGTCGTGATCATTGAATGTATACAGGATGTCAGACTGGCATTCATGATCATTGAATGTATGCAGGATGTTAGACTGTCAGTCGTGATCATTGAATGTATGCAGGATGTCAGACTGGCAGTCATGGTCATTGAATGTATGCAGGATGTCAGACTGGCATTCATGATCATTGAATGTATGCAGGATGTTAGACTGTCAGTCGTGATCATTGAATGTATGCAGGATGTCAGACTGGCAGTCATGATCATTGAATGTATGCTGGATGTCAGACTGGCAGTCATGATCATTGAATGTATGCAGGATGTTAGACTGTCAGTCATGATCATTGAATGTATGCAGGATGTTAGACTGTCAGTCGTGATCATTGAATGTATGCAGGATGTCAGACTGGCAGTCATGATCATTGAATGTATGCAGGATGTCAGACTGGCAGTCGTGATCATTGAATGTATGTAGGATATCAGACTGGCAGTCGTGATCATTGAATGTATGTAGGATGTCTGACTGGCAGTCATGATCATTGAATGTATGCAGGATGTCAGATTGTCAGTCATGATCATTGAATGTATGCAGGATGTCTGACTGGCAGTCATGATCATTGAATGTATGCAGGATGTCAGATTGTCAGTCATGATCATTGAATGTATGCAGGATGTCAGATTGTCAGTCATGATCATTGAATGTATGCAGGATGTCAGACTGGAAGTCATGATCATTGAATGTATATAGGATGTTAGACTGTCAGTCGTGATCATTGAATGTATGCAGGATGTCAGACTGGCAGTCATGATCATTGAATGTATGTAGGATGTTAGATTGTCAGTCGTGATCATTGAACGTATGCAGGATGTCTGACTGGCAGTCGTGATCATTGAATGTATGCAGGATGTCAGACTGGAAGTCGTGATCATTGAATGTATATAGGATGTAAGACTGGCAGTCATGATCATTGAATGTATGCAGGATGTCAGACTGGCAGTCGTGATCATTGAATGTATGTAGGATATCAGACTGGCAGTCGTGATCATTGAATGTATGTAGGATGTCTGACTGGCAGTCATGATCATTGAATGTATGCAGGATGTCAGATTGTCAGTCATGATCATTGAATGTATGCAGGATGTCTGACTGGCAGTCATGATCATTGAATGTATGCAGGATGTCAGATTGTCAGTCATGATCATTGAATGTATGCAGGATGTCAGACTGGAAGTCATGATCATTGAATATATATAGGATGTTAGACTGGCAGTCGTGATCATTGAATGTATGCAGGATGTCAGACTGGCAGTCATGATCATTGAATGTATGTAGGATGTCAGATTGTCAGTCATGACCATTGAACGTATGCAGGATGTCTGACTGGCAGTCGTGATCATTGAATGTATGCAGGATGTCAGACTGGAAGTCGTGATCATTGAATGTATATAGGATGTAAGACTGGCAGTCATGATCATTGAATGTATGCAGGATGTCAGACTGGCATTCATGATCATTGAATGTATGCAGGATGTCAGACTGGCAGTCGTGATCATTGAATGTATGCAGGATGTTAGATTGTCAGTCATCATCATTGAATGTATGCAGGATGTCAGACTGGTAGTCATGATCATTGAATGTATGCAGGATGTTAGATTGTCAGTCATGATCATTGAATGTATGCAGGATGTCAGACTGGTAGTCATGATCATTGAATGTATGCAGGATGTTAGGCTGTCAGTCATGATCATTGAATGTATGCAGGATGTCAGACTGGCAGTCATGATCATTGAATGTATGCAGGATGTTAGACTGTCAGTCGTGATCATTGAATATATGCAGGATGTCAGACTGGCAGTCATGATCATTGAATGTATGCAGGATGTCAGACTGGCAGTCATGATTATTGAATGTATGCAGGATGTTAGATTGTCAGTCGTGATCATTGAATGTATGCAGGATGTCAGACTGGCAGTCATGATCATTGAATGTATGTAGGCCGATGTCAGGTTTTCAGTTAATTATCATTTGATTTCAGTTGCCATCCCGTTGATGTTGTATTTTCTGTTTTGCTGTAGAGAATTTTTGCATTGAAGCCAAACGTTGAAAGATCTTTGCAAATTTTATCCCGGTAGGAATAGAAAACACGAACGCCTCCTCAGGAATTCACTCCGTTTGTAGGTCATCAAACATACTGAAACGTCTGCGCCCTAGCAGTACAAAAATCATACACACGTGTAGTATGATAGGAAAGGGGAAAAATTGTAATGGGCGAATACGAGAAGGAATTGCGTGAATTATTATTTGTCAGGCTCGTAAGGTTTTATATAGAAATACTTTTACTTCGGCGGCATGCATTTGACACGCTCAATTAGGGGGTGAATTTTTGGTGGAAAAATTTTGCCAGCTCTTAAATAGACGGCATCGTCAGACTTTTAACTTTTAACATCACAGCCTATTTATATACAGTAGAGCATGCATATATAAGAGCATATTTATCTATGTGTGTTAAAATAAAGCGAAATAGATGAATGTTCCTAACTATTGGGCAACTAATCATGTACATTTTGATTGTCTGAAAAATTCGCTGTAATACATAAGCAGTAGTCTCTAAGAATGTTTCAACCATTCACCGAGCGGTTTAGCGGTTTTTCATTGCGTAGCAAATGTTGATTCGTACTGCGCATTGTCTGTTGTTGTTGCAAACAATGATGAAAGATTTTCTCGTCAAACGAAGTGAAATTCTACGGAATGTAAAGCATTAGATTTATATTTAACATATTTTGTTGTTTTCTTTTCCATTCTCACAGATTCGAGCATGTCGCTAACCGTCCGGGATTAAGGGCAATACTCTCCGAGAAATATAGTGCTGTGTTTTCAAACTTTGAAGATGTTCTCGAAGATGTTCAAAATCTGTATGAAACAAATAAGGTACACTGTCCTTCGGAAACGGAATGCGTCCAGTGTGATTCGGTTGGAGGGGGGCTTGAGTCTATTAATGTGTGTGCTCCTGTTTTTCCATTATGAATAAGTTCAATCAGTTAAAAGAATAACGCAGTTATTATAAATGGTAGTGTCATACTTACTGTTGTGAAATGAGATTTACTTCTATTTTCACTGAAATTTATTTTATGTTCCTGTGTATTGGCACAGGAAAATCCTCCAATTTTTCGAAATGCTCCCGTGGTGTCCGGGGCCATTTCTTGGTCACGTAGTTTGTTGAGGAAGATCGAAGAACCGATGAAGATATTTAAAGAAAACAAGTTCATTACTTCTTTGCGTGTACGTAACTACGTATATTTTCAATGCTATACATTAATAATTATAACGTATATGTAATTTATTTCGTATTTTAATATATTACTATAATATACTACAACACGGTAGAGGAGTGGAAATAGTTCTCAAATAGAAATCGATTTCTCGATTCAAATATGGCTCAATTTTGCAAGATTTTGTTGGAGCAAACTGAATGCATTCCCAAAAGTTCGTAGTCTGTATGCACGACTATCTGGATTCTTACAATTATTCATATATATATATTAGAAACTATTTTACAGGATACCAATTACGTTATATCTTGTCGGTGGCACTGTGTTCAATATAAAGTTAACTGTTGTTACTTTCTATTTTTTTGCAATCAAAATTTAAAATTGCCGAGGTTTGTAAAAGCGAAAAAACCTAAGTTTACTAAGGAGAAAGAAAATGCAAATGCAAAAAGAATAGCATTAAATCACACGTTTCGTGCGTGTTTTATTAAAAATTGCTGTATCGTTTCACTTTGAAGGACTTTGGTCGAATTGTGAAATTCTACAATCGGATAGCAACTGCGTTGGTGAAGTTTGAAAGTCTTTGGTTGAGCATGTGGAAGTCACGAATTGACAGCGCTAAAGTGGCATTGAAGTTACCGCTTCTTACTCGTCATCTTGATACGAAAGAACTCGTTGTGAATGCTGATGACAGGTAAATTGTAGTGTTCATGGTAATGATATATCGAACAAATTATTGGATGAGGTATATTAATGAGATAAAGAATTGAAAATGGTAGTAGCTGTGCTTACGTGGAAATGGGGTTAAACGTATCACTTTTCTCTTGTCCCCAGTATGTTCTTGCTTGGGAGTATAGTTGTGTCAATGCAGAAATCATTTGAATCAAGACGAATGTATGTTCGTACGACAGTACGGTTAGAGGTACAGATTCTAGAAGAGGTGTATTGGTTTGCTTTCAAAGTGTTTTCAGGGGCCTGTAGTTGATAGCCAACTGACTTTACTATATTCTTACTGTGCAAATTGCTGGCAGACAGAATGCACACATTTTCAAGTTTTTCTCTAGTGTGCGTTTTCCCCTACATCCCTTCCCCTCAGAAGCTCTGCCCCTGGATATAGAAGAGTACTTGAACAGAAAAAATAAAATGTTTGATAAATGGACGAACGTAAAATTATGCGCATGTCCTTTTTTCGAAACATTTTCATATGCCTACTGTAGCATTTTAGCCGCCCATTGAACGGATTTGTCTGATGAAAGATAACGAGGAAACCGGAAACCAAATGGGAGTTATTTTTGATGTTAAACTGAGTTATTATTGATGCTTCCATTTCCTTCTTGTTTAGAATCGTTGAACTCATACAGGATTGTAAGGTTTTGGGAAGGTTCGGAATATTGCTGCCAGAAAATGCTATGGAAGTCTTTCGTCAGGTGCAACATACAATTACTTAACTTACAATTTTGGTCTAAAACCGTAACTTTGCTCACTACATGATGTTTGATTATTGTCGTATTTACATTCACTACGTTTGACTTTGTCCATTTTGATCATACACGATACCAAAGCACAGTACAAACTGTAAATCATGCTTGGTCAACGAAGAAAATCTTGTATAAGTTGTTATCTTCTATCGTGTTACCTAGATGGTCGCTCTAAATGCTGGACTACAACTACCATTCAACGAGATGCTGTCTTGTGTAGTTGAATAAACATCTGACAAACCTAAAGTGACTTCCTTGCGTTTCACAGCTTGAATTTCTTTTCAAGCCAAATTGGTTCATTATTTAACTCCATCCATCGTATTGTGAATGTTTAAACAATATTCTTATATAGGAAAGTCGTTTCAAGAATTACAAGCAACACTTGGAATGTCTCCTGAAGGACTACTCCACCATTTGTGCTATGGTAATTCAGCCTTTACAGAAGCTATTGCTACCGCATATGGAGTCCGTTGTTCAATACCTACAGCCCGGACTATCAACTCTCGCGTGGAACAGTATGAACATTGATGCCTTCTTACATCAAGTACGCCTCGCCAACGGACGACTTCGCACTGTCGTTGAAAGTGTAAACAAGGTGAAGCTTAAATGCGAAGTTATCATGAAATATTAAAGGCCATTATTGCATAACACTACATTTTAAACTCTTGTGTTTTGTTTTGTACGAAAAGATTGTCGTGTCCCTTAAAAACATTTTTCACTTTTGAATGTAATAAAAGAGAGGTGAATGGTAAGATGACCTATTAAAATGACCTAGTCAAAAATAATTGATAAAGTCACTAATTACATTAATGAACTAAGGTCATGCTTCGCTAACGAGGCTATAATTTCGAGCAGCATTCAATCAGCGAGTCACCCAAGTATCAAAAGCTTAGAATCCAATTTAGTGCCTGGCTGTTTTCAATTTTTTCAAAATTCTTTCATAAGAACTTTTAGAGGTCAAAAGTCAAAGGTTTTTTATTATTTATACAGAGAAAGGGATACGACCAAATTACGATGCCTGTGGTTTGTGTTTTTCATAAATTGAATAGCAACTGTGTCTGTATGTATGTTTGAAGGAATAGGGAATTGAAGGAGTTGAATGCAATTTGAACTGTGTGTATAATCTTGGAAATTTCACTGCTATTTCAAACAAAGGCAAATGAAACACGAACGATGGAAAAATGCAGCTTTGATTTTTCACTTAAGGAGTACTCGATCATTTCTGGTTGTTATGAGATCAAAAAGTCAAAAGCTCTTTTTGTTTTCTATGTAAAAAGATAAGCGCAAAAAACAATGTGAATGCACGATAGCATATTAAAGTTCGTGAGGAATGAATTTGTTTTGTTACAGGCCCAATTAAAATGATAATTGAACATTTTAGGTTGTCGTGGATGGAATTTACCAAACTGTTGCAATGTTAGAGAAGAGTATATTGTTTGATGTTGACCTGGCATTTGAGAAACGATGGCGACCTGACGAATTTCTTGATGAATTTCGAAAAAACATACAAGAAAAGAAGAAAAATATTTTGTCGATGTTGAAAAGTGTTGATAACTCAGTTCAAGTAAGACTGCCTCTGACTAATTGTATGACTGGATGATTGACTATCTTAAGAAATCTAAAGACCGTTTTGAGTTTACTCGCAGTTTTATATTACGCACGACCAAGTGTATGATGTCACTTTCAAGTATAGATCTTTTTCTGGGTAGATTTGAAATTAGTGTACTTCTTGAACAATTATTTAAAATCGTGGCCATAGATTTGCCTGGCTGAAAACGGGTTTTTAAAATAAATATGAAATGCCAACTTATAATTTTTAGTATGTTTGTTACATTTGGTATCTTAGTTATATTTAGTAAATGTCTTAAGTCACAGACGCAGCATCACTCATTAAAAAACCTTTACACCAAAATTGCTCTATTAAAAGTTGTATGTTGGCTCTCGTATTTATTATAAACATAATTTGTTAAATATGAGTTATTATATTCCAACCATTACATTTCAGGAAGTTATAAACCTAGCAGCATACCATCGCTCAATGTCGCCTTTGTCTCCAACGCAAACTCCGAGGCACATTAATTCCCCCAGGTCTCTTCATGCTAGTGTCCGGCCTGGTACACGTGTTAGTGGTGTGACTGAAGAGAACATCGTCGCCGAGATTTACACGCATTTTTCTGGCTTATCTCACGACGCTTTACTTCGGTGTATACAAAGATCGCTTGAAATCTTTTATCGTTCTGTGTGTCCACCGGATTTGATCAGGGATTTGGAAAAGTGGTATGGATTTTGCTTTCATTTTGTAATCTTCTTTAAGTGATTTTGAGGTATTTAAGGAATTACTGTTGTAAATCTTAAATTGGGACACATCAGCTGTTGTCATTTTGCATGTTTTGTATATTTACAAAATCTGCAAATTGTAAAAGTGGTCAAGTATAGATTTGTGAGATCACAAATATTGAATCGTTTCAATTTGCCAAAATCATGTTAGCGTTTTGCTGAATTTCATGTTGCACGGGCTCATGTACGTAATAGCTCCCCAAGCTCTATGTGTTAGACACTTTTGCTTTAGTATACTCTGTATTAGATTTCTGATTCTATTAATTGAATGATTAAGTAATGGGCTTGAACCCTGGAGTATTGTTATATGTTTGTAGATGTAAATCGTCCAGGTTGGTGCAGTCTGGCGAAAGACTGTTAGTGTTGACTTACGTTTCGACAACAACCTCTGTTGTGACACAACTGCACACATAAAATGAATAATGATAATGCGATGTTAGTTTTGTAGGGTGGGATTGACTCTAGTCATTGTATTTATTTTTCATTAGCTGTGACAGCACCTCTCGTCCATCATCGGCTGCGTCGTCTTCATTGTCATCTTCATCAGAATGGGCAGTACTTCATACTTCATCTCAGTTACTCCAGTTTGAAGTTGAGGTCAAATTCGACATTCCTTATATAGTGATCGCGCCCACATTAAACGTAGTTCAATCTGCTATTGATGATGTCGTTCAATGCTTGCTCGAGGTTTACAAAGACATTAAGACACGAGCTATTGACCCCAAAGAAACATTATATCAGTCAATTATAGAAGACACCAAAGTCAGCACTATAGTGAGATACATTTCGGATGTTGTTACATGTATGTATACGCTCCATAATTATCACTATTTGCTCTTTCTTTTCCTTCCTATCCCTAACATACTTAAATGACTATTTCTACAAAGGTTTTTTTCGTCTCATACGTATGTCGTTTTTGAAGTTCGAAAATGAAATTAAGATGACGTTTGTCTTTATTGTGATGTGTGTTTTGAGTTGATTTCTAAAGAAAAGTTTGTTGATGAATTGCTATGAAACACTGCGAACTCCGTTCCGCTCAATCTCATTAAATCGATGTTTTCCTTGTTTCACGATTTGATAGTCTATGTATTGTGTTTTTTTCCATCTAAGTCAGGCTTGCTAAATCAAATGCTCCAGTAACATTAAATAAATCCATGTAAAAAAAATGTGAAAACGCACGTAGTCACGTAAAAATAAAATAAGCGTATAGGCACGTTAGAATATGTGAAAAGCATAGTTAAAATTAAATCGGGAAAACATAGTCAAGTAAAAATAAAGTGTAAAAACGTTAATGTGAAGATAAAATGTGATTAACAAAGATAAAATGTGTAAAGTCAGGATAAACAAAGATAATTTTGAGTTTTAGCAATGAAAAATAAATGGTTTTGATCTACGTGAATGGAGCAGTGCAAACTTCTTGCCACTCAATTTGCAAGCTTCGTGTACTAGATACTTGTATTTTTTCTATGCACAGCAGAATTTTCGTATTGTAGTTTGCTGATTTTTGATAACCTTTAACCCGTGACAAAGTTATTCGTTGTAGTGGAAATATGTTCGTAAGAATTTGTATGATTCAGCGAATTTATTCCCAATTGACGTTGAGTTTTTGCAAAGTGCTGCTCAAACATAAATCATTCCTTACAGGCCTTCGAACACCTGTTGATCGACAAGTTTACGTTTTCATCGATATGACTTTCTTTGGAAAGAAGACATGCACGCTTTGTATCAAGCGTTTGTCGATACTGAGCCCAGTCCAGACTCGTTTTCCAGCGAAGTAGATCGCTTGCAAAGCATTGAAAAGGAAATCCTCTCTGTGCCTGATGTTCTCACTGTTGGATCGGTGTGTTTAAATACCACTCCAATCAAGGATGCACTTCATGCGTTTTCTGTTACATGGAAAACGAAATACTCGACTGAACTCCACGAAACTGCAAGGGTATGATTAGCCAGAGCCAATGACCTAGAACCCAATCTACTCGACATCTGACTCCGCCAAAATTCTATTGTTACAAGTGAGGCAGGCCGCTATCTTGAAAGGTGGTAAAACTGACGATATTGACGACTAATTCCTGCTTTTCCTGAATCGATATTCTGTTGCAGAATTGATAGTCTATATTTGATTTTTAAAATGTTTTATATGATTGGTTTTCAAACTTTCTTTTAGCGTATTTTCCATTTTGAGTTTTATTTTTGCCACCTTTCAAGATGGCCTCCTTGCCTCACCTGGACTCGGTAGTTAGACATCTAGAGATTGGGTTCTAAATCATTGGCTACAGCGCATTAATTTATCTCAAATATTGGGCAAACTACATTTAGTTCATGATGCAAGCATGCTAATCCTTTGTTATAAATAAGTGGAAACTAGTTTCATTGTTATTATATAATTTACAGTGAGCTGCTATTATTCAACCTTTGATAGATTCAGCTCATGACTAAAATATAAAAACATATCGTTCATAACGCTCTGGGCCTGATGTTTTGCTTTGTGTGTGTATAATGCCCTTGAAAAGGCTGTCACACAATGTACTGCATTATCTTCATATGAATTGATAATTTCTTTTACTCTTTGCTACTGAAGTGGAGTTTATTCGTCATGCCCTTTTACTACCTTTCTTCCATCAAATTTGTTGCTTAAAAGTAGGAATTTACCTGGTATTTATTATTTTCTTCTTCTAGATTGATCTACAGCAGTTGATAGAATATCGTCAAAAAATGCAAGAACGTTTGTCTCATAAGGTCGTAACGTTGGAGAACTTGAATGAAACTATAAAAATGCTTCAAGAACTCAGCGATAAAGATAATGTGATTGATGAAGTTTATCTGCCAGTTGAGAAGAGATATATTATGCTAAGGTAAGTATCAAGATTCAACTTTATGGTCATTGAAAAGAGGTTTATAGAGAAAAGGAAATAGAGAAGTTTATTTGTTATTATATTTAGCCTGTTTTGGGAATGATTTTTGGGACTGCGTTCTCTACAGATATCACTGCTTTAGCCATTGCCTAATCAATAGACTTGTACTGCGACAACCAAGTTATCAACTTATGTGACAAAATTGGCGTGAAATTGGATTAAGTGGCTAAGAATGGACAAAACTTAACATAAGTATTTAACCATCTATAAAGCTAGTCTCTAATACCAATTGATAATTTTAGATTTAAAGACAGTTTTGAATTGATCATCGTTCCATCGATATACCGTTTTATATTCATTTATTTTGGTCAGAATTCTTGTGGTTCATTATTGACGTAGTTTCGGTTAAACATACGAATGGCATTAACAACGCCTTTAATATCAAGTAAAGGAATACTATATTTTGTTTGTTTTGTCTGTTTTCGTTTCCTAGAAAGTATGAGCTGTCATTGCCTAGGAAAGAAGTGGAAGAAGTGAATAGTTTGAGAGAAACCTGGAAGAATCTGATGGATCTTGCCGATAGGGTAAGTTGAAACTAAAATTGTTCATTCTTGGTTGCCTGAAAATAATCAAGCAAGTAATATATTTGCTTGCTGTAATTTATGTATGTATTCTTATCTCATTTTATATATTTACGTTATCTTATTTTAAGGTTCAAAATGAACTTATGGTGGAGAAAAGAAATATATTTGAACAGGAATTGGATAAAGAAGTCAAAGTATTATACGTGTATATGTACATTATACGTTTGTGTAAGGAATATTTACGTGCGAGAGAATGTTAGGATCTATTATGAGAATATCTACAGCTTATTGACAAGTGTTATCCTTCTATGAAATGTTAAGTCAAATCATTGTTCACTTTGTTGGGTATTATGCTGTGACTGGTACGGTGATGCCGATACTGACACTAGTTAGGCAATGATGCTATTTACCAATTAGGTTTTGTTGTCGGTACTTTGAGACAGTTTTTTGTAATCTTCTGATGATGTTCACTAGTGAACTGGTGAACTCTCGAGCAAGGTGATGCAAATAGTATTTACTTAGGTTGTGGTGATGGTTACTTGTTAAGATAGGGTGACAGCACCTATGTTACTATTTAGGAAATTGTGATAGCACTTAAGTTACTAGTTAGGAGCTGGTGATAGCACTATGTTACTAGTTAGGAAATGGTGATAGCACTTATGTTACTAGTTAGGAGATGGTGATAGCACCTATGGTGTATTATAAGGTAACTTGTAATTTGAGTTGATTGTGGGGTGTGCGCTAGTGAACTCCCTGGCAAGGTGATGCAAGTACTAATTAGTTAAGTTGTGGTGATGGCTACTATGTAGGAGATGGTGATAGCACTTTTGTAATTTGGTTTGTCACTAGTGAGATGATGATGTTCATTGACTTTGTAGCAAGGTCATTACAGGATGATAACTAGTTTAGTATAAGTAAAAACGTTAACAGAATGATGTTCTTTGTAGCGTTTCGTGGTTGACGTAATACAGTTTCGTAACAGTTTTGACTCGCAAGGTCCTGGTATACCGGGAGTGCAGCCAGCTGATGCTGTTGAAAAGTTGGCTAGATTCCAAAGTGCTTATTCCGAATATGAAGCCAAAAGGAAAATACTTGATGCTGTTCAATTGTTGTTTGGTCTCACTCCAACTCAATATCCTGAACTTGATAGAACTGGCGAGGTAAGCATCCGAACACCAAAGGATTTTTGATGATGTTTTATCTGTAACCTCTTACAAGTGTATTCATATCTATCTGCATTTAGTCCGTGCATTTCTATTTCTATTTCGCCATATTTTAAAATGTTTTTACTCTCGTATACCTCTTGATGTCATTCCGTCTCGCGACGATTCACGTGGAAATGTTTATGATTTAAATTTAACTACATTCTTTTTTATTATAATGTATTTAGGAGCTGGTACTTTTAGGCCTCATGTATGGATTGTTTCAACAGTACATTTCCTTTGACGAAAGGTATACGTAACTCTATGTCTTTGAAGCAGTGACGTCCACAAGGCGATGAGGAGTTTTGCCTTTTCCTCGTAAATTTTAAAGAATGTATTTCTAGAACTTTATTTAGCGACAATGTAAAAACAATAACATTTTAACACGAACATTGACCTGAGCCACGTTGACTTGAGCTACCACTCTTTCCCCTCAATGTTTTGTCAAGTGTCTGCCTCTTTAGTGAAATTGCACTATTTGTTATTGTTGTGAGAGGGGGAGGTGGTCCTACGGCCACCTATTTCTTATCTTAATAAAGCGTTTATGGCTATCACAATAGTCTATAGCTTTTCTCCGTGTTTTTTTACTATAGGTTCCGTGAAAAACTGTGGGCAGAAGTCAACTTGATTAGTGCAAACCTTGAAGTATGTTTTTCATTATGCTAATATATGTTTGTCGTTAATTGTTTAGTCTGTCGTCTTTTTTAAAAGTTTTATGTTAGCACGTAATTCTTTCGAGTCTTTTCTATCTAGATTCTTTCGTGCTTTTCTATAACGTTTTCTGTATTGTATTGTATCGTAGTTGGAGGAATATTGGCAACAATGCTCAGATTTACCCGAAAGGATTAAAGAATGGACTGCTTGCAAGAACATGAAGTCATACATCAAACATTATCTTGATGTCTTTCCCATACTACATAAACTCGCCTCGAAAGTTCGTATGTGCAAACTCATATAATATTGTTAATCTAAGTCCTGAAGTCTTTATCACTTTTGTGTAGGAGATTCGCAATCGTCATTGGCTTCAAGTGATGAATGTGACTGGCTCATCGTTTCAACTTGAAGCAAACGTGTTTAAGCTGAAGAACCTTCTTGATATTGATCTAATCCAGTAAGTGAAGAATAGTCTATAAGAATATACAAAATATTGGTTTATAATGTCAAAAGGAAAGTCAAAAAGAGAAACGATCAATAATACTATGTAAGAAAGAGAGAGTCGATTAGAGAAACCAACTTTTTTTATATCATGGATGAAAGAACAAGTTAGAGAAGACCAATAAATGCAATCACGTAGCCAGCCTGCAAGTTTGGTCTTGTCATTACATTATTTTTCTTGTAGTTTTTACAGTTAGTAAACACTGAAATATTTATATACCACCGCCAAATTTATTTCCTGCTGCCAGGCTATGCCACCGAATACTTGTTTTATAATTCTTTGTATAAAAAAGAGGCTGTTTGAAAATGTATTTATTACTGTGTGTGGGAGAGTAAGTTTGAGAATGTATATACATATACATTGGTGTCTATCTTTAGGCATGGCGATGAAATTCAAGGTATCTGTAATAGTGCAAGTCGTGAACTGGAGCTTGAGGTGAAAATGAGAAACACTGAAGAGGAATGGACGGAACAGGTGAGTATTACTCATTGAACTAATTGCATCTGAAAGGCTACTTCCCTACAAATATCTGAAGCTAGCTGGTTAACTGGTCCCAATCTTTCCATTTACGATCAACATAAAGCTAATTCAGACAGTAATCTATGAGATGGAGTCTGGAGGTGTGAGTTGGTGTCTGGATGTAAAATTTGCCTTCGAGCAAGTACATGCATGTTTAACTAAAGTAGTCTGCATTTATATATTCAGTTCAATGCATGGTATTACCATATGTGAGAATTTACCGAAATGCTCTGATTGTTAAGCTGCTGCTTTTAGGAAGAACTAAAGCGTCTTTCTATAGGTTTTGCAGTTCGAAAAGTTTAAAGATAGCACGGCGTACTGCTTGAATAATCAACACACTCAAAATTTACTTGAGCTGCTTGAAGATGCCCAGAGTACACTGGCAATGATGTTGACATCAAAATACATAGGACCGTTACAGCATGAAGCTGCTATTTGGGCGATGAAACTGAAAGAGATTAGCGAAGTTCTTGAACTGGTAAGTTTCATTCTTGGAAGCATGATTTTACAGTCGTGAACATGCAACCGTAGAAAGTCTAGCCTTTTGGATAAAGGCGTTATGTTCAAAAGGACTTATTTAAATTGGTATAACTTTTTTAATTGTTCGTCCACTCGTTTAAACTTTTGACATCAACTCAATTAGCCCTAAGTCACCATATATTTATTTGAAAGTTTCTTGGAAAATCTGTTCGAGTGCAACTGGTTTTGTTTTATCAATGGAGCTCAATTATCTGGCAGTTTCATTGTTTACAATTATCTCTTCTTAAATAAGTCACTCGACGTAATGACTTTTGAATGATTATGTTTTGATTTTCAACATAGTGGCTTGCCGTCCAAGATTTTTGGCGATATCTCGAAGCTGTCTTCAGTCATCCTGTTGCTGTTAAGGTTAGTGTGTTTTCACCGGAAGGTTAGTTCATATATTTTTCATGTTTTATTTTCTGTGTACATCTCTCTACCAACCAAGCACAATCCTTTTTGCTCCTTTGTGTACTTATCTTGTTCATATCTAATTTATGTTAATAGTTCATACAACTTCATTATAATCCATAGGAATTACCTCAGGAGTATGCCCGGTTTGCAAAAGTTGACAAAAGTTACATGAGAATGACAAAGCGGGCTCTTGATACCAAAAATGTTTTACAGGTGATCAAACTTGTACTTTACTATGTAGTGCAGCATACGTGCATGTGTAATAATCTACTTAACATCAGTAAATCTAGAAAATTCTGTTGTGGTTGCTCAATCATAAATGTTTATAAATGAGAAACTTAAATGAAAAAACGATTATGTTCACAGTGTTACAAATATGTGTATTTGTGAGACGTCAAAGCGGCCATTTGGTTAATTTCTTGCAGACGCCGATGCTCGATAGAGCAAGGAATCTAAATAAATTCTTGTCGCTGTGCGGGTTTTTCTACCAACACGGCAGACAGTGAAAACACAGTGCTTTTTTAAGTTTTCACGTCTAAACCTGCACACACTGAGCTTTTTCAGTGAAAGTGTTTTTTTTGTTGTTGTTCGTGTAGTGTTGTGTTGGTGGTGATGTGCCCAAGTTACAAGTATTGAAACATCTCAACGAAGAATTGGAGATTTGCTTCAAGTCACTTTACCCTTATCTGAACGAAAGACGAAAGGTACAATGAAAGGATTTTATCTATTCTATATCATACTCACATATATCCAAATAAAATCATATCAAAAAAATTGTGCGAACTGAACATGAATATAATTTTGCCCACATGCGTTTAGCAGTTAGCAATATATGTTTCAGTTGTGCGTTACTAATACACCTTACGTTACCTATGTATGTATAGTACGTTACCAATATATGTATAGTACGTTAACAATATATGTATAGTACGTTAACAATATATGTATAGTACATTACCTATATATGTTTAGTACGTTGGCAATATATGTTTAGTACGTTGGCAATATATGTTTAGTACGTTCAATATATGTTTAGTACATTACCAATATATGTTTAGTACGTTAACAATATATGTTTAGTACGTTAACAATATATGTTTAGTACGTTAACAATATATGTTTAGTACGTTAACAATATATGTTTAGTACGTTAACAATATATGTTTAGTACGTTAACAATATATGTTTAGTACGTTAACAATATATGTTTAGTACGTTACCAATATATGTTTAGTACGTTAACAACATATGTTTAGTACGTTAACAATATATGTTTAGTACGTTACAATATATGTTTAGTACGTTACCAATATATGTTTAGTACGTTACCAATATATGTTTAGTACGTTGACAATATATGTTTAGTACGTTAACAATATATGTTTAGTACATTACCAATATATGTTTAGTACGTTACCAATATATGTTTAGTACGTTACCAATATATGTTTAGTACGTTGGCAATATATGTTTAGTACGTTGACAATATATGTTTAGTACGTTAACAATATATGTTTAGTACATTACCAATATATGTTTAGTACGTTAACAATATATGTTTAGTACGTTAACAATATATGTTTAGTACGTTGACAATATATGTTTAGCACGTTCCCTAATATACCTTTAGTACGTAAACATTTATACATTGAGTACGTTGCCAATATACGTCGAGTGCATTACTGATTGTGAGTTTATTTCTGTTTCTCAGACGTTTCCGAGGTTATATTTTGTATCAGATCTTACTTTACTGGCTATTCTGAGTCAACCATTTGTCTTCAATTCTGTCAAACCTCATCTAAAGTAAGTTGAAGCAAAATATATGATATTATATCATAGAATTCCTGTTTTTTGATGAAAAAGAATTTAAATTTTAATCAAATCCACCTGATTCAGATCATTGTTTGTGGGTTTCACTGACGTAACAGTTACTCCACGACCAGACTTGCCCAGACTTTCCTGGAATGTTCTTGCAATGAACATAAAGAAGACAACAAAGGTACATCATATTAATAAATTTATATTTAACTTTAAAAAGAAAGGCAGTTAAGATGAACTCGGAAAGGTTGGGAGTGTATGATATTTATTTATGCTCGCTTCATTTTCAACCGTAGTTTTTGAAGTATTAAACTAAGTTATGTGTATGTTGTTTTTACCGAATCGCTAACTTTTTCTCTTCATAAATTCTTGATATATAAATTCACTGTTAACCTTGCTTTATTACAACATAATAACTGTTGCCCTTTCTTCATTACTAAATGACCATTCTTAACCTGGCTTCACTGCGAAATGATAACTGTTTTCATTACAAAATAACCACTGTTACCCTTGCTTCATTACTAAATGACCACTGTTACCTTTGCTTCATTACTAAATGACCACTGTTACCCTCGCTTCATTACAAAATGACCACTGTTACCCTCGCTTCATTACTAAAAGACAACTGTTAACCTTGCTTCATTACTAATTGACCACTGTTACCCTTGCTTCATTACAAAATGACCACTGTTAGCCTCAAGACAACTGTTAACCTTCATTACTATGACAACTGTTACCTTGCTTTTACAAAATGAAACTGTTAACCTTGTTATTAAAAATGACAACTGTTAGCCTTTTTCTAAATGTCCACTTTACTTGCTTCATTACAAATGACCACTGTTACCCTCCTTCATTACTAAAAGACAACTGTTAACCTTGCTTCATTACTAATTGACCACTGTTACCCTTGCTTCATTACAAAATGACCACTGTTAGCCTTGCTTCATTACAAAATGACAACTGTTAACCTTGCTTCATTACTAAATGACAACTGTTACCCTTGCTTCATTACTAAATGACAACTGTTAACCTTGCTTCATTACAAAATGACAACTGTTAACCTTGCCTCATTACTAAATGTCCACTTTTACCCTTGCTTCGTTACTAAATGACAACTCTTACCCTTGCTTCATTACTAAATGACAACTGTTATCCTTGCTTCATTACTAAATGACCACTGATACCTTTGCTTCATTACAAAATTACCATTTTTAACCTAGCTTCATTGCTAAATGACCACTGTTACCCTAGTTTTATTTAATAAATGACAACTGTTAACCTTGCTTCATTACAAAATGACAACTGTTAGCCTTGCTTCATTACTAAATGACAACTATTAGCCTTGCTTCATTACTAAATGACAACTGTTAGCCTTGCTTCATTACTAAATGACCACTGTTACCCTTTCTTCATTACTAAATGACCACTGTTGACCTTGCTTCATTACTAAATGACAACTGTTACCCTTGCTTCATTACTAAATGACAACTGTTAGCCTTGCTTCGTTACTAAATGACCACTGTTACACTTTCTTCATTACTAAATAACAATTGTTAACCTTGCTTTTTACGATATGACAGTATTGGCACTTGATACGCTTGCTTCGTTACGACATGATCTCTGTTACCCGTTGCTTTATTACGACTTGATAACTGTTACTTTTGCTTTATTATGAATAGACCAATTTCTTTTTCTTTTGTTTTTGTATTAATTCTTTGAAAGTGCATTGCAAAATGCAAAATACGCTAATGCATTTACGCCTATATTTTAGGATGAAGATGATCAATTATCCAACCATATTATACCACCATTCAAAAGGTTGTCGCAAGCTACGCATTCAGAACATGACTTGGGACGTGTTATTAGTGGAAATTTTTCCAATTGTTTTTCAACGTCTTCTAATATCGGATGGAAAGTTGTATTTAATGATGCTGTTGCTGTTGTCACAGAAGAGGGAGAGAGTTTTCCGTTGAAGAAAGAGGTTAACTTTCATCTTCCTTGGGAAATGTTAAATTTTTTTTCAAGGAAGCATTTATCATTGGTTTTCTTACGTGTAAATAAACGCAAAATTCATTGAATCGAACACCGTACTCCATTTAACTTGAATAATGTATATCTAGTATAAATGAACGACTTTGATTTTCACCTGTGGAAATTCACTCTATAAGAAAAACATTCGAAACTTTACCGGATTAAGGACTTAATCACCTGCTAGTGTTTTGTACCATAGAATATCTTAGTGGTTTTTGTGAGGAATTATGCTTTTCAGGTTTTTCTTAATGGTGATGTGGAAGTATGGTTAGCGGATTTATCGTCGGTTCTTCAGGAATCAGTTCATGATGCTATTTGTAGTGCTGTGGAGGAGGCAAAGACAGCAAACTACATTGATGATATTGCACATAAGGTAGAATAAGCATTTATTACTTTAGGCAGTTTGTTATTGGTTTAAATACTAGTTGAATCTGATAATAATAGATAATAGGAATGATGTTGTAAATTGCCATTTCTTACCGTGACTCTATGATATCTACATACTAATTTCCACTGATGCGTAAGGTAATAGTCTATTGCCTGTGCTCAGTTGGAAAAGTTCTGTCGTGTTTAGCCGATTGAATAACATGATCGATAAACAATGCTTGCTACAAACTAAATTGTATCTTGCAAGTCTTTGTTGACATGTAATATGGCAATGTAATATTCTAACTGTATTTGCATGAACTTGGTTCTCGAAAATATGAAAAAATTGTAGCAAAAATTCATGACTGGAATACATACTTACAGCGTAACTTATGGCTTAGTTCTGGATTATAAACTTTTCTCTTTATCTTCTAGTATCCATCTCAAGTTGCTTACCTTGGATTGCTGTACATGTGGACTAGAGAATGTGAAATGGTAACCTCCACAAAATATTTGTTTCTCTCTGTAATTGTTTGTAATCTCTGCTTAATATAGATATCTTTCTATATTACAGACATCTCTCTAATGCAGATATCTCTCTCTAATTCAGGCGTCTCCCTCCAATACGGACATCTCTCTTTATCAAGAAATATCTCTCTAATACAGACGTCTATCTCTACAGACATCTCTCTCTATTACTGACGTTTTTCTCTCTCTAATTCTGACAAATATCTTTCTCTATTGCGTACACTTCTTTTAACACAAGCTACTACATTCATAATACTCTACGCAAGTCTTTAAATTATTGTATATTGCTTCTATATTTCAGGGAATTTCTGACTTTCGTATTGATAGAAAAGCCCTACCAAATGCAGTCCGACGTTTCTGGGGCGTTCTTAGTCGAGTGCCAATGATTCTTGTTAAAGGATGTTGGAAGAATGTTGAGCAAAACTTGAATTCAGCTGGTCAATTGAAGCTTGAAGCCTTATTATCTGTAAGCAAGTCATAGATTTTGAGATGTAAATTTTAAATCAGTTGTTAAAAATGTTGCCTTTTGTTGTTTTGCTTTAGTATGGAATGCATTTAAGAGATTTACTTGACGATCTGAGCAAACGGAAATTAAGGGATGTTAATGATTTCGAATGGAAAAGAAACATAAGATTCTATGGGAATGTCTGTGAAAGTGGACGTGAGTTCATTGCACTCTTGTTTCCTCAATGTTCAAAAAGCTCTACTTCATTTCCATGTATTCATTTCTCATCTTTCCTGTTTTAACAAAAAGTTCTTCTTCATTTCCATTTATTCACTTCTCATCTTTCGTTTGTGAACAAAAAGTTAAACGTACTTCATTTCCATTCATCCACTTCTCATCTTTCCTCTCTGAACAAAGTTATATCTTATTTCCATTCATACACCAGTCATCCTTCCTTTGTGAACAAAATGTTATACTTCATTTCTATTCATTCAGTAGTCACCTTTCGTCTATTGTGAAAAAGTCATGACTTCTTTTTTTCATTGCTGGTCATCTTTTTTCTATGGTGAAAAAATATCCATCATCTCTAATCCTACACTCGTGTTTCCCGGTGGTTATTTACCAGTCATCTTTCTACAGTTACTCGCTTCTTTTGTCACAACATCAACTTGCATTTTCAATCAACAATCTTTTCGTGTATTCCTCTTCTCCTTCAAGAATGAAATTTTGTTGTTCTTCGTTTTGAAGATGTGACCTAACTGTCTTACTTTGTTGATAGTTTTTATTAACTTTCATAGTTTTATTCTTCATTTACATTTTTCGCCATCCTTATTTTCATGCTACTGATACGTATTTACCATTCTGCTAACTAATTGCATCTTTTCACAACTTCCCAGCATATACATTTCTTTTGGTTATAATATCTAAATATACGTAATTTATTTAGATGTGTTTAGTGTTCATACTGTATCCTCGTACCTACGTATGTAAATAAACTTCATACCAGCGTGTATATGTATTCTTTTTGATCATTATAATTATTCTGTTCATCCCTCTTTTACTTCTTCAGTTTTGTATGCTTTATCTTTTGGACTCGTTCAAATGGTTCGATACTTTTAATTTCTCTCCATTCACAGGAAGTAAGAAACCTCATGTGCGGCTACATGTTATGGAATACATCTTAGATTACGGCAATGAGTTTTATGGATCAAGTGTGCCAATCTTCCTTACTCCAGTCACAGAAAAATGCTTCCTTAAAGTGTTCAAGGTATTAATACAGCGACACTTCGTTAAGTACATTAAGTAATAGTTAATTTCATGTCGTTTTTTGGCATAAAGTTCTCAGTTTTCTAGTCATAACCAAGGTGATTTTTAGATGGAAAAAATTCAAGTAAAAGATAGTAAAAACTTTACGGGTCGTCCTGCGATTATATCCTCAAACAATTTTTTTTAGCGTTAACATTTTTTTGTGTCCATTCTTCGAAGATCGCTAGAGATTCGTGTGCATTAGAGTTGTCAAATTTTTTTTATTTTAACTGTACTGTTGCCAAGTGTTGACAAAAAGCAAACGTATTTTCTTGTGACAGCATTGTGAAACATTTCTGTGTTTATAGCCTTGAGTTGTATTAAGTTCATATATACATTGAAACGTTTATTTATATGTACATATCATTGAGTATGACATAAGTAGAACATATTGCGGTGGAGATCAAGCAGTTCAATTCACTGATTGTACCCTACATTGGAATTATTTTTCAAACTAAACATACATATGTTATCCCAAATTAAATTCAAAAGCTTACCTTACCACACGTGTTGTAGTATGCTGCTTACTGTTCTAGTATACTGCTCACCCCCAAATTAAATTCAAAAGCTCACCTTACCATGTGTTCTAGTATTCAGCTCGCTTGCTGTACACTGCGATTCTTTCACTTCTGTGATTGAAGAATTAAAGAGCAATTTGTCATGTGTATGAAACACTAATGAGCAGCATTGCGTTATTTACAGAGTTATTCATGGTAGGACTTTAAGTGCATGAACTTGGAAACAGACATTTGATTTCTTCACCTAATTTTGCTATAGTTTGTTAAAAAACACGAAACTGACTGTGCATGATTTGCTTTCTTGTTTTTACTTAGGCAATTACAGATTTCCAATGTACAGCTCTTACTGGAGAATGTGGCATTGGCAAAACAGCCACAGCTAAGGTATGTGAAGGAAGCGAATATTAATCAACTGAAGTTTCTTTTTAGGTGTTATTTGTTTGGGGATATTATTAATTGACAATTTCGATAGAGTGTTTAAAGACTGTTGTTTGGAATGGAGTGTGTTGTTGTCAGTGAAGTAAGTTGTCATGGCTGAATGGTTAATGGCGTGAGCTGTGCTTCAATTCAATTGGATGTGTTTGGTCATGGACTGGTAGTGTTGTTGTGTCATGATACCAGTTGTGAAGAGTGTTAGTTGGTCAGTGACTAGTGGATGTTGTTCATACGTCGAAATCTGTTGTCATTGGAGGGTATTGCTGTGAATGGAAGGTATTGTTTTCAATGGAGTGTGTTGTTATTGTTGGAGAGTGTTGTTGTCAGTGAAGTGTGTTGTTGTCACTGGAAACTGTGGTTGTCAATGGAGTGTGTTGTTGTCATTGGAGAGTATTGTTCTCAATGTGAAGTATTGTTGTCCTTGGAGGGTGTTGTTGTCATTGGATAATGTTCTTGCCGATCGAGGATGTTGCTATAAATGGAAGTTGCTTTTGTCGTTGGAGTTTTAGAGGTGTTGTATATATCGTGTGAAATGTGTATTGTGTGTAGATGACGTTTTCTAAGTTTGTTACATGCTAGAATACTGTTCGTAAAATGGTTCCAAAGTTTAAATTTTGAATTTAGGGTGTCGCTCATATGTTGGGACGATACTTCGTGAGTTTAAGTTGTACACCAAAGATGGATTGTGATCATCTTGGTAAAATCTTTACAGGTCTTGCTCAGGTTTGTGAAATTATTGCTTGGTGAATTTAAGGTCGCGACTTACTTTAGTCAAAATATTTTTTTGTGAAATGACGTAATTTTTTCTACTAATATAGGAAGGCTGTTGGGGTATTTTAGATGAGTTTCATCGTGCGTCTCCTGCTGTGGTTGCCGTCATTTTTCATTATGTACAAGTTATTGTTGATGCAATCAAAATTGGTCGTCCTTCATGTTTTCTCGATGAAGGAAAAGAGGTTTGACTTCTAGTTCTTATGTAATCAATACGATTCCAGCTGCAATGTAATTGTCGCTACTGTGTAAAATGTAATTTTAGTTCGACAAATGTTGCAGCCCTTAAATTTAAGTTTTGCCAGGTGTTTCATTGTTCATTTCTTCAAGTTTTAACACATCATTCTCCTTGGTAGTTTTTCTTTGAAGTTTTAGGGATCTCTAAAAATAAAGAACACCATAATTTGAGCAGAAGCATTGCTACACAAATTCTGACCATGTTTAAATTTCATACATATATACCCTATACACCTTTGCTTTGTGATGAAAGAAGCAATTATGGTGACGAGAAATTTTTATTTTTAACTATAGGACATTATAACAGTGTTGTATAAGTATAGTGAATTTTCATATTGAATTGAAATTATTTTATGATTATATACGGTGGTGCGAAATACGTTGGTCACATTGATTGTGTATTTTTAATTTCTCTAATACGAAAAGTACATTGCTTAAGCATTCAGTAACGAATACAGGGTTGGAAAAATTTCGTGGGACCGAAGATTTAATTTTCCACGTTCGTTTATAAAACGCCATTGGTTCTATAATTTGTTGCGAATATAATCTAGCCAATAGATGGGCAATTGTAATTAATTTTACCCATCGCCAGGTCCGCCAGTAGAAGCATTTGTATCTCCAATATGTTTCGGTTGAGAATTCTAAAAACGAGTTGCAGTCACTCTGAACATACTTTGACATATTTGCTACAAATCACGAAACGATTTGTCAGCAAATCTCATAGGGTACGCGGGATTTGTATCATACGAACAGACCTCAACGCTATTATGCTTATAAATTGATTATGTATAATCTTTATAGATCCGCGTCAAGCCCACATTCAACTTGATAGTCACAGCAACGTTTCCTTGCCAACATTTTATCACAGAACTAAAAGCGTATTTTCGAACTGTTGCAATGGTCATACCAGATATGTCCCTTATCTTGCGTGCTCATTGCGCAGGTCAAGGATTGAAGTCGCCCAAAGTGCTTGCCGATAGATTGACCATGGTTGCAAGAATCTGCCAAGGACAGTTGTGAGTGCCTGTAATGTTTAGTAGAATTATGTGGTTCTGTGCTTTTTAAAGCTCTGTTGTTGTTGTTTTTTTGACGTTTAGAAATGCTTCTTCATCAAAGGCGTTTAACTTGTGTACCTTGACAAAGGTGATCAAAACTCTAGGAAAGATTCGTCGAACACAGGGTACCGTTGGTCAAAGCAAGCTTAACATGATAGCATCTGATAATGTAACCAGGCCAACTAGCAACTCGTCTGGTAAGTCCTGTTTACATTTGCTATGAAAGATTTTTCCACCGTTAATAGCGATTTTCCACATTTCCCTTCCGATTTTATGTAAAGCCCTAAGCACCATCGAAATTTATACTCGCTTAACGAAAATTATTAGTTATAAGTTAGTTAGTTAGCCGAGTGTTTTTAACTGATCGAGAGTCTTTCTCCGGGGTCACTCTTCGCGTAGTTATCTACATGCTATTTAATATGTTTAGTTATGTTTCTAACTAGAGGACATTTGTACCTCGTAATTTGTACGTTTTCATTTAGCTCCAATTTATATACAACAAATGTGTTTTGTACTTAGTGTTGCGATCTTCGAAAGTTACTGGTACTGAAAAGACGGAAAAAAAGCTCAGTTCACCTTCTGGCTTGACTCCTGCAGTAAAACTGGATCATTCTTTTGCAATAGAAGTCTTACAGCATTATATTGGTCCTCGCTTGTCAGAAGAGGTACATCTCACTTATTTATAAGCTTAAAATCAAATTCTCTTAGACAGCTGTTTTGGTACTAAGTTGCTATGCATCTTTGTAGTCATTTTATTGACAAATAGATAGATAATATACATATGCCTCTCCCCTCAGAGAAATACATATAACAAGAACTACTTGTTTTATTCTGGGCGTTGTCCACGGCGAATGATGCCCGACTGCTCTCTCGTCTGCTCAACATTTTACGGGCATTGCAGCCTTCCCCACTCTCCCCACGCCTATAGCGTTCACAATTTATTCTTTTTTTACTTCACCATACCTATATACTTGGACTCTTTGAGTTGATGTTTACTTACTTCACGTTTTGTTATTTTTCTTGTTGAGGAACTCGGGGCTTTCAGTAGTGTTGTTCGAGATGTTTTTAACGGACTTCCTCGTGTACCAAATGCTACTGATAGTCACGCTATTAAGGAGAGAAACTTTGAATCACTATTGTCAAAATATGCGTCGGATAACAATCTTGTATCGCGACAACAATGGATCGATAAAGTCATGCAGCTGTATCATCTTTCCGAAAACTATAAAGGTATATTTGCTGTCGGGTAGTTGGTCGGCTGGTTTGCTATGTAAATTTCAGAAAATTGTTATTGCTCCTTTGAAATGTATTGTTTTTATAGTGAGTGAGTTCAGATAACAGCAAAATAAAACCTAATAAGAGAGTTGGCTACGTAAAGCATACCTAATGATTAATTGGTCTTATGGGATCATATTGGAATTTTTTCATCCGTAATTTTAGTGTGTTTTTATCAGGAGTAACCACGTATCATACGTGATCTGATGTTTAAACTTAAGTCCTTGCATGCTTAAGTCCAGTGTCAGTCTGTAGTGATATTATGTTAAAACTTGCATCCTTATATTCTCCAGTCTATGGCTTTCATCAGGAATGGTCTGATATAGAATTATGAGGACATATATACCAGTGTGGCGTTTTTATCATAAGTGATCGTAGTCTTTTTTTCCAGTAATTGTAGCATTACCATATTCTAGCTTTGTGAACTCGATGAAGATTTTTTATGTGGATTTGATGGAGGATGATTTTTAGCAATGAGCGCATATTTTTGATTGTCACTGTTTGCCAGCTATATATTATTATTGTTTGTAGGAATCGTTGTTGCAGGAAGCCCAGGTAGTGGTAAAACCTCGTGTATTACGTCAATGGTGGAGACTCTCGGCCAATCAGCTATCGCAAAACATGACAGCGCTGGAACTCAGGTCCACACGCACAAACTTCAGCGTATCAACCCACTTGCAGTTTCTGATCTCTCGCTTGTGTTTGGAAAACTTTGCCCGAATGGTGACTGGATAGATGGTATATTTACGTATTACTGGAGAAAGGCAAACAAACAACATCATGTCCATGAAACAACCACTTGGTTATGTCTTGATGGACCTTTACATGAGAGTTGGGCAGAAAATCTCTCCAGTGTTTTGGATAGTGGCAAGGTAGGAAGGCATTGCTTCTTTTTATATGTATCTCGCTGTTGAGTGGTAACTTTCATCAGCGGCTCATAACGTATTTACGATCGTATTTTAGATAATAAATACGGCCGTAAGTTACATGACTGCTAAATCAACTTGTGTTGAGCATTTAATTATATTCATCTGTCACTATTTTTATTGTATTTGCCAAAGTTTGCGAAATTTTCTATGCTTAAATCATCCGCGTACGCTCTCAAGTTGTTTTTCAAACTTAATTTATAACAATAACTTTCTCAACTTTTGATTGTAAAGAGCATACTCGAATTTCAAGTTTTCTGTGCAAGATATCATCACCTCTGGTGAACTACATCATCAAGATTCCCACTAATCGTTGTTATGCATGTGAAAGGGTTTCTCGTTGAATAACTGAAGTCTGGAACTCTTCAGAAAGGAACAGTGTGACTTCTGTCGTAACGTTAATCTGAATTTGTTTTTTATTCATTTAGTACTTAATTTTGGATAATGGCGAACGCCTCCATTTAGCCGAGGATGTAAAAATTATTTTTGAAACGGATGATTTGGAAAATGCCTCGCCAGCTATACTTTCGAGAACGGTTTGTAGTTCTAAACACACATTGCTTTATGTACATGTCTTAACAAAATGCGCGTTGTATACATCATGTTGACTGCATGTGCGCATGCTCTGTGAGAGTTGAGGTACATCACATTGTATGAGTGTTTATAAAATAAACACAATGAAACGCGTGCGCTGACTGATCTAGAGCTGAGTTTGCATTAGCCAGTGCAAAACACATCTGAGCTTAACCAATCAAATCAATCTAAACAATCAATCAGTCAAAGAGAATTTGCAAATCGATCATGAATACATTTTAGAGGAAAAATTAAAATGTTTGTCTTTTTTCGCATTATTGTTATTTTATAAAAGAATGTGCAAGCTCGTGCAAACACAGTAAACATCTTTTATTTCTTTACACATCTTACATCTTACAATTTATACATCTTGATGTATGAGTGTTTTATACATCTTGATGTACGAGTGTTATATGCATTTTGTTGTATGAGTGTTTTATACATCATGTTGTATTAATGTTTTATACATCTTGTTCGTGTTGCAGGATTGTTGCATGCATCATATTGTGTAAATGTTGTAAACATTATGTTGAATGAATTTCCCAACAGAAGTATTCCTCAATGCTTTTATTGGCTCCTGCTGACGCAGAAGACACATTGTTGAATAAATTTCAAGAGATTGGTTTCAACTTTCAAATCACGAATAGCGTTTTCCATAGAGTGTTTTTCATCTTGTAACACTGCTGAGACAATGAAAGAAGTTTGCTAAGAACTGCTAGCACTGAGCCCTCTGTACAATTTGAATGTCGATTGTAGTTTGTGAAGAATCGTACGTTTTTCATCTATATTCAGGCTATGGTTTACATGGATGATGATGTGTTGGGTTGGCAACCTTTGGCTGAAGCATGGCTAAAAGAAAGAAGCTCGCCATTCGAGCGAAAGGTTTTGTAAATGACATGTTTAGTACATGATCTTGTATCCAGCAAAGCCATCAATTTGATTACCGCTTCATCTTATTTCGTTTTTAGTGTCTGCAGAAAATTTTTAACTACACGCTTGACGCTATAACGCAATTTGTACAGAACGATGCCAAGTAAGTTCAATATTGATTGTGTATTTTGCAAAATTAAATTTTGGAGTAAGAGCTGTTTTTTGAGGGTTGACTTCGCACTTTTTCCAATTAGTTTAAAAATATATTCCTACTTTATAGTTATTTTACAATCAAGCTAGATTTATTTAAATTAAATCTGCCCAGTTTGGAGTACTACGTTACTGCTAAAGCTTTTTTTTTTGAGTTTAAAATACAGTTGCTAAGTTTACCAAGAGTTTGTTTGATTACACTCTTTACTTACAACAACATTATTACCATTGTGTGTCATTTTAACAATTATGACCTCTTTCCCTATACTTGTAGGCCTATTATGAATATATGCGAAGGAGGATTGTTTACAACATGCTTGACTTTGCTGGATGCTCTTTTACATGTACGTAAGTGTTTGGTATAAGCAGGACTTAGCAGACAAATTTAGAAGATGCAAATGAGATAATTTGTATCAGTTTAGGTAGTGATGTCAGTGTGTCGGTAGTGATTGAAGAACAACAGGGAACGAGAACAGTGTTTACACTACCTAAAATATAAACTGAAATAACGTGTATCAGTGTGAGCAGTGATGAATGAACAAGAAAGAACAGTAACATAACGTATGTCAGTGTATATAACGATGAATGAACAACAAAGAACGAGAAAAGTCTTTAACAGCAGAGCCTGCAACTCAGTGTTAAGAGGTTGCTGCGGTTTGTGGTATGAGTTTCATGCATTCTAAGTTGCCACGGGCAATGCAGGATAAGGCTTGGTAATATGTAGCTAAATATACTAAGGTTAGTATAAGGTTAGCTATTGATGGTAGGTTTGCGATACGGTTGTAGGGAAGCAATAATAAGGAGTACGTCATTACTTTTTGTCGTGGAAATTGTCCACCATCTGTCACCTTGATTGAAATGAACCTAGGAATATACAAACAACATTTAGAGAAAGAAAACTAAAATCGTATGCTAGGGAGCTACACGCAAAACAATTATGATGCTTGCTGGCTGGAACGTGGAATGCAACCAACTAGCTAAAGGCAATCAATGCTGAAGGCAGAAAGGCAATGATATACATAGTTCAGAGCTGCGTCATACAATGCTAGTAGGTTTCTTAATACCGAAAGTTATGCGTCCAATACGTCCGCCGTTAACTAAGCTTAAGTCAAACAAGCAACTCGTCTTTTATCAATTTGAGTATTGGTAATGTTAAACGGTCTTTTTACCATAGAGGTAGTGCTCTTGATTTTGCTGAAGAGTCGTCGAGCTAATCAACATGAAGGACTAGTAATTACTAAATATCTTGTAAATCTGGGTATCTATTACTGCCAAACACTTGTTGATTATCTCTCAGCTTGAGCACACGTATCCACTGAACAGTATTACATTAGGCTGATAGACGAGCATCATTTGGTTTTGAAATGTCATTTGGTCACTTTTATAACTGTAACAGCATGAAAGAAACACGTCTTTTTAAGTCTCGAAAAAGGAACCATGTTTTTGCAGTCAACTAGATGCTGCATGTGTTTTTGATGTGTTTGTAGAATAACACTGATGTGACTGGAGAACTGCACATCGAGAGGATATTTCTGTTCTCGTTGATTTGGTCGTTTGGTGTTTTATTGGACGATCATGATAGAAGAAAATTTAGCGACTTGCTTCTGACACTTACAACAGGGTATGACTTTCAGTTGCGTAGTTTCTTGTCCCAACAAAGAGATGATTTTTCTTCGTTTTCGTTGTCAAATTTCCATATCAAATATTCAATTCATTCAAAATTCGTTTCCATCTCTCAGCATCTTACATCAGGAAGCCGTGTAGAAGAGAACCGTTCAATGTTGTCTCATCTACACATACTCATAATGTCGATGATTTACATTTGCTTTACTGTAGCAGCCTCCCTGATTACGATCAATCTACCTCAGTTTTTGATTACTACCTGGACGAATCAGGAGAGTGGGAATCGTGGAAATCAAGGTAGAACATTCATAGAAAATAGTTGTTGATATCCATTCAGAGGCGTAACTAAAACGTTAATTTGGGAGTGGGAGTGTATATTCATGGGTGTGAAAGCCAATTCCCTTTAACAGAAAGTAGTTGAGCACAACTGAATTAATCAATATACCCCCCACCCCAATTAACGTTGTAGCTACGCCCCAATATCCACCTACGTTAGGTGCCCAAACACATCCAGCAGATCCTTGTATACGATTCAGTTGCGTTATTTGATTTTTTGGCTTTCATCTTTCGATTTTTTGTCACTGAAAGAATTAGGAGTAGTCTTCAGTCGTGAACAATGCTTGATTGGTCCATCGTAGCTAGTATCTCAATTAAGTTAAAGGTGGATATTTTTTTCGGTATGGGCGTCGGAAGATCGATAATTTGGAGGGGGGTAGCTCACACACATGCATGTCAAAAAACAATGGATATCAAAGAAATATAATACAGCATGAATATATAAATATGAGGCCCCCCCCAATTATAGGTCTTCTTTCGCTCATGTTTTTTTGCATCTTTGCTTTCTTGGAACTTTTGTCTTCTCTTTCATTAATCGGTTGTATTTGTTTTTCTGTGAAGGCGTCTTGTTTTTGCTTCATTGTTAACTAATCTTTTTGCACTCGGCTTGTCACTTTGCGACCTTTGCACACCGTTTCAAATAGACTTGCAACCCTGAACTGTTTACTCTTTAACTATGCTTTATCAAACAAGTATTTCTCTTGCTACAGCTCAAGTCGATTTTAATTTATTCTACTTGCAAACTCCCTCTCGATTGCCCGAACCATTCACCAGCTCCCATGTTTGCAAAAAACTTCACATTGGAAAAATGTTTTGATAAATTTCATTGAACGTCGATACTTTATTACACAAAATTACCACCAGCGACATGTTATACAAACAGAGTTCACTTTTGTGTATTGCCCAAGTCACTATTTTCAGAGACTGCATGTTTCGATTTCATCTCAAATGTATGTATTTCACTGATAAATGTAATTTTATCTAGAGTGCCGGATGAAAGTTATTTTGATGCTGCCGATTTTCTTGGTGATGTCTTTGTGGAAACGGAGGAAACGGTATGCCCAAAATATATTGCATTCTAACTTGACTTATTTTCTTTATATCATCCTTCACGTGTATAGGGAATGTTTATGGCATTTTTACGTGATGACAGGTTTTGTGCATGTTATACAAAAATACACAAATCTTACACACCTTTATTTTTCATGTATGATATTTGCAATGCTTACATTCCATAATATTACATTCTTGGTTTCATCCAGTCTTCAGGGGAAAATGCTGTTACTAGCCATCGAGGAAGTTTTCTCGTGCTATGTTCATATTTCAGTGTTCAAATCTTTTTAAAAGCAATAGATTTTTTAAATAGAAAAAGCATTTGAAATTTACATAGCACGACCAAAGTTGTAGGCTGTCTACGCCACTGGCATGTGTTTGATTTAGATTAATTTTTGACAGGTTCGACTCCGTTTTTTAATGGAACTGGTTAAATTGTCCGGTCGGAATATTCTTCTCGTTGGGCCTCATAGCTCTGGAAAATCTTCTTTGATAAATGATTTTCTGGACAAGCAAGGTATAGTTCGAAAACTTCTTTTGCATACGTGGAAAATAAATGTTACGTGGTTATTACATGATTAGCAGTGTTAACGTCAAACTGTCTTTTGTCGTCACTTCCATTGCACTTAATCTACTGTACTATTTTGCAGTTGTTGAAGATAAGATGTTGATGGTTCGTCGTTTTGTTTACTCCAGCTATTCAACTGCGTCATCGTTACAACGTTTTATCGAGAGTAACATCCATCATAGGCAAGGTTAGGGACAGCGATACACCTTTGCATCTATGTAGATGTTCTTTGACGAGATGCTCATTGAGTAAATGTTCATTGAGTTGATGTTTAATTAATGGATGTTCTTTGACAATAGTTGTTCATTGTTCATTAATTAGATGTTAAGTAAGTGTTTATTTAATGGATGTTCTTTGACTATATATGTTATTGAGTAGATGTTCATTGAGTAGGTGTTTATTTAATGGATGTTCTGTGACAATAGTTTATTGAGTAGATGTTCATTAAGTAGATATTTACTTAATGGATGTTCTTTGACAATAATTGTTTATTGAGTAGACGCTCATTAAGTAGATGTTCTTTCACTAGATGTTTATTAAGTAAATGTGCATTTACTAGATGTTCATTGAGTTTGATCTTTTCAATAGGTTATGATTATGGTGCTCGTGGTGGCAAATCTTTAGATGTTTTTATAGAAGATCTGAACGTACCCGATGTCAACATTTACGGAGTCCAGGAAATAAATGAGGTAATGCATTGAGTCAAACTATCGCCCTCCCCTCCCGCTCAATGATGATGAAAGACTAGAAGTCTGGCACCCAATAATTTTCAAATTATGTAATATATTGGAAACAATTCTTAATCAGTGTTTTGTCATGACTCGAATGTTTCCTTGTTGTATATCCTGTGTCATGTGCTTGTATTTTTGACTAATTATGTAAACTGAAGTTACTTTCATTTGTACATTCATCCAGCTTCTAAGACAACTACTGGACACTCGAGCTTTGTACGAGCTTCAAAAACCTTTTGAATGGAGAATACTTGAAGATTTGCTTGTTATTGCAACAATGTCAACTTCGTTCAAACAACCTGCTGTCGGTTGGTCAACGTCCATTTCAAATAGACTAAAGGTTTGAAGTTGGTTGTTGCGTAAAATAGTCATGCATGGCTTAATATTTTCTTAACTTTGATTTAATTTTATGAATTGATACAATTGTGTTCTCAATGCATGTGTTTGCATCGTCGTTGTTCATCAATTCATGATCGTTGTATTGAACAAGGCAATTTCTTTCATCATATAATAGTTTGTGTTGTTAATCCAGGTTGTATCCGTTATTTGTTTACTGAGCTGTATGCATTTTTGATTTTCAGCGCCATTTTGCGGCATTTTATTTGCCAAATCCTTCTGCGAAGACATTGTTCAGCATAGTGACAAGTGTATTAGAGGTAGACAAGTTTAATGTTATTCTGTCAAATACTTAAGTATTTTAACGTTTCATCCTGTCACATACTTCTTTTTTTATCATTTTCTCCTGTCTAATGCTTATTTGTTTATAATTTTCTCCTGTCATAAACTTATTTTTTATCGTTTTCGCTTGTCATATACTTGCTTGTTTAATGTTTACCACTTGATCCTGTCAAATACTTTGTTGTCTATCATTTTGTCCTGCCAAAATATTTATTATCTTTTTATCATGTCAAGTGCTTGATCGTTTACTACTTTGTCGTGTTAAATACCTGTTTGTATACCATGTTGTTACCTCGAATAGTTATTTTTTATCGTGTTGTTTGCTGCACATTTAATTCAAGGGCAACATGTCACATAACGATGGAATTGGTTTGCCACACGAACTTCACGAGAAAATTACCAAAGCGACCTGCTCGTTGATAGAAAGCGTTCAACATGTGTTAAAAACCTCACCAACACCTGGTCGTGCTCACTATTATTTTAATCTTCGTGATGTTGCACGAGTCTTTCAGGTGAGGTAACTAGCTCCTGTTGTTTGTATTGCTGATTCATATTGTGTACGTTATTGTTTGTAGATGTACTTGTTGTTCGTACTCACAAGTCTTTTCTCATAAGTAATTTCAGGCAAAGGCAACAAGTTTTCACTTGTTTTAGCACTTGAGGAATTTCCTTTTTTGTTATTTACAAGGTGTTTACTCATTAAAATCTGTCTGTTTTAGGGTTTGAAAAATTCTCCCGAGGAAATGAGGCCAGACGAAGATTTTATTGTAGCGTTGTGGAAACACGAGTTGCAACGTGTCTTTGCTGATCGCATAAGCCGTTCTGAGGACCTCTCTTGGTTTGAACGTGAAGTTAAGAATATTACTAGACTGGTGAGTCATGGGAAGGCATTCATATTTATTCCTATTGCTTGACTGACTGGTAAGTCATGGGAAGGCATTTATATTTATTCCTATTGCTTGACTGACTGATGAGTCATGGGAAGGCATTCATATTTATTCCTATTGCTTGACTGACTGATGAGTCATGGGAAGGCATTCATATTTATTCCTATTGCTTGACTGACTGATGAGTCATGGGAAGGCATTCATATTTGTTCCTATTGCTTGACTGACTGGTAAGTCATGGGAAGGCATTCATATTTGTTCCTATTGCTTGACTGACTGGTGAGTCATGGGAAGGCATTCATATTTATTCCTATTGCTTGACTGACTGATGAGTCATGGGAAGGCATTCATATTTATTCCTATTGCTTGACTGACTGATGAGTCATGGGAAGGCATTCATATTTGTTCCTATTGCTTGACTGAATACATTATTTTGATGATTCTATTCAGCAAGAATATTGACTGACAAAATAATTTTTTAAAAATTACGTAAGAAAATGTTATTTTCAACTTTTGCTAATCCGCCTTTCTAGTTTCAATTCTTTGATGTTGGGGTTTTTTTGAGATAGTCGTTTTTAATGGTGGAAATTATGTAAACTACGTTTAGTATCGCCCTCTTTTTTGTAGTATGAAGAAAATGGCAATTCTTCAATCCAGATGTGTGTTTTTTACCCTTAATTCGATGTGTTCACTTTACCTTCTGTTTTGTAGTATTTTCCTGAGAAGTTGGCCAATTGTTCAACACAGATGTTTGTTACCTTTAATCTTGATACAAAGGAGTTTTACGCTGGCAGAGCAGTTGCTTCTTCAAAGACCATACCCAAGGTATGTAACGTCTGCAGATTTATAAATGTATGTGCGTAACGTTCACACATGCGAATATTTTTATAAATTTTCGTGTTTACTGCTCTTGTAGCTCATAAAGTAGACGTATGTCTACACGGACCCGTGGTTTTCTGGGATACAGTGAGCTTGTTCCTTTATTTTTTATTAAAACAAGCTGGTTATTACTTATAAGCATTTTGTACGTTTTGTACATCACGGCGAGAATATAGATAAACTATTCAAGTGAATTTTGATGCCATGAGCATTTCGAATTTTTTTTGCTCAGGTAGTCAAAGAGAACTGCTTACCAACAAGAAATAGCGATGAGTTAGGCTGCAAAAAAATGATATTACGTTTAATAAGTAGTAGATCCTCCACTCGCTTTATTCAGGTCTTTGTATAGACAGTAAAAACTTTGGCGTGGATGATAATCATTCTTATCCAGCATTACTAGACAAAGACTCTGAAGATGACTACCGCTAAGGTTGTCAAAACGTCAGTCAACAACAACAAAAACAGTCCTTCTCAGAACTATACCAGCCTAGACGATCTACATTTACAAACATGTAACAGACAAAGACTGGGCAATTTTCGACTGCTTGCGCATATTTACCCAACGTAATGGTCTTAGGGGATGATCTAATCCTAATCCTATCTAGCTGTATTCGTGGCCCCTTACATTATAGTTGTACTCTATGATGTCTTATTTTCTTGTCTTTGAAATACGACTTCTTGTTTAGTTACATCATCAGTCAGTCGCTAGCTATGCTGAGGTTATTCCATGTTTGGAAATGCATCTTGAACGTTACAATGATGAATATTCTACATCTCCTCTTTCACTTGTGCTTTCTGAAGACGTGATCTCACATATTGTTCGTATACATCGCATCCTTAGTATAAGGAACTTGTAAGTTGTAAATTAGTTGGGTTTTTTGCGATCGGATTGGTTGTAGTTGTGATAAAATTGAATCTTAAATGAAATACTATCGTTACTTGTGGATTAACTCGAGTATAATTATCACCACTCAAACATTATGACTTGTTGCACGCACACATTTAAAAACATGCGTTGCTTTTTTCTACTTTAGTGGCAATTTATTGTTGATTGGCCCACTTGGCTCACGGCTTTCTGATCTAGCAGCAATGGCACTTTACATGTTGGATAACCCCATACACACCATAGATTGTTCACATAAAGGATCTTTTCTTGATGGTCTACGATCTGCTGTTCGTCGAGCAGGCTGTGATGGCAAGACCACCACCATTATGATTAAGGTTAGACATTTTCGCGGAGCAGTCTGTGATGGCAACAAAACCGTAATCATGATTAAGGTTAGCAAGATGTTTGTCGAGCAGGCTGTGATAACAAAACACCATCAGCATAATGATGGTTAGAAATATTCTCGAGGTCGTTGTGGAAAAAATTAAACCAATTTCGTAATATTTTACTTTGATGAATGACCGTGGATTCGAATGTCTAAGCTAACATGCACTGAGCTAATTACAATACTGTGACATGAAACTTGAAGGTGTCGAAGTTTTTCTTGAAAAAGAATGCTGTAGGCTGGAAATTAAGTTGGATTGCATTGTGCTCAGCAACATGAAGATTGAATGACATATCTTTCGAAGTGAATATTCTACGGTGGAAATCAAATTTCACATCACTAACTTTGAATTAAGAACTATTAATGAATATAAGTCAGGTTTGCTATATTTCAATGTATTATAGATCGTACGGTGAAACTCGGTCTGATTAATGTTTTAACTCGACGGAAAAGACGATTGCAACGTTTTGTTAGTATTTTTACAACAGTTTAAACTTCAAGCTTAAGTGTTTATCGTTTGGTAATAACCAACCGTGACGTCGAACTTTATCTTATTATATTTAGGTACTGTGTTAAATGTATGTATGCCGTAGTGATTACTGTTCTTGTGTAAATGTGCACGTACGTTTTATCGTTTTTCACAGGATACAGAGATATCTGATGATTGCTATCTTGATGCTATTAACAGTTTATTGATCAGCGGAGAATACCCACCTTTGTTTTCAGAAGAGGAGACCCTCAGTCTCATACAGGTAGCTTAGCTTTACTTCTTAGTTTGTGTTTTTGTGCAGATTATCTTTTGCAAACATGTCCAAATCTTATTGAAAAGCCCTTTTTTTACCTAAGGTTTTTACTTGAATTAATTTTGAAGAAAGGCCAATACACTATCTCACGAATTTTCAGTAAAACCATGCATTTGTGCATTTGAAACTGTGCAATGTCCTGGATCTGGTATCATTATGCCATTTGTTTAATAGGCCTTGATGCCATCGATCAAAAGAAAATTTTCAAGTTTCCTCACGGATCCAATGAAGTTCTTCTTGAGCAGAGTAAAAAGGAATCTTCATATCATTTTGTGTTTTCAGCCAAGTCATAAGATTCTTGTATCTACTCCATGGTAAGTTGTTACATAATAAGGAGAAAAAAGACAGAACTCGTGTTTGTGTGTTAACAATTCGCCATTGAGTGATGATTGTTGTTTTTATTGCAATGGCGTCACGCTTTGCATCATAATTACAGCGAAAAAAACCCAGTATATCATGTTGGTGAAAATGACGGAGTGGACACTGGTTATTTTAACTTTTCGATTTCATTTTGTGCGCAGGTGGATATCTTTTCCGTGTCCTTTTTGTTCACACGTGTGGACGTATGATCATTTCGTACGCACGTTGATATCTTTTTCCGTGTTCTTTTTGTTCACACGTGTGAACGTATGAGAAACGTATTGGGGAAATTCATCACCACGTTATGTTTGACTATCGTAAACTTACTTTTTCATTAATTTCTATCTATGTAATATTTAAACAGACTGAAAAATTCCCCTGCATGGCGATACATAATTTTCATGAGGGCGACAATAGAAACAAGACTGTAACAATTTGAATAAATTGTGTCCTTACCTTAAAAGTTAACATTTTGTTCCTTGCAGCCAGTTTCCTGGTATCCTGTCTAAATGTCATGTGAATTGGGTGAAGTATTGGGGTGAAGAATCATTAGTTGGCAAAGCAAGACATTTCCTCGAAAAACACAGCATCCTTCAAGATGAACAATCCATTGTTTTAAGGTGGGTCATTTTGTTGCATTTTCACATCTGCCTTGATGACAAAATCTTCATTCACATCATCATTCATATGCGTTCCCATGTCGTTTTCTAAAAACAAAGAACCATGTTGTAGTTGAGTAAACTTGTCTGCTGAACTTCAATACTTACTTTGAAATGTTGCTAGAAATCTTCATGCTTTGAGACACTTTTGTTTCAACCAGAATTGTTCATACTGTAAAATGAATGAGCTATGTACAGATATTGTCATTAGTTATTAATAATGTATAATTATAAACTTTTGTTGATGTGAAGTATGTAATATTTTTACATGTAGACCCAATGTTCTGTTGTGCCTTGCTTCCATACACGAGTATGTTCTTCGAGATTGCAATCATATACCATGCACTCGGAATTCACAAAACATTCAAGAAACACAAGCAGAGAACAAAGAGATGAAACTAGTGGATAATAGTTCCGATATCTCATACTCGAGAAATTTACTTATGGAAAGAATCGATTTGACCAATCGCCAGTGTAATGCTAAGTTGCCAAACGAGGTTTTTGTTGGGCCGACTACATTTGAAAGATTTTTGCATTGTTTCATAAGTTTGTTGAAGAAAAAGGAGGGAGAAATCAAAGATTGTCTTAATGATTCAAGGTAAAGTTGCTTATCGTGGCATAAATTTATACTTCATGTAAGTTTTTTTCTATTGGATGTTTTCTGAAAACTTTAAAATTAAGATGTGGTGTTGAGTAAGCAGCTGTGGAGCAAGCGTATTTAGTATTGTGCGTTCTCCAAAATGCTTTCTTAAGGATTAGCAAATTCATCCACCCGACTTTATTGATATGTTAATCAGATCCGGCAGATGGTGCTAAGACGCTTTACATCACGGTTCAATAAATAAGATGTTACTTTCCTCCTGTTTGTATCTCTTTCATTATTTTATCTTTATTTCTATGATTTCTTCACTTCAGACTTGTTCAGAATACACTATCCGAAGCTCGCAGAGACGCGGACAAGTTGAAAGAGTATATAACTAAGACGAAAGCTGAATTTGACGTAGCCAGTGATGTGACAGCGAGCCTTCTGGATCGGCTTACGGCAAAGTCGACTATCGTTGAAAAACTGAAGGCGAAACTTGGAGTTGGTAGTGAAACCTTAAAATCATTTATCACCTTCATTGACAGTGAAATGGAAGAAGATATTTCTTGTCAGTTGCTTGATGAAGAGAAAGATGAGCTAGACGAAGAATTTGAAAGAATACAGGTATTGCTTCTGGTGACAATTAAAGTATCGGCAAGGTTTGTGTTTGGCTGCCTGATGAGTGAGAGGATTAGTTATTCATTAAATAGGAAGGTTACAGAAATTAAGTAAGAAGACTAGTGATTAGTTATTCATTAAGTACGAAGGCTAGTTATTCAGTAGTAAATAAAGTTGGTGGTTTTCTGTTCGTCATTGAATTGTGAAGAGTATTTACTTGTTGAATTTTACAGCGGGCAAAAATGAAAAGTAAGAAAGCGAAAATCTGCGAAGAAATTGCAAAGGCCGAAGTAGAACGAGAAAGATTGAAGAAAGAACTAAACGTCGCAGAGGAAATGGTAGGTTGTATTTAACTATAGTAGGTTATCTTTCCATTATGACATGTTACGTTATAACTATGTTTGGTACTCTCGAGCTTTTAATTTTGGCTGGATATCTTTTTATTATGTTCTGAATGTTTGAACTGTGAAATTTTCAGTTACAACTGTTGTTTCACATGTATCATTCGTGAATATAGATGTTTTTATAAAGATGACCTAAGTTAATGATTCATCTATCTTGTAGCTGTTTTATGCCCACTCATAAGGTCCATGTGCTGCATGTAATTTATTTCAGAGGTTTGAAATGAGATTTCTTAACGGGCAGCAATATTACTGCACTATATTAGTGGTTTGCTAAAGACTAAGGGGGGGGGGGAAACTGCTAGTTGCTATTTGGAATAAAATATGTGAAGAACACTGAGGAAAGTCAAAAATCATAAAATTTGCCATCCTAATTAGCATTAATGTATTTTATCAAGTTTAAAATCTAGACACCTTAGTTATTATGGTTGATTTCATGTCGGATTGCATCTTATATAGGTCGTAACTTGGCAAGATCGTTTAGATCGCACATGTTGTGAAAGACTGAAAGCGATACAAAACCCACCAACAATGGTTGGTATGGTGATGTTGATGACAATGGCGCTACTTGGAAGATCTGAATTCTCACCTTACAGCACGACGCCATATTCCTCTACACGTCATGACCGCAGGTCATTTGATGCAGCTGCTGTTGCTGATGACACTTCAAGTTCAGGAGGTCAAAGTAAAAAGAAAACGAGGCTGGAGGCGCCACCAAACCGTGCTCATACCCAGTCCTATACTGGTAAAGATGGCAGCAATCATTAAAAATTTAAGCTAGAAAAATGTTTATAATAGGAGCATGCACATTGGGAACGATTTCTCCATATCATTTCCGTTGTAATATTTCTTTAGATTATGTAGGAGTGTATATCCTTTACCATTTCATAAAAAATTGATTAGTTTTGACAAAGCAATTGTCTGCCGTTACATAAAAAAGGAGAAATCAGTCCACTGGAACATTGTGTAGCTGCAGTATAATGTCTACATTCAACCTTTGAGCATAAATTTTAGCACTTTAGTTAACTTATATTTCAAATTACCAGTGGTTTTTTAATTGGACTAACTTATAAACCTTTCTTATGTTTTACATTTTATTTCACTAGTAGTCATAGTATCAGTGATAGATTGTACTTCGTTTCCTATTGACAAAGTACAGAAAGAATTATTTACTTAAATTGTGATTTTTGTGATATTACAAGGGATCTCAAGTGATGGCAAGATGGATCGTCAGACGTGGAAAGCAATACAAACGATAATTAGTGACTCTCAGAAGTTTGCAGATGCCTTGCATGGCATCAACTGGCGTGAAGGTCTTTCTGATAGCATTGTGAATAGTATTGAACCGTTCTTTGCAAAAAATGAAATGGGAGAACTCGGCAAATCGTTGCAGCCTGTTCCCAGCAGAGGCACCTGCCTTCATGGAAAGAGCTCGCCAATTTCAGGTATACTTGTAACATAGTATTATGTTCATAAGGATAGGATTATTTTAAATAGGTTATTTAGCAGCAATTAGTTGTACATACATTAATTGTCAGTTTAGAGTCCAGTTTACTTTATTTTCTCTATTTGAAATTTATTTGATAGAAACTGCTGTTGCTTAGTAATCGATCAATCTTTTTCGTCAACTATATTAAATAGCTTTCATCTTTCGGTCATATACCTTTGAAAATAATTCTTTCATTTGGAAAATTGTTAACTTTTTTATGTTTCTTAGAGCGACGTCATTCTCATGGTATTACAGTCGTAGCTGCAAGATATTCCTCTGAGGATGCTGTGATTCTTGTTGAGTTTGTGCTCTCATTACTTCATTACACGAAGAAGTACAGGCCTTATCGTAAGGTGCTTGATTATTTACACGAACTTCGTAGAGAACAGGAAGAGAATGAGAAGATTGGAGAGGAAGAGCAGCTTGGCGAACAAGACTTACTAGAAGAAAAGGTGTGTGATATGTTTAAATTGCTTCACATTGTTTCTTCTTCACATAAAGTTTAAACTAAGTATGTGTTTTGGCATTATTGTAGCGGTTGAAATGCTTACGAAGCGAAAATTTTACTTTTTAAATTATAATTTTACTAAACAGAATTATTTTTAAAATAACGATAGATTTTCTAAAGTGGGTTGTGTATGTCTCTTTTCTTCTTATAAGATATCGAAGTTTTTTTGTAAAATGTGCCATTTTGTTCCACCAGTGAAGTCATATTGTACTATCATCTATGACCTGGCTAAGATTCTTTCGTTAAATAGTGTTAATTGTATAATATTCCTGTCTAAGCATATCATCCAAAAGTTTCCCGGAGACTGAAAGATTCTGGTTGTACAGAATGGGAAATTACAAAAAATTAAACATGTTGAGAACGAAACAAAATGTTAATTAATTGTTTTAAGAAATGTTGTGTCAATTTAAGAGTTCCGTCGAATAAAAGTATAACTAAAATCAATATTTTTACGGCACAAGCATTTAAAAAGAAACATTGTTAGTATAGGCATAGTGAGGAAAAGACTACAGAGAACTATGCACTGTCTTTACACAACCTAAAATACAAACTAAGATAACGTGTGTCAGTGGTACAGTTTATTTGTTTATAACAAACCTCAGAGAAATGAACAGTTAGTTACAGTATTTGAGAAAGGAAAGTTAAAGTTTCTTACATTTTTTCTTATTTTCTTAGCCAGCAGAAATTGACACGGAACCTGCATTGACGGAAGAGGATTTACCGAGATTAGTGGAAGAACTAAATCTATTACAAGATGAGTTTGACGAGGCTGTTATGGTTAAATATGATTTGCAAGACAAGGTGAACGCTTGTTCGGAGAGGTTAAAGGTAGCTCAAGAACTTTTACAACGATTAAAAGATTTTGAGGAAGATTCGACGGCCTTTGTCATGGAGTATTCATCGTCTGAGGTGCTTCTTTCAAATTGCGTGTCTGCAGCTGCTTTCTTGACATACTGCGGGCCCATGGGTATTGATCAAAGGTATATATACGTAAACAAGTAAGGTGTTTTCGTTGAAACAACTCTTGCCTTTTATATTGAATATAGTATTATGCATTCACAGGAAGAAAACGATTTGTTATTTCACTGAAGCATGTGCAAAGCATGGTTTGCCAAAAGAGTCAAAGAAATTGTTTCATGACTTGCCGTTGTGTGAATATCTAAACGACAAGGTAATTTGCATTTTATTTAGTTATTGGGGTAGTAACGGTTGTCTGTGTTATTGCAAAACAGGCTATCCAAAAATGATATATCCTTTACACACATAAATGTGTGAATTTTTTTTCCTCTTTATCACCATGACATTTTATTTGGCTTATTGGGAATTAAGAATTGTTCCGTCATGTTCACTCAATTTGATTTCCCAGAGGGGTCACATCACAGCTCTATAACAAATGGTTTGATGTCAATAGGGGATACTTTTTTGTGGACACCCTGCATGTGATAGCTATGTATAACTGTTTTTTGATACAGTCGAACCCTTTATACATCAAATTATGTTTCATGAAAGTTCCCTCTATGTCTGTTTCTTTGAACTTGGTCATTTTAATTTCCCAATTTCATTGGGTTTTTTCATATTTCTTGGCAGCGCTATTCTCTTTTTTTTAAGTTTAAAAATGTTTTATCTCTACATTCCCTTGGGGTAAGAGTTGGCACGGTTTGACGGTCGTAATGTAACATTCTCTTTTATTATTTAATTAAGTATTATAATTTTCTATTTTTGCATTTTTAACAGCTAGAATTTAGCAGGGTTTGCTTGTCGTAGTCGTTCTCTTTTATTCTTAATTTTTATACTGTTCTTTTTATTGTGAATATTAAGATAATAATGTGTTCCAGTTGTATTGTTTATGGTTGATTGGATCGTTAATGGCCTTTCTTTCTTTCGTAGTTTGAATTAAAGCAGCTTCAACTGGCTACTGTTCCTTTTGATCCGATTTCTCTCGATATTATGTGTTTGTTGCGTCAAGAAGAGATAGCAAACGCATGGACTTTGATCTGTGACCCACATCGTGTCGCACAATTTTTAACCACAACAGCTAGTGAAGTGACTATCGTAAAATTCAAGGTAAACAAGTTTTTAAAGTTAATTTTTAAGGTAAGTGATGGGATTATATAGATTACAAGTCAGGCCATGATACTTTTGGCCATGGTGATCTTGACATATTAGTTACGAGAGTGGGAATATATGGTAACAAAGGTGATGGTAACAATGACGACTGTAACAATGAAACTATAGACAGGCGGGGCATTGTATTTCTGGACATGGTAGAACCAGATATAGTAATAAAGAGGATGGTAATACGGGAATGGTATTAAGGGGCATTGTAGTACTAGATATGGTAATAGAGAGTTTAAGCTGGATTCCGATACCATGATATACCAATACCAAAAACATGAAGCGTATACCAAAGTCAGCCTTCACCAAACTAAACAATCAACAACTACTTATAATATTGAAGCTTCTTATTATGTATTGTCATTTGCTTCAGTCATGTTTATCTATATAGCTTTAGTATTCATCTTTACAAATTAACGCTTTAACAATTCCTGTCATGAAAACCGAAAAGAGCGTGTCATTAGGTATCTGTAAGATACTGGTATTGGTATTAGAAGTCCGACTTAAAATCTCCCTATAATATTATAAACGGTTAGAACGGCTTGATATACTGTATATAGCAATGCGGGACATTGTTATGAGAAATGTGTTGCTGCAAGCATGGTTAATATTATATTTGTAGCACCATATGTATGAGAATGGTCGTCAGTCTCACAACATTTGCTTAATGTTTGTTTTTTTTATAGGAGATTCGTAGTCATCTGGAAACGTGTTTAATCGAAGGGACACCGTTGTTGGTAGTTGATGTAAATCTTGCAGAACTAGTTAATGATGACAGATTTTATTATGTCTTAAGGAGTATGCCTACTTTCTTAACGGCCACGAATCCATTTAAGTTATTAGTGAGTATGAATATTGTTATTTACTGCCTTATACATAGTTTATGTGCTTGGTCTCAGTTTAAACTGACTGCTAGGCTAAATTCGAATCTTTGTCCACCTGATGAGGGTTTGATGTAAGCACAACGCAATAAGATGTACCTCCCGACAAATAAGGTTACAAATTCTAAGTGAATGAACACCGGATAATTCAGCGCAGCACTAGTTAGACTTATAGTAATTTGCTAACTGCCACTTGAAGAATGAGGTTTCTCGTGATTTAAGAAAGGACGTTTTTTGAACTCAAAAATACCATATTTCAAAATTAACATTAATTAGCGATACGTAAGTGTCACTTATCATACCGCTACATTAATTTTTGGTTATCGTCATCTTGTAAGGTAGTTTGAATAATGCTCACGTTATTTTATCGAAACACGGGAAAATGCAATTAGCATCTCTGAGATTGACTGGGACTCATTCAATTAGACCTATATAATAACTTACCTTGAGAGAGGGGGGGGGAGACCTTGTGTTGTGTTTATATTTGGGTATTATGGATTGAAAGTAAACACCTTTATGTAGCATTTTGTTATTATTATTCCTAGTCATAACCTAGTGACACATTAGTCAATAACCGTGGGTACAAACATTGATATTCTCTCTCATAACTATTGATTTTTACAAACAATAGTCAATGTGAGTGGTGATGCATATTGGCATTCTCTATTATAATTATTGATTAATTCCCATTGTTTATGCACCATGAGTTGTCCATTGCAATTGGACAGAAATGGACATTAAATAAGTGATGTTTTAGACAATTGTATATTCTTACTATTTTTATTATATCTTCTGTAAAAATTATTGTTTTACTACGACATCATTTATAAATATTTTGAAATAAATAGTATTAGATAGTAAGTTATTGTAGAATATTTTTGTCATGTGAGTTACTGAATTTTTCTGAAATGTTATCTAGGTTGGCGAGCATGAAATTGAATGTCAGCCATCATTCAGGTATTCGTTCTTTTAGAAAGTATGTACTTTGTGTTGTTGTTCAGTTTTAACAGCAACTATACTGTATCATCCCGTACTATCATATACTATCCCCTTTTGTGTTGCTCAATTTTTTGATGAATTTTTTTTTCACTTGGAATAAGATTTTCAAATCGAACTGCAGTGTACAGCACGTATTTTTGATATAAATATAACAGCCCAGAAATATATCAATGACTGTGTTAGAAATTATGTTGGTCTGCCATTTTATACTAGGAATTTGGTTTCCGCTTGGCAAATCTTTCACCACGAACTTCAATCTCATCATATGTATAGACATGTATAACTTGCCATTTGTCAAATGTAGATTTCCATATTTTTATGAAGATTATTCATGTCGACGACATCTTCAGCATATTCTGTACCTCATGAACTGAGTGCATTCGTGAACGTGGTTGAAATGTGCATGTCACGTGATGGCCTTGAAGAGATGTTCCTCGATAGATTCATGGCATTAGAGAAATCTCGAATACAAGATTCCTGGCAGCAGGCTGTTTCGGTAAGCATCGTGGTGTGGGTGACTTCACATAACAAGTACTATCATATTTACTGCTGGATTTTTTTCAATGTTTTATTTTGTATTGTCTTGTGTTGTTACGCAAATAGAACATCTCTCTGGACTTCTTCGTGGCTCCCTCGTTATTTTCCATTCTTCGTTTTTTTAATTGATGATCTTGCTCTATGTGGAATTCTTATAGTTTGTTAAGAGATTTAGAATTTGACTAAAGGATGAAAAATGCTTACAACAAGCGAATCGTTAAGAGACATGAAAAAAATGCTAAAATCGTAAGAAAGCCCTGGAAAACTTTAACCGAACCCTAACGAAAATTGTAACAAGTTTCAGGATTACTCTTATTGGAAAGAAACCACGAGATTCTTTGCTCTCAAAAAAATCTGTTCTCTTGATTAGGACTGAGTGAATATCTGAAAACTTGCTATTTATAATACCACTGTTCTACAGGATTTAGTTCGCTTACTGAAAGGGAAAAAAGATTCGAAGAAAAAATTTCTTGAAGAGTTATTGAAGAACAAGCAATTTATTCATGATCTCGTCACCATGAAGAAGATCTCGTCCATTCGAAGAAATTTTGAAGAAATCATAGAAAGGTAAGCGGCAACACATGATCAATTTTAAACTATTAGCTAAATGTGGAATAAGTCTTTATCTCTTGGTATAATAATGTTTTTACTTTGAATTCACTGATAAGTTGTGATCAGTTTTGTTCTTCATACCCATAGCTTAACTTTCATATCAATTCCAAGATGAGAATTGATCAATTTTTCTTAATATCTATTTTCTTAATTTTCACGTTGATTGTTCTTTTTTGTTACCTTTTATTCAGTATACATAGAGCAGAGCAAACTGAGGCTGCGTTTCTTCACTCACGTGAGGCATATCGACCAATCGCACGCCGTGCTGCCGTATTATTTGACGTCGCGCGTCATATGGGCGAAGTAAACAATAAATACACTTTGTCTTTTGCTCATTTTCTGAAGGTTTTTGACGCTGCTATCCAGCAATCGGAAAGGTGAGTTTTTGGATGCAATCCTCGTGAAACCCATTTTCTAAGCTACTCCGCATAACATGACTTTTTAATTCTATTTTCTTAATGTGAATAGTGATGAAATATATGGGCAAACAGCCCTTAGACTGATTAAGAGAGACAAGGTTGTTTTTTTCCTTTCTAAATTGTACTTTAATGTGTGCCCAGTCGTGTCTGTTTATATTGAAGTGGCTTTAAACTTTTGGCCTGTAATGTAGATGACATTACTTTCATTGTGATTCCTTCATTGTGTTGTATTGTGATATCATTTTATACATTTTTATTCAACTGTTGTGTTCATGAATTTTTATTTTAATAGAACTTCTGTTAAAGCAGTGGCCGAAAGAGTCGGACAAAGTGTATTCTTTTTTGTCGCACAAGGTTTCATGGAAAGAGATCGAATGCTTTTCGCCCTGCTATGTGCAATCGAGGTAATAGAATTCTTGCAACAAACAGAATTTTCGTTTCAGTTCCATCCATTCAGTGTCTTTGATTCAATTTTGGGGGTTTTTGCGTCAATAAAATAATTGGTATTTTTGTGTGCAATACCTTTTATATCCTCACCTCTATATAACAGAAGTCCAATTAACTTCCTTTACCTCGTAAAATGCTTTCATAGTTTCGCGTTTCAGGTTGAAGATTCGTTTGGTCGAGTATCACCTGGTGATCGTGAATTCCTCATCTATCCTGCATATGGATCTGCCGTGAGAAATGCTTTTAATCACAATGAGCTGATTACGTCACACATGAAACTCTCTAATGCCAAGAAGCCTTTTGATTGGATGACGGATGAGCAATATAATGGACTACAGGTTAGCTGGTTTTATTGTGTAATGTGAGTGTAGATTGTTAGCGCAGTTATTTCATGGGTTCCATGTTTTGAATTTTATTTCTCGCTGTTATTTCGGTGGTTTCTTTTTTGTATAGTTATTCGCCCAGTCAATTGGTTTGTTCCATCTTTTGAATAGTTATTTGTATGGTCATGTAAATGGATTTTGTTTTTTGAATAGTTTTGGTGTGGTTATTTGATTGGTTTTCCTCGTTTGAATGGTTATTTTGTTGGTTCCATATTTTCAATAGTTGTTGGTGCAATTATTCGATTTCTTCCATCTTTTGAATAATTGCTTGTTTTATCATTTGATCAATTTTTATCTTAAACATTTATGATTAGTTTTTTGTTCTTTGGCTCTTTTATTTGATTGGTTTCATCTTTTGAATAGTTTTTGGCGACGTCATGTGATTTGTTTCATCTTTTAAATGGTTATTGGCGCGGGCGGTCATTTTATTGGTTTCATCTTTTAAATGGTTGTTGGTGCAAATATGTGACGTGTTTGATTCTTTTAAATAGTTGTTAGCGCAGTCATTTGATTGGTTTCAAGAGTCATTTGAGAAAATGAATAAAGATGGTCGGGAATCGCATTGGCGGCAGATTAGTGAACACGAAACGCCGGAAATAGTCGCTTTACCTGATAACCTGGACGAGAAGTGAGTAATACTGTAAATGTCCTAACTAGTGGTTTTATTCAATAAGATTATTTCTCGTTGTAGTGATTACCTTTTCTCTATCATTTAAAAGTTTATTTGTCGGTGATATAATATTTTCAGTCATCGCTCGTATTCATTCTGTTATTTTTTTACGAGGTTAACTCCAATACAAAGATTTATGATTGTACGAGCCATTCGACCTGATCGTCTTATTCCTATATCCCGCTCTTTCATAATACAAAGCCTGGGAAAAAGGTACTTGTTACAATTTACTATCTTGCTTGCTTACTATGTAAAGCATCAATGGTGAGTTAAGTGTCCAGGTGGCCTGTAGGTAGGTAGGTTCATGAGTATTTAATTGAACAATATATTTGATTAGATAGAATGTTCAAGGTTTTCAGGAAAGTTGCGTGTAGCTGTTTCTATGTACACAATGTTAAAATTTGGAATTGTTGCTGATTTATAGGTATGCATCAGATGTTCCTTTAGATCTCGGCCTTGTTCATCGTCAAAGTGATTGTCGGACTCCAGTGTTGTTGCTGTTTGACGAGGAATCTTTTGTTATCGAATTACTAGTACGAGATATAGCAGGAAAAAAACAGGTAGCGGCACACTACACTACACTACACTACACTACACTACACTACACTACACTACACTACACTACACTACACTACACTACACTACACTACACTACACTACACTACACTACACTACACTACATTACAGATCAACTTATCTGTCGCCCATTTATCAACTGGTAGCTCCAGTGAGGAAAGAAATATCAGGAAAACGTTGCATAAATCAATGATTGACGGTTCGTGGCTTTTGCTACTTAATGGTCATAACATGCCTAGACTTATGGACATGCTCGACTCCCTTGTCATGACAGTAGAAGACAAACAAATCGATAGTAACTTTAGACTATGGGTATCTGCTAAGATTTCAATTTGTCATTTGCCATGTTATCTGTTGCAACAATCGATTAAAGTTTTTATGGATTCTCCTAAGGTAATGTACAATTTTTGTCACGATGAATACCACTAAAATCATTTTTCGTAAACTTTCAATTTCTCTCTATATAGATGTTATTTTATGGGTTTATTTTTCATATGCATTGATTTGTCGTTTCCTCTTCAGAATCTTCGTGATAATCTTGTACGTTCAATGTCTCTGGTTGGCGTTGATACCCTTGCTGTGAGCAGTCGAGCAGAGTGGCCAGCACTTCTTCATAATGTTGCTCTTCTTCATAATGTGATTCGTTTAAGAAATCATTATCTTTTAGTGGGCTGGAACCAGCCAAATATGATCAATCCGGGAGCACTGGAGTTTTGTGTAAGTGTTTTAAAACTATTTATTCGCATGCACAAGAAAAGATGGCGAAGTTGTAAATGGATTTTTAAAGTAAACTAGAGGCTTGAAATGTATTTCAGTACTTCAGGAAAGAGCATTCAACGTTCGATGAAACATGTAGTTAAGTTAAAAAATAAGAAAGTGTGGAAAACACATTCATATAAAGTTGACGATATTTGGTTATTTTATAGTAAGTATGAAAAGTCATTGTGACATTGTGTTTGAGTTTCAAAAGTTGACCTACGTCCTGTGGCTACTTTCTATGTATTTTGAGGAGATTACCATTGTAGTTTGCAAATGCGTGTTTCTGCTTTGCCGGAGGCTCCCTTTTTTTCATATCGATTTCGAAAAGTGCATTTATCATTTGTATTCAGGAGGCAGTGAACGTCGCAGTGAAGGAATTCTCGGAATACAACATGAATGAACGAACTAGCCCACCGACCTCTGGAAAACAAATACAGTGGGCTTTGTTGAGATGTGTATTGTCGGAGGTATCATCTCATTTGAATCTTATTTTTTATTTGAAGCTTGTCACCTTTTTTAATTTTACTCTTAGACGGTCTATGGAAATTGTATTTTCGATGAATTTGACCAACATTCTTTAAATGCATTGATTGATTTCTGGATCAGTCCCGCTGCGGTGAAAAAGGAATTTGAGGCATCCAAATGTATGGAACTGTTTTATTGTGTATGGTGATGATTATATAAGTAACCTTGCTTAGGATTAGTAAACTAAAGAAACTTGACAAACAAACTCACATACCATTGCCTTTGTATGCACATTAAATAAGAAAACAATTAATTCTAGCTGTTCGTGGTCCACTTTTTCATTTATATGTTTGAAACTTGATAAATCTGGGTTAGAGAATCAAATCATTGTTTTTGTGTAACAAGTTAACGTGCATTTTAAACTAAAAGAACATTACCTAAGAACCAAATGTGTATTGAAGGTATTTCATACCGTCTACCCATTAGTGATGTAGCCAGCCTGGAAGTTTAGCCGTGCTATATAAATATTTAGGTGCATGCTCACTTTCTGTAAAATATGAAATTTCTAAATTCTAAACAAATAAACATTGCTAATGATGTGGAATTCATAAAGCAATACAAAATTCACCATAGCTACGTCACTTTTACTCATTCATAGACTACATTGGATCTATTCTCTACATATCATAATACTCTGAACGTCATTGCAAATTCGACAATGAACTGGGCAATCAATTTGCTGATATTCGAGGAAGTCTGCATTATTTTTTATGAAATGGCATGTAACCAATAAGAGGCTCAATAAATAAAATGAACTAATATCTGTTTCGATTTAGTGAAGTACAGACTGCCGTCTTTGTTGTTCTCGGGTAATGTCCGTCTACAGTCGTTGATTCAATCACTGGAATCTTTACCTCGTAATACAATGGACGTACCTGAAGCATGTGGATTACATTCTTCATCAGAAGTAAGCGTTTTAAGTCGCTATTATTTCTATGGTCGTACTTGCCGCACTGATCCTGACTCTCCCTAATCCTAAATGAACTTTCTTTACTTAACTAAGTTTAGCTTTCAGTTTTCTTTTTTTCCCAGACAATCGTATCGGATGATCAGTATGTTTTCACTCGTATGAACTTCATATACGATCGAATGGCAGCCACTAGGACGCTTACCCACGCCTGTGTAGAGTCGGACTTTTACACGCCCAACAAGGGTATTGTTGTGGTCAGTGGCCAATCTCATTTGCCTGGTGCAAGCGTCATTGGCATCCAAATGGCTGGTGTGTTTGCTAGCGCAAGTCTATGGGCCTTGCGTCTGAGAAAAGATGTGGACATTTTCGATATATGCTCTACAGCCCTTAGTAAAACTCCGAAGCCGTGGAGTAAGGTAATTTGCTGGCTTGGTTTGCAGTATTTTGTTAGATTTAGATATTATCTTGAGGGAGTGTGGGCATGAACATAGAACTCATACCTCCCTCCTCCCCATTTTTCCATGTGCAAACCATATATTGTGCAAAATTCAGCGTCTCACCTTTAGAGTATGTCCTCATGTTATTCTGCCCTCCCCCGACTCACTTTTGAGAAATGTCCACAGTCCCTGTAGTTATCGTAATATAACTTTCAATAAACTTTATCTTGGCCAATATAAGGTTTTGATGAAAACATCACAGCACTGCTCGAAATTATTTTGAAGAAATGTATTCTAAATGCATATGTATAATTTAAGGACTCCATCAACGAGAGGCTCAAAAAGGGTGGTGTCACATCATTCGTTCTGTTCGTACTCTCTGAAGTTGAACAGATGCAGAAGTTGGTTCATACCATCAGAGAAGATCTTCAGGTTAGTTCAGAATCATGACGAATTCTGTTTCCGTTCTGCTGCTAAAACCCTCTTAATAACCCATTCCTGTCTTTATTCATTTTGCTTTTACCTTAACGTTGCGTGTTAGATTATCAAATCAGCAATTAGTGATGGCATTCAAGGTGACGTCGTACCCTTAGATGTTATTGAGGTTGCAGCTTCTTTGTACAACCAACGCATACCCTCACGATGGCTTAAGATGGCTGGAAGATCGTCACCTCCCAGTTCATGGAGTTTGGTCGCCTGGCTGATAGATTTACAGAACAGACATGCACATATAGAACGTGTTGTGACTCAGGTGTGTTGAGACATCAACTGTTGTTATCATTATATACTGAGAGCGGTTGATTTTTTTGTGATTATGGAATCTAGCAGCATTTTATATTATAGGTACTAAAAAACTGTTTGTTCGTTTGTTCATTCATCATTAGCTACACTGTACACACGTTATCTTAGTTTATATTTTATGTTGTGTAAAGACTGTTCTCGTTCTCTGTTGTTCATTCATTACTACCTACACTTATATACATTATCTTAGTTCATATTTTATGTTGCGTAAAAAGTGCTCTCTTTCTCTGTTGTTCATTCATTACTACCTATACTGACCCATGTTATCTTAGTTTATATTTCAATTCGTGTAAATACTTGATTGTGTTTTAATTTATGTCAGGGACGTGATCGACTCCCAGCTTATTGGCTTGGTGCCTTCTTCAATCCAAAACGACTGCTGGATATTGTTAAGCAAGAGTCTATTCGAAACTTTGAAAATACAGGTCGATCAGCAGTTACGGAGTTGTTCGTTATGCACACGGACATCACAGGCCGAGATAAAGATCACGTAAGTACGATCCACGTGACCTAATTTTGTCGATTGATGATTGTCTCACATCGATTAACTGTGGATGGTCATGATATCAGTTTCAAAGGCCTATGAAAATGTTTCGACTATAATAATGATAATAATCTGTACTTCAACACGCAGGATAAATCACTATCACTAATTGCAACTGTTTGCTTTAGTGTTTCCTGTAAAACTGGCAATAGCAAAAAGCTAATGTAGTATATACTAGCACGCATTTTTTTGTTTTGCTGATATAAATTTTGTTATTTGTTTTTTGACAATGATGTTGTAGTGACTATTGTTGTGTACCTTAAATTCATACTAACACGTGATTCCAAAGATAAGGTTCTAAGTAGGCCTGTTTCACAACTACAGTAATAATAACATGACAATATTGTTGACCGAGTCTTTGTTTTGAAGTAAAATATTTAGAATTTAAATGTGTTTGTAATGTTCATTTATAAATGTTACCCTTGTCTTTATTTTTGTTAGCTTCGTGAGCCACCGCTTGAAGGGATTTTTGTCTACGGTTTGTACATTTGGGGCTGTGCATGGGAGAAAACTACTGGAGATCTCATCGATACGCCCCCTAAAGTAGGACTAACACCCCTACCTGTCGTCCATTTTACGGCAATACCTCAGTCAGAGAAGCTATCCTTCAATGATCCTCACAAAGCAGCTGTCTCTTACGCCTGTCCATGTTATCCATCTCGGATCTGTCCACGAGAACCCATAGTCACTTTAGATATTGATAACAAGGATGTTCCAAGTAGCCGTTGGCCCTTACGAGGATTATGTGCTACCTGAGACCCTTTTGATACGCAGTTGTGCACTTGATGTTGTTTTAATGTTTTCATCATTCCACGAATTTTTTTAAAACGTCATGACGAGACATTGTTTTGCATTGTCTCTTTTGTCTGAAGGACAAACTTTTTTAGATGTATAATATTGTATCTTATGTACATTTTAGTGTATTGATTGCATTATCTGTTCATATAAGGTTAGAAAACTTGTTAACGTCGTTATGAAAGTTATAAACATTGTGATGTTGGTGTTCTATTTTAGAGCTGATCTCAAGATGAAACTGGTATTGCATTGATGAACGCACCACGTTTCTCAAGCTTTTGTTTACATTTCTGCGAAATAGTTATAGGACACAATACCGTGTTCTGCCTAGCAATTTGCTTTAGGCCTTTCGATTGCCGTGTATTATGAGCATTGTCAACTAATATTGGAGATGTGAAGTGATATAGAAACATGAAGCATTTTTGTGTTTGATATGAAGGAATCGATCGTCCTCCGTTGGTTGACATGGGTAAAATAACTTGTCAACGTCCAACTGTGTTTAATTTATTGATTACAATTAAAGGAAGATGAATGTTTTGCTGTTTACTGTCGATTTAAGAAGTGATGAAGAGAAAAGTTATCCATCATATTACCACAAATGGAAATGATATGATTCTTCTCTTATTGAATAAAGTTTATTTGTGAAATGTAGTAATTGTTATGCCATTTATATATAATTGATTAGTTGGACCTCCCAATATTTTCTATACTACAATAGAATGGAGAAACAAGTAAGGTGTGTGACCGAATGGCTAAACTTTTGTTCACACCGCTCGGTACAGCTCCCTCAGCTGTATCATGCTGCCTATATATCTATAACGTTGATGTAATAGGAAACTTTTGATTTTTCTCATTATGTTTCTTTTATTTTTTGTTTTCGTTTTATTTCGAAATGTTCGCACACATTCACGACTAGCTCGGCCTTTGTCTAATCGAAGACCCGCTGTGATAATTTGCATTGAAATGTATTTTTGTCGTTATATGGTATTTGACACATTAGCCAGATCTGTTTAACAAGACGTCGTCGATTTGTTGACACTAGGCTCTGCTCAAACCCATTGGCAAAGTGTTGATGACGATGATTTCGTGTTTATAAGTGGTATGTTTTCTTCAATACTTTCTTAAACACTTTTATTACATTCAGTGCTTGTAACAAATATTTCCTTCTACCTTGCAGAAAAACACATGGCTAAGGTGTATTTCAATGGGCTCTTTATGATTATTGCTTCACTATGGAGTGTGCAGGGTAAAGAGATATCGTAGAGTACTTTATCTACAATACTTTTATTCTGACGAGCTGAATAGCTGTTGTTTATTGCTGACTCGGACAAATATGTAGCTTACTATTTTTGTCCTTGTGCAAGGAAAATTTAATTGTCTTGCTTGATAAAAGGTTTGAAAGCTGGTCATAACATTAGTATAGTATATTCTACTAATGAACTTGTGGAGTACATTCCACTAGTTCATTTTATATGAATAATTGCTGTAGCTACTTATACTAATATAACGCAATTATGTAAAATCAAATACTGTTTGTTGTAGCTACATCGTGTGTCCGTTTTCTGTAATTTCCCATGTGATGAAAAAATTTTCCCAATTTTTTCCACATTTCCAATGTCGAACAATATATACAATTTGAGGATTCACATTATGATGATTCTGCGATGATGGCTTTGGAACAAACAATACAAACTACGTGAATTTGAAACAATCCCATTTTCTCACGTTTTTCATGCACGTCAGTCGAAACGTGTACATAAAATATTCTATTTGTTTTCATAATGTGTTTGGTCCAACAGCAACTATGTTTTGTTTTTTTTTTTGGTCATTTTTGTATTATTCACGTTGGTTTGTTTTTGCTGTAGCGGAAAACGTGTACGAGGCACAACGACGTCTGGAAACGGTCCTTTTTGAGAACTATTATAAGAAAGTAAGACCAGTTGTTCATCATAGCGACAATGTTACGGTAACTGTTGGATTATCGTTGAGTAGAATTCAAGACATGGTAAGTTTTATCGCTAAGAATGTAATTGAATTTTTTTGGGGATTGCGTATACATAATTTTAAACTTTCCTCATGAGAGACAAGTATGGGTTGATATCGTTCAAAAATCTGGAACATAGATGATTGGTGTAGTTTTGTTTCACTGGGTGTTTTATGTCGATTTATTTTTGTTGTTTATGAATAGTTTTGTTTGCTTACACTTTTACAATTTGTCTTGGGTATTAAATTTAAGCGAGATAATACATGATAGGTTGGGATCATCAAGGTTTCTGGTCTTTCTTTATAAATACTTTCGGTTTTGACAGAGGATACCCAGGGATGATCAATGGTCAATTAAGTATGAGCTGGTATAGCAGATTTTTACATGCACATTTGTTATTTTTAGAATGATAAGATCGAAGTTCTAACTCTTAATGTATGGCTTCGACAGGTAAGAACTATTGCAACAAAGCAACTTATATTGCTACAATGTAAATATTTTGTGTTCGATCACTGGAGAAAAAAGAAATGGAATTAATTTTTAAAAAGAATAGTAATTTGTAATAAAATATTGTATTGTAGGTGTAAGAATTTAGGCTGGTTTTTTCAATGCTGCTCTTGTGTTGAACTAGCATTGGAATGGCTACCCTCATTTATGGAATAGCCCTGTCTATATGCTGTATTGCACTACTCTTGTAATTTACTAGGTTTGGAATGATCATCGTCTGACTTGGAATAGCTCTGACTATGCTGGCATAAAACAACTACACGTCGATTCGAAGAAGATATGGGTTCCTGACCTTAAAGTTTATAACGAGTATGTGTATTTACTGCTGTGAAATGTGAAGATGAGGTCTGTGCAGTAAAATATCGGACTGAGGTCTTATTTCTGAATTAATAATTGTGCATAGATAACCGACTTCAGTTATTTCATTGTACAGCGCAGGATATGGGAGGATGTAGACTGTTTATTGTGTACATGCATGTTATAAAGTTTTAGAAACCATGTAGCAGTGTAAATGGGAAACTTGCCATAAATGGAAAAAACTTGTTATATGCTAGAGGACAAAATAATATGGATTAGATTTTAGTTAGCAAACTGGGAACGGGTTTTTTTTTGTAATATCCTATTGTTGAATTGGCAATAAGCAAGAGAAGTGGATTGATAAAATATAGCGAGTTTCATAGATATTTTTTTTAAAAAATGGATAACTTACTCCAAAAAACATAATGTTATTAATATCTCCATCCGTTCTTAACAGCAACATGTCAGTTGGTTTTCTATCACATTGCTTGTCTGTTAAAGATTTCCTTAGGCATGTTATGTTCTAAATGTTCTATGTAAAAGACAGGAGTTTACAAAATAGAATGGATAACATTTCTTCTCGATCTCGAGGACATGTAGAACTTATTAAAAGGTGGTTTTCACAGCTCTAAGAATGTAAAGAAAAAATTAATGACTCTTTTTATGCACATTGTATCTTTCTCTGTTTTGTCGCATTTGTGTCGAATAACATTATCGTTCTTTCTATAGAGTTAGTTCACAAAAAAACAGTGGACTTGATCTGCTACATACAAAAGCTATCGTATATTTTAATGGTTCTATAAAATGGCTGTCTCCGTCTGTCAAGAAATTGTCTTGTAATGTCGATATGAAATTTTTCCCATATGACACGCAGGTAAGTTTTTGTACGTGTTTGTAGTTCTTGGTTTGGTAAGACATGTTAATATGTCATGGTTGGGAAATGTTGGTTTAAAGGAACGCATGGGCAGTTAGCTAAGTTTTAAAAGTACAGTATATTTTAAACTGACTTATGCATAAGTAAGTAAGTAATTAAGATTTAGCATCAGATTACTCTTAATAAAGATTACAGTGCAGAGTATATAAGGACTCTAGTCTTGACATGAGATCACTAGTGATGATGATACTAGATTTTAGTATATAAATACTTACGATTAAACATGAGACCATTCCTGATAAAGACACCAAAGTGAAGTGTAGAAGAACTCGAGTTTTGACAATAGATGACTCCTGATCAAGATACTAGACTATAGTATATGTATACTTACGTTTCAACATCAGATCACTCCTGAATGTCTATGTTAATGATTGCTTTAATAAGTTTGACATGTTGTTCTAGAGATGTTATCTGAAGATTGGATCGTGGACTTACGACGGTTTTGCATTGGATTTAAAACGCGAGCACTTGGAAATGGACGTTTCAAAATCTCTTTCGAATCATGAATGGAAATTGATTGGTACAAACGTAGAAAGAAATGTTAGAAAATACGTTTGTTGTGTTGCACCTTACCCCGATATCACTTACATCCTTACGATAAAGAGACGCGAAAGTAGTTATTGGTTTAACTTTGTATTTCCTGGCATGTTTCTGACAGGTATGTCTCTTCTTTTTTTGTTTCTGTTGTGCATAGCGTCATATATTGATGTTAATAGTTTACACATGTTTTATTTTAGGTAGTATAAAGACTGTTCTCATTTTGTCTTCTTCATTCATCACTGCTTACACGGACACACGTTATCTCAATTTATATTTTAGACAGTGTAAAGACTGTTTTTATTCTCTGTTGTACATTCATCACTACCTACACTTACACACCTTATGTAAATTTATATTTTAGGTAGAGTAAAGATTGTATTCGTTCTCTGTTCTTCATTCATCACTAGCAACACTGAAACGTGTTATCTCAATTTATATTTTAGATAGTGTAAAGACTGTTTTTATTCTCTGTTGTTCATTCATCATTACCTACAATTACACACCTTATGTAAATTTATATTTTAGGTAGAATAAAGATTGTATTCGTTCTCTGTTCTTCATTCATCACTAGCAACACTGAAACATGTTATCTCAATTTATATTTTAGATAGTGTAAAGACTGTTTTTATTCTCTGTTGTACATTCATCACTACCTACACTTACACACCTTATGTAAATTTATATTTTAGGTAGAGTAAAGATTGTATTCGTTCTCTGTTCTTCATTCATCACTAGCAACACTGAAACATGTTATCTCAATTTATATTTTAGATAGTGTAAAGACTGTTTTTATTCTCTGTTGTTCATTCATCACTACATAAAGTTACACACGTTATCTTAGTTTATATTTTAGGTAGTGTAAAGAGAGTTTTCGTTCTCTGTTGCTTATTCAGTACTACCTAAAGAGACACACGTTGTTTTAGTTTATATTTTAGGTAGCATAAAGACTGTTCTCGTTGTTTGTTGCTCATTCATCACTACCTACATTGACACACGTTTTCATTTGACATACTGTTCTCGTAGTCTGTTATTCATTCATCTTTTCATACCTCTGTGTATTTTATTTATGCTCGTTGCTTTTTTTAGTTTGCGATACAATAATAATATGATTACATTGCATTCTGTTTTAGTGTTAACAATGATGAGCTACGTCACAGCTGCCACCGACACTGGCGAAAGAATTAGTTTAGTTCTTACGTCACTCGTATCCATGTTTTTTTTCCTGAAGTTAGTGAGTGATCGAACACCTGCCTCTGACACAATACCATTGCTGAGTATCTACTTTGTTGTTTTGATTTTTGAGGTAGGAAACATGGGCATCAACGGTTAATTTTCAAACTTCTTTGAAATTTTTACCATTTAATTGAGAATTTTGTTTGTTTAAAAATTGCACTGGCATTAAATTATGTTTTTTAAATTTCATATGTTTTGCATTGTGAAAACACCTAGTGGACGAGAGATGCATGAAATCAGTGGCATTTAGCTTGCAAGTTTGGTCATGTCATATATAAATATTTCTATGTTCACTCCATTGGAAATCAATGTATTTCTGAAGTAATGAATAGAGCTAATGATTTGAAATTTGCATAGCATGACGCAAGTCGTTGGCTGGTTGCACCACAAATCGAAATAATTCACTTCTCTGATAATGTTTTTCAACTGGTCTTTAAAGATTCTGACGTGACTTAAAACAGCACGTTAAACACATCGTTAGTTTTATTAAAACAATTGTTACATGAATGTTTAGATTGGCTTGATTCTATATTCTGTTTGCGTGTCGTTGAATGCTTACCACAAGCACCCGGCCATGGGAGATATGCCCAACTATTTAAGAAATTTCGTGTTGAATGCACTTGGAAACGTGTGGGGCTTTGACGGCGAACGAAAACGCATTATGAGGAGATTTGGACTCCTTAATAACACGTCAAAGATGAAGATTAGAGTTGTAAAGGAGTTGGAATGCATGAAAAATGGCTTATCTTACTCTGATGAAGAATCCAAAGAAGATTTAATTTCTGTTGAAAGTAGAAAATGTTCACACTCTCTGGAAAACAATGGTAAGGAAGACATTCGAGACGTTACCGGTATAGAGAGAGATGAAAGATTTTGTTGAGAGTAAAATTAACACGGTTAACATTGAAGCTTATCGGTTAAGTCTTCGTTGCATCGTGATATACAGGTTATCTTTTAAACAAATGTTACTGTAGTTTTACATGGTGATGTTTCATATTCAGGCTGGACTATGTTGGTGTAGTTGATATGGATATGTTTAGGATAAACTATTTTAGTATCGTTTCACGTGGTGATGTTTAAAATAGACTATCTTAATGTGTAGTTTTAAATGGTAATGTCTAGGTTATAGTATGAAGTTTACATTAATGATGAATTCTCAAAAGATTTTTCAACATATAATAAACTATAATCTGTGACTTATGGTGATTTGAGAAGGTTTGATGTTTTACTTCGGAATATACAACGATATTTTTAAAATTGCTTGTCTTATTGTCAGTTTGTATTTCGTAACTTACGCCGCAAATATTGCAAGTCACTTCATGTTTTGTTATGGAAGACTTCCATGTATTTGGTTTATAGTATAGTAATAAGTGGCTGGATGGTTAATTGCGTGAGTTGCAAGCCAGACGGCGCGGGTTCAATCCCGGCTCGTGGCACATCTGGCAATGTGTCTGTAAACCTAGCCCGGGTTGACCAAAGCCATGTGAGGGAAATTTGGTAGAGGAAACTATGTCCTCGGATGGACTGTATCTGCATCTGCAATGTTGCAGCCTTGTCACAAATGTGTCACGCTGATATCAGCGTTGTAGTTGCGTGAAAGGTACGAGTGATTGTAGTCTGGTCAGCTGCCTTCACTATAATTTAAGTAACCAGGATGTTCCACTTCGTGGAATCCTCATATGTCGAAATCGACGGAGTCCATTATTATTATTAGTAATAAGTGAAGAGCAATGTTATGGAAAGTAAAGGTTACTTCAATGTATGTTTTTAAAGGTGTAAGTATGACTTGTTTTTTCCATTTCAGGGGATTGTTCGTCGCAGAAAGGGGGTTGGGAAAGGAAAGGTATGGATAAGGTACGCTCGTGTACTTGTAGGAGCTGGATCGAACATATGATAAAGAGGAACAATCGATTATTGCATGCGGTGCGAGAACTTGTGTTCTATACCTGTGAGAGGAATAAGAACTCGTCAGAAGAGGAAACCTGGCTAATTGCGGTGACTATTTTGGATAGAGTATTTCTTGTCGTTTTTACTTTATCTTTCATTGTGTTGTCACTTATAAATTTTTTGTGGTAAAAATTTAAGGGCTAGCACTCTGAGCCTTTATAATGCTTTAGGGGCTCTATGTGAACACTGAACAAACTGTATTTTATAAAATGGGAAGATGAGGTTCTGTACAGATCTCGTCAATCTGTTTCTTGCAGACATTTTACAAGGAATTAGCAGCTTTAAGACAGACTATAAAAGCAATTAAGGGCGCAAAAGAAAGAAGACGAGCAATCTGCTTGATGGATAAACGACGCGATTAAGGCAGAATGCTAAAGCGAATGTTAAGATATCTAATAGAAAAAATTTTCCTCAACTTATATAAGAGTATAAATGAAGTTAAAAACTTCTGTTAATAAAAAATGAAATATTCTATAAGAATAAGTTAGTATATTAGTTCGGCCATATTAATTTTTCCTTTTTCCAAACGTTGGAAGTTTAATTTGGTATATTTGAAATTATTTTGTGTTTCCCACCAATCAATGCTAACTTTTCTCTTGTTCTCTATTAACGTATGGTACATTTTAGGTTAATTTTTAATTTGCTCTGTGCTGGGTATTTACACATATTATAATTATTAAAATATGTATGAAAATTCTGTATCCTTTTATAGTCTTTCACGTGTATTCTGTTGAACAATCTGTTTTGTTGTATGTATGAAATTTGTGTTTGTGTAACAATGTTTGGTCGATTTGTTAAATACTCAGTGGACTAAAGTAATGAAATCATGTTCATTTTACTGATTTCTGAGTCATTTATATTTACAAATAAACATACTAAACTGTACATCTTTTTTATTGTCGTCGCCATTTAATCAATAACTCAGCGTGTTCTCGCGTATTTTTTGTTGCTCCTGTTTGTTTTTATGTTTATTTTAACCTGCGTGAGTTAAATATTTTCATTCTGTCGTATGAGCAATTGTTGTATCAGTCCTCCGAAGATATTCCTCAAGGTGTTTGTATAGATTTTTTTGCAGCTGCATCATTTACTCACGAAGAGAAGATGTGTTAAAGGTTTTTAGGTAATTGATTATGTCACGCCATGTGTTGCTTTGCTAATAATTTCATATCGACTGATTCGATTATCGTTACAGCACTATAGAAATGGATGTTGTCTTTTGCATCATTTTGCTTTCTTGCGTTGCCGTTCGTTCAGCAATTGGTGGGTAAGAGTCTTCGGATATGCAATTTTTTGACCATGTTACTGTGAAAAACCTTCGTTTGATACGGGATACGCATAAATAAAATACCTTTTAGGGAAAGAAAGTCCTTTTGTAGCGAACGTTCGTCTATTAAATATGCTACTAAAGGATTACAACAACAGTACGCGACCAGTTTTGAATGTCAGGGACAATGTTACCGTAACAATTGGAATATCGTTATACCAAATTGAAAACATGGTAATTAATGATGTTGACGTGTTAGTGATGTTTTTATTGAACAATTTATGCTTACGAAGTATGATGGTAATTTTTTTTATTAGGATGACAAAAATCAAATGCTGACATGGAGCTTGTGGATACGACAGGTAAGGTTTTTAAACATATCATTTTATCTTTATGGGAATAATTGTAAATATATACGTAGCACCAAAAGTTGGAGACATTACCCGTATGGTGTTAGTTGTGTTACATTATGATTATGCTACTATAATCAAGTGTATGATCTGGGTTATGTTATAATGATGAACTGAATAGTTGAGAGTTTTGTTACTATGATCAAGTGAATGGTTTGGGACTCTGGATTATGCTATTACGTGTGATCAAGCTAATAGTAATAGGTTATGTTACTGTGTTAAAGTGTATGGTGTATGTTATGTTAATATGATGAAGTTAATAGTCATAGGTTATGTTTCTGTGATGAAGTGTATGATGTATGTTATGTTAATATGATCAAGTTAATAGTGGTAGGTTATGTTTCTGTGATGAAGTGTATGGTGTATGTTATGTTAATATGATCAAGTTAATAGTGATAGGTTATGTTTCTGTGATGAAGTGTATAATTTAGGTGGGGTCTATTAATGTTTAATCTTGGTTATTTTGATATCATCAGTTACCCATAATTTTGTTGGACTTTTGTGTAAGGTATGGCTCGATCGCAGGTTGAGTTGGCGACCAGCAAACTTTTCATCATTGAAGAAGATCAACATTCCCGTTAAAAGTGTTTGGCGTCCGGACATCAAAGTTTATAACGAGTCGGTTATTATACTGTTTACTTACGAATAAACACACGCTGTTTTTTAGTTAAGGGAGAATGGGAATGTTCGCTGGAAATAGTCCTAGTTGTTGAAGTTTCATGCAAACGAAAGCATTATTGCTGACTTAGGTTTTAATGAACGTGAAGTTACGTTTTCTTAGTAATCTATATCTTTCATTTCTTAGAGTGAATGCTGGGCTCACAAGTGGCCTTGATCAATTCAAAACCAGAGTCGTCGTACATAATAACGGCAGAGTGCAATGGATGGGACCGATAAATCTTCGTACGTCATGTAAGATGGATATGAGGATGTACCCATATGATGTTCAGGTTCGTCAAGCTGTGGCTTTTTTTTATTAAGGTAGCAAACTTAGACTAGCACCAATTAGGGGCCTTGCTATTTCAACTGGTTGGAGCTTTCTATTCCCTGCAAAACATAAAAATTTAGCGGCCACAGGAGTAGAATAGGTTAGTGTTTAAAAAAAGAGAAATCGTTCTTTATCTGATTACTGTCACACTGTTACAAAGGTAACTTTGACAAAGATAGCGTTGACGCTAGTCAAAAAAACATTTGTTATTGCCTCTTGGCCTGCTTCAAACTTCTGTGACTCTTTTTCCTTGTCTTTCATTTTACAAGTAACAGTCCAATTTATATAGTTGATATAGTGGCCCATTTTGATTTCCAAGTAGGACCCATGTGCTATGGCACATAGGCCTGTGACAGCCTGGAAAGTAGTATTGGAGTAGTTATAAATTGTAGACAGTACTTCATAACTTGTGTAGAATATTGCGGGGCGTTTTCTCTTGAAATTTTAATTATTTTTGCTATAAACGGATATTATATTTATATTTATAGTGACAGTTGGTTTCATTGCCTATATAATTCCGAGCAGTTGTGGGATAATATTTTACAGCAGGGAAAAAGTCTGCTACAAACTATTAGTGGAAACTATATTTTGTTTTTTTCCTTTTTCTGCTACATTGTTTAAAAGTAATGGTATTAATTGTGGTTTATTTGTCACAGAATAAAATGATTTGTACGGCAGTCATTCATACAAAGTAAATTTACCTTAATAACAATTAACGAATGTCAATTGAAGACTTGTAGATTGAAAGTTGGTTCTTGGATGCATCATGGTTCTGATCTGGATGTTAAACCGGAGTCATATGTAATGGATATTTCAAAGTCTGCATCAAACCTTCTGTGGAAAGTTGTGGGCTCTAGAGTCGAACGCAACGTACAGTTCTATCCATGTTGCCTTGAACCTTTTCCTGATGTCACCTACATTGTGAAACTTGAACGACGAAGTAAAAGTTATGGATTATATTTCATTTTTCCTGCGCTGCTTTTGTCAGGTAACTGACCTCATTATAGTTTGCAATAGTTTTGGACTGCTTTAAAATATAGATTTTGTTCGTGAAAGTAGTTGACATATATTTGTGATTTGAGATACTGTCAATATTGAAGTGCTATTAATGGGGATGTTGTCAATGAAGATGTTGTCAATAGGGAATTTGAAAATGTAGATGTCGTCAATAGAGTTTTGCCGATCGACACCTTATCAAAAATGTATGTTTTTATTAATCTTAGTAATATTTAAACTTTAAGCTTTAACCATGCTGGCATTTGTAACTACTGGCGAAAGGATTGGACTTGTTCTCACCTCTCTGGTATCATTGTTTTTCTTTTTGAAAATGGTGTTGGAACGAACACCACCATCAGATAGTATTCCTATACTTAGCATCTATTATATTGTACTTAGTATTGAGGTGAGTAAAATGATATTCATGTAGAGGAATGTTAGTCTATCACAATAGTTTCTCGTTAGTTTTCTCTGAGAAAGTTATCTCTTTTGAATGAATAAAAAAGACACGTGTTTCTAATGTAGAGTTATCTGTCTCAAATGTAGGCATATGTCTAAAATGCATGTCTATATAATACAGACATCTCGCTCTTTCATGTAATACACACATTTTTATAATACAGACCTATGCCTCTGACAGAGCTTTTTCTCTAAAACGGACGTCTCCCTTTAGTACAGACATGTCTGTCTAATATAAGATGCTGACAACTTTGTCAAATACAGACTGGAGACTGATGGAACTTTTAAATACTAAATACAAATATTATTTCATTCAGGTTATGTTAGTAATCTATGCTGTGTCGGTGACTCTAAATGTGTGCTATCGTCGAACAAATTTAAACATGAATAATTGTGTTGGTGCAACTGTAATTGGAAAACTTGGAGGGCTATGGGGTTTAACAGACGCTAGAAATGAAGTACAGTTGAAGATAGAACGTCTTGGCGCTATAGTCCAAAAGACAGAAAACTTGTTAAGTCGTGGTAATCCTAACGAACAAGATGCTGTGAGTTACTTGCTTACGTGCTTTTGACTGTTTCGTAATCATGAAATAGTTTTGTCTTTCTCATTTGTTAAATGGTCTTTGACAAAAAATTGTCGTGTGGACAACGGGTATCCTGAACTCGTTGAGAAAACGATATTGCAATGAGGTATTTGTCCAATCGGTTTTTGTAGAAAAATTGGGCTCCTCTTGAAAAATGAGATAGCTGGCATTGGGCTCAGGCCATTTAAGAATACATTCAATGTAATTTCATTTGTACTTCATTTGATATTGTTGTTTTACACCTATCACAGACAGTTGTTTATAAAGCTTGTGCGTAAATATAAGATCGGTCTTTCTTATGTTGCACCTGATATGGTGATAAACTTTACCAAAACTGATAATTGTATGAATTTGAAGGGGGTCTGTCAAATGATGAATGTTTTTCAATGTTGAACTTCTTGTGTTTGTAAACTACGGGACAATTTAAGTACTGTTGCAAACATCTTTGTGGTGAAATAAATTTTCGAACAATGATGAACTGTCACACGATATTGATGACGGCAGTATGAGTTGGCTCAGTTTGCTTATGCAGAGCTTGTACAATTTAAATGTTGTAACAATGGATGTTTAATTCTCTAGTTTAAGTTTTGCGATACTATTATAATTTCTTGTTGAAACAAATTTTTAGTCTCCTTCTGGTACACTAGAAAATGTACATTTTTGGAAAGATGTCGATAGGAAGTCATGTTCTATCGCAGCTGGGAAAGGTTTGTCTGCTACGTGTGCTGGAATAGAAATGTATGTGGATGTGGCTACGGAAGGTTTGTCTGAAAATAAAAATGGATTAAATGAGAGAAGTCGATGTAAGCGATGTAAGAAACACGGAAGCATGAAATGCTGTAAGAAGTATTTTTACAAACTCATAACTTTGGACAAAAAATTAATTTCCTTTATTGGAACAATTAATTTTATTGCCAGAAGTCGGGATTGTCTAATGTCTGTGAATAATTATTGGTTGATTGCTTCGTTCATATTAGATAAAAGTTTGTTCATTTTCTTTGTGTCTACATTCGTGATAATGACAATTTTGATCTTTTTAATTTGAATTTCTATTATGTCGTGCTCATAAGTGGTTGTCATAAGATTTGCTATAACTTTTATCTTTATTTGTTAGAATGTAATTTCTTCATTAAGAGAGACTGCATCGTCTGTAGTTTGTCTATTTTTTGTTGTTAAATGAGTGGTATTGTAGTTCTGCGGATTTCAAATTGTAGACAGATATTATTTCATGATGCAGTTGAAATGAAACCAGTTGTGTACGAGTAGGACTCGATGATCTGTAAGTATAAGACTAAAGTTTTTAAACAAAATCAGCATCATGGTGACTGGGAAAACACATTTATTGCCAAGTGAATTTTTAAAGGCAAAGTATAAATATATAATTATTTGCATTTTTTTACGTATTCGTTCATATTTTATATAAGGGGAATTTCATAATACCTAACGTCATTTTACTAGCTAACTTTTATTCCTTGGTCATTTTTGGGAGATTTGAGATAAAGAGAAAAGAATTAATATAATTTTAAAAACAGTCAAACTTTTCATTGAACATTGTATATTTACGATTTTTTAATTATGTTGATTCGGGAAATAAATACAGAAGACACCGATGGACAGAATAGTCGTTGTGGGCAAAAATTTGAAAATCGAACAGATATTATTTAAGGAAAAAAAGTTTGTAAAGCGACGACGATATGTTGTGTAATTTAAATAATGATTTTCTTAATGTAGTCTTGTGGATTCCTCTTCATTTGAAATAATTTAATATCGTTGCCAATTTATAGAGCATCTTGGAAAAGGCGACGCTCAGCATGTTTTTGTTTTTGCAGTAGGTGTTATCTATGGTGTTTGACGATGGAACTGTCATGTGATGCATTATCTTGTTGGCGATTGTCGTAGAGGTTGAGGACTTAGAGTTCCACAGGTATAAATGTTGTGTTTTATTAATGTTGTAGTACTACTATTAAAGCGTATGGAAGGTTGGGTCGAGTACCTTTCTCGTTTTATCTTTGTGGTCATCTTGTGGATGAATGTCTGTTTGTTTAGTAGTGGATGATTGTCTGTTTGTCCAGTTGTGGATAATGTCTGTTTGTCCAGTAGTGGATGATTGTCTGTTTGTTTAGTAGTGGATGATTGTCTGTTTGTCCAGTTGTGGATGAATGTCTGTTTGTTTACTAGTGGATGATTGTCTGTTTGTTTACTAGTGGATGATTGTCTGTTTGTCCAGTTGTGGATGATTGTCTGTTTGTCCAGTTGTGGATGATTGTCTATTTGTCCAGTTGTGGGGATTGTCTGTTTGTTTACTAGTGGATGATAGTCTGTTTGTCCAGTTGTGGATGATTGTCTGTTTGTCGAGTTGTGGTGAATGGTCTGTTTGTCCAGTTGTGGATGATTGTCTGTTTGTCGAGTTGTGGTGAATGGTCTGTTTGTCTTGGTGTGGGGAATTGTCTGTTTGTGTAGGTGTAGTGAATTGTCTGTTTGTCTAGGGGTGGGGGTTGTCTTTTTGTCTAGGTGTGATGAATTGTCTGTTTATGTAGGTGTTGTAAATTGTCTGTTTGTCTTGGTGTTGTGGATTAATTGTTTGTGCATATTTGTTTACATGGTTTGCGAGGTAGATTGTTTGTCTGTCTAGAGGTGTATGTTTCATAGTTTTATGTCAGAACAGTGTCATTTAATATTGCATAGAATAATTAGATGAAATTTTTATGTATTTATTCATTTCAGAGGTAACATGTGCATTGAATGATGTGAAGGTAAGAGTAATATAGAGGTTTGTTTAACTTCAAGTTTAGGAGTGTTGTGTTTGTTGTGAAAATGTATTCTTCCATTTTTATACGCCACATTGAAGATCAGATTCAAAAGAAACGTTATAACTGTTGTTGTGAGCTAGAGCTGTGGTGGTGTGGGGCAAGCGTCGATGTTTCAGTGGTTTAACGAAATTAACGAATAGAGATGAGGAGAATTGGAATTTGCCGAGCGTATAATAAGAATGCATTTTAAAGTTTGTAACATGACAGTATTTATTTAAAGAGGAAAAAGAATGAGAACTTTGTTTTTATATAATATGGGCAATGATATTTCATTATTATGTTACTAATGCTGACATTTATAAAAAAAATGCTGTTTTATGAAATTACAATGGTTGATAAGCATGCTAATTGCAGTAGTGGGTATATTATAGTGATGATTTTGCTGGTAGATTTTTGGTAAAGTTCTCATGGAACAGGAAGGATTTGTGGTTGTAAGAAAAATGTGTTATAATTAATTAGTGAAAGTTCTCTTTTCTTAATGTTAAAGCCTATGTGTTACATGAATAAGTATGTTGGAAGTTTAATAGAACCACAGTGTAGGGAATATATTTCACACAGCAGTACAGGTGAACTGCATTTTACGAGTAATAGGTCTGTCAATACAAATGATTAAAGGCTGTAATTCGATTGCTCTTCTAATTGATTAACTTGAGAAACTAAATACAGCATTTGGATAAGTATGATTTGGATTTTATTCCATGAGAAAGTGGAAATATTTTGTAGCAACTCTTTGTAGGAGAAAGAAACAGATTTATAAAAGGTCTAGGGGTGAGGATAAAATTGAATTGACCGAAATATCCACGTTATGAGATGGCGTATTAACGAAACAAGAAGCTATTATCAGTGAAATGAAGTAACTTATGCTGTATCTCATCAGGAAAAGTAATATATTTTTGATTTGAAGTTTTACATTTCATTTACAATGAAACTAGACGTGAAGATTCTTGACTTGTACAAATAAACGATGAATAGAGAAAATTGCCACATTTTAATTTTTCATTAAAAGCTATATGATAGTTAAAAATAATTAATAAAACGTTGAGAATTGAGAACTTGTGAGAATTATATTGCAAAAACATCAAGGTTTAATATTATTCCCTTTCCAACGTGGTAATTGTATTCGCTTTCTTTGTTATTGAGGTCGTACTCGGCAGACTGGATGCAAAAAAACTTCTAAAAGAAATGACGATGTTACTATGAAAAGTTGATAGCATAATGCTTTAGGGGATGAGAGACGGAACAATTTTATCTACGAATGAAAGGGTACGTTATATTGTAATTTTTTATTTAATAACGTGTAGTTGCATTACGTTTATACAATTACCTGCGTATGATAGTGAACTGTGGGCAGTTATAGCACTTGGACTTTTTGCTAATCTATCAGATGCAGCGATCTCCCGAACATCTCCTACAATTCTCTCTCTGTGGGTCCCGTTTCCGGATTCTTTATATGTCTTTGTCTTTTAAATATGGCGATTTTTGCTGTCGACTTGCTGCTTTGCAACGATATATTTTCAACGAGCGAAGTCCAACGCTTTTTCTTGAGATAAAATCTGCATTTAGGTGAAACTTCCACGTATCAATTCTTCGTGAAGAGCACCGAAACCACCGCTGTTGTGTTGCAGAACTCTGTGAAAAAGTCGTTGACGGTTTGACCCTTGTGCTGTCTTCACGAGTCGAATTTAGCTTGCTGTAGGTTGACAATTCTGTTGATGATGAAAAAATGTTCTAACTTTTCATTTACTTGGTTGTTCTTGCTTCGCTGCAAAGCTAAAGATTGAATGAGTTTGCCGAATCTTTAAAAGCGTCTCATCTGTTTTAAAAGGAAAATATTTGAGGCAGCTGTGCTTGAAAAAACGCTTATAAGGTTTTAGATATGAAGTTAATGGCACTGACGCCCGTATTTATCGCCTATCGGCCGCTTCGAGGAGATCTTTCTGTCTTTCCTAGTTGGGTCTTTTATAATTTTCAAATCATGAATTATTTAGAAATTGCATTATTCGGCAGAATATCAATTATAGCCTAGGGAGGCGTAAAGTGAATTAAAATGAAATTTTATGTTATGTTGAGTAAACGAGGATTAAGTTGAGAGTAATTTGCACGGTTTGATTAATTTGCAAGTACTGGACTCCTGGATGTGTAATTAGTAAAATAGACATGATTAGATTTGCGTCATGTAGTGCCAAAAATACAATGGAAGTTGGCTCACTTCGAAAACAATAGATTTGTAAGAAATGACGTAACTAAAAGTAGTCATCATTGTTGTTGGTATTTTTATGTGCGTAATGCATTGTGTGTATTAATTGATTCATCTCTTTTGTCAGAAAGTGTTTAAAAGGACGAGTTGAACGCGTTCAAGTCACTTAGTCGCTGAGTTGGCGTCTCGTCGCATGGTTGTGGTGAACGTTCGTCGATGGTAGAGTTGGAATTCCGCGAAGAAGAACAATTTGGCTTGTTGTGTTTGTCGAAGTTGCTAGGAGATACTAAATGTTGAGAAAGAGAAGTGGCGTTCTTGTTACATCGTTGTTTATCAGATAAGGTTTTTGGCGATATTCAGATATTTTAACATTATTTGGTTAGCTGTATATATGCCTGTCTTTAATGCGTGATGTTTCGTTAATATAATATGGTAGTAAAGAAAGCGCGTTTTGAGAAATATTCACCTTCCAAATTATGAAGAAATTGTTATTCTATGTTTATGCGTTCATGGTTATGTTACTCGTGTGAATAAGGGATTCTATGCAATGAAAAATAACAATGCTCACGCGTATTGTAAGAGGCGTATGGTTTAGTTTCTATAAGTGGGAATGTCGACGGTTAATGGAAACGATGATCGAAATGATATTTATCACTTGCATTTAGTGTAATAATGGTTTGAATTTAATGCCCGAAATTTAATTAAGATTGTGCTCGTACGGATGAAGTGAATGAAAAGCAAATTAGCACTAAGATGTCTATGATAGAATGCGCATTTTTTGAAAATTAAAACTCAGTGGAAAAACAATAGATTTGTACAGAAACGACGTCATTAAAAGTTATCATCATTGTTTTGGTATTTTCATTTGCATCATGCAGTTTGTGAATTAATTGCTTCTTGTTTTTGTCAGAAATTGGTTAAACGTACGTGTCGAAGACGGCAGAGTCACTTGTTTGCTCAGTTGCGTGGTCTCGCGTCATGTGGCTATGGTATGGAACTGCTCGAAGAAGTTTTGGCTTTTAGTATTTGTGACGAATTGGGAAGGTGGATGCAAGATAATAAATGTTAGAGGCAGCTAGCGTTTCAAAAGAATGAGCGATATGAAAAAATATTGAAAACCTTTGGCGAGTTCTCATGAGTCAATCAGTCGATGAAGTGAGTTGTTTAGTAATTAATACAGACTTGGAGAAAGTTCCTAAATGAATGTTGTATTTATTTTGTTCGTTTCAGGTGTTGGAATCGTTTTGATGAGATACTTGGGGAAAGATGGACAAAAAGTAATGGATGATATTGTCGATTTCATTAACTGCTTCAAAATTGACTAGCTTCGTGTTTCTGATATTTTAGAGGAAAGAAAATTTTAAAAGATTGAGCGGAATGGCAATTTGTCGTGTGTCAATCAGTCAAAAAAGTGACTTGTTTAGCAAATATTACAGACTTAGAGAAAGGTTCTAAATTAATTTTGTGATTATTTTGTTGCCTTGAGGTGTTTGAATCATACTATGAAATATTTGCAGAGAAGTTGGACTTAAAGGTAATGAATGTTTTTGTGGATCTTATTAACTGCTTCAAATATGACAAACTGGAATTTTTTTATTTTAGAGGTATGAAAATGTTTAAAACATTGAGCAACATGGCAATTTTATTGAAAGATATTGGCAACTTGACGAAGTGAGTTGCTTAGAGGGTATTGCAAATTTGCAGAAAGTTTCTAAATTTATTTTGTATTTATTTTGTTCGTTTTAGGTGTTTGAATCACGTTCAGTATTTATTTACAGAAAAAAATGAGGACAAAGGTATTGAACGATACTGTGGATTTTATTTACTTCTTCAAATTTGACCAAATAAGTGTTCAATATTTTAGAGCAGGGGTCTCCAAACTTTGCAGCCATAGGGCCACATGAACTTTCATCCAGCATGTTGAGGGCCGACGAACCGTATACCGCTGGTCAAAGAGCGAATATTTTAATAAAACGAAGTACATAACACAAGCTTCATTAGTTAAGAAAATAGCTCCTTCCTTAGCTCAAAAACCCTTGACAGCACTTTTCCACAACTTAGCCATCTTACTGCAGTGTAATATGGTATGTGAACAGATTCTGTCTCAGTAGGAAGTTGGGACAAAAATTGACGTAAGCCACTCTTGCTAGTTGGCTTGCGTCATAACGTGAACTTTCTGCATAAAGTTTATTTTGTTTAATAATATTATTACTTTTTTCTTAAGTGTCTCTGCGGGCCGGATTGAGAGGCCCAACGGGCCGCATCTGGCCCGCGGGCCGTAGTTTGGAGACCCCTGTTTTAGAGGAAACAAAATGGTGAAACCATCGAGCGAAATGCAAATTTTTGTTAGAAGACGTGTAAAAGTTGTGGCGTTTCGTACCGTGTACGGAGATGAGCTGTTTAGCAGGTATGTACATCGATGGACAAAAATTACCCAATTTGATTTGATTATGTCTGAAAGCATTGAAAATTCGCGAACAATAGACATTTTCGTGAAAATTCGTGAACTATAGTCTTTTGTATGAAAATTCGTGAATTTTAATCTTTTCCATGAAAATGCGTGAACTATATTCTTTTACATGAAAGTTCGTGAATTATAATCTTTTCCATGAAAATGCGTGAACAATAGTCTTTTGCGTGAATTATAGTCTTTTGCATAAAAATTCGTGAACAATAGTCTTTTGCGTGAACTATTGTCTTTTTCATGAAAATTCGCGAACAATAGTCATTTTCGTGAAAATTCGTGAACTATAGTCTTTTGTATGAAAATTCGTGAATTATAATCTTTTCCATGAAAATGCGTGAACTATATTCTTTTACATGAAAGTTCGTGAATTATAATCTTTTCCATGAAAATGCGTGAACAATAATCTTTTGCGTAAATTATAGTCTTTTGCACAAAAATTCGTGAACTATAGTCTTTTGCATGAATATTCGTGAACTATAGCTATTTGGGTGAAAATTCGTGAACTTTAGTCTTTTGCATGAACTATAGTCTTTTGGATGAAAATTCGTGAACTATAGTCTTTTGCGTGAAAATTCGTGAATTATAGTCTTTTGCATGAAAATTCGTGAACTATAGTCTTTTGCATGAAAATGCGTGAACCATAGTCTTTTGCGTGAATTATAGTCTTTTGCACAAAAATTCGTGAACTATAGTCTTTTGCATGAATATTCGTGAACTATAGCTATTTGGGTGAAAATTCGTGAACTTTAGTCTTTTGCATGAACTATAGTCTTTTGGATGAAAATTCGTGAACTATAGTCTTTTGCGTGAAAATTCGTGAATTATAGTCTTTTGCATGAAAATTCGTGAACTATAGTCTTTTGCGTGAAAAATACGTGAACTATAGTCTTTTGCGTGAAAATTCGTGAAGTATAGTCTTTTGCATAAAAATTCGTGAACTATATTCTTTCCCATGAATACGCGTCAACTATAGCCTTTTGGGTAAAAATTCGTGAGCAATAGTCTTTTTCGTGAAAATTCGTGAACTAATAATCACGTCTTTTGCGTGAATTATAGTCTTTTGCATAAAAATTCGTGAACCATAGTCTTTTGCGTGAACTATAGTCTTTTACATGAAATTGCATGAACTATAGTCTTTTGCGTGAAAATGCGTGAACTATAGTCTTTAGCATGAATATGCGCGAACTATAGTCTTTTGGGTGAAAATTCGTGAATTATAATCTTTTGCGTGAACTATAGTCTTTAGCATGATAATGCGTGAATTATTGTCTTTTTCATGAAAATTCGCGAACAATAGTCATTTTCGTGAAAATTCGTGAACTATAGTCTTTTGTATGAAAATTCGTGAATTATAATCTTTTCCATGAAAATGCGTGAACTATATTCTTTTACATAAAAGTTCGTGAATTATAATCTTTTCCATGAAAATGCGTGAACAATAGTCTTTTGCGTGAATTATAGTCTTTTGCATAACAATTCGTGAACTATAGTCTTTTGTATGAAAATTCATGAACTATACTCTTTTGAATGAAAGTACGTGAACTATAGTTTTTGTATGAATATGCTTGAACTATAACCTTTTGGGTGAAATTTCGTGAACAATAGTCTTTTTCGTGAAAATTCGTGAAAGATAGCACTGGTCAACAAAAAGAAACTTTTTAAAAGGTGTCTGATATTTTTTGACTGATTTACTATATTTTTGCTATGCTAAATCTAGAAATAACATTCATTTTGCCCTCGGAGGTCAAATTTTTTTGCAAATTTGAATTTAAAATTATGCGACTTTAGTTATATTTTTTTAAAACAATGTTTTCAAGATTTACATGTTTTTAAGATGTTTCAAAACAAAATGTCAGTTTTTATGATAAAATTGCAGTATTCCAAGAAAGAATCATGTACACTTCATGTACAGTACATGTAACTAAAAATGAAAACTTAATGTTTGCATTATTACGGTCTAAATTTTCGTTTTTTTTTGATTGTCGCGAATGTTTTGTTGCTGGCACATCTCTTTTTAAATTCCAACAGTAGTCCGCCATCCTCACCATGTCCCACCTTTCTCTTAAGTCATGGTGAAAGCGCTCTCCTTGCTCAACGCTTAAAGAGCCAAGATTTTCGGGATCAATACCAGCTTTTAATTTTTCAGTTGACAAATTGGGGAAGGTTTTACAACGAAACTGAAAACACCGTCCATCTTTATCCAAAGTTTTAGTGAATTGCCTTATCAAACCGAACTTTATGTGCAGTGGAGGAAATAAAATACGTCCCCTGTCAACTAGAGGCTTGTTTATCACATTTTTTACTCTACAACTAGCAAGCTCTTCACGTACTGGCCATTCTTTTTTCACGTAATGATGAGTACGATCCCTACTATCCCAGAGGCATAAAAAGTATGGGTATTTGGTAAATCCAGACTGTTGACCAAGCAAGAAGTTGACCATTTTTAAGTCAACGCAAATCAGCCATTTATGTTGGTCATAAGAAATTTTTTCTAGGACGTACTTAATTGGTTCATGCTGTTCTTTTAATGTTGTCGAATGTGCCAATGGCACAGATGCAAATTGATTTCTATTGTGTAACAACACACATTTCAAGGACCTTTTGCTGCTGTCAATAAAAAGTCGCCAGTCCTCTGATTTGTATTCAGGTACTCCGAGATGTTTCAGTAGCTCTACTATGTCATTGCGATAGACTAGTTCTTTTCTTGAGCAAAATATCTTAAAATCCCTGGTGCCTGGTACGGAAGAAACTTACCTTAACTTTACCATTTAGCATGTTCTTGTCCTTTAAACGAGATGCAAGAAGTTCGGCAGAGTCTTTTGGCAAATTTAAATCGCGAACAAGATCGTTTAGTTCGTTTTTGGAAAACAATTTTGGCTGCTCATCATTGACATCGGGAAAGGATACATCATCGGTAGTGGCAATGCTTTGAGTTTCATCCTGGCTACTACTGCTTTCTTCAATACTTGTATCTTCAAATAAAAGTACGGGAATTTCTTCACTATAAGGAGTAGGGCGCATAGCTGACGGTAGATTAGGATACTCCAGTGTTGTGCGATTTTTTCTGTTAATTCCCATGACATTGATAGCACAAAAGTAGCAATCGGTTGCATGATTTAAGGCTCTCGCCAAATCATGGGGATGCCAAAGTTCATGGACTTTTGCGTGCCTTTGCTCCATTGACGGAGATGCTCTGTGCATCTTTTGCAAGCCATGTGAGGTGCCCAACATTTGTCTTGATCGCCGAGCTTCATGCCAAAATATGCATAGTAAACGCGCTTGATAAAGGTGGTGACAGTATTGCGATTTGGTGCAAGTGTGTATTCACCACAAACATAGCAAAAAACATCTGGCTTATTTTTATTATTTCTACTTTTATTATTTTTTACTTAGATTAATATGTTGGTGTGTTTTAACAAGTTTTACCATTGAATTCCAGTATGGGCTAAATAAAGCCTTATTTTATGTTTAAATATCCCATAATAATCGCAAAACCTTAACTCCCTAATTGAAATTCAATCAATAATTGCTTATTCAAATGCTTTCTTCTTTGTATTTCTAGTGCTAAGAAATTTAAATTTGTTCAGATAATAGAACTTTAAAAGGTAAATGTTAATACTTCTGTTGTACCTTTCTCGGGTATTTAAAAGTTAAAAAATAGAAAATTAACGATAGCTTAAAATCTCAACCTGACCCAGCAAAAATAGTGTTATTTTTGAACTCAGCACATCAAAATTGTCCAAAATCAGTTAACAAAACTGAGACACCAAATTTGCTGTTGACCAGTGTAGTCTTGCGTGAAAATTCGTGAAGTATAGTCTCTTGCATGAAAATGCGTGAACTATAGTCTTTTGCATGAAAGTTATAGTATTTTGCATGAAAATGCGTTAACTATAGTCTATTGCATGAAAATGCGTGAACCATAGTCTTTTGCATGAAAATGCGTGAACTATAGTCTTTTGCGTGAAGCTTCGTGAAGTATAGTCTTTTGCGTGAAAATGTGTGAACTTTAGTCTTTTGCGTGAAAATTCGTGAACTATATATAGTTCATGCACATAACTACCAAAGACTAAAGTTCATGCACATAACTCCTAAAGACTATAGTTAACGCACCTAACTACCAAAGACTGTAGTTGATGCACACAACTTCCAAATTCATTATATGCAATCATTATATGCTTTCTTTTCTCAAAGTCTTTATAATTACTGCTGACCATTATTAACTGTTATTGATTCCTTTCAACTTCATTCCACGTCCACATTTTGTTTCATACATAGCCTCGACTACTCAAATCAGCTGCGTAGCTTTTCCTTTAATTGGTTGCTTTGACACGTCTCACCATAACAGTCGAAAGCAACACTTCTTTCCCGAATTCTGTTAGTAACAAACCTTTCATACTGTACATTGTACTTAACGAAAATCCAAACACGTGTAGTATCGTCTATAAGATTTTGCGTGTTCTCGTGTCCTCACTTCGTGAAAATAAAATTCCTGTAATTTGTGACATTTGTCCATTAACGTTATGAAGGTACTAACCTTTTCCTAATTACTCATTCCTTACTTTTATTACTAAAATCCTTTCCAATTTTTTAAATATTTACTTTATATAATGTGGGTGAGAAACTTCAATGAAATTTAATAGTTCTAGACAAAACACAGACAGGTCTGCATTTTATATGTAAATTATACGAAACGACCAAACACCAATAATGATCAAATTTACATAACATAAACTTAAACAAAGTACTTTACAGTTTTACAAAACCTTTTAATGAAGACAATAAATATTGATTCACTTAAGACACTTCATTTTGATTATATTTGCCTCCAACATGTAATACGTGCTAAATAAAAGATGACGACATGGTCACGTTTCTTCATCACATAACACCTCAACATTAACCAGTTGACAAATGACACGATATGCCTTACCTATTTGCAAGAACAAAACTTGTAACTTCATTTTTATAGATCCGACTCAACAATGTACAATCAAAATACGTATCGCGCATTGTGTTTGAAATTTTTAGAGGATGTAAATATTGCTTTCCTTCTAATTGCCCACATCATATAACAAAAACTCTTTTGTAACTTACGCATATATGTAGCCAAACTTTTCTACGTCCTTCTCAACTTCCTCCTTCATATCGTTTGTACTTCTTTGTCTCTACCATGTTTCATCACATTGGCGTAACTTGGTAACAAATCTGCTTATGCACAAGCAGATACTGTTAAGATATGCTCTCATATTCTTCCTGTCATTAGTAAATAATTAAGTCAAGTCAAGTGTAACTAACTAAATGATTATTTTAAGAGATACTTATGTGCAATAATGACAATATTTTTTATAGCTCCTAATAGCTTTCCGTTGATTGTAAATTAACCATATTTAGTAAAGAAACAAATATATCCATACGTAATATCTTATATAAATAGAAGTAGCATAACCATTGTACGATAGATCGTAGACAACAGACATTGACGTTGAACATTAAATGTGATCATAACAGTTGTCTGTAATATCTCTATTTGTTGATGTAAGTCAATATATACTAAAGAAGGTAGATGGCTACATCACAAAACCTAACAGATACAAAGTGTTTTCCAAGAGTTATAGTTCTCAACGTTCTCCAGTTTGTTTGCATTTCTTATAAGATCTTTCATTCCGCATTTGCTTTCTTTTCTCAAAGTCTTCCTAATTCCTCCTGACCATTATTAACGGTTATAAAGCCCTTTTAACTTCACTCCACGTCCACATTTTCTTTCATACACAGCCTCATCCACTACTCAAACCAGCTGCGTAGCTTTTTCTTTAATGTTTCATTTGTCACGTCTGACTATATCCACAACGACAGTCGAAAGCAACACTTCATGTCCGGAATTCTGTTAGTAACAAACGTTTTATACGGAACATTGTACTGGACGAAAATCCAAAACCTGTGTAGTATCGTCTTTAAGATTTTGCGTGTTCTCGTGTCCTCCATTGGTGAAAATAAAATTCCTGTAATTTGTGACATTTTTCCTTTAACGTTATGATTTAGCAATTGACGTTTTCCAATTTACACATTTCTTACACTCATTAATAAAATTCTTCCTAATTTTTTAAATATTTATTTTATATCATTTGGGTGAAAACTTCAATAAAAATTAATAGTTCTAGACAAAACACACACGAGATTGTATTTTGTATCGTTAAATCAATACTTTATTAAAAATTGAAAATTATACGAAACGAGCAAACACCAATTATCTAATTTACATGACATCAACTTAAAGAAAGCACTTTACACTTTTACAAAAACTTTTAATGAAGACAATAAAAATTGATGCACCTAAGACACTTTCATTTTCATTATATTTGCCTCTAACATGCAAATAAACACGTGGTATACGTATTGCATGGTACAGCTAAATATAATCAAGATGAAAGTGTTTTTGTAAAACTGTAAAGTGCTTTCTTTAAGTTGATGTCATGTAAATTTGATAATTATTGCTGTTTGGTCGTTTTGTGTAATTTACATATAAAATGCAGACCTGTCTGTGTTTTGTCTAGAACTATTAAATTTCATTGAAGTTTCTCACCCACATTATATAAAGTAAATATTTAAAAATTTTTAATCATATATTGATTTAACAATACAAAATATCACGTATATACTACCACATTGTGATGTTTGTTCATCACATGCTACCTGGCGATTAATCAATTGAAATATGACAATTTATTGCTTACATATTCACCATATCAAAATTTGTAGCTTCATTCTTATACATCTGACTCAACAATGTACAATCAAAATACGTTGGAATCATTATGTTTGGAATTGTTAGCGGATGTTAATATACGTTCTTTGAAATCGCCCACATCATGCAACAAAAGCTCTTTATTCTTGGACTGGGCGAAATTGACGCACAAGACAAATAAAGACATCTTTCCAACTCCTTCCGCATCCATTGTAAATTGCCGCTTTACCGATACCTCAACTCAGTCATGAATTTGGATTTATTGAATTTAGTCACAATAATTATCTTCAATATTGCATTTTTCTTTGTAGGCATCACTCTAAATTCTCTAGTGATTTTGGTGTTTTGGCGAACGACGTATCTACGAAAGAAATTGTGCTATTTTATGATCTTTGTGTTATCTTTTTGTGACTTATTGGTTATTCTCGTAAATCATCCACTTGTCACACTTTTGGCAATATTTTTTGCTATTGACAAGTTTCAACTTTTCCCTCACTGTGTACGTATTACACTGGACATAGTATCGTTATCAATAGCGCCTTCTTTACTGGCTCTCTTGGTGATGAATGTCGATCGTTATTTGTCGCTAACCTATCCAATATATCATAAGGCAAACATCACTAAACGGAAACTTCTCTGGCTGCTCGCTACATTTATGCTTATTAACATCATCTCCACTATTTTGTTCATCGATAAACTTGTCTATTCTTTAGAAGTACACAGTATAATATTCCTGACTTTATACGTGCCCCCTATGCTGTTTACTACTTACAAACTATTCAAGATTTCACGCAAATATCGCAAGTTTCGTCACGATAAACCAGAAAAGAAAAAAATTATTTCTTCAAAGCAAATATCAATCTGTTTATTGGGATTAGCCGGTCAAATGTTCTTCAACATTCCAGTTCTTGGATACATTGTTTACCACATGCTCTTACCGGTAACTAGAGCGTCAGACATTTTTGTACTTTGGATTAAAACGATCGTAGCAATGAATTCAACGTTCAATTGCTTCATTTTCTTTTGGAAAAACACAATTTTACGTTCAGAGGCAATGAAGATTATCAAAACAACGAAGAAATCCTTTTCATCCGAGAACCATAACACAATTCCTTAGCTGAAACACTCAAGTATTGTAAAGAATAACGAACATTCTAATAACTCTTATGATACTCCATTTTTTAAGCAATTTATTTTGACGAAAACATTGATTCTCTCATAGTTCCACAAAGGTACTGCCATATTGTATCCATTATCATTATAAACTAAAACATCTTCAATGACTTGATGATATCTATGCTTGCATTGTCATTTCACTTAATCCAAAGGAATTAACACTGTTTTCAGTCATCATGTATTCAAATTGTTTAAATTTTCTCGTAATAATTATCGTCAATGTTATATTTTTCATTCTCGGCATCATTTTAAATTCTCTTGTGATTGTGGCGTTTTGGCGTAGAACATATCTACGAAAGAAACTGTGTTATTTTATGATCATGGTGCTAACTTATTGTGATTTATTGGTAATTCTTGTAAATCATCCATTCGTGGCAATTTTAGCAACGTTTTTCGCCACCAACAAATTCAAAATTTTCCCCCACTGGCTGCATGTTACACTGGATATCACGAGTATATCTCAAACACCGTCCTTACTGGCTCTATTGGTCATGAATGTTGATCGTTATTTGGCAATACTCCATCCAATATATCACCAGACGAACATTACCAAACGGAAACTTTTGTTGCTATTTGCTACATGTCTACTTATTTTCACCATCTCCCATGTCTTGTTCATTGATAAACTTGTCTATTCGATGGAAGTACACAGTATAATATTCATGTCTTTGTACATGCCCACAATGCTGTTTTCTAATTTTAAACTATTCAATATTTCATGCAAATATCGCCAGTTTTGTGACAACAAGCCACACAAGAAAACAACAGCTTCTACGAAGCAAATATCAATCTGTTTACTCGTGTTTGCCAGTTTAATGTTCTTCAACATTCCAGTTCTTATAATCATCGTTTACAACATGCTGTTACCGGTAACTACAGCGTCAGACACTTTTATACTTTGGCTTAAAACAATCGTAGCGATGAATTCAACCTTCAATTGCTTCATTTTCTTTTGGAAAAACACAATTTTACGTTCAGAGGCAATGAAGATTATCAAAACAACGACGAAATCCTTCTCATCAGAGAACCATAACACAATTCCTTAGCTTAAACACTCGAGTATTGTAAAGAATAACGAATAATCGCATTCAAAACTTTCAAACAATCATAAAACTCATATGTTATTTTAAAGATTTAAAACAACTTAAAAAGCGCACAATATATTTAGAAGCAATGAAGATTGTTCAAGCAACGAGAAAATCCATTTATCGCATTAGAAATAAATGAAAAAGATGACATCTCATGCCAATGTTCAATTTATTGTAGACAGCAGATATATTTCATTACCATGCACAAAACACAAAACACAACATCGTAGTAGTAGTAACGTCTTTTAAGGCGTTTGTCAACTGTACGAATGAAACAACTAAAAAGAAGTACTTTATTAAGTACAAAAATAACAAACTGTGGCCTTCTTCCACAAATCTGAAACGTTGCGTTGCAGCAAAGAAGCCTTTACGTACAATGATTTAAAAAAACAAGGGATTGGAACGGTGTAAGGAACAAAAAAATGCTCAGTGAAATAATGTGAGAAAGATTGTTCAAAGCAGAATCGGTATTCAAGCTAATTCCTGCATGGAAGAAAAATATTTATCACAAGGAATTTATGGGAGCCCCACTATCCATGTGTTGAGAAACATGGTTGCTGGAGAGGTTGACACCTCATTGTCATTAAAGGCAGCTTGAATGCACAAACATAGAGTAGCTTAACATGCCGCAACCTTGTGAAACATAGGAGAAATTTGTTCGGTGAAAATTTCATTTTCCAAAGTGATGCCACCCCAGGTCATACAGCAAACAGAATCAAGGCATATCTTGCAACAAAAAGGCTGATATCTCTTACTCCCTAGCCATCGCAAAGCCCTGACATAAAAATACCTTGTCTAACATAATTGGAAAAAAACAACAAACGAAAACAAAGACATTAAAACTAAGTCTTGTACTGAAGAGTTAAATTGAATTATGGAATTGCATTGATGCATGGCCCTGAAACACGTACAAAGGTTTCATCGATGATTCACCGTTGTATACCGCGGTATGAATTCCTGCCCGTAGTAGTAGTGTCAATTACTAGAAATGTCATAGTTACTATACACTGTACCTGTGTTGAAATGTTGCTGCTTAACGATTGCAAAATTTTTGAAAGTAAATCTGTGAAGACTTCAAAAATACAAAATTTCTACTAAATTGTGTTCATTTTAAAGGGTAACCGAAATTTTTCATTGTACATTGAATAATTGCACAATACCCCACTAAATGAACGAAAAGCGTTCTGGCCACAATAATATTTATTTCAATCCAAGTTTACGCTGCCTTTCTTTCTTATACTCGTGATTTACAACTGCAATTTAATTTAACAGAAAAAATGCGCAGCCTTAGAGTATAAGTTCAATGATTACTCCATGGTAACACCCTCATCTTCATGGAAATATTTTTAAATTGCATCAATATTGCATCACAGGATGTGAACAAAAACAAGCAACATCTTTAACGCCCATATGTCAATCTCAACTACGCAAATTTTTGTCCGTTTCACAACGAACTTGCCTAATTGCACTATTTTGAAGTGATAAATGAAAAAATAATTACATCACGTCTTGTGTACATTGATTGTTGCTCTTTCAGTTAATTAATACGTAAGGTTGCCAATTTTTACTTTAATAAATTGTTTTGTCTTTCTCCTCTTGTCCAACTCACTTTCTTAAATGTTTTATCAGCAAATGTTTTTTCACTCGTGCTACTTGAGAACATTGTTCGGTTATATTTGTATGTTGTAAATGTTAATAATTGCCACATGCCAAGTTGCACAAGAAAATTTACGGCAACGCAATCTCGCATATCGAAATACATTATAAAGTAAATGGTTTGAACCCGGGAGTATCGTTATATGTTTGTAAATGATGATCGTCCAGGTTAATAAAGTCCTGAGAAGGACTGTTTTTGTTGTTGTTGACTGACGTTTCGACAACCTTAGCGGTAGTCATCTTCAGAGTCAAATGATATAAAAAAAATACATTAGAAATACATTATGTCAATCATGTTTCATTTAACGTGCCCTTCAAATCATCCAACTTAGATTATCATTGGTTTATGAGCTATGTGCCGGTCATGCGTGATTTGTGCAAATTTCACGGGCAAGTTTTTAAACTCGGGCTTATATTTGATAGCCCAAGTAATTCTATAAAATATTTTTCCCAGTTTAACCAACATCGAAAGCTTATTAATTGTGAAAAAACCAAATCTTTCTTTCATTGTATGTGATATAAAACATAGCTAGGCAGGACAACTGCCTCACCAACCACTGTATCAATTTCTATAATATAGATGCACTAATTTGTTGCATCCTGGCATTCGACTTTTTCTAGTTTGTCCGAAGCTTACTGTCTGTTTTAAATGGCTATGGACAATCACTATTTTGTCACAATTTGTAGTTGACAAAAAATAGCAAACATGACTGAAATGTGAGTAATCTATGAAGGAAATATCAATATCTTATTGTGAATTTGCATGTCAAATTTTGTTATCCATTCCAGTTGTTGTCTTCACTGCTACCCTTAACTAGAGCGACAGACATATTTGTAGTTTCGCCTTAGCGATGAATTCTACAGTTCATCCTTTGCTTTTATTAAACAAAAATCCATTTTACGTTCTGAGGCAATGGAGATGATTGAAATGATCATCCTAATAACTAAATGCTTGGTGCTCGCAAAAATTACCATTAAACATGAGCCACCATCATATCTGCTTAGTGAGTCGTGCCCAATGAACTCTAAGGGCCTGTTTATATGGAGCCGAGTTATCCGGCTGAGCGAGTTACTCGCTCAACCGGGTTTGACAAAGTGATCTGTTTATATGGCACCGGGTAACTTTTTTTTTGAAAACCCAATCCAGCTATCATTTTTGGGTATAAACTGTCATGGCTGTTTCATAATGAGTTCAGCCTCGGTCACACTGCACCCGATAACGATCTGATAACGATGTAAAAAAATCGCTCGTTCAAAAAGTTTGCAACGTGACCGCAAACTTTTGTGTGCGGTCACGTTGCAGCGATAGTATGTGACCATTGAATATCCTTATAGTTTATCGTTGTCGTCGAACAAAGTGACCGAGGCTTTAGACGAGAACTGAACATCAAATAACAGCTACCATCACAGATACTAAAAGGACAGCACTATGACTAGTCTTCACATGACAGAAACTATGATTGGGTAAAAACTACCATTTCTATACAACAGATGACAGTTGCCGTCATTGGTGCTAACATGACAGCTTACATCACAGGTAGTAAGATGACAACTGCTGTGGTCCATGATGTCATCTTACATACCTAGTACTTATTTATGCAAGACGACAATTAATTTTATTTAAATTTATATCTTAAAATTACTATAAATAAATGCATAAGATAATTATTTATGATAGTTGCTCATTTATTTCAATATTACATAACTTTTAAGACAAAACCTCGTGTTTACCACAATGTTTTTCCTTGATTTATACATATGAAAAATTTTCTTATCGCTAGGCAGGAACACTTAGCACATTTATGTAAGTTCTACCATTGAACTCAACGTTCAATTGTTTGATTTTCTTTTTGAATTCTGAATTTTGGAAGAAATATGTAAAAAGGATGACATGTTTATATTTCATATCTCAAGGAAATACATAAATTCAAAACACAAGATAATGCTATAATCAAAGCATCCCACTATTGTGAAGTAAAGTGCAGTATAAGTCTTCAATGAAAGAAATTGTTCGGTATCGAAACGCAAAACTTTCAAATAATCTACCTGAAAATCTTAAATATTATACTCCTGCAAACTTCTAAAGCAATTATAACTGTCACATAATAAATATATTTATCATCATATTTATCTTTATGTGCTACTTTTCGATAGAAAGTAACTTGTAGTATAATATAGAGTTTTATCTTTATACATTACTTTTCAACGTTAAGTAACTTGTGATAAGTTAGAATTCTATATTTATATATTACTTTTGAACATAGAGTAACTTGTGATAACTTAGATTTCTCTCTTTATACATTACTTTTGAACATTCAGTAACTTTTGGTAATTTAGACTCTATCTTTATGTATTACTTTTCAACATTGACGGGCTCGTGGTAACATTTACCTAAAAACATTTATTACAAAAATTTCAGTACAGAATTTTATGTGCCCAAATCAAACAGAAAGGAAATTTATCCAATTGCTGTATAGATTTATTATATCAAACACTTATTGATTATAAAGATAGGAGGAATGATCATTTTAAGTGTCTAGTATAGGAATTGCACAATGAATCATCACCATAGCCCAAGACAAACGACTCAAAAAACACATCATTATCCCATGCAATCCTCTCAACCCTTCAATCTTAGCTATTCTGGAGTGCTTACTAGTCTTTTCAAACAATAATTTATATGTAACCATACTATCTTAAGGTGAAATTTTTCCATTCACATGAGCACACAATTCATAACTAAAAACGAGCAATGTCTCAGACCCTAAATGATAAACACTCCAAAAAAAATCATCTTGTAAACTCAAGATTCGAGTTCAACAGAAAGAGACAAGATATAAAGAAATAATTCGACTTTATTTCAAAGTCATTATCAGGCTAGTGGGGTAATGAAGTCGAAACATTGCTTTGTATTTTGTCTCTTGCTCTTATAACTGGAATCTTGAATTTACAAGATGATGTTTTTTGGAGTGTGTTTTATCATTTATTTTTTGTAATTGTCGGCTGTAATAAGATTCTTAGACCATGTTCATGAAATTTGACAGTTTTTAGAATCTTTATCAAAAAATTCCTTTCCTAAGTTCATTTTCCTACTTGAAAGCATGCGCACCTTTGAGCAGCGCTGCAATCCAAATGGACATATTGATATACTGCAAATAGATACAATGGACATAAATGCAAACTTTTTGAAAAAACTCACGGATCAAAACAGGTCTGTGGCGATAAAGTCACTTGTTTAGTCTATTCAAGGCATAAACATTTCGCAACATTTCATTAAGTTCTTTGCTCATTATCTTTTAGCCGCGTCTTACAACCACGAAAGTTCTGCGCGATTCAGCAACAACACCTTTTTATAGACTGAGGGCGGATGTCTTCGCCAATGAGTTTAATGTCATAAAATCAAATATTCATTGCAATATAAAATGTAATAATATATGTCACTTCAAATGTTCTTCAATAAAATTGATTAAAAAATAAAGTGGAGATGACCAAAATAAATGCATACATGCTGTTCAATAATGTATTCTTCTTTCATTCTCAAATGGATTCAAAATCCAAACTACTTTGAAACAATCAACATGCGGACAATAATTGCCATTAACATTATCTTTTTCTTTCTCGGCATCATTTTAAATTCATTTGTTATTTTCCTCTTTATTACAACGTGTGTACGAAAGAAACATTGTTATTTCATGATCATGGTGTTATCCTGTAGCGACTTGTTTTCAATATTGCTCAATCATTTTAAAATTTTTCCTTCATGGTAACGTATTCCAATGGTTGTACGTATTCCAACTGGTACAACGCAGGCTCTATTTTTATTGTCCTTTTTGGTCATGAATGTCGATCGTTATTTCTCCATATTCCATCCAATTTATCACAAGACAAACATCACCAAACGGAAACTTTTCTTATTTTTTGGAGTAACACAATTCCTTTATACCCTCCAACATGTATTGATGAACTGGTTTATTCAATGACAGTAAATGGAATAATGTTCATAAATTATAAACCATTAAAAATCTCAAAAAAATCGCAGTTTTCTCAATGCTTTTCTCTATTCCTTGTTTGATCTTCATCGTTTACAACATGTATTTACCTGTAAATAGAGCTTCAGATATCTTCTCGCTTTGCCTTAAAACATTTGTAGCGATGAACTCAACGTTCAATTGTTCCATTTTCTTTTGAAAAAACCCGATTTCAAAATCAGAGACAGTGATGATTGTCAAAGCAACGACGAAATCTTTTTGTCATCTAACTTGATGTTACAACTATATTTCAAGCAATGTCCTTATTGGCTCTCCTCGTCACGAATCTCGATCGTTATTTGGCGATATCCCCATCCATTATATCACAAGACAAACATCAAACAGAAACTTTTGTCAATTTTCGGGATGACGCCATTTATTTATACCATTTCACATATATTCTATATTAATGAACTGGTTTATTCAGTGACAGTACAGGGAATAATATTCATGTCTTTATATACGCTTCTAATGTTCTTTATCAATTATGAACTGTTGAAAATCTCAAGAAAGCACCAAAAAGTTTCAATTCTATTTATCCTGACAAGAAAAAGGTAATTTCATTGAAACAAGTATCACTTTGTTTGATGGCGTTTGCAAGTCTATTGTTTTTCACTATCCTCTGTCTCATGCTCCTCGTATATAACATCATTTTACCGGTGACAAGAAAGTCAGACATGTTTTCACTATGGTTTAAAACAATTATGACATTGAACTCAACGTTCAGCAGTATGATTTTCTTGTGAAAAACTCGATTTTACGAACAGAAGCAATCAAGATTATCAAAGCAATTTTAAACTCTTTTTGTGCATTCTAATGAAAACAGCCATCGCCCATACAAAAATCTAAAACCTTTACAGACGCGGCCAATAGTAAAATCTAAAAACCCCTTTCCACAACGCAGTAAAGAAAAAAACAGCCTGCATGAATTATTAAGAACAAATAACAATTTCCTATTGAATGATTCCTCACTAAGCCTTTGTAACATAATGTGAATGTAAATTAAACGTAGCTTCTTATCGATATAAGAGATCATATTAATTTACTTAAGCTTTATAATTGTGCGAGCAAGATATTGTAGGATGATAAATATTCCAGTTCAATTTTCACAATAGTGTTTTTCTAATAGACCTTATCTTGCATGAACATAGTTGTACATGTAGATATAGATAATCAGACAATTTTTCGTTATGATAACTATGCCCTCATCCAAACGCCAAATTATAGCATACTTTATACAGTTGAATCAGAACTAACGAGTATAGCATAGGTTCCTTGGGATAATGGAGACGATGTAAGTTTACGTCATGTATAATATTAATGAATAAACAGATGATCAAAACGATTGTCACTTCCGCTTGTAAATAATTATATAAAAGTTTCACAGCTTGCTTTGCAAACTATTAGTCTGATGATGTCTTTGGAGTATAGACAAAATATTAAACACGGTTGTCTACACTCTTGTATCATCTTGAATATCAAGAAAACGTCTGCATCCGGAATCTGTTTTATTTTGTTCTATTTAAAATTGTCTGGTTAAATCAATGTGCTGTCGCTATATTTCTCAAAGATTTTATCATTAATGAATATAGTTAGACAAGTATATAATGTCCATTTTTTTGGTGGGGCAATTATGAGCTCATCTGAATGCAGGAAGTTTGACAAAAGAGTAGCTGATGATTGCACAGGATAATAGACAAAATGGAGGTCAAGAATAATATTGACAAATCATCGTTTAATCACAATGATCCCATAAAGCAAATACTTCGTTATGGGAATTTCTCGTTGATCTCGTTGATGAGTAGTTATATCACGCCGAACAACAACGTCAATTAAAATACTACACCCTTATGAGAGTAATCCTTGCAACCGTGCATAAAAAGAAAAAATTTACCTTGTTTTGTTCAATATATTCCTTCATTTAATATTCTCGCTTTCTTGTCCCATCAGGATGTCTAGATTCCCTCTGAACTCTTCATATCCCAAAAAACTACTTCGCAAAATATTTCCAGCAATATCAACAGCCATAATATTTACGTCATCATAACTTTCCACACTTCTCCGCCACAATTCGGGCAAATAAAACTCTTGAGGTGGAACATCATAATGTACAAACTCCCAAAAATTCAGCAGTTCCTCCTCTCTACGTAATTCAACCAAGCCAAGGCCCACTTCTGATTTGACGTAAGGTTCAGATTTTGTACTACAGACAAAAAATCATGCGAAATAATGTCAGAGTAGTTTACCTAACAGAGACCTAAACCATTGGTAAACTGTAGTTTACCTGTAGTTTAGGTAAATGTAGTTTACCTAAACCATTCGATTTACTACACTTAAACATGAATTAATTTTTAAAACTAAGCGTTCAAAATATTATTTAACAAATGATCTCGTCATCAGATGGTAGCATTATGAGTGTTTCTTACACTACAGCAAGCAAGATAGTCATGATGTCACTTACCATAACGTATCCTCAGATCATACTTATCATGACTGGTCATAAGATGACAACTACCATGATTGGTCATCTGACGAAAGTTACGATAACTGGTCATCTCATTATACTTAATATGACTGGTCATAAGGTGACACTTACTACAACTGCTTATTACATCATACTTAATATTACTGGTCATCACATGAAATCTACTGTGACTGGTCATGAAATGAAATGTACCATGACAGGTCATCAAATGAAATCTACCATCACTGGTCCTCAAATGAAATCTACCATCACTGGTCATCAAATGAAATCTACCATGACTGATCATAAAATGATATTTAAAATGACTGGACATTAGATGACAGCTACAATGACTAATCATCAGATAACAGATGTACTAATGTTAACCACAACTGTCTCTTTCCCTGTTCACCAGACCCTTGTTAATCATGTGATCAAATGGTGAAATACAGGTAGTAAGTGTCACATTGAAAAAAAAAGAGTAGCTCCTACCCTGTGTTTAAAACAACACCAACAGATCCTAAATATTGTCCAAATGTACCGATGATCCCTACAATACGTACTCCTTCTGGTGAAGACATTTCATACAAGTCCCCGCCTTTTCCACCAAACCATATTGAAGACTTCATATTGGAATGGAAACGTATCGCATCGATCCAGGCCCCGGCGCGGACGTCAATAGAAATTAAATATTCGTCTTTTTCAAGAGTAAATATGTGTTGAGCACATTGACTGTCAACGTTACCGTAGACTGGACTTTCTAAACAATACAGCATGTGTTGTGTAAGAAAAATCGAGTTACGTTACCATACACAAGACTATATAAACATCAGAAGTATAGCATGCGTTGATGAACATGAAACGTTACCACAAGCTGCACTTTCTAAACATCATCGGTGTAGAAGGTGTTGGGGAAGATCAGATGTAAACGTTACCATAGACTGGACTATGTAAACATTAGCAGTATAGCATGTGTTGGGAAAATCAAGTGTTAAAGTTAACACAGAAAAGACTATATAAACGTTAGCAGTAGCTATAGCCTGTTCTAGGAAGATCAATAGTTAACGTTAGCATAAGCTATCTATTATCTAAACATCAGGATTATGGTATGTGTAAAGAGATCAAAAGAACCACTAACTACCTAATGAAATTTTATGCCCGTTATGACTTCATGAAATTTAAATTTATGTAATAGAAATTAAAATAAAAAAAACCTTCAAGATGAACACGTCCAGCCAAAGGGACAATAGCGTTGATGTACTCTTCATGATATATCAAATACCCGCTCTGCTCAAGATCGTGTGACATATGCCACATGACGTCATCGAAATACAATTGGCTTGCTGCACTTCCACCACCATTTCCTATTGGTCCTTTTACACCATCAGACCAGTTAATATGAAGAGGATATTTGCAGTCAGTTTTTACAAAAGAAGTTTCCACACCGTGGTTCAGCCATCTAAACATACACAAAAAAAATACATATATAACAATATATCAGCAGATAGACAGTAAAACATCACGAACAAAGCATATATTTCAGGGATATATTCACAGTTGGTCTTTGTATGTAATATTATGCTAGAGCTCTATCTTCTAGTGTAATTTAGTAGATAGATTTTTGAGATGTGGTTAACGATTATCAAAATATTCCATTTGACAAAGCGTCCAAGACGAACATAGGCTGTCTTCATATTTACCTTATTCAACATACGTGCGCATAAAATTTGTAAATTTTTCAAATCGTCCAAAATAACTACGTTTAAAAATTCAATAACTCCAAAACACACTTATGGCTTTTTCTTTTTCTTCTACTCAAGTCGACAATAATTATACATAAATTGCTTATTTCCTTGCGTCTCGGTAAACAACTTTTACTTACTGATGATAATGAAGAAGGACGGCAGATGATCTGAACCAGTGCGCTTTATGGTCAACAAACATTCTCATTGCTGAAATAAGAGCTTCCTCATTGTCGCCCCCGTTCGTAGGAGGTGAACAGTCACGTGATGACGACGTCACGACAACGAATTTGTTCATGTCATCAAATCCTCTGGACATGATCCCTTGGGGAGAATGCATCAGATCAAAGCAATGTCCAAGTTCATGCAAAGCCGCGCCAAGAGTAGTGGAATAATTTGCCCAGTATGTTCCTCTGTAGAAAACAACAAGATATGAAGAAAATAGCAAAGAAAAAATTAACAAAATGTTAAAAAAATTCATTTAATTTAGGTTAAAGGGGCAAGACTAACGAGAGCAAATACAAGTTCTGCCCTCACTACCTCCCATTTCAAAATGACCTCCTATTTCCAAGTGACCTCCTATGTACCTCTAAATGTCATCTTATCTCCAGATGACCTCCCTTCTCCAAGTGACCTCTTATCTCCAAGTGACCTACTATGTACCTCTAAATGTCATCTTATCTCCATATGACCTCCCATTTCCAAACGACCTCCTATCTCTCAGTGACATTCTATGTACCTCTACATGTCATCTGATCTCCATATGACCTCCAATCTCCAAACAACTTCCAATATCCAACTGACATCTTATCTTTAAATGACCCCTTATCTCCAAATGACCTCTCATCTCCAAATGACCTCTTACTTCATCTCTAAATGATCTCTTATTTACAAATGACCTCATATCTTCAAATTACTCTGTATCTCAAAATGACTTCCTAAGTGTAAGTGATCTCATGTCTCCAAACGACCTTTGGTCTCCAAATGACCTAATGTCGTTGCATCTCCTAATGATCTTCTACTACCAAAAGTTTTCTTATCTCCAAAAGACCTATTGTAATTCCAAATGACCTACCTTGTCTAAATGACTTCATATCTCAAAATGACCTCACATCACCAAATGACCTCTCATCACCAAAATTACATCACATCACCAAATGATCTTACATATCCAATGATTTTATCTCCAATTTGGAATTCAATAAATAAACTTGTTGTTAAATCTCTTTGCAAATATATTGAAAACAAATGTAGGGAATCCAGACAACATCAGGCTTTTTTGAAATGGAAGAATACTAATAACTTTGCAAATTTGGGGGAAGATCTGAGAATCTTAAAAAAATTGATTCTTAGAAATGACTTCCAAGAGCATTGGTGGATTTAAACTTTAAAAACATAATGAGAAACTATGCCTCAGTGATTAATTCAAAGTTAACAGATTTACCTTTGGTTACTGTCATCAAACAGCTTTGTTTTATCAATGATTTTTGTGTTTGTAAAACAACTTAGAAGCATTTCCACACTACTAGCCCAAGTGTGAAGTCCACCAGTACCAAACAGTCCCAACTGGCCTCCCCCAAGTGCAGTGTGACCCTTTACATAAAGGTGGACATCTTGTGGTAGTAGATTAGTTTGAGGTGGATCATAATGAGTGCATGACATGAAGGCAAGGAACTTACAATTTTTATCATTTAAGGAGGAGCTCTGTAATTCTGAAAAGCAACATAAATTGCCTATTATAATTCTACATAAAATATTCTCTTTCAGAGATGTATTTGAAAAAAGAAATACAATATTTTTCTCTGACAAAAACTACATGGAAACATTTTTAAACTACTTGTACGAATTAAGTCATGTAAATATGTCTCTTTCAGTTACCATGTTTATACTTGTCAAAATTACTTAGCAAACTTTAATTTTCGCACTTCCAGTCGCTTATATAAATACGCTTGAAGGCAAGAATAACAACAGAATTACGCTTATTACAGTCGCACACGTTAACGAGAAAGCAATACCTTTCAAAAATGCTTTGTACAGTTGGTCACCATTCATTGCATGCGCCTCTTGTGTTGTAAGTTTGCTTGTAAACACATGTACCTTCACATCACCATCGTCTGTTTCCTCTACCTGAAATGTTTGTGGCCCAAAGCCGTGTCTCTTCATTTCCTCCGCCATAAATGTCTGCATTAGCAGGGCATTGAATTGAAGTTTTTCAACGGCGCGATTCAGAGTGTTATCTATGTCCACGGGAGCATCAAAACTTCCATTACCGTCGCAGCATTTAATGTAAACAATACGTACAAACCTGTGAAATAGGTAATGGAATAACACTCATTTAAGGCATCAATGTGTTTCGATTTCGAAACTATGAAGTTATATATTATCATAATACCTTCGTTCAACTGACATTCCTTCACGGAAAATCTTCAACTCCTTCTGTACTTCTTGAAATTGAATTTTTATCACATTTAAACCTTTGCTCAATTTGACAAACGCTTTAAATCTTCCTTCGACAAGCGGCCAACTATGACATCTACCATCATGGTGAATTAAAAGATCAGGAGCTTGAAAATCCGACGTTAAAGAAGAGTATTTTTTGCCTATGGTCAAATCTGTTTCATTTGACTTCAGAGCAATTACATTTCTTGTTAGTGTTATTTCCCTTCAAGCATAATTAGACCAGTGAACACTGTTTCTTTCGGTTCATGACTTAGAGTCAAATCGTATTTTGGGTAAAAAGTCGGCGAGGTTCTCAAATCATTATCACAATCTAAATCATCTCCTAAACTGGCGGCCATTTCAAAATGCCAACGTGGCTTTAAGTTTCAACGACTTCTTTCAAAAATGTTGTCTAAAAAAGACAAAATAATTTAAATATGCATTCATTTTTTGTACTGAACGACAACGAAAAATTTGTCCACGTGTACTGTACAGACTACAGAGTGCAGTACATAGTTGAGAACAGAAAGTAAAACTAGGCAACCACAAATTTCACAGCCACGTTGATACAGCAATAGAAGAATTAATATTGCAAAATATAAATACTTAAATCGTCAAAGTCGCTTACTTTTCATCAAATTTAACCATTTCATACAAGAAAAACCGGTTGACGTGTAATTATGCTTTCAATATATCCAGGTCTCATACTATTTCTTACTTTGACTTTGACGGTAAGATGTCAGCATGATAACGAAGACAGTGAAATACAAGATGAAAAGTATGTAGTAAAAACAAGTCACACCTTCTACTACTGCCTCTTCTTCTTCAGAATACATTTTTTACCTCACAATATCAATTCCATCCTATCTAGAAATCGCATTTCGCGTTTAACGAGCGTTGTAAACTTGGAAGGACAAGAATTACGGTACAAACTCTAAATCTGAACGTTTGAACATTTTTCCAAATATAGACGTGGAAAGCTGAAGATTTCTGCGCTGTGCGCTCTTTTCTTTCATTTTAGACACATTCAGGAACATTTACAAACAGATGAAAGTCTTTCTGAAGAATCTAAAGATCAATTTCATGACGATACTGAAGCTGTGAAGGAAGGAGACGACACCAAAGGTACTGAAAACAATTATTGATGTAAAAAAGTAAAAAAGGATAAACACAGAGATCAATTATCACAGAAAGTTTTTAGCACTCAATTATCTTGTTCCCATAACGTGTATTGATTTTTCTTCATCCTTTAGGGATTTTCCACTTTTTTAATTTACACGATTTGGACAAGAACAACAAGTTGGACGGTTTGGAGTTGTATGTCGCCTTCACAGATTATCACGAGAAAAACAATGACGATGATCTTAGCGAAAAGGAAATTGTAAAGATAATTGATGATCTACTTCAGGCTCATGACCTAAATGAAGATGGTTATTTGGCATTTTTCGAGCTGATGAACACATCACCAGACTCTATTTGGAACAAACTCGGCAAATTATACAAATAAATGACTAGGTTTAAGTGCGCTCTAGGGCAAGTGCCTCAGTAAATTGTACTCATGGCGAATTAAACACTGAAGATGACCTTCTTTATATGTGTATATATTGTGTGGTAATGCAATATTTATTCAAATTAATCTACATCAGGTAACATAGAGAGCTCAATTAGACAGCTCCAGATTTCACTACAAACATGCTTTAACTACAACTAGGACTACGGTATCGAAAGATTGTTTTTGCCATCCATATCACTCTTGGGGGTGAACTTCACAAGGGTTGTCGTACTCTAAGAAAAATCTGAAGCTCTCTAAAAATTTGGCAAACACGACATGCCGTATAAGGCATCTTGAAAAATACACGTTTGAAGATGTTCATCATCCAGGTTTATGCAAACCTGAGAAAAATGACTGGTGCTAGTGATAACGTTAAGACATTTTTTTATATGGTGAAAAATGGCATTGACTTATTCATACAAATATGAGTAATTTTAATGCCATTTTGACGAAGTCCTAGACGACACGTCGTGTGTGGTAAATTTCTCTCATATACTCGCATCTACAGACGCGTTGTTGAGCGCGTGTAGACGCTGGGCGAGCTACAAACTGTCAGTGTTTCAATGAAGCAATGACTGTTCGTCAATTTCAGCGTCTCCTCTTTTTCTTCTTTTTCATAAAGTACATGATACACCATTTGACTATCTTCTCTACCCATGCACTCCGTATCATCTTCCATATTACAGTCTTGAAAATCATTTCCAAAGCAGGTTTTACTACTTTGTAGCTTATGTAGGGTGTACACAATATTCTTTGTTGTCCAGCACTCTCCATAATTGGTCAAGGTGAAGTGGTGGTACTTTATGCCATGCTCGTGAGCCATTGATTGTAATGCTTTCCAGCAACGACAAGCAAACCTAAAAACACGACATTATATATAAATGGGTTGTTTTCTTGAAAAAACGTAGTTCGAAACTGCAAGCCAAAGGTTTTAGGTTTTTGCTAGAATTGCTTCATTGTATCGACTTGTTACTTACAGCAAAGCATGGGCCATGTAGTTCGAATATCCACTAAATATCTTTAAAACTTAGAAGGGGCGGAAGCAAACTGCTTAACGGAGGGGTGGCGTGGTGGTGGTCGAAACGAAACAAATCACAAATCATTTGAGGAGTTAAAGGCTTTTTACTGTCAACATTTAAGCATTGTATTGATTCTCGTTATAAAACAGTGAAAGAAGTTATTAAAACACTTCCAAATATTAAGACATTAGAGTTTCGTATCTATTACGTCGGATGTTTGTCGGTCATCCGTGAGATACTGTTGAGATCATAGTTCAGACACAGAATAGATATCTTAACAGAAGGTCCACTCGTGTCGGAGCCTTTGATGTTAGTGTCCCCTACTTTTTTGAAGCAAATTCTGAGGAGCCACGCCCTTCAGCAAGATACTTCAGCTAGATCGCAATAGAAAATATAGATGTTTTTAAAAATATATCGTTTTGCACTACAAAAGAATGGAACCTTATCATCTTCGCAAGATTATTACATTTTTTAAAAATTTCGCAAGCTTTTGCTTTAAACGTGAATTATTAGTAAAATGGCATTCTCGTGAAATACTATTCCATATTGATTTTGTGAAGTACCTTGCTGATTTTAGCCGAGGGGCCTTCTGTTAGATGTCTATTCTGTGGTTCAGATAAATACTCTCGGTGGGACCAAAAATTGGTCAGCAGACTTCAGCAGATTAATCAGCAGATTAATTATTTTCCGCCATTTTTTTCTTACCCGTGTAAGTAAGTTTCCCTGTCCAACCAATCAATATCACGACGACTGTTTTCGGTTAACACCAGGATATCGAATATGTTGCTCTTGGATACGGGCACAGCTCTTTTAAAACAAGCGATTTTCTCAAAAGCTTTGCGATTGCACTGATCATGTCCCCCTATCGTACAATCAAATAAAAGTAATATTTTAAGGTATTATATACTTTCCCCTGCGAAAGAGGGCAAAGTGTTTTCACACTCCCCTGCGAATACAATAAAGTTGTAAATTATTCATCACCACAGTAGTTTGACACCTGCCAGTTCTAATTTCTGGCAAGCAGCGTACCGGCCTCAAAGTTAGGAAAATTAAAATAGTCCACTTTTAAATTCAAAATAGTTTCTCAAGAAAGCTATTGCCTTTTCCAGTTTCCAAAGAGCAACAAATGAAAGAAACGTGACTTTGTCCAACCATTTTTAGATAGATGAGAATGTTCCTATAAAGGTGCACATAACGTCTGTTTCTGTCAGGCAGAAGTAAAAGTCTTGCGTTGTCGTTGCGGCTTAATAAAATTGTTAATGAACTCATGTTCCCATTTCATAATCACGCAGAACAATTCGATAACACGTGAAGATAGTAAAAGTAGTAAAAGTTAATCTCGTGTTTTCGACATAATCAAAGCTGCTGCAGCCACTCAAGGTCGCGACCCTTGTCTGGGACGTTCGATGGCTTCTTCCCCTCCTCCCGCGAAAAAAATAAATTGCACCAAATCATATTTACCAGTTTCAGAATGAGGTGAAAGTTTGTCTTTGTTTTTGTGAACGATTTTAGACCTGCTGAGCAAAAACAGTGGGACGCCTGGCGCCGAATAATATTTCGTTAACGCCTGCTGCGTCATGGACTTTTTACTTGTTGTTTTCGTAAGCTCAATGAAAATTTGTTTTTGATAGAATATTTTATAACTTCTTTCTTTTTTTTATCTAATGAATACAAGTACGTTTTCTGTGAAAAAATGCTGCTTTCATAAATGAATTTATAGTGATTGCCAGAATTGGTAGCCACTTATTTTTGTGGTAGCCACTTTCTTTCTCGGCGCAAAAAACTTGCATTTAAGATAGGAAAACATCCTCTTTAAATCGTCGTTGAATTTTTCAATTCACAGTGAAACAACGTTATTCATTATTCGACAATTCAAACGCGACATAATATTAAAGAAATGTACCTTGGCAAACGCTGTAACTTCCAACCAGGAACAGCACTGTTAAAGTCTAAATCTATGATGACATACAAAGCAATTAATAAAGCTGGATAAGTGGAAACATCAAGAAGAGAATGGAAAAGATACCATTATTCGTTTTTTTTTACCTTTCATGTCAATTCTTGTTTTTACTTTTGCGCGTGCTTTGTAAAAATTGAGAACGTTGTGTTTAAGAATAAAAAAAAACACGTCTACATTCTAGCATCTCATTTGCGTTAATTGGTCTATTGTGTTTCATCCAAATTTAGGTTTAATGTATTCATAATTCGTGGTTATTCGTTAGGAGAAAAAGAAAAGGTGTTATTTCAACAGCATTCAAAGCTGTCACGTACCTTCTATTCATACAGCCTTCCTGATTGAATAGAAGCGTATTGGCAATGAAATCATAGACTAATGATAACAGCGAATTCTGCCTTTGAGACGTCAATTGCAAAACTCATTCAATGCTCGGCTTCTTGCACTCTGATTCCACCATCTTGATAATGTAAATACTTGCGTAATAATTGCGTTAATTTTATTATTTTAGGGTTATGGTTTAGGGCTTAGGATCAGGTATATGATTAGATTAGCGTTACAACAAAGCAATAGCACGTTCAAAGTGAAATTTGTGAAATATAAAAGTGTCAATCACATTATCAAAGAACATATTATTGATCGCTGGTCTATCTTTTTGGTCCAATGCTTGTCAATAATCAATGACAATCTACACATATTGAATTTAAAATAATTTACAATTAATGTTACAGAAATTTCTCATAATTAGCATTATCAATCTTTGCTGAAGTCAACGAACGAAGTCAATTCAACGACTCAACATGGCCGCAGCAAAGGAGGCTAAAAACATACTGCGCAAAGAAATGAAGCGTCGTATTTCACGAATGTCTATCGAAGAGAAGCAACGCCAATCAACTCAAGTTGCCACTAAGTTATTTGCTATGAAAGAATTTAATGATAGTAGCCGCATTTCTGTTTTTCTTAGTATGAAGGACGAGATTGACACATTTACCATAATGGAAAGGATATTTGAATTGAAGAAACAATGTTTTATACCACATTATATTGGATCTAAAATGAATATGGTGGAATTGAAATCATTATCAGATTATGTCTCGTTACCGGTTACGAATTGGAACATTAAACAACCTTCAGATGACGACATCCAACCAGATGCAATGGATACTGGAGGATTGGATCTCATTATTGTACCTGGGCTAGCCTTTACCAAACAAGGTCATCGACTTGGACGTGGTAAAGGCTATTATGATAAATACATTGTGAAATACAACAGGAACGGATTTGTGTCTCCAATTACCATAGCATTAGCTTTTAATGTTCAAATTTGTGACTTTGTGCCAACATCTTCCAATGATGTGGCCATTAATCATGTGATTTATTCGGATTAAATCTAAGGCTAGGCTCTTAAACCATCATTTTGTGTTGACCCAAATTAAATGTGGTTGTATGTTCATCAACATTGTAAAGTGAGATTCAAAGTCTGCATACTTTTAACAACTAAATTGAGCTACTCGAAATGAAAGCAAGAGAAATATGTTTATTTTAATGAATGACTTACATTGGATTGTTTTTGGTCACATACAGTGTGAGAGAAGATAAAAACTCAATAAAAAGTCGAGACATATTTTATTAAAATAGTAAAATTTTTCTTTTACATATTTTTCTTGTACTTTTAATATTGATGTATTCTAATTCACATATTGCAATATTTCATGGGAAAGTTTCTTGGATAAGGTAGCCAGATAATTGCCTTAAGGCTTAATGCCACTCAAAATGTTTCATGTGATTAAATTGGGGCTACCCCAACAGGCAGACAACCCATCAATAACATTAATTTCCCACTATATTTCTTCTACATCCATTCAAAAAATGGAACTATCTCTCGTCAAATGACAATTTCAATGACAATACTACATGCCTAATTTGCTATGTAAAAATAATTATTACTTGCCCAATTTAAATGGCCAAGAGTTATAAAAGTGACCTTCATAAGAGATCCTACATGTTTCTATACATTTATAAAGTGATTTTATCTGTTGAAGAACTGACACCAATAATTGGAAATGAATATTGTCCATACAAAACTAATGAAATCTCTTATAAAGAGAACTTGCAGCTAACCTAATGACAGGTTATGAATTGGAGTTACTAAACTTTTCTTTGACAATCCATTTTGCCACCATGAAAAAGGGATTGTTGAAGTTAACGTAAATTAAATTCATTGCGTGTATTCTTGCCCTAAATATAATCCTTAACCAAAAGCAACATTCTTCGCATAATTTTGATATCCTATCCATGATTAAATAGGAAACAGTTCTTTTTTCAAAAAGTATTTGAAGTAATCCTATTGTAAATGATAATTTGGTGATTGATATGCCTGTAATTGGTCATTAACTAAACAGATAAAATTTTGAAATATTTCGAGATTTACCATAAATCTATCAGTTCATATTATGTACTCGGAACATCCCTTTCTCATGTTGCAAGATTCATGGAAGGCTTGCACAGAATTTAAAAGCAATTTGTAAAAACTTACTAAACATCTGACAATAAAAATATTGCACTAAGATGATGAAAATATAATCCGAAGCAATGCATCCTGCTTTCATCATGATGCCATTAATCATAAATATTCCAAATTAAACAATGCATAAATTCCACTTGCAATTTTTCCACTAAGAAACCACATCAAAAATGCTTTTTTTCACATTTCATTTTTTTTATCTTTGGAATATTTATAATTGGTACAACAGCTGGCACAATGAACAATATACATATAAATACCTCTTTAATACCCAATTTTAAATATATTTTTAACCAATCATATGCTCTAACCCTGAGCAACATTGACCATTGTGTGCATTATGGATTCTGTTCCGTTGTTTTGGTACTGGACAGCCTTTGGAAGACTTCTCAAAATTTCTGGTTCATACATATGTTTATGGTAGCAACCTTGCTTTCTTTCTGGGAGGGGAGGAGTATCTTCCTCACTTTCATCAACAGGTGGTGCTCTTGATTTGTAAAAACGTTGCTGATATATAGCATGGTTTCTAGGCGGGTACACTGGCATTTGGCCATCTGGAGGTAGGTTGTCGTAGGGTCCACCCCTACGAAGATTTCGATTAGTATTTGCAATGTAAGCCCCTGGCTGTGGAGGCAAATTATAGTACTGGTGATGCTGTGCATGTGGTGGGATAGATACCATTTGACACGGAAATGGCAATGCATCATAATTTTGATTTCTTCTTGGAGGAAGACAGGGCTGTTGTGAACGTGCCAAGTACATCATTTGTTGTTGTTCCATACTTATTGGCAATGGTGCGTAAGGATTTTCAGTTACATGAATCCCCCCGTGGATTGTTGTTCTTGGCGGAAGTGGTGGTGCATGTTGCCTGGGTCCCCTCATCGGAAGCGCTGGAGCCATTTGAGCAATATGTCTGGAGCGAGTTATAATTGGCGGTGGTTGATTTGGGTTGATGTCTGGCATGCTCAGGCGCTTAAAATTTTCGCTTAGAAAGTCATCATCTGTATGAGGTACAGGTTCTGAATATGGACGGGGAACAATTGATGGTGTGTCTCGAAGGATACCTTCATCTCTCTCTGGATGAGCATACTTACAATTCCGCCCATATGTGCAATGCCGTCCGTAATGGCACACCTTTGTTTTTGTTGAGCCACCAAAAGATAAAAGCTCATCAATATGAGGACCATTTCTACCATGAGGATCATCTGGTGGCATAAACATGTCATCCACAAATGAATACATCAACACCCGTTCCTCAATGATCTTCTTCCATTCAGGTCGATCTTCCAGGTATAAATCTCGAAAGTTGTCATTTGAAACAACCACTCCATCTCTTTCACAAGCAATCTGTAGGATGTAACGATCATCATAACAAGCAATGCGCTTCTGCTTCACTGTTCTTGAAGGGGTATAAATCATGCTCACAGCACCTTCAAGGATCTTCAACACTTCCTGACCAGAAATCAGGTTGCTCTCTGATGGAGATTCTTTTCTCCATCTCGAATGACCACATATATGGATTTGTGACCACGCAAAATGAACCAATCCACAGCTATCTGAATGCCCTTACAGGAGAAAAACTTTTGCTTACCATGGCTATTTATGAAGGAAGAAAAAACAATAGGTAAGTATTTAAGTAGACAATGATGCTAATGTAGGATGACTTTAAAATATAAAGCTCACAATACTAAATAACACACATAATAATGCTTCGCAATTGTGTATAGCTAGCCTGCAAACCAGGTTGTTCTATGCAAGTTTTTAAAATTCATTAATTATAAAAACAATAGATTTCTAAAGAAATACACCTGAAATTTAAAAAGGCACAACTAAAATGCCATTGACTGTTGAGGGAGTGAAAACACTAAATCAAATGTTTTTGAACAGAACAAGTTTGGCAACGAAATGACAAATAAGTAAAATATTTTCTGGCTTAAACATGCCCAACACAAAGATAACATATGTTTGCTTTCAAAATAAATCTATCATCGCACGGTCAATCATAATAAATTACTTCAACCTGTCAGACTTGGAAACGGTTTTCGCCAGTGCCTGTTTTTTGCCATGCTGCGGTTAATTAGTGAATGCATTTCTATCATGTAGATCTTGCTTTTACTCAAAAATTCATTATAAAGCAAAAAAAAGACGACACCAGACGCTTAATCTTAATTGTTTATTCGAGGTGATCAAATAATTAAAGAGATAAAAACATTCTACAGATTAATCCACATGCTTATATTTTTTTTTGAAGAAATCGCTACAGGCATTTAGAGAATTAAAAGCAAACTTTGACAAATTTGTGACATGAAAGCTTACATAAAATAATTATCGCGCAAATTTAATATTTCACACCACCACAGAAAAAGCCTTTCTTCTTCCAATGCGATTCGACTTCGGTCGCCACATGATCATAAAATTCAATTATTTGGTTATTTCAAACACAAAAAGGAAATATTATTAGCGCTTGATAAGGATATTTATTATCGCAATTAGTGTCTCAGAAGACGTGTCAAGCAGCAGCAATGCTTGCGGTTTTCATTATTCAAGACTTTATCTTTGTACATTTCATGAACTACGATAACCTTCATTATGTAAGAACTCCCGACAATTACAGCAATGCCTGCATCAAAATTGAACAAGCAATGTACAATGTCTGACTGATTGGAAATGGTAAATTAAAAAAAGAAACCAGTACTATCGCTTTCGGGCGTCGCGTGACCCACCTCTTTGGCGCGCTTAATAAAGAGAAGATATCTAACAAGACTCATGTTTGAACGCAAAACGCAGCATTCCATTTTACGATATAGAATGCTACGCCTGTCATCGCATTTCACACAAATTATATTGGACATTAGCCAAAATGCCCGAGTAAAATTCCTCTCGCTATGGGAGACATATTTTATGACTCATTGCAAAAACATTCTTTAGAAGTATCAAGCAATGCTTCCTATTAAGCAACATATAATAAGGACTACAATGAACGAAAATCCAATTGTTTTCGAACCGACACTTCCCAATACTGTACTTCCACGGGAAGCACTCTCGCGATATGGCCGAAATTTGTGAGACTCCACTACCAATCTTTACAGTAAAACCCTGCATTGGCAACAGATGCAGAAATATTTTAAATTTCTCACAAAATTTCTGTGACAAAACTTTTTGCATGAAACTCACAAGAAACCATTTACGGTAATTTAAACCAAAAATAAAAGTAGAATATAAACTAACTGATATACTAAATTATATCAGTTACTAATATACTATATGTAATTATAAAACAACAAAAGGTCTTGAAAAACCCAAAGGTATTCTCATGACTAAAATTCTGCTTTTCCCACATGAGCGAATCATTGCAAGTTGGACAACATTCTTTGAAAGAATGAGAACTTAACACTTCCCTAACTCGCTGTACAAAGCAATTACAAGAAAACACGCGATGCATAAAAATGCTAGAATTTCGCCCCGTGATTTCTTACCATTCTCCAAGGAGTTATTCGTCGTTCGAGCATTCACAAAGCATTAACATTATCAAACACGTTTGGGGAAATAACAATGAAAAAGCCTTACCTCATGGCCACATTCGATCCATCAACAATAATCGGTCGAAGCTGTCTAGAAACGGGTATTGTTGAAATCGAACTTCGTCTTCGATCAACCCGTTCCTTTGGAATTTCTTCGTTCAATTCCTTACGAGAATTTTTCAGTTTTACCAGTTCATTTAACAACTCGTTGCGGCCAGCTTCTTTGCCTACTTTCTTCACAGCTTGCGCATACAAATCCTTACTGTAGCCCAGTTTCGCGGCGAAATCCTCCGATGTTTCTTGTACCATTGGATTGATGTTCTCCTTGATAACAGAAGCATCGGTATCTATCATTTCATCATTGCCAACATCTCCAAGACTTAAAATCAAATCATCCACTGGATCCATTGTCACAAAATCGTCGCTCACCGATGTTTCTCGCGAACTAGAGCTCTCGTGCCGAGTTCTTTTAAAGGTAATTCCAGCTCTGCATTTTCTATATTCGACAGTAAATTGTTCAAATACAATTCCGCTTTTGCCAAGGCATTCTTACCACCAGAAACGCGAACAGACTTCTTGTCAATAAGCTCAATACTCGCTGAGCATTCTTGTTCTAATACAAACACTACATCTCTCAAATTTGCTTGCTGTGACTGCAAGCTTAGCTGGCCAATGTCAAGTACCTTCTCGTATTCTGGATTGCCCATTGATGTTATATATTCCTAAACGAAGTGGCGAACAATTATTTGTACATGTTTGAGACGTTGGGCAAATATACATGTTTGAATCATCCTTTCGTCCTGCATATGCAGATTAATTAACATATCTGTAAACATCATGAGTTTATTTGCATCATAACACACTATCATTAAAATATCAATAAAATCATTTTGTGACTACAAATACTACCTTGGCTTTCATGCGTTGTTTCTCCTCTCCGTTCACTTTTACCCATCTCAATTCCCCTTCGAGGCCGTCGCTCGTTACGGACACATTGTATAAACTTTCAACACGTCTTTGCCGTTGTTTCAAGCATAAAAACGCCTTTTCACAAACAACAAACTCAATACTATCATTTCCCGAAACAACCATGTCGATGGGAATACAAACGCCGCTTTAAACGAAACTAAACGAGCGCATATTTCAGGGAACGACGAGCCGAACCTTCCCGTTGAAGAATCGAAGTTGACACTGATTAAAGTTTCCCCGACTTGTTGATTTCGTTGACGTCACATCCTAAGAGCGCGGTCGGTGTAAACTCGGCTTTAGTCGCAAATGTTGTTGACGGGCGCGCAAAATCTTGCTCTTATTTGTATTCTTGCATATTTAACGTCAGTAATCGCTTTAGCAGCATACTTTTCTAAATACGCTGTTGACAGACACTAAATATCAACTCACATGTGCAGGATAAGCTCAGATACAAATTCGTTTAATTTTAATTTCGACTGACGAAAGTGCAAGTTCGTATGAGTTGGTATGACGTTCGTCGCGCAGAAAATGAACAGTAGAGCGTCGACACGCAACGTCAGAAAATCATTATTGATAAAAACCCCGTCAATTTTGCTTTGTATTTTGAAATGGCTTATTTCAATCTGACACAAAATAAACACAATTTTATTGTTGAGTGACGAAAAGAGACATTGTGGAGTCGACCAAGTTCAACTAAAAAAAAGTGTTAGGTTACTCAATAAATTTTCCCACGAGAATCTATGTATAAACTTCAAATTACTCATCGCGACAATGTAATAACTAGATTTTATACAACAGTATCTACGCAACGTTCAACTCACTATCAACTTATGCTTTACCACGGACAAATACATGTAAAAAACCTAAAAGAAGAGTATTTTCATTTTACAATTTTTCAATTTATTACACTTACGTCTATAAAGTTCATGCAGCCGATGGAGAGTCTGTGCTAGTTTAAGTCCACACAAGTCCATTGTATACGAACACAAAAAGGGTGAAGTTAATAAATCTTTACGTGGTTAATTGATAATTTATTCAATATGATCATTAACTTTATATTTAACATGCAAAGATGATTTTTTTCTGCTTTCAAAATTCCATTTGAAAATTTTGATTAAATCAATGTCGGCTAACATCATTGGTCCTGCTGGAAAAGTTTCCGTCAATTTTGAGACAATTATTATCATAAGTCAATAATCCTGTGCTGCTTGTCTATTTACGTAGACAACTCGAGCGTAGGTCGTAAAATACAGAGAAAAAATTTTGAATTTTGAATGATTATTACTTTATACATGCATTTCCTAGGTTGTGTAAGCATTCTAAATTTATGAGCTGTAGATTTTTAAAAAAGGGACGTATGCTTGCTGCCAAGGTAACTATACGAACAATTGGATATAGCATTCTATGGACTTGAGTTGGGGAAATCTTCATTGACATTTCGTGAATCCACGCTGAAACCACGTCCAAGCAATGGTCGCTTTTCGTCCGAGGGTGACGCATCCCTCGCCGATAGCTACATCAAATAGATTTCAAGAGAATGGTTCAACGCGTGAGTATCGTTATTACATGTTCATCGTCCAGGTGGATAGTGCAATACTGAGGACTGTTAGTTATTCTGTTGAATTGATGGAAGTCGAAACGTCAGTCAACACCATTACTAAAACCAACAGTCCACTCAGGATTGCCCCCCAACCTGCACGTTAAACATCTGCAAACATTTAAAGATCAATTTTAATGTAGATACGCGATTATGCCAAATTTCCTGGATCATTTATAACGCTGATATGAATTAAGGTCTTGGAGAGCTAAGGCCGGAGGAATAAAGCCCGGATAGCGTTATCCATTTGACAGTGACTTCTCCAATTTAAATCGTAACTTTTAACTATGTAAGAAATTTTCCCGCAAATTGAAAAAGTCACTATCAAGGTTTTTAGTAAAGACTTCTTTGATTTCCTAGAACCCCAGAATTAGACACCAAACACCAAAAATACAAAAATGTAACAAATCTTACGAAAGGTCGCCGGTCGGTGAATACGTCAACACTCCTCTGTTTCTTCGGCTTGGGTCTCTTTCCTTTGAACATTTTATTGATACGATTTTCTACTTTGACTTGCAATCGCGACACATCGTACTCATCGTAAATATCTTCTTGAATAAGTTCTTCGATGATATCTTCAAGAGTGATGATTCCCACGGTTTTCTAAAAGTTGAAATGGCAAAATGCTGTGTCAGCAACGGATTGACTGGGTTCATGGAGTGCCTGCAGTTCAGGGAAAGAACAGAAAGGAAAGGAAAGTGAAATAAAATGGAATATGGAGTGGAGAGGATATGAAACGAAAAAACAAGAATCCACAGACTGAAAGACGAAAATGATATGAAACATTTAAATAGAGACGAAGTCAAGATGTGCTAAATCAAATCGTTGAAAAGGTAGGAAATCTAAGGAAGAAAAAATATCTAAGGAAGAAAAAAATCAAAATACATCAATCAATATACATCATTGAACAACATACTTCAAGCACAGACCCATCGTCCAATTCAATTGCATCTTTCACAATTCCAATATGACCTTTAACAAGGAAAGACGAATGAAATGCATCATTTGTACACAATGTACAAATGAATTCCATTTAGTTTAACATGTTTGGCACTGAATTAGCTTTTCGCAATGACTTTCTGTTCAAAAGCTGACATGAAGAAAAAACTTCAAAAAGCCGTTAAACAAGGCCAAACTTTGTAAATTTCTTAACTCCTCATTCTGAACTTGTTATTAATATTCCATCTTAACGTAAAGAACCAAACAGTTGGGGAGAAAAATTTATGTCAAAGAGTAACACTAGATTCAGATGTTTGCCTTCTGTTGACAAACTGTCTTTCTTAACATGAAATCTTTACATTGACTTGTTTGAAACTGGAGTGAACGTAAAAGTCTTTTTTACGTAGCGAATTCTTTTAAAGAATAAATGATCGTGTGACTCGATGTAACTAAAATAAAAATATATACCAAAGAAACAATATGATTCTAACTTTTTCCTGTCTGGAACTTATTGAGAAGATTGAACAAAGGATCCTTCGTGTATACAGTGAGAAGATTTTGTCTTGACCTGCAGAGATCCCTAACGCATAACTCGTCCTCTGGACTCACAGGGATAAGTCTCTTGCTCATAAGCAATCCAACGATATTCTCACGTGTATTTTCATATAACGGTATACGGGAATGACCACGCTGCACAACCTTAAAGAAAAAACATTTCGACAAAACTATCCAAACATAATCGCACAAATGTTTGGCAGCAAATCATTTTTCGACAGTGTTTATATCAAACACGGGGAAGTGTAGATAAATAGATGCCACATTAATCAAAACTACTTCTGTTAACACACAGTAGTTGAAACAATTATTTCATACGAGTTTTTAAATACTTCCAATGTGCAGGCTTCGGCCAGTGCCGCATCAAATGTTTCATTGCTAAATACTAATGCATTATTCAAATACTCGTTGTAGACAGTGACATAGCCAGCTCAACTATTGGGGCGGGGACAATATTCATATTCTTCCCAATTAAGTTCTTTTGAAATCAGTTGTTTTCTGAGGATTAACATGCATATACATATACGAATATTGCCCCCCCCCCTTCAATTATCGATTCTAGCTAAGCCACTGGTCGTAGACTTGAGATTACTTTAAGATAAATATTTTCAACTTGAGAGCGGGTACAGAAAAGTAATTATGAATCCTTATTTAACAAATACATACGTACCAAATGTACTAATGTACAAAATACAACATTTGTATACAATTTCTTCATTTCGCATGTTAACTTTCACAAGTCATTTTTGTACTTCAACAACACCACAATTGTCATGCTTTCATTTTTAGCTACAAACGCAGTCTTTCCATTTCCGAAAAATTAGTATAAAGGTAAAAGTATCGAGTGCAACTACCAATAAACATGCACTGCAATAACCATTCACAGTCGAGAAACATCTCAAAGTTTATTATTAGTCCTAGATAAATAGAATTACATGTACCTTGTCTAAATTTTCTTGCGTCATCTTTTCATTAATCTCAAACATGAATACTCCATGTAAGGGAGTATAAGAATCAGCGACTGTTTTATTACGTAAATCTAAAGTACCCTACAACATCAAGAGAGAAAACAATGAGCTTATAAATAGACCATAATTAGAAATGCATACCATTAGTGAGAAAAAACACTTGTCTTCTTCAAATGTCGTTACCGCAAAACTTTGAATTATTCACAACTGACCGGTCTCATTGCTAATATCCCTGTTACCAAAACTAACACCTAAATCAACTACTCTGAATGTTCCTATTGATAACACTAACTTCCAAAGCAACAACTCTAACGTCCCTATTGACAACATTGACATCCCACATCAATAACTCTAACGCCCCCATGTACAACATTGACATCCAAATTAGCAACTCTGACGTCCTTATTGACAACACTAACATCCAAATCAACAATTATAACGCCCTATTGACAACACTGACATCCAAATCAACAACTCTAATGTTCCTATTGAAAACACTGACATCCAAATCAACAACTATAATACCTTATTGACAACACTAACATCCAAATCAACAATTATAACGTCCCCATTGACAACACTAACACCTACATCAGCAACTCTAATGTCCCTATTGACAACACTAACATCCAAATTAACAAATCTAATGTCCCTATTGACAACACTGACATCCAAATCAACAACTCTAATGTCCCTATTGACAACACTGACATCCAAATCAACAACTCTAATGTCCAAATTGACAACACTGACATCCAAAGCAACAACTATAATGTTCCTATTGAAAACACTGACATCCAAATCAACAACTATAATACCTTATTGACAACACCAACATCCAAATCAACAATTATAACGTCCCCATTGACAACACTAACACCTACATCAGCAACTCTAATGTCCCTATTGACAACACTGACATCCAAATCAACAACTCTAATGTCCCTATTGACAACACTGATGTCCAAATTAACAAATCTAATGTCCCTATTGACAACACTAACATCCAAATTAACAACTCTTATGTCCCTATTGAAAACACTAACATCCAAATTAACAACTCTTATGTCCCTATTGAAAACACTAACATCCAAATTAACAACTCTTATGTCCCTATTGAAAACACTAACACTCAAATCAAAAACAGAAAGTCCCTCTATTGACAACACTGACATCCAAATCAACAACTCTAATGTCCCTATTGACAACACTAACATCCAAATTAACAACTCTTATGTCCCTATTGACAACACTAACACTCAAATCAACAGCACTAATGTCCTTATTGAAAACACTGACACCAACATCCTGCTTACAACAACAACCCCAAAATATCTCTATTACATTTTCCACAACATCATATTTAAAGGCATATTATTTAGCATAAGACCTTAGTTTTAACAACTAATAGACCAACCAATAAATCAAGTACATAGCTTTATGGCATGTATACTACAATTCAAATACAGAATTCAATTCAACTATTAGTTTGATGACAAACGTACCTTGATAATAAGAACCTCATCACCAGTAAGGGGTTCTTCATTGTCCAATGTCTGTTCCAAATGCATGCTAACAAGTTCTTTCAGCTCTACAAACCAAAAGTACCAAAATCAGTTCCCTTATACAAAAGTAACTTCCATACAGGGAGCATCAGGCAAAGGTCTCCTGACAGAAACAACACCAAAAAAACCCATTTATGCATCAATTCATGCATTTTCAGCAACCATTATTTTATTACTGTATATTTGACACTTATAGTTTCCTATAATGTACCATCATGACACCATGGTACATTCCCACAACTGATAATGTATAGAAATTGTAACATGATCTGGTTTTAATATAAATATTCAGTAAGTGAATTGTGAAGGAAATAATATCTTGAGTAAAACATCAACATCAACTCACCAGCTCTTCTGAAAAAGGTTGCATTTTCAACACCAAGCAAGCAGTCAAGTAGTTTTGATATTGGCCATGCAATGATAAACATTAGGAGCATCAAAAGACGAACAAATCTAAGTAGAAAGAAATGTAGACAACATCTTTATTGACAACATCTTTATTGGCAACATTTGTGTAGACAACATTTCAATAACAACATCTCTATTGAAAACATCTCTATAGACAACATCTCTATTGATGAAATATCTATAGACAATATCTCTATTGAGAACATTTCTATTGATAACATTTCCGTAGACAACACCCTCTATTGACAACATCTCTATTGGCAACATCGCTATAGACAACATCTCTGTAGACAACATCTCTACTGACAACATCTCTATTGGCAACATTTCTATCGACAAAATCTCTAAAGACAACATCTCTGTACACAACATCTCCATTGGTAACATCTCTATAGACAATATCTCTATACAACATCACTATTGGCAACTTTCTCTTTGACAACTTTCTCTATTGATAACATCTCTGTTGACAACATCTCTAGTGGCAACATTTCTATTGACAACATCTCCACACAACATCACTGTTGGCAACATTTTTATTAACACCTTCCCCAACAACAATACTCACAAAGACCACACCCATTTGGCTTACGGAACAAAGTTACATACGGAGAAAAAAATGCACCAATAGCCAGCCCATAGCGAGTGCATAAAGCTTGCGGAAGAACTCTAAAAATACAAAGTCACATAAGATAAAGCTCAGTTCAACAAGGACACATCATTAAATAAAAAACGTACTCTCCAAAAAGTAGAACAGCCGTAACAGACACTACAACAGCAATAATTGGATTGGACACTCTATCCAAACACAATGGCATACTTTCCACAGCAACTGCATTTGAAAGCAACAGCGTGACAAGAAGCAAATGATGTTTAGACACAAGTGGTATGATTTTAGCTGCATGTTTCTGTTCATCAGGTTTGCCACCACGAGCCAGAACTTTTAAACTGAGAATGTCCAGGGATAACAAACCCATAGTTAGACCAGACATCAGTCCTTCAAATAAGACACCACATATATGTGTAAATTGATTTGCAAACAAATTTTTATCATACATAATTCTCTCAAGTTGTTGAGATGCAAATATTATAACAATAATCAAGAGTTTATCTTGGTGAAAAGTGGATGTATAGAAGCTTAGGATCCTAACAAGATCCTATCTAGAGTCATGAGAAGTCTTAAAATTGATTTTATTCAAGATCATGCAGGACTTTATAGGATCTTACAAGACCATACTCTGGAATTTCATAGCCTCAAGAGAGTTTTGACATGTTCTTTTTTATATCCTTTGATAAACATTGTGATGTGGGTAAGTAAATTATTTGTCATGGGTCAATATCTAACTACTTGCAAAAAAATTTCAAAACTAGCTAGCCACGTTTGGTTGATTGACAATACAGTATCTATAGATTGGTCATTACACAATATTTAACAAAAAAATTTCATGAATTGGACAGTCAAATTTTGACTGGTAAAGCCACACATGTCATAATCGCCCCCTTCCCCCCAGTCTGAAAGGTCAAGCCATTGATCAATGATCATAAATATTAGTTCTGAAAATTTTATTTGAAGAAGCTAGCCTTGTAAGCTTCAACAAATAGTATCCATTTACACTACAATGACTACATGTGATATTTGTTAATTATAAACTTTACAGTGTGTATTTCATAAGAAGCAAGAGATGTAGGCTTATACTCCACTCATCAATCAGTGCATAAGTAAAAGATACAATTTATACAATAACAAGTTAAGAACACCTTAGTCAGTATTTTCATTTCATTTGACCAAACACCTATTCTATTTTCATATAAATGAAAGATAAATAGTCATGTCATAATATAACGGTAGGTTAGTCTAATACTTTTCGAGATATTCCATTTCATTTAAAATTTATTGCCCAATACACCTTCTGGATTTTGTAGTGCTCAACCTCAAGAAATGCGCGAAAAAACAAGACGATAAAGCTGTCAAAGAAAGATTGAGAATAATTTTACCTGCAAACAAAACAAGAGCGATGTAGACTCCCAGATACACCCAAAACATTTTATCCTCATAGCCCAAGGGAGACTCGGGAAGCTGAAACTTCTCGTTGTTGCACAATACATGTTCCCCCTTTTTAAGACAGTAGATGGACTTGTTGGCGTTGCACCAAACCTCGTTTGTAAAATGAGCGTAACAGTTCTCAACAGACATAACATTAACCTCCAGCACTTCGGCAAGATACTTCTATCCTGAATTTTTCAGTTATTACCAAATGGTAATGTCACGTGTGATGTCAATAAAAATAATAAAATTTTTTGCTATTTATTTATTGATAATTAATTTTTATGACATAGTTTATGAGCCCACAATATTGTTGGTAAGAAGTTTCGCGAAAAAATCGCCAACACAGCGTTTTTCATTTGAGGGTGGGTGTGGAAAAGCCACCAAGTCTGTAACCAATCGATCCGATAAAGTTATTGTACACTGTATACAATGCTTGATAATTTCTAATGGTTTTTGAAATTATTCATTTTCGAATACATCATTACTCAAATCCCAAAATTTCGTTGAAGATAAAAAAATAAGCGACAACCAGCGGCGTACGTAGATAGTCAGACTTTCACTGACGCTATTTCTGGGATAGTCAAATTTATCCTTAGTTTCGTTTGTTTTGTTCTTTTCACAAAATCAAGGAATGTGACGTTTTATTATATCAATATGATATCCATAATGATATCCACAGTGATGTTTGTAATACCCGTGACATCCATAATGATACCCATGATACTTGTAATACCATGTAATACCCGTAAGAACTCAATCATTGTCACTTAGCAATCATTATCGCAGAAACGTTATCACACGGGCCGAAATGGCAATGCCGTTTGTCCTCTTTCAGGATCTTGCAGTTTTTTGCGTTTTTCAACACTTATTGGCGTTGCCAGCATCTGTTAGCATAAATTTGTAAATGTATGTGGCCTATTTTAGACATACATGATATTTTTCGTGCACAGACTTGTAAATAATGTTTTTCGTGCAAACACATGCAAACCAACGAGAAGTTTGGGAGAACTTGAGAGCAGATCAAAGCAAACCAGAGACCGTTTGAATAAACCATCAACGTAACACAAAAGTTTCGTATGAGACGTTGTAAAAATCATTGAGGTTATAAATAATATTATTTTTGCTATTCGCTAATATTATTTATAATCTCTATGTAAAAATTGCATACCACTTTACTTTGTCGTTTACGACGTGAAACTATACAATATGACAACGTGTGTACACGAAGGCAGACAAAAATTTTTTTTTGGATAAAAAACAAGGTAATTATCCTTAATATTTGCATCTCAAAGCGGAAGCAGAGGATTGGATAGCGAGACTTTTCACCCCCGCCTATTTTACAAAATCAGAATTGTATCCTTCATTTCATTGATTTTTCCGTTCCTCATATAAACAAATGTGATGTTTGCATGAATTTATAGCTTAAATTTATGCTATTCATAAGAACTGAACGATGATACACAGGAATCATTATTTAACAGGGATTGCTATCACACAGCAACTCTTATCACACAGGCCGAAATGGCAATGTCGTTTGTCCTCTGTCAGGGTCTTGTAGTTTGAATATTTTAACACGGTTAGTCTGTCCAACGTTACTGTTAAAATGATAATAAAAATTTTTAAGAACAAGCAATCTCAATTATCTTATTGATATGTAATCTTAAAACAAAAAACTTCACCCAACCGCAGGTAACACATGATAACCCTTTATATGTATATCTATGTTAGTCGTCAAATGTTTTTAGGGAGTCCACTAAAGTGAGCTAGTCACCAAATGATCTCATCATACCTATTAAGCCCAGGTTCTCAATGAAAGAATACATAGGTGCACTTGTCACGTGTTTTGAATAAATGTTACACGAAGTCGATCAACAACCAATCAACAATAGGAACTTAACTTAATCAGCAATTACAACTCATTTGAACGTATCAAAAAATTAAAGTCTGTTCTATTGGAGGGTTTCTTGAACGGTACAATTCAAAGAGCCCCACCTAAAAGCCCGCGTAGACAAAATGCCCGTTAAAAACATGAACCCCAAACAATAGTATCATTACCAAGAACCTATTTGTAAGAAAATACTCATTCAACATAACCACAACAGTACATGAACGAAGGAACTGTGCGATGTCTTAAAAAGGGAATAAATACCTCATGTCTTGAGGAGTGAGCAGGATGAACTGTCTGTGATGCTGTTCCTTAGCTACTTTCATAATAGAATCCATACTAATTCTTCTGTTCACCATGTCCTAGGGAGAAAAATAGGACATTATAGGATTGTAATGAACTTAGAAAAACTAAACAAAAAAGTAATCACATCTAAGTCACAATGAAAAGATTTTCATCACATGACATGGAACAAAAAAGGAATACATGTAGAGAGGGTTCGTTAACTGCATGAGATATGAATTAAAGCATTTTTAAGAAGATATTGTGAAAAACATTAGGACGAGAATGAATTTGAGTTACATGCCAACATGTTCACAGAAGTTTGACAAAAAAAATTTAAATCAAGGACCATCAAAAGTCTGTCTTTATAAATTCAAGGACATTGTTTCGTTACGAATATTTAGAACTTTGTTAAGTTCAATTTTAAAAGTTCGTAATGAATTTACAAACAAGTCAACTGAAGAAAAAGTTCATTAAACGGAAATTAAATTCCTTGGTAATTTTGAACTTACCATAAAGACATCAAATTCATCAAGACACCTGAACGGTGCTTCCATAGCGTCCCAAAGTGCCATGATGAAAGATACTGTAGCAAAGGATCTTTCTCCACCAGAGAGAGATTTTGTGCTTTTACTATCACCTTTCTTTGCCTGATCAACGTCCACCTACAGGGCGAAAAATCTTTCGTATTGCAATGGATGACTGGAAAACGTTGTTTTCTCTTCATTTCGATAAATAAGAACGACAATATTTGCGAGCTGGTTACGCTACTAAGTACTAGAGTTTTACGCGTATCATACGCAAAATATAGTAAGCAAGCGGCACTGTACTGTACACACAGTATACGTTTCCCCATCAGGGTAAACTTGTACTGTATATGAGCATAAATGTTATTAATTCCAACATTAAATAGTAAGCCCCCCCAATCAAATTGTATGCTCCCCCTAATCAATTTGTAAGCTCCCCCCAATTAATTTGTAAGCCCCCCCCTCCTCAATCAAATTGTAAGACCAACCAAATCAAACTGTAAGCTTCCAATCAAATTGTATCATTCCCAAATACAATAATAGCAAATTCTTAAGCAGATCAACAATTAATCTATCACATTCGATGAGGCTATTTCCCAAATTTATCTAGTTTCAATATTTCCACACACGGCCAAAAGAAAAGAAGAAAGTCGGCTAAAATGCAGGACAGGCTTCATGCAAGGAAAAGGATGTTCATCCAAATGCAGCCAACCAGTTATATAGTCAGTTGAATGTATACATACACCTACCAATAAATGTAACTCTTCTTTTTTGTGTTTCAGTTTCAATTTTCCGGAGTATCCACGTTGTGACAACATCATTTGAAATAGCATATTAGCTCGAAGAGTGATGAATTTTCTATATGAACTGTATGCGCATAATCGATCTTCAAGCATTCTTCCAAGTTTCTAAATAAAGTAATATGAATTGAGATGTATGTGACCATGTTTATAACATTGACATTTTATTGTCAAAATTTGTACTGCCATTTGCATTTACTTGTTTCCCCTTCTCGATCGTAACAAATAATCTCCATACACATATGCAAACATTGGTGTTTCATGGCTCAAAATAACGCATTTTTGATTCATAACGTTTTAACTCTTGTAAATTAAGGGTAAAACGGTGTACTCTATAGTTGATCAAGGGGAAAAGATGTAAACTTTCATTGATAACGGAGATTGCAGAGCCCTGACAATCACATCCCCACTACATCCGTAAACACCTAACCTTACAAAAAGTTGCCATGCTTTTCATTGACGCCTTCACATCATCCAAACGTTGCTTCGCTTCAGAAAACTGTCTAGTGATTACCTCAACTCTGCCACGGCTACAAAAGAATAGAAGTAGAAAGACAAGTCTTTTGGGGGTAGATGAGAATCGCCAAAATATTTCAGTCAAAGTGACTTTCCCATGCTTAACTTAGGATTTATTACCAAACTGATGTTACGTAAGTAATGTTGTGCTACTAAACTTCATGTTAACAAAAGTAAAGTTTCCCATAAAGTCATAACCTTTTGACTTCTACGTGATTCAACGCATTCAATTACTGTAATTTTCCGAAATACCTAAGCGAGCGCGCATGCTCAAGATCAACAAATCCACATTCGGAATTAATACATGTTTCGATAAACCAGAATAAGCATACCCGGCTGAAGAGCACTTACTTAATACTTGGTGGCAAGGAACCTCGTATAATATAGAGCTATCCCTGTGATACATCGTACAGCATGCTGACGTAATGACATTTTGATGGATGATTTTACCTTTGTTGTTCTGCTCTCAATCTCCTCTCAGCTTGTGAGATTTCACTCTCCAGACTCTTCACTGTTCTCTTGGTCTCAACACGTTCACAATATTCAGTAGCCATGCTTGCAGTTTTCTATAATAAATACATTTTATAAATAGGGAATCACCTTCCTTTGCTTTCATTAGTGACTATTCAGTGCCTCATGCTGGAACTTTGAGCGAGGACCTAAGAGCGATAATTTCTGTCTCCTGTGTGTTTTCTGCAAGCAATCTTCCTTTGATATTCTTACACGCTTATCAGGTCATGTTTCACACGCATATCATGTCAAGACATTCTTACACGCTTATTGGGTTTACATGTTGTTGATGAAAAGCGACTTGGACTTTTGAGGATGTACTCAATCATTCGAGACTGTCGATCTCCAAAAAACGATAATAATGGAAATTTTTGAAGTTTTCTTTATAAAAAATAATGCGTTATAGAGCTTTCTTACTGGTGTCTAAAAGCCAAGGACTTAGGAAAGAATAAGCTGGGAACTGGCTTCGAAGGAAATAAGATACAAAAGGCATCATACCTGAGCATCTTCAGTTATACGGGCCAACTCGCCCTCGAGATGACCAATCTTCATTTGTAATTCATTCCTCTTGCCTTCGTAATGTTTGCGGTGGCTTTTGACTGTCGCTAACTCGCTTTCAATTGTATTCAAACGCAACTATAGGCGAAGAACGAGCGAGCTTTTATAGATATAAAGTGACAATGTGCATGGCCTTAACCCAACAGTATCGTAACATGTTTGCAGATATCGATTGCCCAGGTCACTCCTATAAAGGAGTGTCAAGTCTGACATGACTCTAAAAACGACTATCGCTAAAAATGTCGGAACATCAGTCAACACAAACACTCCACGTCATGACTGCACATACTCGGACTATAAACATCTACAAACATGTTAATATAAGAAGCTAGTTTGTTTCAGTCAGGATTGTGATGGAAAAATTAAAAATCGTCAAATGTTTGGATTGTTGGAAAAAGGTTTAAGATAAAACTTAAGCTTAAAATTATATTATATTACAATCAGGATACGAATTTGTGATTTTAAGATTAGGATTACCTTTGCTTACAATTAGGATAACAGAAATACAAAGATATGCATACCGTAAGTGGCTCGGCTTTTCCTATCACTTCTTGTATCTTTAATTTGTGTTCATTTGACTCGTTTGTTTTTTCCTCTAAAGTTTTCTTGACTTTCAAATATTCTTTCGATTTTGCGTCACTCTGTAAAATTATATATTTCCAGCATTGGGGAGATTGAATTTCATAAACTTTCCAGATAAAGCGCCCAAAATGCAAGTATGTCGCTAACGGATTTTTCTACTTTCCAAACTACTATGATATGGAGACTCGGAACTGTCCATTCAACAAAACAATACATTGCAATTGTCTTTGCTTTATACCTGTGAGGTTAGTTTGTCAATTCTCTGAATTAAGGTGTTTACATCTTCTTGCTTAAAGAACAAATAATGTGATGAATGAATAGATCGACAGAAAACATGCATACATGCATGTCAAGCTCTTCAATACCACTTAATGTGTATCAAACTGGAATGAAAGCGTTACTTTAGTAAGAACTTTGCAACTACAGCAGCAACTCTGTGTTTATCATATTATTGTAACGTAAATATCTTACCAAAACAGTGACATCTGGAAGAGCTTCTTCCTCGAACTGTTCGAGTTCAGTTACTTCCTACCGTAGAAAAAACCCAACATTTCCTACATGAACTTCAAGATACTCTAAACAAACTACATGTCTGTCCATCAAACTGTATAATATGGTAAGATGCAATAGTAATTTTTATAGTGTATACACTATCTTTCAATCTTTGCAGTCATTCAAATGTTCAAGGCCTAAGCACATTAAGACATTATAACAAAGGGATAATTCTATACCATGGTTCCTGCAAAATAATCTCACCGTACGTGCAAGAATAACCTTACAGTATATCTACAAGGACAACCTTACAATGTCCTCAAGTAGAATTTTACTCTACTTGCAAGAGTGATCTAATAGTACCTGCAATATCTTATTGTGTATTTCCTGATCTTTCAAACTCTTCATTTTACTTTTCTTCAACTCAGCTTGAAATTCCCTCAATTGCCTATTGTAATGATCAAGATCACCTCGTAGCAGGTTGTACTTATCACTTTCTTCTGACAGCTGTTGCTCCACTCGACTGAAATGTTGATAAATCTCAAAAATTCAACTGAACAACGCAGCAAAACAAATTGAATAACACAGTTTTCCTCAAGGAATAGTCTTTCACTGAAGTGAGCGTTTGAGGAGCTAAACAGAACTACACCACGAAAAAATAAGGAAGTCGGGATTTTAAATCCTGCACAGCATTTTTTAGTCGACGTACTAGCCATTTCTTTCTATAATTCATTTCAGTGATGATTTTCTCAGTAAATATAAAAGTATGACTAACTTTGACTACACAAGATGGCACATATGATTACTAACAGTAGATTAAGTAACGCAACAACACATATAAACAAGACTTACGTAAAGAGCTGCGTACCTTATTTGGTCATCGATATTTCCACGAAGATAGGTACTTCCGTTACCCGTGTAAGCATACGACTTCGCACTCCTTCCGCCAAATATTTGATCTCCATTTCCTGCAAACGCCTAAAAGAAAAGCAGGATAATCATGCAATGCTCCATTTACACAAGAGCAATTTCTTTGAAACTTTGTGCTCGACCATTTTTATTAGCTCGTGGAAACATAAACTACGGAGTCAATTTTGTGTCACTATCTTATTTTTGAAAAAACAGGCGTGCTTCTTGTAAAAAGATCTGTATAGACAAGTCAGAAGTTAAAACAGATTAATTTATTATAATTATTTAGGATAATCGCATCACTTGTGTGTTTTCCGTGGGCTTCAGAAAAGCAACAGATAACTAACTCAGGGAAAGTGACAAAAAGTAAAAATATGTGCAGTTATTTATGTCAAGTGTCCCTCAGCTCGCCTCCAGCGCGACGACGCCAGGAGACGAGTCCCAAAGCCGTCTTCACATACACCACAATCATGCATGAAGTAATCTAATACTGTCATTGGTGACATAGTGTATAACTATGAGCGCAAGGATGGACTCATCATTGGGAGACTAGACCAAATTTGAAAAAATAAGTATTTCTTAACGTTTGTACATTTCTGAAAAGAAACAATTTCATGAGTGAAGCAAAGAAGGTAAAATATACGAGCTCTGTGAACTTTTATACACTGCATAAAATATATTTGGAAAAACAATAAATGAGAAGTGTTTCTAAAAAATACCATTTTAGCTTTTTCAGGAGTACGATTGAACATTACGTCTCTGGCTTCTGCGGGATTCTCGATGAGCAAAACACATTCAGCACTAGTCTTAATATCGAGAATAGATGGATTTTAATTTGTAATAAACAGATGTAACAATTTTAAGGATCAAAACATTTCTTTGATGTAATGTGATGTATAACTTGAACAAATAAAAGCGTTATAAATCATTAATACAAAGGATCGGGTTCAACTCGCATTTACAATCCCTATTATCCTTAGAAAATGTACCATAATCCCGCCAAAACCTCGTTTCAACCCTCGCAAAATTTCACACCTCCATACCATACTGGTGGCTTAAGTTTGTAGCTCCTGGGGGCACTACAAATTTCACTACCCCACCCCACCCTCCTTCCCAGCTGAAATGCATGAAAATCCACATCGTTGGATAGTCAAAAATAAAATATCAAAAACACACTTCATTAGAAAATGTTGAGTGAAGTAATCTACAATACCTGATCAACAATACAATTAAATATGACAGGATCATCAATCTGCAGAACATCCATGACTGTAGGATATGAACATCGCGGTTTCTAAATAGAAGCATTTTCAAATTTCTAATATGATTTCATGTATATTTCACGAGGTGCAAATCAGTTACGATACCATTCAAAGAACGAGATTCTTCCTAAGGTTGTAACGTCATAAAAATGATCTGGGGCCAGTTGCACGAAGCTTGGATAGTTTTATCCATTCGATATGAAAATTTTCGAAATTGTAAAAAAAGTTTTTCGTATATTTCCGGTTACGACAGAGAAATTTTGTAATCTTAGAAGCAATATTTTATTTCAGCAGTAATTGCTCGGTTCAAATCTTATATTTTTCCTTTTCAGAGGCTTTTTAAACGTTTGAAAAACTTTGCTATCCAATGGATAATGCTATCCAGTCTTCGCGCAACTGGCCCCAGCTGTATTATTGGAGGAGGCCCAAACGTATTTTCTGCCATTTGATTATCTATCTCATCTTTCATTAAGCATATGAACAACTGCATAGAAATATAAAATACATTAAAACATACAATAGGTATAAACCATGCGCCCTAAAATATCTTAAAAATATTATATATTATGTCTAAATAATTAAACTAAATATCCAAATATGTAAGGAGATACATTTAGCTCAATTGGAATAAGTAATTTCTACGTTAGAATTCAACTTACATTTCTTGATACATCATAAAAAGCATCCTAAAGTGAAAACAAAACAAATCATCAACAATATAAGTGTAATGCGAAATGAACATAAAGATCTCCAGGATTTTGACGTCTTTCTTTTCAGGAAACTGTAAAAAGTCAAACACTGGGATTTTCTATTAAAACAATTAGACCTTGAAGATGCATTAGTGTTTAATGTATTTGAATGCTGATTGGTGTAAACAAATGTTCTGGCAAACCTGAAACCTGGAGACCACGACCTGAGGCATTCTGTTCGAGTCATATAATGTCTTCATAAGATTTCTTAGCACTGCTGCATCGTGTGTGTCTGTGCAACAAAAGGCGAAAGCCAGACCTTTTAAGCATGTTTCCACTGCAATCGCCCAGTTTTCCTGTTGAAGATTGATACGTGCACCTACATAACATTGCGACAACATACTTGATGCAATTCCTTCCCTTATGAGACACATTTGATGAAAGGAATCTTATAGAGACACCGGACTGAAATAAATATTCAAGGGAATCAATTTTGTATGATATAATTCTATATGATAACACTAAAGTATATGAGAAGTTAAGAACTCGTGTTTCAACATCAGATCACTACACATTAAGACACTAGATTGGAGTAAAAAGGACTCAAATTTCAACAAAAGATCACTCCTAATAAAGACACGACTGGAGTATTAAACGATCACAGTTTCAAATCAGATCATTACTGATGAAACACTAGATTGGTGTATATAAGAACTCGAGTTTCAACATCCCTGATGAGAACTTGAGATTGGAGTACATAAAGACTAATATATTAAAACCAGATCACTCCTGATGAGAACACTAAACTGAGGAATATAAGTACAAAAGTTTCAAGATCACTCCTAATGAAGACATTACACTGAAGTAAATTCGAACTCAAGTCTCAACATCAGAACTCGGGATTAGTGTACTCCAATACATACGACAACAAACAATATCCATGTACATACCAATTGGTCCCCTCGGTGGCTTATGAAAACTTCCTGATTTAACAGCAGTTTCAATCTTGAGTAAAAGTTCTGGTACTCTTCTACCAAAACGTTTTAAGGAATCTTTCCGACCCTCTCGGAGCTCATCAAGTCTTCTTGTTGTTTGATCCACGTTTTTCCTTGCATCGCTCACGTTATTTCTGAAAAATAAGAAAGCACACTTTATATTCGAAAAGACGAAGGCGATATAACAGACATGTGTATATTTAATGCATAATCTAATAACGAGATAAAGACAAACGCAAACAGATGCGAGACAGAAAAGACACCATCTCATGGCGTGTTTAAGAAAACACTGTGTCATCACAAAATGATACTACTGTACATAAGTATTCACACTTCTGTATGTAAGTCCTCGTACTGCTGTAGGTAAGCACACATACTACTGTACATAAGTATTCATACTTCTGTATGTAAGTCCTCGTACTGCTGTAGGTAAGCATACATACTACTGTACATAAGTATTCATAGTTCTGTATGTAAGTCCTCGTACTGCTGTAGGTAAGCACACATACTACTGTACATAAGTATTCATACTTCTGTATTTCTGTATGTAAGTCCTCGTACTGCTGTAGGTAAGCACGCATACTACTGTACATAAGTATTCATACTTCTGTATGTAAGTCCTCGTACTGCTGTAGGTAAGCATACATACTACTGTACATAAGTATTCATACTTCTGTATGTAAGTCCTCGTACTGCTGTAGGTAAGCATACATACTACTGTACATAAGTATTCATACTTCTGAATGCAAGTATTCATGCATTAAATTTAAGGAAATGTGCTATCACCGAGCATTCAACTAAACTTTACGCCAGGTAAGTTCATTTCAATAGTGCTTAGACCACCTTAGCTACGTATACACAGACAACCTTAGCTACACTTATATCCCCTCAGCCATACTTAGACCACCTTAACTATATTCAGACCACCTTAGCTAAGTATACACAGACAACTTAGTTAAACTTATATCACTTCAGCCATACTTAGACCACCTTAACTATATTCAGACCACCTTAGCTACGTATACACAGACAACCTTATCTACACTTATATCACCCCAGCCATACTTACACCACTATATTTACACCACCTTAGCTACGTATACACAGACAACCTTAGCTACACTTATATTACCTCAGCCATACTTAGACCACCTTAGCTCTACTTGATAAGCTAAATAGATGAATTTCAACTGATTTCTGAGAGTTCAATGTCAATAGAGTAACACAATCTGCTACAATAAAATGATAACAAGCCGTTGTTTATCATGTGCGTAAGTCATTTATAAATTACCTTAACAGATACAACTGATCGTTTAAACGTGTCACATTGCCTTCAAGTTGGGTTTTATGATGATTCGTTGTATTTAGTTGAAACTGAGCGGATTGAAGCGCTTCCTTTTTTTCTCGCACAACCCTTTCCCTTTCCAGTCTCTCCGATTCAATGTCCCTCATTGCACTAAAATAGATATGAAGATAAAATGATTATAAGCTTCAACAATTCCAGGCTTATGTGACCAGCAAGATACTCGTACATAAACTACTATTAAAACGACGACCGGTATACAGATAAGTCTTTATTTCAATGCAATGCGTCAAACGTACGGTTCTAAACGACAGAGTATAGATATTAACATAACCGACAAGGAGGCCTAGAGCCGTAATCATCGTTACCTCGTAATTTGGCCACTAAATATAAACATCCATGTACAAAAATACACCACTATACATGAATTGTGCTCAATCTCAAAGGACCCCAAAAACCATGCTTTTATACGGGTCCCTTTTTGTTTTTCATAATAATTAGCATAATAATTAGCATAACCTAAGCTCTATGCATCTCGATCCTACAATGATACTAAATAAAGGATGATGAATGCGCGTAAAAAATTCAAGGATTGGTCACTTTGAAAAAAACAAGACTAGACTTGGACTGATTCCTCCCGTGGAGGCACCTGACAGGAGTAGGCAAGGACTGAAGTAGAAACAGATTAATTTATTATAATTATCTAGGATAACCACATCACTTGTGTGTTTTCCGTGGGTTTTCAAATTTAACAGATATGTAAGTGTAACTAACTCAGGGTAAGTGACAAAAAATAAAAATATATGCAGTTATTTATGTCAAGTATCCCTCAGCTCGCCTCCAGCGCGACGACGCCGGGAGACGAGTCCCAAAGGCGTCTTCACATACACCGAAATCATGCATGACGTAATCTAATACTATCATTGATGATGTAATGTATAACTATGAGCGCAAGGATGGATTCATCATTGGGAGACGAGACCTTGTTTGAAAAAATAAGTAATTCTTAACGTTTGTACATTTCTGAAAAGAAACAATTTAATAAAAAATGAAAACACTAGACTTGAGCATATAAGAACTTAAGTTGTAACATCTGATCACTTCTGATGAAATCACTAGACTGGAGTATATAATATGTCAAGTTTCAACATCAGATCACTCCTGATAAATACAATAGATTGGAGTATGTAAGGCCTTATGTTTTAACATCAGATCATTTAAGATGAAGACACTAGACTGGAGCATATAAGAACTTAAGTTATAACATCCGATCATTTCTGACGAAGAATCGACAACGAAATACGAAAGGTCTCGAGCTTCAAGATAAAATCGCTCATGGCGAAAACACTCGACATCAATGTATAAAGAAGGAGAACATATTGAGGAAAAACAGACAATACAATGAAATATATAAATACACAACTACGTATATCTAAACAAATAGAGATCATAAACTTGTATCCCGTCCAAGATGCCCAATTATTCTTGACAGGTGTCTTAGTCAGCAGCCAATATTGATGGTCATGATGGCAAGGAGAGCCAACAGCACACCAACTTTTAATGAACATACGTAAATATATTTAATTACTTACTTTGATGTGATGTCCGCTATTCGTCGCTCTAATTCATGTTTCTCTTGCTGCGTGTTTTCCAACTCTTTCTCGGACTTCTTCATATCATTCTGAAAATTTATATGTTGAACAATTTTAAAAATATCGTGAATGGTTGCATTAAGAGCAACAGGATTAAAAAGAATTAAACGATGACCCAAAAATTTAAGTTCAGGATCGGATTTTCGATTTACACCGCTCGTGTGATTTGACATCGGCCGTCAATCAAGAGTATGTAGACCTCGCAGTAGGTAGGTTGCACTGTGCCTTTAAGTCTACTTAGTTAATCTGTAGTTTTGGACCCGAATATATGAATGAATGACATTCTTTGAATACCTTCTGCAGAGAAAGACCGTGTTGGCGAAACGTTCACATGATTCTTATTATAAAAATACTGAAAAAATTTGCGTCAGTTGAAAAATAACCATGATTCAATATAAGTAGCAATTGTTGTAACATTAATCAATTTAAATGTTAATTAGAACGTAATACTATAAATAGAGAACAGTTAGAAATTAGTATAAGAACATTTACAGACAGATACAACGTAGACTATTTAATCTCAAATCACACAGCAGCAAATGCAGGATAGTGTGAAATATACATTTACAAATTCATAGTTAAAAATAATAAAATATAGACAAAGTTAAAATGTACTATGATGCATTATATAAAACAAAACATGCTATAGTAAAAGAACAGAAAAACGCCGTGTCTTTATGAATAGTTTTATTAGCAATGATTGCCCGAGTCATATGATTAAGCTATTAAGTTTATTATGAAGGGCAGATTATCCAGTAGGCTAAGTCGAGACCCGTATCGAGAGGCTCTTTGTATATAGACATATTAAGATTTGGACGTTTTGCTATTCCTGGCTAGCTAAATGTGCTTAACTTAGATCATTTATGCTGTTGAAAACCTTACGAGCAATTGGATGCAGAGGAAAAATGGCTTTCCTACTATCTACTGTTCAAATGCGCAATGCTCAGAACTCGTAAAGTATTGACTTTTCCCATTTCCCTGACCATGTCAATTATTTTCTAAATTTCGTTCGAACTTTAAAATGAAATTTTCCCCACTTTTTACCCTAAGGGAGTACAAACAGGAAATGCAAAAGTAAAGGAAAACGGACGTTAGTTGGAGGAATAGATATCGCTTAAAGGCCACAACTTTCTTTTGATTCTCTCTTCTTCACAGTATACTCCCACTTCCTGCAGGTAGTATCCATTCCTTTACCATTTAAGCAAACCCACATGGTTGGCTCTTTTTGGGATGGCACCCTTATACCGGAAATCTTTGCCTTAAAATTCAAGATCAATCCGGAGGTACCAGCCCTTGAAACTACTCGAAGGTAGGGACCACTTCGGTTTTTTTCACCGGAGAGGGCCGAAAAAATGACCAAGTTTAATTAGTAGTCCGCCGCTATTTATTATACGGATTTATTAGAATAGAGACATTGTCGTGGTGACAATGGTTTTAAAAATCGCAATGCATTTGCCATCACATTAAAACAATTTTTTTAAAAACAAATTACTTTACCAGATGAGATCGAGCTTTATGTTTCATTAGCTTCATTTCACCATTTATCGCTTCTTGCTTAATCGTTAGCTCATCACTTAACGTAGATATTTCAGACAGTTCATTTTTAACTTGGCCCCATTCCTCTTCCAATCCTGCTTCTTTTTCCTATAACAATCAGATGTTTCGAGATAATTGAGCTTACACACCTCAAGCTTTCTTCATCACATGTCATCTAAATCACACGTATCCAAATACTATTACGTACATCAATTCGAGTAATTGGAAGAACTCGTCGAAATAAGAGCACTTCACTTTTATATTTCTTTTAAAACTTGTATTCACTTCGAAGATAGTATGTACCTGACATTCTTCAATTTTTTCCTGGTATTTTGGAAGTCTTTCCTTCTCAGATTTTATCTTTCCTGTAATTGGTTTCATTTCCTGAGGAAAGTGAAAAATTACAATCGGTTGGCATTCAATCTTTTACTTATGAAAGGGGGTAAATTTTTTCCAAATTTTTGCTCGTCAACCCAACAATACTCGAAAACTATCAACTGCAGGGCGTTGTCATTTCGTGATAAAGATGTCCTATAAGTTACTTGAGCTAAAATGTACAATAAACACTAATTCAAACCTTTTCTTTTTCCATAACTTGTGCCCAAGCTATTTCCTTCTTCAGATCCTCGATCTTTACCTCGAGGACCTTTAACTGCTCCAGATCACGATATTTTTCTTGGAGTTGTCGAACTTCCTTTTCCATCTCAGGAATTGTCTAGTAGAATGTTTATCTTTCAACTAAAGCGTACACAATCACAAATTTCTCAGGCAATTTGGACAAATTAAAAACAAAGACAATTTTTTAAAAATTTGCTTCCGACTTCCGCTGGGCCTTTCAAATTCACCTTCAACAGAACAAACAATCACACTTTCCACGCAATCTACCCCCAATCCCACGACATCTGAACTCCGCTCCCACGTTAGCCAGCCACACGAGGTCTGCAAGACAAGATCACAAACCTCTTTCTTTTTCTGCAATGTTAAAGACATAATCTTCTGATGTTCTTTAATAACAACGTAATCGTTGCTCATTTGCTCCAGTTGTGTCGCCTTTAGAAAGAACTGTAAAAGGATAAGAAAAACTACATCAATTAGGCATCATCATATGGGTTAGGATGTGAGCCTTGTACGAACACAACAATTGGTGATTTTTTCAGGTTAAGCAAATATAAATGTCTTCGTTCCCTCTTCTAAAACATTTTCTATTTGGGTTATTATCTCTCCGATATCGAGAACAGACTGGGATGCCATTTACTTGATATTCACACTTATCATAAAAGTTAGGAGTGCAAAATAGCTGATTCTCATGATTATTGGAACAATGAAACAAGTGTGAAACAGGTAATTAAACAAGTGTGAAACCGGTTTGATGTATTGAAACTCTGCCTAACGTGAACGAATAAGTTTATTTGCCATCACCTGTAATCACCATTCCCTCCCCGCAATAAATCCTTTGGCAAACTATCAATTTTGAAGATAAATTTTTATACAAAATACAATTTAATAAATTTTTACCAGTGGCGAAACCAGCCAGAACTATTTATTACTCATACAATGGAAATTTTTCAGCAAAATTATAATTTATTTCTTTAGAAAATGAATAACGATCATTGTTTTTCCAGTGAACGATATTAGCGCTGGAGGAGATAAGGAGATAAAAACCTGGCTGGCTTCCCAACTGGTTTTAATACATACTTTGTATTTCTTTTTCGGATCAGATGCGTACAAAAAGTTCCTGCTGGTGTCTTGATTCAAAATTGAAACTGGATTATCGATCTAAGTCAACATTATGAAATATAAATGATAAGAGACATTACATGTTTGTATAAGTAGATCTTCCGGATTAGTGAAGACCTGAGAAGGAATGTTGATTTGACTCTGAAGATGACTACCGCTAAGGTTGTCGAAACGTCAGTCAACAACAACAAAAACAATCCTTCTCAGGACTATACCAGCCTGGACGATCTACATTTACAAACATGTAATGTTGATAACGTTTCGACAACCTTAGCGGTAGTCATCTTTAGAGTCAAGAGTCATCCTCACTGAAGATGACTACCGCTAAGGTTGTCGAAACGTCAGTCAACATCTAAAGTCCTCGGGTCTTTACTAACATGGACGATCTATATCTACGAACATGTAAAGATACTCCCGGGTTCAAACCATTTACTTTATCATGGATAAGAGACATTAATACATGAAACGTAAGTGCTGTTGTGGATCCAGCGTTAGGAAAGATAACTTACAACAGCTCTTACTAAGATGAAGATACATTCAAATACTTTCACAGTTTGAATGGTTCGACTGGTTGAATTATATTCTTTGGAGATTCATCAACATTGGCACTGTTTTAAAGTTGAAATTTGAGTAGCGTATCGATGTTATCGTCATGCTTGATGACTATTATGATATTGCTTTGATTTTGTGTACATTTAGCTTTTATACAACCTGAAATGATTCTTTTTATTCCGAAAAAATGTTGCTCAAACACGAATTTACCAAAATAATACGATAGAAAAGTACATAAGCTAGAATTAATCACTGATATTTATGTATTGATCCGCTAAACAATGAAAGTGCAGGCTTTGCTTGCGGTGTGTGCCCACGGCATTTGTGTCAGCGGGTAACAGTTATTGAATCTTGAGTAACTATCATAAAACTTTACTTTGTTGTTTATGTTTGGTTCATTTTGTTGATCAAAATTTAAAAATTATGTGGTGCTTTTTTTATTGTATTTATCACGATATTCGATATCGTGATAATTTCCTTAAAAATGACCATGAGCTGATTTTTTGATTATCGCCCAACCCTGGAAGCAATACATATCGTTATTACCAAATTTTGAAACAAATTTACTTTGTTGGAGTGAAGTTCTCAAACCAAAACCCACCTGAATGTTAAACTGGTCGAGTATATGACTTAGCTCGTTCTTTTTCTGACAAACGACGTTTCCTATGTACGTAGAAAAGTCATTATGACATTTTTACGTCACGCATGAGAAAGTCATACACGACGAAATATTTTTAAATCAGAAATATGGGAAAATGGTTTGGCCGGTAATCCTCCTTTCGCACCATTGCTTATGAGAAATTACGTCTAAAAAGAGTACACTACAAATCATGTATAATGCATTGGTCTAGAATACTGTAGACAGACATCTGAGCCCTGGAGAAATTCTTTAGTGAGGCAAGCAGCTTTCTTGAAAAGTGGTTTTTCCGCAATGATATACATTTGGAGAATTAATTGTCTAGGTTTGGTTTTTAAAATGTTCCATAGGATTAACTTAATTTTGATCGAGAGTTTCGATTTTTGCTTCCTCTCAAGATGACGTCTTTGCCTCACCTTGACACGGTAGTTAGTCATCTAGGAGATTGGGTTCTAAATCATTGGTAATTGTGACATTTTTACTCACGTAGGCTATATCTTACACAATATATGTATGTCAATATTGTATAGACACATGTCTGACTTTTTGTTCAAATTTATTCCAATACATGATTGAGAGTGTTTTGGAAGTGTGCTAATTAAACATTAGGTTGGCATGGCTCTTGCGCCTGCTCTAGCGAAGGTTGGGGAAGATGTGTACCACTTAGTAAGTTCACACCTGAAATAATTATACCATAGCTCACCTTTAGCATCGCATATTTTATACGATCCAGCACCATCGCTGTTTATTCTCCGTTCGACAATAATGCGGGGCCCATACTCGCTGGGTTTGTACGCATCTCGACCACCATTCTTCAGCTTAATTTTAATCACAGCAGAACTGAAAAAGAAAGACGAGTTGAACGGGAGCCTGTACTTTTCACGAGGCAAAAACAAGGACCTGTTTGCATAAGCCAGGATAACTGGGATCTAGTTGAGCTTAGAAAATTAATTGTATTGGATGCATGACCTCTGGTAGTAATTAGCCTACTATTGGTGTTGTATGACATAACTCTAAAACTATTTAGTAGAATCATTGCCTTCACCATTGATTGTCTTTAGCTTGTTGGCTATACTCGAAGTTTGAGTCAATACACATCATAATTGCACTGCGTACGGCTATCTAGCAGACATATTTAAGTATTTCTTCTATTTTTATCAACTTATTCATCTTTTTTCCCTCGTGGTTTCAACATACATTCCACTGTACATTGAGATCAGTATGACAGGTGCCAGACGAGTGGTAAAGTGGGCTCCTTATAACTACTTCAAAAGAAATCATGTCCACTTGCCAATAGCCATATTTTATAGCCTACCTTCAACACTTAGCCTTATTGTATTCATAAATACATATTGCGTAGCCTTATCCTGCATTCGTTAATGATTACAATCATATCAAAATCATATCATATCTCACTAAATCTAGACTGACAAAGATCATATAAACAGTCCTCAAGATGACATTTCACCTGCATTTATCTTTAATAAAACCTTTCAAAGAATTTCCTCGGTTTGTGCTGGCGGCCTTTCCACCCAATCCAACAACTATGGCTGTCATGATTGCACTCTTACCACCTGAAAAATATGAAACTTTCATCTAAAGTTTAACGAGCATTGCATTTCAAAAGGTACATATGTAACTGCAAAATTAAGGAAATTCTTAAAAATTAAAACAGACTGGGATAAGGTTACCATGGATACAAATGAACTTATCATGGGTCATTGGAACTATAATAGCTCCGAGATGCATTTTATTATAACCTGAAATGTGCCCATGTACAAACATGTGGGTAGAAACATTAAAAAAAAATTTCAAAAATATATTTCAAACTAGTGCACTTCTCAGAAAAAATTCCACACATGGCTATGCAAAGACAAACACCATAAACATTTGTGAAGCAAAACTTTTATCAGAAAAATTTGCTATTTGTAAGGATTTAATACTCCCAACAACTGACAAAGAAAGCTATAAAACATAGAGAAACTAACTAAACAAATATACTTCCATAATATCTATATAACAGCACACTTTCTTCAATTGTCACCAATAAGACAGCTATAATACATAATATACCTCAACCATCCCTACATATCTCCATAATACCTATATCACAATAGGACACTAACCACCATTGCCACCAATAAGACAGTTGACACCCATAATGAACCTTGTTCATTCCTACATGTCTCCATAATACCTTAAGTGCACGGCACCTAATTTCCATTGACTTTGTGACAATTAATAAGACAGTAATGAAATACATAATGTACCACAACTATTCCAATGAAACTCCAAAACAACAATCACTTTCATCACTACTAACAATAAGACAGCTGAAACACATAATAAACCCTTACCAATCCTACATATCCTCATATTAACTATGTTAAATTGCACACTTACTTCCATTACGACCAATTATAAAGTTAACGTTAGAGGACAATGGTACCGTTAGATGAGAATGACACATAAAGTTTTGCAAAACAATTTCTTCAATAATCCCATTTTCAGCCTCAATCTATAAAGCAGTGAAGAAATTGGTAGAATTTTTGGCAAGATGACAATTGAAGCTGGCAGGGTAAATATATTAAAAATAGATAGCTTACATTCTGTTCTGAAATAAAACCTGGGTTCTGTGAACAATTGTCATCACAATCACTGTCGGACGACTGAATACCATCATCGACCTGATTATTTTCAACATGAACATCATTTTCCTCGTCACTTTCAAGAATACGCGAACGCTTTGAACCAAATCTGTCGCTATCTTCGCTCTTACTCTTTCTCTTTGACATTTTTATGAAGCTTCTATGAGAATTTTAGCCAGAAAACTACGAAAATTCCCGAATTGTTGTCGTTTTCAAGACATGTTGAAAATTTTGAATCCTTCGCATGGAGGCGCGCGCATTTCATTGAGCTCCATTTCAATGGCGCATTTATGAAACACGACCAATGAGCGCGCAAAAACGGCAAATTTTCATATACTAGTTTTCAGGCTACCCCATCGCTATACAAAAAAGTGGTACGCAGTGCGTACTAAATTCCACATCTTCAACGTGGAAATGAGTTACAACTTTCATATTGTTGATATGCAATGAAGCCTGATATTAACGTTGGTCGTGGAAATAATAACGCTCAATTTTACTGTCCCTAATGTCGGGGTGAATCATTTTAACTGCATTAGAATTTTTTGACCTAATCAAATTTTGGTTGGACTACATTTCAAATGATTCTGTTCCTCTTAGACCCTAAATAGTAACAAACAATGGTAATTAGTGGGGGAGGGAATTCCTATATGCATGTTTTCCCTGATTACTTTCTTTTGCTGTGACTAGGAGAATATGAATATTTGCCCCGAGAGTTATCGACGTTCCAGAGCCCCAGCTCATCAACAAGCAACTACAGAAATTCTACTGGATAAAAATATACAAGCAAGTTTCACCTTGATCTCTTAGTTCTACTCGTAAGATAGTGCAATGCAAGAGCGATCCAAGCATCAGTATGTTGTATAACACAGCTTGGCGTTGGCAACCACAGTAATCGAGAGAAAATATTTTAAAACTCAAGTCAATAACAGCAAGAATTGATTTCTACGGAACCGAACGAAGAAAAGAATGCTTAAACGAATCCCTCCCACAACTTCCACCTCAAAAAAAGTAATCATCGAGTTGGCTGAGTCACTGCTTCTACTGAAAGCCCTTTAACGTACGGGAAACATGTACCATAAAAAGTATGATTGACAAACTTGCTTTGTAATGACCTTATACTAAAAGAATCCAAACAAATCATAATGAAAGAATCAGTCAGACTTTCGACAAACGAAAAAGTGCTTCACATTTCTTATAGAACTACATGCGGCATAATACTGCGTAAAAAAGATTAAGTTTACAAAATCGTTGGAAGTGATTAATACCCAAGGCAGTTATAGCTGTGTTAAGTATCCTTTCCGAAGTCATATCCTTCTTAACGTCTACTCATATACATATTGCAGGAACACGAATTAAACCTTGCGAAGCTTAAAATTACATAATAAGTATATTTATGGTGTACGTACGAACACCTATTTTTTCGTTTGTGTCTTATTTTGAGTTCAAGCTCCAGTTGTAAGACATGTGGGTGAGTTTGAAATCACCAGTTACAAGCAGTTCGGCAAGATCTTTCTTTTTTTGACACTCGCCCATGTGATCGTAAACCCATAGTACTACCTGAAACAGATGAAAGCAATTGAACATACAAAAAACAATACGACCAGTTGGTGGACAAAAAAGTAGCCCCTATAAAAATGATTTGTCATCGATAAATTGGGGGGGGGGGGAGGGGTCATATTTGTGTTGCATGTTATAATCAAAGGAACTTAACACTGTTCTATGGCGAAATACATTCGTTTTATGTCTACATACTGTTCTATGGCGAAATACACCCAATTATCGATCTTCTTACGCCCATGTATAAGTGGATGTAAATAAAAACTGATTCATTTTAGTCTACACATAAATATTGCAAATGAAAGCTTACAAGAAGCATTTATTGCTAAAATAATAAACAACTATATTTTTGTGGTATTTAGAGTTCTCACAAACAACCAGGTGAAATATTACACGCAACTTTATGTCTGTGCTGCTTACATTGCTATTATAAAATCCAAGGGACTGTCAACAGAACTAAAATGTTTTTTATAAACAGTATCGTGACTGACGTAGGAAAGATACATGCATGAAAACGAATGCATTTCGCCATAGAACGTTCGTTCTTTAAGCGAAATTTCGATTGATAACCTTAACAGAACAGGAGCATGACGTCAACAAGTAGCCTGGTAAATACTATGGCCAAATTAATTGTGAGATTATAGCTGACGATTGTCTACATTACATGCTTGTTTCAATTATTCTTCAACGGTCAGCCTTCGTTTCTACAGAATTTCTCAAAGAATCTATAGCTTAATAAGGAAGGCTACCGCCTTTTGCCCACTCCCCGTAAATTGTAAATACCATTAATCTTTTGGACTTTTATTGCCGCTAGACTCCAAAGCCGGAAGGCCTGGGAACTATATGCCATCTCACGACAAAATATTGACGGGATAAATTTGACAGGTGGCTTGAAATTATCATTTAATCTAAGCCCCCCCCTGTCCCTGATATAAACCTTTTTAATGCCTTTCAGTTCCAAGCAATCTGACAACAACGCTACCTCATTTTTGTCATAGCCGAAATCTTCTTTGTACCATTTGAATATCATGCTTAGCTTGACCTAAATGACAAATCACAGTAAGACAATGTTTTTTTTTGTATATTTGAGGAATGTAGATAATATTGGGGGAATGTAGAACTTTGAAAATTTTGAACAAAACTAAACCTCTCTTTTTTCCGGAATGATTTGACAGCCATCGTCTCCCTCGAGAAACGCTTCTCCTGCCAATTTCATTTCTTCGTAAATGTCCTAAAGATTTACGATAAAAAAAAACAGACTTCCCGTATAATATATACGCAAAGAGTTAAGCGAAATTTCATACTGCAGTCAATGCTTTAGAAAAACAAAGTGCATCAAGCTGTTAGGAAAAACGGTGTAAGAAAAGGAAAAACGCTACGGCTACGCTGAAACGCGTTTTAGTCATTCGTGGTCTTGGAAAATTAACAGGAGTAATTAAAATTTTCGCGCCAGTTCAAATCTCGTCTAACCCCCCAGGTTTTTCGAGTGCGTATAACCATGTCCACACACATACCAAGAGCAACTAATTAAACCAACGTAAATATATAGCAAACAATATATATGACCCATTAAATATAAAGGATACCCCAGTCCCTTAGAAAAACTTAGTAGACTACCTGTGGTGTGTATGTCTTGATGGGAGGGCAGCTTTTCGCACCGCATACCAAAGCGAAATGTATCAACGGCTCGGGCTCCTGTAGAGCGAACGCTAAACGAGGATCCGTTTTCGAGAAAGGCCGGAAGAATGACGCGACCGGCCTGCGATTGGCCCGCAATATTCCACTTTCGATCTCGTGCAGCGAATACTTGTGCCCACCGATAATGTAACTAACAACGTTGAAGAACTAAAAAATGAAATTGGCACACGTTGTTAACATCAAAGAACTTCAAGATGATGCTTTTAATCCTCCTAATGTACGGCAAAAAAAACATTTGGCCCACATTAGATGCGTGACCCATTTGAAAGGAGCCCGCTGTCTATTGTATTATAATCATAATTAGATAGGAACGAGAGACAGCCCCTACACTGTATACAGGCAACAAAAAATTTGTAAGACCGAAGCATCACAGTTATTGCTAATTAGTAATGCCACTCCTTTTGCCTATTTCTCCTAAATCAGTAATCACAATGCATTGAATAGAGAAAAGACAGCATTACCCTATATCTCTGCATTAAGCTGACGGGGGGTCCATTTACGACATTTGCATGAATGACAAGAGCATTGTAAGTGTTGATAAAGAAAGCCAACTTCTCTTCTTTGGTCAATTCTTCAAGTTGAACTCTCTTCAACTCAGCAGTATGATTCACGTACGCTTTGAACTCTGAGCTGTACTTCATAGCCGTGTAATCAACGCCCTGAAGGAAAGCAAAAACTTAATGAATAGTAAACTAAGTCAATAAAAGTATGAGAACTAAGATACTCAAGCCAACCAAGAAGCTGGCGATCGTTAATTTCCTCCAGTCTCTCTTCATCGTCACACTTTCCGATTATCACTTCAAAGATAAAATTTCAAACTATCTTTCTATCTGCAAACACTTCAACTCCTCCTCCGATAAACCTTTCAAATATTCCTGCAATAACGACTATCTGATATTCCATCAGTAACAAATCTACTATTCCTCAAGCAAAAAAATCTTAAAAATTATTTCTCGCACCTTCGGATACTTATCTGCCGTTCTATTCGTTAAGCTACAAGAAAATTTTGCAATGTGTAGCTTATAGGAGACTACCTATCCAATCCCTGTAGCCTTGATGGCGTAACAAAGATGCAAGTTCAAATCTCATCAGATCCATATGTTTCTCATGTGCATATGACAATGTGCGAATTGATTTTAAAACAATTTTTCAGTGAAAATCAATTCAGTACTTACCTTGCCATCTTTCGACAGATATTTTGCATAAAGTTGGAGAATGAATTTTCTCAATGATTCCCCAACTACGGCAGCTAATTTGAAGAAGAAAACTCTTGTTTCAAATTCATATAAATAGTTTCATTTCCAAATTATTCATCGTACAAATAAGGTCTAGTAATAGCATTTTAGTCTTTACCAGGTCTTGGTTCACAATCTGAGGCTGACATCAGCATTAAGGGCATTGCTTTCATCGTCTTCAAGAAATCGATACAGTTTTCATCATCATGAAATTCGGTTAAGTCTTTTTACGTGATGGTAAATGCTTTTCCAACAGATTCTGGGCCATTGCTACACCTCTTGTTCGATCTTTATCAAATTAGACGTCACATAAGTTATTGGCCAAATTGTTTTCAACAAAACCATAATTCATTCAAAGAAATCAAATAAGAGAAACCAGTTTTAATTTATTTTGAATATAGTCACGTCATGCATGAATTAATGACAATATAGTGTCATAAAGTACTCTTTTTAACTTACCAACTTCTTTAGAGCTGACCAACCAATCCACAAGCTCTTTTCCTTTGAAAGTGTTCTTGTACGACCAAAGAAAACTTCCATTACTTTTTACAATCCCACTAGCTTTTATCTGTTTCACCAATTCAGCATACTCATCAAGTTCACAGGTAAATTCTGATACTTCGAAACCTATAATCATATTACAAACAACCTGATAAAGGGTGTAGCCAGCCGGCTTATTTGGTTTATCCCTCACTCCTTGATTCAGGTTTATTCTTGTAAATGGGCATGGCAAGATTTCACACATTTTATTGGCTCTTTCTAGCAATATGAATGTTTTGGATGTGACAAATCTGAAAATCGTTTTAAAGATTGCAAATACCATGGTGAATGTTAAAAGTAATAAGTTAATAGTTCTTAAAAGAACTGTGTTACTTAAAAGAGCTTAAAAGAACTTAATGTTCTGTGCTGTAACCTATATTTTCAAAATGAGTTATTCTATAAGAGCAATGTTTGAAAATTTACTCGACAAGTTGGCGGAGGGGCAACACAAGTGAACCAAATATCATACATAAATTAATTTATAGTACATGGTTTGAATTGAATAAATGATTGCCTCGTGCTGCTATTATTTGTATTCACAGCATAAGACATACCCTCCTTGTCTTCAGGCCCCTCTGGCAAAGGTGGAGCATCATCCAAAGCCTCATTTTCATTCACAAGCTTTATCAGTTTATCAAGGCTTTCTTTTGTCTAATTGGAAGAAATTGTGAAGGAAAGTATAATTTAAATATGAATACCATTCTCCAATGGAAGGGAAAGTCATAATTACAGCTTACCAAGGTATTATTTTAGGCATTATTTTGTTATAGCTAAGACCTTAGACTTGAATTGATTCATTATTCACAGATTGATGCTTTGCGATGACATTAAATGGTCAACATGATAGAACAACTACATACAAATGAGCAACAGAGGTTTTTGCCTAGGGTCTGACTAAAATTGTTCCTTTATGAAGCTGATGGTATTGACCTTTATTTCACATAATAGCTTCTGTACATAACGTAAAATGAAATTAAACTTTCATTTTAATTCATTAGTATATACATTGCTGACTGTGCACATGATCACTTGTGCTTCCTCAATTAGCCTATGTCTATATTTAAGAATGTCGAAGACAAAATAGGTTTCCTTATAACTACTTGTGTGGTGAATGACTGAAAGTACTCAGGTTTAATATATTTGCTATAACCTTTCAAATGACACTTCATGTTAATGCGAAAAACCATCTTAACAAATACTTTGAACAAAAATACATTAAATACTAAAAAAAACTACTTTGGATGCAAAGATGAGTAAGAATTAATTGAATCATTAACTGCAATATGTCTGAGTGTTCACAATCGATTTTGATCGTTGTTGATTCGATTAACAAAACATATTTACCAATGAATCGAAATCAGAAAATCCTCCGACGTGCTCTGCGTTAAAGAATATTTGAGGCACTGTTTTGCGACCAGTTCTCTGCTTCATGTCTTTTCGTCTGGTTTTATAAACATCCAAATTGATTTCAACAAACTCCAAACCGAGCACACGAAGTTTGTTCTTCGCTTGAGTACAAAATGGACAACCAGTAATGGTATAAATAGTTATTCTGCCTTTCATGCTGAGCACTAAAGCAACTTCGACGAGAAACTTTTTCCAGTTGCTTGCCACAAAATTAAAAATGAAGTTACATAATTAATAAAGATTTTCTCGCGTTCGTCATGTTTTACGTATTTAGCATATTCACAGGTGGTCCAAGCCACACCAAGCATACTTTTGTCAACTTTCACCTTTTTCTTCAGGAGATGATATGATTAAACTTTAACTCGTTTCAAAAGCTATCTTTGTTTATTGAAACAAAATAAGCATAACATTGCTCAAATGTTCATTCGACCATTGGCCATATATACAAGGAAACACAATTTACGCATACGATTTATTAAAATAATAATAATTATTATAATGTTGCAGGATGACACTTGAATGTGATTGGCTAATTGTATGGCAGAGAAAATCCTAAATCGGTGTAAAATTGCTAAAACTATAACAGTGGCATGCTGGCAGGAATGGGGAGCCATGTCCCCTGGACCCTCCTTAGGACTACTCATACCTGCAGTGCTTGGTAGCACATTTTCAACCAACTGGTATCTGCATAAAAGTTGTTCCCAGCATGCCACTGATAATAAAAAATTTATGTTGTAATATTTTGTCTAATTACTTTCTTGCTATATTATTATGAAGAGATGAGTAAATTCTTGTGCATTTGTCCAAAAAAATACCAACCTTTTCTTTCTTCAAAGAAAACATTGAGAAACTTATTCTGGCATATTTTCCAAACAGCGTTTGAAACCATGCTATTACCAGTACTACAAAGCTCAACATATTTATTGATAATTGCAACAATTGTAATAGTTTGTACTGGAGTTGTCAGGAACGTTGTGCATGAACAAGCTGTCTGGACCAGAGTCTAAGCTCTGCAACTGATTGACATTCTCAATTAAAATCATTGCCATTTCTTTAAACAGATGTTGGACATTAGTACCGTCCTTTGCACTGGTTTCCAATGCATAAATGCCTTTAAGATCAGCAAACTCCTATGATAAAAGCTAATTTTAGCTTAGATTGCTTTTTTAATATCAAAACAAATGCCACAATAAATGAACAAAATTACCTTAAACTCTTAGCTATCTACCTCCGCGTTTTGTCTCTAGATCACTTTTATTCCCAATAAGAGCAATATAAGCCGAGCTTCTAAAAAGCCAACAAAATTTCAAAATGGGTGGCTGTCAACTTCTAAGTAAAACACACCAGTCAAAGAAATCAAACAACTTGCCCATACCCAACAACCTTTCTAAATGCATCAATCCAATAATCTTTTGCTTCATTAAAAGATCTTGCAAATGTCAAATCAAACACAATTATGGCCGCATCAGCCTTTCTATAAAATTGACTAGTCAAAGATTTAAACCTCTCTTCTCCAGCAGTGTCCCACAGCGTTAACTATGTGTACAAATGGAAAGAGATATAAAAATTTACACAACATACAGGGAGAAATGTGCAGAAGTATAAATCTACAGTTGAGTATGCCAACACAAACAAACTTTGCTGTTATCATCAACACCAAAATCAACCACATTGACTAATATTAAAGATCAGACATAACTCAGCACCTAAATATCGATGGTCTGTCTGACTGGCCTATCACAAAATCAGTCTGGAAAATATGTTGCTTTTTGACAAGATCTCTGTTGTGCACGATAAAATTATTGGTGTGCTGGTGTGAAAATCAAATTTCATTGTGCACTCACATAAGCAATCCAAAATATAATGATCATTATTATAGGGAAAACATCTCCAGTGCGCAAAAAAACATTTCCAGATATATTAGACTTTAAAAAGCTTAACTATGAGATCTAATCTTGATTGGTCGTTTTTAATTTTATTATAAGTATTCCACGACTAATACCTGAACCATGTCCTTGCCAGTGTTGATGGTGTGAGTTAAAAAATCTACTCCGATAGTATTAGAAGCATCGCCTTCGAACTTGTCAAACTTGAGTCGTTTTAAAAGGCTGGTCTTGCCCACACCTTCTGAACCCAAAACTACTACCTTAAATGAATATCTCGGTGCGTCTTCCCATCTACATTGGGCTTTAGGGTAGTCCATCAATAATCACAATGATAATATACATGTGTTGCAAAATGAAGTTTCGGCATATTCATATTCGCTTACAACAAACGTTTACAAAATGTCAAACAGTGGAATAGCTGAGCATCTTATTTTTAAGATCGGAAAGCCTCGCGACACAACGGAGCACCTCTGAAAATGACGTAACTCATGGGGATTGATTGGAATAACTGGGAAAAATAATTGAAAATTAAAGTTCACGAAAAGTTTACAAATCTATGAACTTTGTTTACAATGATGTTGATGGTTTCGTTGAATGAAAGGCATATGGCCATGTGCACTGTCAAACTTACTCTGTGTGATCTCTCTTACAATTTCTTCATTTGATATAAAACCTATCTTATTGATACAACTCAATGAAATCGAAAATTGGAAACTTGCAGTTTAAATAAATTTTGCATTAATATTATAATTGACAAGAACACAAAATAAAGATATAAACAACTTGACGTGTTGCTCATAGAAAATTTATTCAATGGATAATTAATTCAATGGATAATCAAAATAAATTTTTGAGGAAGCTACCAAGTTCTCTTTGCAAAAGAAGGAAAATTTAACATCATGGTCGTTTCCCATCCATTCATCAACTCCAGGATTGTAACGAACTTCTTTGTAAAGTTCCTTTAAACAAGGAAAATTATCCAAAATGGGTGGGATATCCTTTGTATCTGAGAAAAGCAAATCCATACTGGCAAAGAAATTGATATCTGCATAGGTCAGCTAAAAAAAGAAATTGATATCTGCATGGGTCAGCTAAAAGAAAGAAATTGATATCTGCATAGGTCAGCTAAAAGAAAGAAATTAATATCTGCATAGGTCAACTAAAACAAAAGAAATTGATATATGCATAGGTCAGCTAAAAGAAAGAAATTGATATCTGCATAGGTCAGCTAAAAGAAAGAAATTGTATTGAATGTGGTTGTGAGAAATATTAAAGTATGGTTTCATTTCCATATTTAGGGGTAAACATGGCTGCATTGGGATCAACAATAACACAGTCCAGCACAAAATATGGTGCCATTATGCCGAAACTGTAAATACCTTATCAGTAACAAAATATTTCCCACTGGAAGACTTGACAATTTTCTCCAACAAATTCAATGCACTTGGTAGAGTCTCTTCATAAAATTCTTTGGTCATCTTTTTCTACAATACGAACATTTTAATAAATAATGAAATCATTCAATGTCCTTTCTAAGGCCATTTTACGGTAAATTTACCTTAAGTTCTTCATCTTTTTCGATATACCATTTATAGGCCTTTTCCAAGATATCGGTCAATGCATCGCCAATCATATCAGCTTTTGCAATATCAAAACTGTTGGTAGGTGCAAATCCTGGACATAAAGAGAACCACAAAATTTAGACATGTTGGATTCTACATTTTATAGTAATACGTGTTTACAAAGTTACATAAAGGGAGCAATCCCAAAAAAGAACTGTTAAACATTTTGGCATCTCAACACACATGAAAAGCTGTTTTCAACACACTTTCGTGTTGAACTAATTTTGAATAAAAAAATTAACATATAAACAAACCTATTTCCCTGCCAAGGTACCTGATGATCGTGGATGACTGTGCTAAAATTTTATCATCAACCTCGAGAATGGGAAGTTGATTGAAAGGAAGCTTGCCACCTTAATTTTGATAATAAAATTTAGAAGTAATTCAAATTCATATAATCTCACAATCTAGAACTGATAATCAAGTATTCTCAAATTCTGATACGAATGTAATCAAAGGCAAAACGGGGCGATTTTCATAAACCTTACTGGCTTTTAGTTGTTGAAACTCCTCCTTTTCAAGTCTACAATCTTCATATTTTACACCAGCAGCTGCAAAGAGCAGGCGAATTTCTGCACGTCCTTCGTCTTGAAATATATAAGTTTGTATTGAGGCATTATAACGCTTGTAGCTTCTACGTTCAATTGCTGTAACTAACAGTTGAGAGCGATTCCACTAAATACCGCAAGAAGTGACCGTGACCTTCTGACTAAACCGAGAGCGTGGTTTAATCTCTGAGAAAGTGGCAAAAGCAAATACAAAGATCTTTGAAAGTCGATTTCCTATTTATCGCATTCTTTGATTGGAACCTTTCTCCACATAATAATTAAACGCTCCCCCATAACGGCTGGTGCCCACAATAGCATTAATTATATTTAAACGCATGCCTCCGGGAGATTGAGGATTAAGTGTCCCGAAACCGAGAGAGGTTTAGTAAAGTCCGAGGGCACAGCCGAGCCCCAAGGACTTTAACTAAACCTCTCGAGGAATTCTCAATATAAATATTAGAGCCCAAAAATAATTTTAAACATAGTATAAACAATTTGGTTTTATGAAATTTATTAAAAGAGTGACGTTTCGTCTTTGCTCAAGACATCTTCAGACTAATTGGGAAGTTAACAAGAATATAGATATATATAGAGCTATTTACATAGTTTGAGGCATCAGGTTACTGTGAATGTCTAAGTGTGATGTGATGTGATGTATTGTGTGATGTAAGTGTGATGTATTGTTAGGGTGAGGTGTTGAGACTAGAAAAGCTTAAGAGGTCTAGAGGTTTAGCATTTAGTCTAATCGTCCCTGATTAGCATTTAGTCTAAAGCTTAAGAGGTCTAGAGGATTAGCATTCAGTCTAATCGTTCCTGATGAATATATTGATGACTTATGGGGATATTTTAATCTAAACGTCCCTAATGAATTTCTTGATGACGGAAATACGTCAGTAAACGCCCCTGTGACGACTAAAGACCCGAGGCAACCATGTTAACCATGTAACAAACGTGCAACTGGTGTAACCACCTTATTTATGTTACCGGGCTCTCTGGGGCGATTTTGGATTTTCTTAGTGAGGGTTACTCAGCACAATGAGAGTTACTGTCAATGGTTACTATGCTGATTTTTTATGCTTTAAAACAGTTCTTTTAGAAGAATTGGGATAGAGTTCTGGTTTTAAACAGTTCTTTTACAGTTCACTGTACATGTATGGGGTGCCCAATGTTTTTTATTATTTAACTTTTTCCATGTCGAATTAGTCCTATTTCGAGATCAGTGATCCATTGTTATGACCGTGTAATATAAGATATATATATGGTTATGACATTAAATGCTAAATTCATGTAATATATATGAACCAAAACAGCAATTTACAAATAGTCACGTCCGTTTTGTAAAGCTCACTCACACTCACTAAAAGCTCAGTCACACTCACGCTCACTAAAAGCTCACTCACACTCACTAAAAGCTCAGTCACACTCATGCTCACTAAAAGCTCACTCACACTCACTAAAAGCTCACTCACACTCACACTCACACTCACACTCACTAAAAGCTCAGCTCACTCACGCTCACTAAAAGCTCACTCACACTCACTCTCACAATCACTAAAAGCTCGCTCACACTCATGCTCACTAAAAGCTCACTCACACTCACGCTCACTGAGGGGGACATAAAAACTGCGCTCTCTCTAATCAAAGGCAAAGTCATTTCTACATGGACGGCAAGAGTTTTACAAAAATATTTTAAAGTAATCAATGGGTAGAGTAAAAATGCATTGTTCGGATATTTATGAGATGAGTTTGAGTGAGTGAGCTTTTAGAATACCGACTTAGAGTCTCCGAACATTCAAAATCTTCTCAGTTGGCGTAATGACTTGAAAAGTGAAGAAAACCTCGATTAAAGAAAGATAGAAACTTAATTATACCTTCAAAATAGCATTAGCAGAGTACCCACAAGGTTCAAAGATTACATCATCAATCATTGTGCCAGTAATGAGGTCATTTATACCAACAGATGTTGGACATTAGTACCGATCCTTTACTGGTTTCCAATGCATAAATGCCTTTAAGATCAGCAAACTCCTATGATAAAGCTAATTTTAGCTTAGATTGCTTTTTAATATCAAAACAAATGCCACAATAAATGAACAAAATTACCTTAAACTCTTAAGCTATCTACCTCACGTTTGTCTCTAGATCACTTTTATTTCCAATAAGAGCAATATAAGCCGAGCTTCTAAAAGGCCAACAAAATGTCAAAATGGATGGCTGTCAACTTCTAAGTAAAAACACACCAGTTAAAGAAATTAAAGAACTTGCTTAGCATACCCAACAACCTTTCTAAATGCATCAATCAATAATCTTTTGCTTCATTGAAAGATCTTGCAAATGTCAAATCAAACACAATTATGGCCGCATCAGCTTTTCTATAAAATTGACTAGTCAAAGATTTAAACCTCTCTTCTCCAGCAGTGTCCCACAGCGTTAACTATGTATACAAATGGAAAGAGATATAAAAATTTACACAACATACAGGGAATAATGTGCAGAAGTATAAATCTACAGTTGAGTATGCCAACACAAACAAACTTTGCTGTTATCATCAACACCAAAATCAGCCACATTGATTAATACTAAAGATCACACATAACTGAGCACATAAATATTGATGGTCTGTCTGACTGGCCTATAACAAAATCAGTCTGGAAAATATGTTGTTTTTCGACAAGATCTCTGTTGTGCACGATAAAATTAATGGTGTGCTGGTGTGAAAATCAAATTTCATTGTGTACTCACATAAGCAATCCAAAATATAATGATCATACTTTCCAGACAAAATAGACTTTAAAAAGCTTAACTATGAGATCTAATCTTGATTGGTCGTTCTTAATTTTATTATAAGTATTCCACGACTAATACCTGCACCATGTCCTTGTCAGTGTTGATGGTGTGAGTTAAAAAATCTGCTCCGATAGTATTAGAAGCAGCGCCTTCGAACTTGTCAAACTTGAGTCGTTTTAAAAGGCTGGTCTTGCCCGCCTTTTGAACCCAAAACTACTACCTTAAATGAATATCTCGGTGCGTCTTCCATCTACATTGGGCTTTAGGGTAGTCCATCAATAAGCACAATGATATTATACATGTGTTGCAAAATGAAGTTTCGGCATATTCATATTCGCTTACAACAAACGTTTACAAAATGTCAATCAGTAGAAAGCTAAGTATCTTATTTTTTAAGATCGGAAAGCTCGCGAAACAGCGGAGCAACTCTGAAAATCAGGGGCGGATCTAGAGTATGTCAAATCCGTCGCGCGACTGATGTTTGAAATTCAAAATTACCTATTCATATTAATTAAAATCATTAATTATTCTTACTTTATTATCGCATTTACTTCGTGATAAAATCCAGCTTTATTTATTATTGAAAACTAATGACTAATGCAATGAATATCTCCTTGGTAACCAGATCAGTTGAATTTTAATTGACCTGGAATAACCATTGAGTTCTATAATAGAACTCAATCTGTTATTGAGTTATAGAGCTCAATGGGAATAACCGACTGATAAGCGGAGTGTGACTGGTTCGACTTATAAAGGAGTCTATGAACGCCAGAAACGCTATTTTATTGGTCAATGGCCAAATCAGTGGACAGTCTGGAATAATCTCGACCGATAATTGGGGTGGCCGGACCTATAAGGGAGTCAATTGCTATCTTACAATTGGTTCATTTGAATTTTTGTCTTACTGTGATTGGTTTGACCGATTTCGACTGATAGCCAACTGAACTAAAATGCTGTCTGAATTGAATGTTTGATCGTTTCATAGTAATTTTATAAGCATGATAGAAACTAAACTACAATCAGATGGAATTTATAAATCTTTACAAATTCATATATTGACATGAATGCTGCTTTCCAAACTGGGAATTTTTTCAAGAGGTGAAAAATTTATGGATGAATTGTAAATGCTTGGCAAAGACGATCTCGCGAGCGACATTTCAGTCATTGATGTTCAAAAGAAAGCCAACATTGTTTTGAGTTTTATCAGCAGAAATTTACATCCAAAATCGTAAGTAAAGGACAAGTGAAGTGTATGCATGAATGCAATATATCAAAGTCAATTTATGCGAGTGTGTGATGCGATTTATGTTAATATGGCGTATGGTAAGCAGATTGATGCTTCTAAAATTGTTGTTGCCGAAGGACTTTTAGCTATGATTTCTTTAATGCTTGGTGAATCGTGGCCGTTATATGGCAGCGAAATCCTACATTTCTGCAAATATATTTCAATGGACAAAAAATCTGTAGCCATAAGGTGCCATACTATTATTTACTTTATCATAAACAAATGTTTGGGGCTTTTCAGTTTATGATCATTGATCATTCAATCATTGGACAGTTATACTACATATTGTTTAAGATTTGAGAAAACTAACATTGATTACATGAGAAGCTGTTTACTATAACCTGTGATTTTGAGTCTTATGATCCATGAAGCTTTTTATTTTGACAATTTGACTGGAATGGTATTAAACCTGAGTATTTCACATACATGAAATGTTGTCCCATGTCACATATCGTCCCCTTTTCTAACTGAACACCTCATGTAGAGATGTAAAGGTGTGTTAATCTAACTCATACCAGATTGTTGCCATAAATTCCAAAGGGCTATTGATGTATGAAAAGCATTTTCTATAAAGTAAAAATGTCTTCCTATGTATGCAGATAAACCTTGAAATTTGGCAAAACAGCAAAATTTTCATGATCACTAGGTAATTTTTCTGATGATCATTATAATTTCTAAACTAAATTATTTTAGTTTTACATTTAAACAAGCTTTGATCATATGAAAAGATATTTATCATAACCAGTAAGCATGACACATAAACCATTTTTAACATTCATGTAATTATATAATTAAAGACATGTTGGTTACATTCTGTTTGTATTTGATAATACAATGCTACTAGTGATTGCTATATAGCACACCTTGCAGAAGATAATAGTCTAGTGAAATGCCTAATAAACATTTATGGCATTAAGCTAACCTAACTGCAAATTTTCACTCTGATAATTTTTGCTTAATCTTTGGCAGAAAAAATTTTGAGTTTTTCTCAAAGGGTGAATTTGCTGGCACTGATGTGGAGATGGGTAAAGAGTTACAATAAACTTGCATGGTTTGAAGTCTGAGCTTTCTATATCTATGAACTGTCACTTGTAGTACCAAATTTCTAACAACTTATTACATAGAGGTTTGAATGGGGTCTCTAGGGGGTCTATGCCTGACAACTTGGTAGAAATTTTAAAGAGATATATCTGTTTTGAATAGCATTATTGTAAAATAAATTTACGTTCCTAGACATGCTAATGAGCCATATATTTGGCATGATAATGAGCCTAAATATTTGGCAAAACATTCAAGTATTGTTCACTTTATTTTTTTTGAAAAAACGTAAGAAAAATGTGTTGTTTTTACGCAAAACGATGCCCACAAAATACATTTGTATTGCTCTAAAACGCTGAAAATGGCATTTTCAAGACTCTGAAATTCAAAATTTCTCAGGGGAGAATGCCTCAGACCCCCCCAGGTGCGGAGCGCCTCCGACGTTTTATGACTGATGTTTGAAAAATCCTAGATCCGCCCCTGCGCATTCAGACATCGAATTCGAATTATCTGAGCACTGATTTGAGGCCATACTTTCCGGAAAACTTGTTTTTTAATATTATATTGAAAATACTGTCATTATTTGTTTTTAAGACAAGAAAAACGACAACAATCTCTATAATATAATATTATATTGACGGAAACAGACGTGTTCAACTATCTACGTCGTCCAAGTATCAATATGGCGTCGTAAAAAATTCGCAAATAGTACCCGACTTTGGAGGCAAAATTAAGGAACTTATATTTATCTGTTTAAAGTCCAGCGACATGTCATAGTTCTTCGAATAATCCAAATTTTCAATTAAGCTCATAAAAAGGGGCTAAAATTTGTAATATAAGCACTTTAAACAAGGATAATTATCGAAAATGGGTGGGATATCTTTGTATCTGGGAAAAGCAAATCCATACTGGCAAAAAATTGATATCTGCATAGGTCAGCTAAAAGAAATTGCATTGAATGTGTTGTGAGGAATATTAAAGTATGGTTTCATTTCCATATTTAGGACTAAACATGGCTGCATTAGGATCAACAATGACACAGTCCAGTACAAAATATGGTGCCATCTTGCCGAAACTGTAAGTACCTTATCAGTAACAAAATATTTCCACTGAAGACTTGACAATTTTCTCCAACAAATTCAATGCATTTGGTAGAGTCTCTTCATAAAATTCTTTGGTCATCTTTTTCTACAATACGAACACTTAAGTAAATAATGAAATCATTCAATGTCTTTTCTAAGGCCATTTTATGGTAAATTTTACCCTTAAGTTCTTCATCTTCGAGATACGCTTTATGGGCCTTTTGCAAGGTATCGGTCAATGCATCGCCAATCATATCAGCTTTTGCAATATCAAAACTGTTGATAGGTGCAAATCCTAGACATAAAGAGAACCACAAAATTTAGACATATTGGATTCTACATTTTATAGTAATACATGTTTACAAAGTTACATTAAGGGAGCAAACCAAAAAGAACAGTTAAACATTTTGGCATCTCAACTCATGGCTGTTTTCAACACACTTTCGTGTTGAAGTAATTTTGAATAAAAAATCAACATATAAACAAAACAAACCTGTTTCCCTGCCAAGGTACCTGATGATCGTGGGTGTCTGCGCTAAAATTTTATCATCAACCTCGAGAATGGGAAGTTGATTGAAAGGAAGCTTGCCACCTTCATTGATAGTAAAATTTAGAAGTAATTCAAATTCATATAATCTCACAATCTAGAACTGATAATCAAGTATTCTAAAATTCTGATACGAATGTAATCAAAGGCAAAACGGGCGATTTTCATAAACCTTACTGGCTTTTAGTTGTCGAAACTCCTCCATTTCAAGTCTAAATCTTCATATTTCACACCAGCAGCTGAAAGAGCAGGCGAATGGCTTCTGCACGTCCCTCGTCTTGAAATATATAAGTTTGTATTGAGGCATTATAACGCTTGTAGCCTATACGTTTAATCGCTGTAACTAACTGTTGAGAGCGATCCCACTAAATATCGCAAGAAGTGACCGTGACCTGACTAAACCAGAGCGTGGTTTGGTTTAAACTTTGAGTGGCAAAAGCAAATACAAAGTTCTTTGAAAGTTAATTTCCTGTTGATCGCATTTTCGATTAGAACCTTTCTCCACGAAATAATAAAACGCTCGCCCACAACGTCTGGTACCCACAATAGCATTAATTGCTGCCACGCATCAGCGCACAATCACAATAAAGTAGAACCTTTCGGAACTTCTGTAAGTTTCTATTTGATATTAAATGTCTGGAATCCAAAAGATGCGGCCTAAACAACGTACTACAGTAGATACTAAAATCGAGTGATCACCGACATCAATTATACATATCTCGTTTGGCGAAAACACATGAAACGGATTCACCGTGCCGTATTTAGCCAGCTCGGTTCACATTTTTATCTTGCGCTCTATTGTCACGGTGAGAAAAATGTTGTGTAAGCATGTATTTATTTTCGTTCGAGCTTTTATTACTTGAAATATCGGTGTGGATTTAACAAAACGTCAAAAATAATTTAAACGCATGGTGCGAGTTTAACAATGAAATATGAATTATGAATAAGATGAAACGTTTGCTCCTTGCGATAACTATACATCATTTTATCGCAGTCGCAGAGAATTATCGGAAATGAGGTTGTATCAAAATGTTATAAAGGAAATAATGGAAACAAAACTACAGTTTTATAATATTGTCCGTTTCTACGTTTGTAAACATGCGTTCTATTGATCGGTTGAGTAAACAAAGTATCATACTTTATAATAAAATAGAGGCTTTGTCGTGGTGACAAATCTGAAATAGTTCTAAAGATAGCAAAATAACATAGTGAATGGTAAAAGTAATATAATAAGTTGATAGTTCTTAAAAGAACTGTTTTAGTAAAGAACACTAAACCAATAGTTCTAAATTAAAGACACGATGCATTTTGGCAGACTATCCCTCAGGTGTCAACGTCTGCTAAATGAGGTACAATCTACCGATATTTATAATATCGAAGAGTGCGCGTCATCCCCAAGGGGAGATGACGCTCAAAACAGGATAAATTAAAACATAATCCTTTGGTCGGCAGAGGACGGGATTGGTTAACTTAATTAAAACAGCATAAATTAACTTTTCTAAGTAATTCAGAAACTAAATTACGTTTCGTAACGTGATTGTAATTAAGTTAACAATCATCCTCTGCCGACAAGAATTATGTTTTATCCCTGTTTTTAATCATCCCCTTTGAGATGACGCCTCTCTGATATATAAATATCGGTGATTGTAAATACCAACGAACGTTATTTCTAATGATACCGTATCGTGTGTTTAATTAGAACTATTGGTTTATGCTTTCTTTCGAAAAGTGTTCTATGCAGTGCGGTGTTTGAAATTAAATGAAGATATGATCTTCACTTTGCTGGACAATTTAAATTGTCTCATTGAACCTAGAAAAATTCAGGTGACTCAACGGGATTCGAACCCATGACCTCTGCGGTGCCGGTGCAGTGCTCTGGCCAACTGAGAATGAAGTCACACAGTGGAGCATGTCAATTTTGTTGGGCTCATGTTTCTCGTGAAAGGAATGTCATACGAAGGTTCATGAGACAATTGCTTAAATTGTCCAGCAAAGTGCGAAGATCATATCTTCATTTAATTTCAAACATGCACTATAGAACTACTCTTTCTGTGACATTCCTTTCACGAGAAAACATCAGCCAACAAAATTGACCTGCCCTCCACTGTGTGACTTCATAGCTCAGTTGGCTGAGACTGCACCGGCACCGCAGAGGTCATGGGTCTGAATCCCGTTGAGTCACCTGAATGTTTTATTATTTAACTTTTTCATGTCGAATTAGTCTTATTTCGAGATCAGTAATCGATTGTTATGACCGTGTAATATAAGATATATATATGGTTATGACATTAAATGCAAGAATATATATATATGAACCAAGGTCGTTGGTAAGCCAGAGCAAGCGTGGAGCTAGCGGGTATCACTTTCCCCACCAGGAAAACAGTTTTCGGCAAATAACTTCTCAATAAACGTAAATGCAAGTTTCAATTGACAAAATACACAAACAGTCAAATTATAATAATACAACGAATATAAATCAACGACGAAACGCGTTTCTTATAATTTCCAACTCAACCCCGGAACTAACTCAGTAAAACGGCGCCAACGGCCCTGGTGCAAACATGCTTGTACAACCATTCAAAATATTATAGATTTACTTTGATACTTATACTTAGAATACTTATTATCTGAATATATTCCAAAGATCATATCTTACTTATAGTAAAATATGTAATGAAGAGTAAATATGGTCTCTATCTACATATCGCCAATGTAAATACATCGGTTTGTATGGCATATATGTTGGTTGTAGTTCATTCCCTTTACTATTGTTCTATATAAAGACTATGATAATTGGTCATACTAAAAAGAAGCACAAATAATGAGGTCAAGCAGACTATTGGACTTACAGAGATGTCCTCATGCCAACTCGTAATAGCCGTATGTGATTGTAATTCTTGAAGCAAGCAAAATGAAGATCTTTTCTTGAATAATGAAAGTTTTCTCAAATGTCCTATGGAAGTTCCATGAGGGCGATCTGAAAAACGAAATTGTGAATCATACACCTCAGATCAATTCTCAGAAATTCTGAATTGTTCCAGTGGGCTAAGGTATGGCATACAGCAGGGTGGGCAACCTCTC